TTAATAACTACTGTGCGTCATCTAGAGGTCTCTGTAAATACCTTGGATTTGGTAATACGTGGAAGGGTCGTCTTACAGATAGTCAAGGTAGTGACGCACTTCATTTGCTTGATATTCAGTGTCTTAAGTTTCACGGTCCTTGGAAAGCGCGTGTGGCGTATTGCCACGTCCTTGGCAGCATAATGCAGCTTGTCGAAAAGTTGGCCACACCCACTGCTGTATGGTGAACCCAAGGGTTCGAATTTTTAGAAATTGATCCAAAGAAAAATATACCGATGAAATCCGCACTATTGTGCATCTCCTAAGAGTAGGTACAACCTCTCAGCTTACGTTGAAGCTTTAAGTCTCGACGAGCCTCGTCCTAACCGGATTTTTGGGTTTATTTAAAATAGGGACCATAATGATGTGCGACTTGAACAACCTTTTTTTCTAATCATTAAAGTCCCTTTTCCATCGATCTTACGATTTCTTGTCCTGCGCTAGGCAAGCAACACTTGGATTATGGCAGGTGAAACGGGGGCGATCGACGTGTCTCGCGCTATCGCTATGACGATAGCGGCATTTTTCGGTATCACCTGTTATAACGTTCTGGAGATTATGGTCTCCATTTTCATGACCTTCAAGCGTTACCGAGGGTTGTACTTCTGGAGCATGCTAGTGGCCACATTAGGCATCTTACTCCATGCTATTGCGGTCCTACTCCGCTTTTTCGCACTTGCCCCTAGCTTCCCTATGGCTGTACTCATTGTTATCGGCTGGTACGCCATGGTCACAGGCCAATCCGTCGTACTTTATTCCCGGTTGCACCTTGTCGTCAGCGACTATCGTCGGTACCGTTGGGTGCTATATATGATCGTGATCAACTTTTGCATATTGCACATTCCAGTGACCATCCTCTTCTTTGGCAGCGGGCTAGGCCATTCAAATTTCCTTGGCCCGTTCAATGTCTATGAGAACATCCAGCTTGCTGGCTTTTCTGCTCAGGAGATCATTATCTCTGGGTTATATATCTGGGAAGCTTCTCGGGCACTCAAACCAATTCTCGCGCGCGAAGAACGAACTGGCCATAATGTCATGAAACATTTGATACTCGTTAATATCATTGCCATCCTTATGGACGCTTCGCTTCTTGCGACCCAATATAGCGACAATTTCGAAATACAAACAACGTACAAGACCGTCGTCTACAGCGTTAAGCTAAAGATGGAATTCAGCGTGCTGAACCAACTGGTGGCCTTTTTAACGAGCAACCACTATATCAATGAATATAGCAGCCAGCAAACTTGCCTGGGGCCCAACATTGGTGGAACGGATATTTTTCTTGCACCTTATCGTGGCTTCGACCCGGGAAAACAGCCCCGACGCTCAGCTTGCAGCCTGCCAAGTCAGAATATGTTTCCGTTTGAAACAGGAACTGCAACACGGGATCCTATATCAACAGTACCGGAAGAATACCCGTCCTCTACTAGTGGAGAAACGTTATCTGCTGGCGCGGCCTCCGCCATTGGAGGGGTGCTATTACGGCCAAAAAAGTCTTTCCTATACCCAGCGACAGCGTGACAGTGTTTTACATAGATATATTTCTTTCCTCTTGAGGGAGAAACGACTTGTGAGTGTCAGTTGGGGAATCTGATACCAACTGCTACTATATGGAGTGACTGTACCTAGTCGAAGGTACTGTACCGGAACTCTACTATAACAGCCTGAAAAATTACTGTACATCGAAAGTACGAAACTGTAGTAGGAAAGAAACTGTAGTCACGGTGGACGGGATGACAGCGTGAGATCGTATGGTACAGGGGAGCTCGGCAGATAAGTCATTTGCTCGTTTCGCATACGACTCAAGTAGCAGGGATATAAGGCGTCCTCCTCTGTTATATGATCCTAGTCAGCGTGAATAGATCCAGTTGGCCGAGGTGTTGTAGCTTACCTTTTCATAAATTCCGCGGATTGTACGCTTGACACGGACGACCAATGAGCATCTTGATCATATCAGCTTGCCAAGTAGATCACTTGCAATTATCTTCAGCAACGTAGTAACCATTCAAGCCATGTTATATTCCGGTTCGTCGCACTCTCCGGCTGTCCCTTGAAAAAGCCGCGCTGGGATTCATAGGGCGATTTCCCCAGCAGCAAAAAGCGCGTGACAAGCCCACCAGTGATAAGAAATTGTACAGCTGTAATGGATGAATGATTCGGACGGCCGGAGGTTCAGGCATTCCTCCGTTTATGGGTGAAGATGGTGAAGAAAGACGAGTGCGGAAGACGCGTGTAGTGCCCTTGGTCTTATCCCTGATCCGGCCATATTGGTTTTCATTGGTGACAATTGGCTGTTCACACCATGGCACGAAAATGTCAGTAGTGTTTCGTGTCTTGGGGCTAACACTTCGCACAAATAATCGGAACAGTACTGACCCGTCCCTGCCGGCAAAACCAACCATGCCGGTGAGTACCCGCCCCTAGACAGTCGCATATGAAGTTGAATACGGACTAACGAAAGTTTTATCTAGCCTGAAATCAGATCTTGATTAACGCTGGCCAAGAAAGTAATGGATTCTCAGTCCAAAGCAACAACTTCTAGTAGTCGTATGCTAACGGCTTCGGTAGGAGGCTCGGTAAGACCCCGGCATTATTGTTCTCCACTATAAGGCAATTACATCCTAACATTCAACAGTCTGCGACTGGTACCACAATGCACCCTAGCTGTTCTACTGGTATCACTATCATGACGCCACTTTCCCCTCTAGCTGCAGCAAGGTCTAGCTGAATGCCGAGAACATCAAATAGATATTGTCGAATTGGATTTCTACGCTCTTTTGTGGCACTAATGGTTGGCTAATAGCTTGATGTCTACTTCTATAGCCTTTGCAGTGAATATGAAGATGAAGGTGGCTTTGAATTTAAATAAACCTTATTTCCGTGCTATCTAAATTCTGCTACTGAAATACAAGAGTATCAAAGAAGGGAAAATCACGCCAGCAGTAATGAAAGGTGGTGCATGAGGCACCGCGTATATCATGATTGTACGTCGCGTCCCTGTTGACAGCACTATCAGCCCTAGGAACCCACATCCTGGTCCTAGGAATTCTCTTGCTCCTATAGGCTTTGATATGGTTTTCTTGAGCACATAAGCCGTTTCTAGGAGCCATATAACCCCCAGGAAACCCGACATTGCTTCTAGGGCATTCTACCTCCACCTCGGGGAACCAAAGCCGCGTTCCTGTTGACGTTACATTAATTTCTAGAACCTTAAGTGCGATTTCTAGGAACAATTATATGGCTCGGATTTGTGCGCAGGTCTGGTGTGGTGAAGGGATCTTGTGAGGGGTCTACAGAGACAGAAAAATGACTCTAGGATCCAGAAGCAAGGTCCCAGGAGTGCAACAGCTCCCAGATCCACGGATGTGTTCCCAAAGACATTTCCTATTCATTTAGGAACTGGACTAAAGGACCCAGGATTATATCTCAGTACCCCAAGAATATGAAGGACCCCAGGAGCTAGGTTGGAGATCCCAGGGAACAAGCAGCTTCTATAACAGCTTTTGACGTTTTCCAGGGTCAATGCATTGGTTCCCAGAGTCAGCTCAACAACAGCGAGAGACTTTGGCCAAGGTCTTTCCCGCTAACCCCCAGAGTTGAGTGCTTTCTACAAGGTCCTTCTTCAAATTCAACAGCTCAATGGTCGTGAATACTTATTAAGAAGATATATATTTAAATCCGACACTTCTTCCACATTCGCTAAAGCCCCAAAAATTCGAAGAAATTGTAGAATATACAGTTATCGAAAGGTAAAGTGACAGAAAAGGTAAAGAAAAAAAACTCCCAAAAGAGACATGGTGCCTTAACGATGATCACAAGTTTGAAACTTTTTGAGTCAAAACGTATAGCCAAGCTTCAGCGGCGTCGGGTCGGGTTCCCGCACATGCGACCATGACCTAACGCTTTCCGCAGTCTAGACGGACAGACCCACAGCCCAACATATACAACACTAAAGCGAGGCTAGGGAAAAAAGTCCATGATCTCTAGGATGAAATTGTAGGCACTCTCTGGTGACTTAACGTCTAGCGGCCCGCAGATAAGATGGTCAAAACAAGAAACATGGGCCTGTCATTGCTGATTGTATATCCCCTAACAAAGCCTCAATTTAGGAGGGCTGTGAAGGATTTGACAATCAGCCAACTTTTCTTAACCGATGTGACGCATGACATTCGGACCACTTGGGGATGTTTGCTAGATGGCTGGGCGGGGAAGACGTTAAGACCAGGGGCCCGACATGATTGGACGGAGAAGGTAGATAGACTAGCTTCCTTGGCGTCTCTCCTATTCTCTTTCTCTTCTTTTCTCTAGCTTAAGTGTCTTCGATGAATGGACTCTTTTTGAGTAAGACTTGCCGACACAGAAATTGTCTAGACACTGAGTTGGTTCCTAGTAAAAGCTGCGCAGTAATTATCTCGATGATGCATCATCGTTCCGGAACCGCACTGTGCCATTCCGAACGTCAAGGCGTGAGAAACCCGCCGCCGCACGATTTAAACAAATCCCAAACTAAAATGACAATGTCACCTTCTTTGTGGACAGTCGCTACTAGGTCGACGACAAGCAGACCATTTGGGGCTGTTGATTGACAACAGACGGGTGATTCACTCGGAGGTCTTCATTGAAGTCCTGCCTATTGTCGTAGCTATTTGCCTGGGCACTCTGATGTAGTGTGGTGCGTGTCGCTTACACGTCGCGGTATGGGAGCTCTGCACGCTATTCTTAAAGCAGTTTAGTGTGCCCCCACAGGGACGGGCCTGACCACCACCAGTCTTTTGTAAGCCGCAATCAGCACCTACTAATTCGGCCACCCAACTGTTCGGAAACTATTCCTGCGACATTGTGTACTTAATCTGTAATAAATTTGGTTCAACATACGCGGTACGAACAAATTACTGAACAAAAGGTAGAGAAGTGGCAAGTTATTAGGATATCTGCTAGAGTTAAGATAACCGCCAGCTGCACTAGGCGTTATAAACCTTTGCTCTGGGACCTTTTCCCGCCAACTTATCTGTTTTCGCACTTGAGCAGAACTTCTCCTCCTTGCCTATCTTCTCGGCTCCTTGGGACCTTTCCTCCACTTCCTCGAAGCTGAACGATTTCTCCGGCAACAGATCGTACACAGCCTTAGCATATTGGTGGGAAACTCTGAACAGCTGTGCCAAATATTTCACTTGGATCACGGGGTACTCCACCTTCTTAAGCGGGGAGGCAGTGTTCAAGTGGAGATGCTCCCGGGCTTCGCCATTCATAACCTTTTCATAGAGCGCTCGGGATTGCTCGTACTCGGAGTGGCTGCCCTCATGCCAGAAATGCGACTTACGACTCACAGTGCTATCAGCAAGCTGGTATGGAGCTTCGGCAGTATCAGGACGGAACTTATTCACGAAGCTGTTTGGAGCATACTGCGCATTTCCGGCGTGGTTCGCGTCGACTCTCATCTGACCATCGAAGTTCAATGAAGCGTAAGAAGATGCCATGAATGGACAGTTGACTCGAGGAAACATCAGAGATACGTCTTCACAAAGGATATGAAAACTAACCTGGAATTTGATGCCAGTTGACTCCGATTCGATGTAGTTGAGCATCGCGATAGAAGAAAGTGCGAAATTGAAGAAGAGGATCTGGGCTGTCTTCAATCCCCGGGACCATGCTGCCGGGAGAAAATGCAGCCTGCTCAACATCTCTATGAAAATCCTCCGGGTTGCGATTCAAAACCAGCTTGCTGAATTCGTGCAAATTATCTTGTTAGGCGAAGTGTGTGCACTGGTAGATAAGAATACTTACCGGGAACTGGCTTTTGGGCCAAACTTTGGTGACATCAAATGGGTCAAATCCAAGGTTATCTGGGTCAGCCTCGTCCGGCTCCATGATCTGAACATGCGCAGTCCAGGTAATCTCTTCGCCAATTTCAATGGCCCGCCAAAGGTCACGCTTTGAGTAATCGGGGTCTTCGCCGCTAAGTCTCATTGCTTCGTCGGCAGTAAATTGTTTTTGACCCTGATTGGCGAGGAAATGATACTTGATATAGACGAACTTGCCGTCCTTGTTAACCTGTGAGGAAGCGGGTTAGCCGTTCTGTACATGTGATAATATCAGTATAAAAAACCGCACCATTTGAAAGTATGGCATCCGTATCCGTGGTTATGTCTCCATCCTTGCGGTGTACCATGATCACTGAAAAACATCATCCCGGCATGGTTACTATGCCAATGTTAGACACTTCGCTTATCTCGCTTTTTTCTTGTGAATCTGTTCTTACCCTTCCGGTGTGTTAGCAAGGAGATCAAACAGCGAGTTATGGTCGAGTAAAAAGTTCTGTGGGTTCCGGTACTGGGAGCGGATCACATCCGGGCCCTGGATGGGATCACGGCAAAAGAAGACAGGCTTGAGATAGTCAGTAGCAGCAAATAATAGGAAGTATGGAGAGACGTACAAAGTTCAAACCGACAATATCATAGTTGCCTTCTCCCGTGTAAAATTTGATGGCAAAGCCACGAGGGTTTCGAGCCAGATCGGGAAACTCGCGACCCAGAGTGACAGTTGAAAATCGAGTGAACACCGGGGTTCTGAGGCCGACGCTTTTCAAGAAGTCGGCCTTTTTTACATTAGTCAAGGTTGTGGGAAATGGTTCTTGAGTAAACCAACCTTGCAATGCGCCGTGATATCTTTAGTTGTCTCGAAATATCCGAAGGCTCCACTGCCACCTTGGGAAGGTCAGACAGAAACATTGCGTTACGGTAGTACCAACGACGAACTTACAAGGATGAACCATTCTCTCCAGATTCTTCGATCGGTTGAAGTGCTGCTGTTTCTGGAATAGGTGGATATCAGAAGCCACAGGCATGCCTCCGGCAGTCTTGCTGTGAGCTGGATCCGGGAAGGGAATGCCCTCGTTACTTGTGAACTATGCGCTATCATCCACTCTTCTTCCGTAGCCTTGCACACCAGTAATTTTCGCGGCTGTTCTTGCGGGGCCATCGTTAGCTCCTTGGAACAGTGATAAAAGCTGGTTAGCCCTGGGGTCGATCCCCACGGAGCCAACTGCCTCGCCTAGGGCTTGAAGTGGGTGAGCTGCCATGATGAAGTCGAATTGATTGTCAATACAGGATCTAAAAATTTCTGCCGGTGTTGATAACAGGTAGGGATGCTACGGCTTATAAGGTGCTTTGGAAATCATCAACCCCATACTCCCTTCCAAGTAAGCTTTGTAAAACCAAGAAAGAAGAAATCATTAACTTGATCTGAAGTTACTAAACTTGATATTTTCGCAAATTTTCATGGAATAGACATTGGGATAGTGTCGAGGCGTCAAGGGCGAGCATTTTGCTCTTCATTTTGCTTGTCATTCTCACATCATCGATAGCTCTACGCCGCATAGGCAATCTGCATAGCTTGGCGCGAACTCATACTCCGTAAATATCACCAATCATGGTGGAACAATTACTATCTTGTGGATAATGACTATAAGTGATCCAGAAGACGTATGCCGTTGGCTCGCTTTCAAAAATAGCTTTAACTGCGCTTGGTGCTTAAAGCGCTGTAAAAATCCAAAGATTGATCGATATAGCTGACTGGGGCCAACTAGAGCTCCACTTACGAGGATTTGACCTTACGAAAGTTCGCCTGGTGCTGATAATGTCCATATCAGATCACAATTCAGCACACTTGATTATTCCTGGTGCAACTTTGTTTGTGTTCAACTGGCAGCAGGGCATAAAAGATAACATGAATTCGGGTACAACGCCTGACGAGAAGCAATGGCCATCTCTTTGATAGTAGTATTGGATATGCATCTACGGCAAACTGGAGAGATTAGCGGGAAAAATATCTTCGTAGTTACTGATTAGAGAGTACTCACACTGTTGTGACAGCTCACATCTAGAACGAGCCGATCGGGTATTCTTAATTGGATTCTTGTTCCGAGCTCTCAATAACTTGGTTGTCTTCGTGGTAAAACTTGTCAGGCTCCTGCGACTCACTTTAACATGTAGGCAGCATATAGTAGACTATATTCCATCTCGTGAGTGAGTGTCCTGCTGAGTAAGAAGCGGGACGGCACCCACCAATCCAGATACGCTTGGCTCTTATTCCTAGTCTGAATCACAACTGCATCACGCTGGCAGCTGCCATATCGCTCACTTGTGGACAGAAGAGAGCAAGGTCTTGCCGCAATTTCAACTCCGTCATTATGATCCTTACTATCACCTTCCTTCTGATTGGTGCACTATGCAAATAGGTATGTCTAGACTTCAAGAGTGATTTGCATGATTTTAGCGAAGAAAACTTCTTGACCCCATGTTTGTATTTTTACGTTAGAATGATCGTGAGCCTAAGAGACCATTAAGAGCTAGTGACGCATTTACCTACTATTATGACCGAATTACTGGGTGCCCAAATACTATTCAGCACCTCCATTCCTGAATTCCATGTTCATCCCTACACAATAAGGAAGGGTCAGAATCATCTTCTGTACTGCCGATATCGTCCGCAGTACCTGCAATGCTCTATAGTCCTCGGTCCCTGACAGTGTTATCATGTAGCGTATTAGGCCATCAATCGCTGATCCACGTCGTAACCTTAACGGTTACCTCAGGAAGTCCACTATCTCTGTACTTTCTCTATTTCTCTGGTTGGTGCCTCGGAGGGGAGCAGTAAGTACAGTGGCCCGCAATTTCGGCTTTGCTCCCCCATTCTCTCTCCTCCCCTTTAAAGTACATTTGCAGGCCGGATTTTTATCATTTGCAGCTTTTCTGTCCTCTAAATGCTCTTCGTTTTCCGTGGTCCTACTCATTTAGCAGCGTGGCGGAAGTAACCAGAGTGGCATGATATGTTCGGTTTACGAACTCGAGCCAACGAACATATGATCAGGGAACGCAGGTTCTACAAGCCAGCCATTCACATAATTTCCAGAAGCCTGCCATTCATTGCCATTCGGTGCCGAAATGTCGGCTAGGTATATACAAGGCCACTGACGCGCATCGCCGTCATCTAGTGTTGCACGTTGGATACATTTAAAAGAAACCCACAATGTCCACAGTAGCTGGTAGTAGTAGCATTCAAAGACTGCAAACTTGTTATCTCAGAATCTCCAAGCTCTCAACCATGTCACGTCACGTCTGTGTTACTGCCGCGGATGGCCACACCGGCTACGCCATCATGGAGCTTCTGTTGACAAATGAGAACTTCAGAAATGCCGTTGACTCAGTCACTGGGCTGTCTCTTCAGCCCCACGGAGAAACTTGCAAAGAACTATCTAAGCTCGGGGCTAAGATTGTCGCACATGAGCCGGGTCGACTGAGAAAGATGGTGGACTCCCTTAGAGCGACCGGCGCAGATACATTGTGTCTCATCCCTCCTGCACGCGAGGATAAGCTCGACCTGACTTTAGAACTGATCGATGCTGCAAAAAAGGCGAAAGTACCTAACATTTGCTTCATCAGCTCCGCTGGCTGCGATCTTGCGGAACGTAATAAGCAACCAAGACTGCGAGAATTTATCGACCTGGAGACACGTGTTTTGTCCAGCAAGGGTGAACCATCAACGTCGACTGGCCACTCTCCAGTTGTGATTCGGTAGGGTGGTATTGTCCAGCGAAGTTGACCTTTTCTAACCCGGGAGCCCAGGGCCGGATTTTACGCCGAGAACCTCCTTCTGTATTCCCAGCAGGCGCAAGAAGAAGGAGTACTTCCCATTCCGCTTGGATCTAACCATAAATTTGCGCCAATTGCATTAGGGGTAAGTTAATCATAGCATTCTTAAATGAACATTAACTGACAAAGTTAATAGGACGTCGCCCAGGTTGCGGTACACGTCCTCTGTGGAAAAGGGAAGCATGGATTTAGCGATCGACACCGTGGCCAATTAATCGTATTGACAGGTGAAGTAGCCTGGCCCGAAAACTGTTTATTGGCACTAATACCACCCAGGGCCAATGCTGGCAACTGGTGATGAGCTTGCTTCTGCTGCCAGCAAAGCATTAGGACAGGAGCTGAGATTTGAAGATATTTCGGAGTACGTGAAATCAAACCTTTCTTTGCCAAACCATACATACAAATGTGGGCTAACGATAGTTGCAACTGTCAGGTCAGAAGCGAAGAGAGTCCTTCGGTCCCAGTCAGCCAGTGATAATTCGGAGCAGCAGTACTTACTGGAGTATTATTCTCTGGTTCGTGAAGGAAAAGCGAACTACATCTCGACTACGGCTTTCCACGATATCACTAACTCGCACCCCCAAGAGCCAGACGACTTCTTTAAAGTTTATGCCCAAGAGTTTCGCATGAAAAGGCTGCCGAAGAAACGCAAGACTGGTGGGAAAACTTGAGTGTTCTGACTTTAACCAACAGCATCGGAACATGCCGTGGTGTAAAAATGCAGCCATATAGTACACAGTTTATTCCTTTCAACGATTTTATCGATGGGGCTTTGTCCGCAACCGTGCGCCTGTTCATTAGGACGTATGTGTTTATTCATTGACAGTATTTGACCTTACATGTTGGGTTTAGCGCGGTTGTTAAGCTATCACCGGAAGAAATTGATACATAAGGATTCTCGTTTATTAAGGCGTTCTGCGTATTCTGAATTTCGATTGAACACGGTATGATGCCGCGTGTTCTTCAACCATTTCAACCAGACACTCCTTTAGCTCCGGCAAGTTCGTATTGATCAACGAGAACTATGTAAGGGGTTGGATTATCTCGTCATATACAGACTTGAACTATGTAGACAATGCGGAGAGTTTCGCCTACATGATGCAAGCAAGTTACTTCTTCACCTTGTTGATCGTGGCCTTCGACTTCTCCGTCAAAACTGCAACGAGAATCACAACGCTGTACATGTTCACCTCCTTTGTAGTGGGCCCCGTCTGCGGCCTCCTGGTCTACCGTATCCGGCGACTCAAATACTTCATCGTCAGCGGGACTGTCCTCTTCCTCGTTGGCTTCGGTCTCCTGATTAGATACCGCGGCGGAGCAGGCACATCCTCCTGTGCAGGCCTCATAGCCGCACAAGTCATTCTCGGGGTTGCCGGCGGGCTAACACCATATGCGTCGCTCACATCGCTACAAGTATCTCTAAAACAAGAAGCATTTGTTGTCATGATAGGTCTATTCCTAGCCTGTCACAGTATTGGCGATGCACTGGGCAACAGTGTGGCCGGTGCAATTTGGACACAGATCCTTCCGTCAGCGCTCACTTCGAATCTGGCTTTCCAAGGGGACTCAACGCTTGCGTCAGCTAAACCCACTCTAGAACTTTCTGGCACCAGCTCTTCCGCTGGCCCATGCAGGGCATATCCTCATTCGTGTGTCGGGATATCCTCCACCTTCCCCGCCCCTCGCTCATCGAGAGGTACGCCAATATCGTCGTTGTCTTCGTCATCTCCGCTACGTTGCATCTCGCCATTGACTCCCGGGCCGGAATTATGCACCCGCAAACAGGTGCCCTAAGATGCTTCCTCATCCAGCCGCTGGGTATTATGCTTGAGGACGGAGCGCAGGCAATCTACCGCCGGGTCCACGGAGGAGCAGCAACTTACAACAAGTGGACCAAGTTGGCGGGATACATCTGGGCCTGGGCCTTTCTTACCCTAGTGGCACCGTTGTATAATGTCCCGCTCTTTCGGTATGAAGACCCGAATAGAAATGGGGTTCCGTTGCCTATTATCCAAACGTCCGTTGATTACCTAGGGTCGAGAGAGTAGCTTCGGCCACGGCTTTACGACATTCAAGAGAAATGAGAAACAATTTGATGCCGCTGCATTGCTCGCACATGAACATCTTGGAGGAGCACTTCATGCGCCACTTTCCAATTCACAATTTTGATTGATCCCAGACAATTATTCCAAACAGCCTGGTATTATATAGAGGTGGCAACAAATAGTAACAATACCAATAAGAGAAACAACACGATTCATAAATCTGGCAGTGTGCTGTGGTACAACCTTTAGGTAGCAACTCGAATGGCGTAACTCGAACGGCGTATTCAACAAGAAGCAAGGTCATTGGTAATATGCCCCAAAGAGAATATTCGGTACATAAATCATACGCCGAAAAAGTTGAAGTTACCCCGTCATATACAACACTAGTGGAGCAACATTGCCTCACACCGTATAGGAGGATGGTACAAACCATAGAAGACAGACAAAAGCAATCTTAGGGCAAGCCGGCGGTGGTTATTCCATAAATAATAGAATTAAGTTGCACTTCTCCCCCGGGATATGTGGAATAAGAGATAAGAACACTACTTCATTGAAATCAATAAAACACCGCTGAGCTGACAAGGCCGCGCTCTCAAAGGCGGGAGGATACGCATCAGAATATACCCAGTCGACTAATCACACTCGTTCATGCTGATCTAATATCAGGTTGCGAAGATTAATTCCGTGGTGCGTAAGAACAACCTCAGTGAAATGGAATGGTGGTGTGTGTTTTGGGTTTGGAATACGAGTAGCTCCCGTTACAAGTCGCAAACAGGAGCGCAACGGAGCCGAAAGGCTATCAAAGCAAGAGAATAAACCATTCAAAGTTGATGGGTAAATGGATTTCAATCAATGCAAACACTAGTCGATAGTGGCTGTCTTTGCTATGCCACTGTTATTGATGTTCTTGCTAAGCTTTCGACCTCCCGCTCGTTCGTATACCTACCCGAACACTAGACGGTCTGGTAGGGAATCAAGGCCGAATCGCGCGACATTAAAGCGGCGCTCACCCTAAACTCACCCAACTATTGACTGCACATAAGACACACGCCAGCTAATAGTTAGGTGGGTCACCACTAGCGAATCCTTACTGCTGAATGTTTTTTTTTTTTGCGATTTTCTTATTATATTTACTTTTTGTTGTTTGTGAAGGTCAACTAGATACTTTCACGACATTCAAAACCCTATCTTAAATGTTTTCACGGAAATACGTATATGTATTCGCCATGCTAGCTACTTTAGAAATCACCACCCCCAACACAGCTATGTCCGTGACTGAAACCAGCCTTGATTTAAGCCTCGCCCTTGCCCGTGGGTAGACGGGTTTTACCCGACCTATACCTATTTCTTGGCGGGTTTAGGTTTAAAGTTTGGACCTAGGGTCGGATACGAGGCCTACGTTTTGGAAGAACTAAGACTATTATAGAGTATGCTTTCTCTAATCCTATTCTCAAACTACTAGCTTGTACTATTACGTATCAGTCAACTCCTCTAGGGTAACATGTCGCGTCCTATGGGCTTGGACCTCGGCCTATTCCATATCGTCTCTAAGTTCACAAAATCTGGCGGAAGCCATTCAATCTGTCTGTGGCCTAAAGCGCAGTCTGCAGCTCATGGTGTCGGGGGCCGAATGTGCCACGAGAATGGCGTTGTCGCCAAAGCTGTCTAGACTTGTGCGATATCGGATTAGCCTTGCTGGACGCCTACCATATAGGGTTCGTGCAGCCTAATATCTACCGAGCACTAGAAGTGATTCTGGGAGTTCCTTGGACGTATAGCATTGATATCTGGAACAGGGGTTGTATGGTAAGGCAAAAGCCCTCGCTTTCCAAAAGCAGCTAAACGTTATAGATTTGGGATATCTACGAAGGCGGTTCCTTGTTCACCGGCTAAGATCCTGGATTTGACAATTACAGAAGGCGACCTTACCTTGCCGTCTTCGCCCTCGCTATCCAGCCTTCTTGCCCAGGGAAGACTAACTGACAAGTCCTTTTCTGAAGGTAAGTCAAGCTTTTTCCCTATCATTCGGTCAATCCCGTGTCTAAAAACTAACTCTATGCTTCTAAGTACCTTGCTCGCTGGGAACTTGAAAGGCGAGAAACATGTCTCCAGAAAGAAGATAAGAGAGAGGCGTTTTTCGTCTGCGTAAAATGCTGCAGTGGGAGCGTGGCAAGCGTAGTTCTGTTAAGGAGCGGAGGTCGAATGGATGCATCAATATTGTAATGCATGGAAGCACGCTGTAAAATAATATATAGTGTAAGCTTTTTCCAATTCGACAAATAAATACGCGAGTGAGTTCAGGGAACTGGTGAAGTATGACGGTGCTACAGCATGGCCTAAGTAGTTCAATTGGAGCTGAATAAGAGATTCGGAGATCTCAAATATTAAGCTAGGCATCAAGATAAGAACAAGTATGTGGAATGAGTTCATAAGAAAAACCTGCTTTGGACAGTGTACCTTGATTGGCTGGTGTGGCAGGCCGATGGTGTGTAAAGAATAAACAAATGTTCAGTAGAAAAGGAAGAAAGAAGATAAAATCCCAAGTCAAGCAGACATCCAACTTCTACTGGACAAGTATAGAGTGAAGTCGGCAAAGTGAAGTTCCCCACGTTATCGCGGAGTGACTTCATGCCCCTCCTTTTTGCATTCTGACGTTTCCACCTCTCTCTCTTTTTTTCCTTCACTTCTCACTCTCTCACTTCCTCTCCTTTACTCTGCTTTGTCTCTCCACACGGTGTCAGCCTCCAACATGGCTGATGCACGGGATTTCGCCGAGGGGTCTGTCGCGCCTGACGGCATTTCCCATACCTCGCCTCAGTCTTCTCCTTCCCAGGCCTCCGCCTCCTCCGAGACCTCAAATCCCATCCCTCGCGAACCGACAGCACCAGGCTTATCAGCTTCCTCAACACACTTGGGTCAGATCAACGCTGCAAGGCGGGGAGCTGGCTCCTCGCCACATCCCCAGCCATCGATGAGCGGGAAAGCGACCGGTGGATTGAACCAGGATATCATGGCCAAAATGAAAGCGTTTTCATTGTCCCGGCAGGGTGCTCCGTTGCCGCATGCTGCGTCGACGGGGACAATCCCTAAGGCCCAAACGGGCACAGGCGGCGCCCTGGCCGGTCGTCTTCCTCCGAACTCACGGCCCAATCCTCAGAACTGGACCTCTTCGCCATCGGTGCCAGCGTCTTCTCCTGGTTCCGCATCTCCCCGACCAGGCGGACTGGCGGCAAAGCGCATGAAGCCCGGTCTCAAATTGTCGGATGTCACTGGCCCGCCAACTCCGTCCGCGGGGACCGAACAAAAGTCCAACGAGCAAACCGAGGAATCTGCCTTCACCAAGTACGCCGAGTTTATCGACACGAAAGCAGGAACTCTGAATTTCAAAAATAAGGCTGTCTTACATGGGGGTGGTGTTGAATTCTCATCGGGTCACAGCTTCAAGATCTCCCTGGACGAGGTCGATCGTTTGGAAGAGCTAGGCAAGGGCAATTATGGGACAGTATACAAGGTCCGACACAGTCGGCCACATCTACGAAAACCGGGGCTCGGTTTGAGTGGCATTGTCAGTCGACCGCAGGATCAGGACGACACTAATTCGGAAGCTGGATCTACTCAATATTCCGGTGTGATCATGGCAATGAAGGAGATTCGTTTGGAACTGGACGAAGCGAAGTTTGCACAAATCATCATGGAGTTGGACATTCTACACCGTTGTATCTCTCCCTTTATCATTGATTTCTACGGGGCCTTCTTCCAAGAAGGTGCGGTCTACATGTGTGTCGAATTCATGGATGGTGGTTCGATCGACAAGCTCTACGAGGGTGGTGTTCCCGAAAACATCTTGCGCAAGGTCGCCCTGTCTACCATCATGGGATTGAAGTCGTTGAAGGATGACCATAACATCATACACCGCGACGTGAAACCGACCAACATCTTGGTCAACAGCAAGGGCCAGATCAAGATCTGCGATTTCGGTGTCAGCGGAAACTTAGTCTCTAGCATTGCGAAAACCAACATCGGATGTCAGAGCTACATGGCCCCCGAACGAATTGCGGGAGGCGGCATGCAGCAATCCGGAGCGCCCAGTGCTGGTACATACAGTGTGCAGAGCGACATTTGGAGTTTGGGATTGTCCATCATCGAATGCGCCATGGGCCGATATCCATACCCACCAGAGACATTCAATAACATCTTCAGCCAATTACACGTGAGTATTCTGCCTGCAATCTTGCTGTTCATCTTTCTAATCTACCACCCAGGCTATCGTCCACGGTGATCCCCCGACTTTGCCTGCCGAGGGTTACTCCGAGGAAGCCCACGCATTCGTCCGGGCCTGTCTCGATAAGAACCCCAACAGCCGACCGTCCTACAACATGCTACTTCGCCACCCTTGGCTAGCACCTTTGATGCAGCCACCCACCGAGTCGGCTGATGAACACGCCCCCTCCGACGTACATGATGACTCAGGCGGCAGTGAAAACGGTTCATCTGCTATAACAGAGGACAAGGAAGCTGCTGAGTGGGTGAACAAACAAATCAAGCTCCGGGAAGACGGCTTGCTCCGTGTCACCGAGAAGCCAGCACTTCACGCCGTTGCGCTGGACAAGGTCGGCACGGGCTCCGAGAATGACCCCAACATCATCCCTCAGATGGGCTAAACTTGTCCATGGTCCGATTTTCAATCTTGCATTTCCCTCCTACTTTCTCCGAGGGGCACACTTTACGGCGCAGGCGCCGTCTCCACGACTTGAATGCCTCTTCTACCGATGAGTCTGGTCACTGGCATCTGCAGGGGCGCGACTGCACTATCGCAACCGGCCATGTACGTGTAATTTTCTCCTTGTTGCTCAATCTGCATCTGAGAACAAGGATTTTTGAAGTGGACTCGGTTTCGACACCTGCGTCCCTGTACTATGGGCGCAAGGGACAAACATATTTAACTCCTACATGTTGCACGATATCTCTGAATACAAGCATTTGAACTGTGATATTCTACAACGCGGGCTACATCTTCTGAAATCATGCATCGAAGTATTTCATTAGAATCGTAGGCTTCTCATACATATCGGCAAAAGTCATGTTGAATTCGTAAGGTTCACCGCGTCACACCCAGTCTCATCGCTGTTGAAAATGAAACAACCCTCTATTAACTCACGCTTCGCCCCAGATCTCGTCGGCGATCTGCCTAACAAGGCTCAGCTTGTTCTTCTGGTGCTCAACGAGAAGAGGATATCCGCTCTCGTGAGTACTGAAGCCACACTGTGGACTAATACAGACTCTCTTCAGTGCCTCCTCGCGTGTTTCTCTAGAGCCGGAAGCCACAAAGTCCGCCGCCTTGAAGATGCGTTCCTTCATAGCCTCCTTGTCCTCAAGATCCCGCAGCTTAGTACTAATAGCACCGATGACCACGTTCTTGTTCTTCGGCAAAAACTTCAGCGGCTCAAATCCACCAGCCCGCTCAGTGTCGTACTCGAGATAGAATGTGTTGACGTTCAAGTTCTCGAACAAGTTCTTCGCGATGATATCATACGATCCCTCGGAGAAGTGCCGGCCGCCAATGAAGTTTCCACGGCAAAGATGGATGCCAGTGTGCATATCCGCGGGCAGGCCAGCAAGAGAATCATTGTACAGCTTGATGTAAGCATCAAGCAGGTCCTCCACAGAGCCGGTATTGTCCTTGTCCTCTTCCCATCCCTGACGGAACGCATTGGAGCAGAAGTACGCCATGCCGGGGTCATCGAACTGAACGTTGCGCAGACCTGCCTTGTACAAAGACGCCAACTCGGCCTGGTACACCTTCGCCACATCGGCGAAGTATTCGGCATCGTTGGCATATGCTTCGGGCGTGTAGGCCCGGCCTTGCTTGTAGCGCATGTGGAACCAGGCAGGCGTGATCATCGTCAGCTTGATGTTCGCCCATTCGCTTTCAGGCAGGGACTTTTGCACCAGCTTGAGCTCGTGCAAGTTCGATTGAGACGAAGTGGTGCTGTGGGAGAGCTTTTTGCCGGCGATGACGGAGTCGCCTGGCATCACTTTGCGGTCTTGCTCGATCAGGCTCACTACATCGGGGTGGTAAAGTCTGAACATCGAGGCTTCAGCGTCTTGCAGACGGATTGTCCCTGCGAGAGTTAGCGGAGCCATTGACAATCAAACAGAAGGTAACCTACCCTCAAACTCGTCCCACATCAATCCCCAGAACCGCGTACGGTTGAACTCGCCAGAAGTTACAGCCTTGAAGCCAAGCTCCTGTTGCATCTTGACGACATCGCGAATAGCTTCCTGCTCAACGGCGGGCAAACCGGCGGCCTCCCCGGAGATACCCGTAGTGGCGATTTTCTGGCGCACCTCGAGTAGGTTATCAGGACGCAACAGCGAGCCCATATGCTCGGCGCGGAAGGGGGAGCACTGTGAAGGTTCGCCATTTTATTATATGGTAATCTGCAATTTGATAATTATCGATTGAACCTGAACAGGTTTCAGAGGGACAATTCAATACCCCAAACTATGTGGGGTTTCTCCATGTGGAGATGTGGTGCAGATGTGGTGCAGTTGGAGAAGATGGAGATGAACAAGTGAAGATGCTGACTATGCAGATGAGGCTCTGGAGCTGTAATGGAGTAACGTTAAGCTCCACAGCGTACCTAGATATGATTTATTCAGTCGTAGGTATAGCTATATACTCCGTGCTCCGTACATATGCAACTATCACACTGAAGTATGAGCCCCACATGATATAACGTTATGCACTACCCTGATGCATCCGTTCTCTACTTAGCTCGCTCTTACATTAAATCCACGCTGGGGATCTAATAAATTCTTCTAGACATATTTTCATATACTCTCTATCTCAACAGAATTACCGCATCGTCACCAGCTCCTCGGCGCTAGTAGGGTGGATAGCAACACAGCTATCAAAGTCCTGCTTTGTGGCACCCATCTTCACAGCGACACCGAAGCCCTGGAGCATCTCACCGACACCGAGGCCCAAGATGTGGAGGCCGACAACCTTCTCCTGGGGACCGGCGCAGATTATCTTCATCTCAGTCGGGTTCTTGGCCTTCTCCTCGGCGGGCATGACGTCGTAGAACATGGCCGTGAACTTGGTGTGGTAGATCTTGATCTTGTCATCACCGTAGCGCTCGCGGGCCTCGGGCTCCGTGAGACCAACACAGCCGACCTCGGGGTGGGAGAAGACGACTGTCGGGATGTTCTCGTATGAAAGCTTGGATGACTTGAGCTCCGGGGGACCAAACAGACGGCTGCCGAGTTGACGACCGGCGGCAATGGCAACTGTATAAGATTAGCATGTGGACTTGAGGACTACGAAAACAATTTGTATCACATACCTGGGGTCAGCTCGGCTTGACCTGTCACGTCACCAAGAGCATAGACACCTTCGACCGAGGTGTTCTGGTACTCGTCAACCACAACGTGACCGCCGGCATTCAGTTTGACGCCGGGAACAGTTAGGTTCAGGTCCTCGACCTCGGGGGCACGACCCACGGCCCAGAGCAGCTCGTTCACCTCAAGCTCAGAGCCGTCATGGCCAATGAGCTTGAGCAACTTATCCTTGCCCTTGCCGTCACGGATGAGTTGCACTTCCTTGAATCCGGAGTGGTTACGGTGAAGCTTGACACCGGAAGCCTCATACCGATCGGTCATGGTCTTCTGGATCATAGGGTCAAATTTGCGGAGGAAGTTCTCCCCACGAATGAACATGTGGGTCTCGACATTGACAGCGTTCATGACGCCAGCAAGCTCGACAGCAATGTAGCCAGCACCCACGACCGCAATCTTCGGGGAAGGTCCTCCATCTCAAAGAATCCGTCGCTAGTGATACCGTGCTCGGCACCGGGCACGGAGGGGATGTTGGGCCGGCCGCCGGTGGCCAAGAGGATGTGCGGCGCAGTGTAGCGGGCAGTACCGGAGCCGTCAGCTAGCTTGACCTCAATGGTTTGAGGTTCAACGAAGCCAGCACGACCCTGCACGAGATCAATTCCTTCCCGGTTCCAGTTGCGCTCGTATGCGCCATTCAGTCGCTTTATAACGGCGTCACGGGTGTTCTTGAAGTGGGTGTAGTCAATAGCGATGTTATCAGGAATGTCATAGCCATAGCTCTTGCCAATGTGCAGCATCTCGTTAATGGTTGCGAAGTTCCAGGTCATTTTCTTAGGCACACAGCTAGACAGAGAAATGATGTGAGTTCACCGCATCAAAATTGTATCTTGTCTGTAGAACTCACCCAACGTTGACACAGGTACCTCCGGACCGTCCGCTTTCCACGATCAAGGTCTTCTTACCATACCAACCGGCTGCACGGCGAGCACTTCCACTGCCACCGCTACCACCGCCTAGGACAATGTAGTCATACTGCTGTGTTTCCACGGGGGCCATGGTGGATGATTGCTGACTCTCTCGGGTGGAAGATGAAGAAAAGTGTCGAGAGATGGTAGACAAGCGAGACTGGGGGTGAATTGAGTCCGCGGAGGGAATACGGGGAGAGTTGATGGACGCCAGAGTTCGGTTCACAGTCAAAGAAGGAAAGTTCCCAGAGAACTTCAGAGATGGAGAGACTCGAAAGTTGATCCGAGATCGAAGGGAGCGGGAGAGCATGGAGGGAAGAGGGTTGTTATGTACAAAATAAGCGGGGAGAGACAAATCCGATAAAGTGACAATGTCGATTTCTCAGCGCAGATCACGTGATGGACCTAGATCGAGTACTTGTACATGTCGGTGTTAGCTGTCCGGTGTTAGCTGTCCGGTGTTAGGTCTCTTGCAAGCCGCCCAGTTAATAGCCGAGGACTCGGCATTTTTACGTGCCACCCACCACTAATATTGTATTGAGTTCAGCTTTAAAGCACCCAACACCAGGTTCTACCTAGGTTCACCTACTTTGCTCAGCAATTATGAGGCCAAGTACTGCAGGTAATATATGAGTAAATGGGGACTGTATTATTATGTTGAAAAGTAGGAAATTCAGGAAAGAATGACAAGTGACCAGCACGGCACAGTTGGAAGCATAAGAAACAATCAAGCTCGCAGCTCAACATCCAGATGACTGGAATAAATCGAGTGTCGAAGCAACATGAGCTTATAAAGTTGAAACAAAGATCAAACAAAGGGGATGTCCGGTCCTGTAGATTTGAATGACTTGGGGTATATCGGTAACAGGAAACATGAACCATGTAGGACAAAGTATAGGAGCAGCATAGGAATCAAGGGTCATATATGACTCCAGTGAAACACCGTTATGCCTGGGTACACTCTCACTGCGAACAGTGTATGTCGAATTTTGTGACTTCGTGTCTTAACTCCAGTCTCTCACATAATGAGATAGACAATAGAAAACAAAGGGGGCCCCATATGGCAGCCAGTGCAGATACCACCCGAGTGTCTGGGAGAGTGCAGGTATATCTGATCGGTCGCGAAGCCCAAGAGGAAATGGCATTTGCACACTCTCCGGGTCGTATTTGCGACGGGAAGATATCTTCGATGGGGAAGGACAGGGACCGAAGGGGGATGGTTCGCACGCATTGTATTGGTGAAATAGACCGTATGCTAGGAAGGGAGTTGAAGGTATCCTAGACAGCAGGTTTCAGAGCCCGGTGGGATCTTCATCTGCGTCTGGGGTAGAACAACGCTCTAGTGGGAGTAGGCGATGACGGCAAAGGAAATCAGGCAAAAACACAAAGGAATGTAGACAGAGCGTTCCATTTCGGCCTGAGAGTGCTTCATTTTCGAGAGGGTTGTATACAGTGTACAGTGTATAGAGAAAGGGAGAGAGGAGGAGTGTGGGGGGAGGCGGTGTGTGTTTACACGTGGGCAGTTTCGGATGAGGTAAGCGCGTTGGGGCCTCAACAAAAACACAACTCAACGTCGACAGAGAAAAGAGTGTGAATATTTGTATAAAACTCATATTTACGAGAGGAAATGACCAGCTGCGGGGAGATTTGGTAGGCTCGTCTAATAACTTCTGAGTGGTTATACGGTGAACCTGCAGAAGCCACAATGCATCCCTGTAAACATCGTGCATAAGCACTCTCCCGCTCATGTCATATTGTTTAATTCATATTATCTTGATAGGTTTCTATAAGAACTAAAAACAAAGCCTCATCTATCTAACCTCCGTCATCCCTTGATAGATTCCAAGTCGTCTAAGACCACAATATGAGTAGTAGCCACGATGCTTCAACAGCAACGATCTACATGACTGTTTTTGCCCCTAGTTATCTACACTTACTACTTTCCATCCGAGGGGGACCCTATGTAGGGTAAATAGCAACTGTCCAAATCCTCTACATTCACAAAGAATGAAGAATGCAAGGGGATACCATCCACACTTCCAGTCCCCAATCAGATCAAGTATGATCAGCTCGCATACCAGGCAGGAAAACAGGATCCAACCTTGCCAGCCAATGGAGCAAGGTATCTAGTAGCTCCAAATCTCCTGTATATCCCTGTCATCTGATTACCAGCCAGGATCTTTCCTTGCAACAATCCCCCTTGGGTATACGTGAGTTGATTTTGAGACGCGTTACAGTTTCTTCAACCCCAGGCCAATTTTCAATCAGCTATTACACCATCGCCACAATGCGTGTTTCCGCTCTATTCTTCGCTGCCGTACTGTCTCTGGCCACAGCTAAAAAGATCAATATGCACTGCAACTTTGCAGAGGATCACACCGGCATGGTTCAAGAGCCCTACTGCTGCCGTGATATGACACCAGCACGAGGAAACTCCAAGGCTAACGAGGCAATGGACTGTAAGTATTTGGATTATCTTAGGGTATGCATCTGCTAATGACCTTTTATCTTCCAGGCGATAACCTAAAGCTGCCCCAGTTGTGTGAAGATCAGTCTCGTCCAGCCTGCTGCTACACTATTGTAAGTCGTCGTTCAATTTGAGCCGTGAAATTTTTTTACTAACCTGCTTTCTTTTACTTAATTCAGGGCCCGAAGAAGATTTGCACCTCGCATGCCATATTTATGGATGCAGAGGATGTTTAAAGGACTGAGACCACGGAGGAACCGTTGGATAGTTGTTTTAGGACGGTGGGATGAGACCCTTGCTCCCCCCGGCGTTTAGATGTCAGTATTTGCTGCTGAATAGACATCGGAGATGTACATCATACTTTGCTTCTTGGATTTCACTTTCTTTCTTAGATTTCGCTTCTTGGATTTGAATGAAAGATTTTATACACCAGAGGCCATCAAAGGGATCATATTGAAATGATTCGTGATTCATAAAAGGCTGCAAAGATATTGACAGCATAGTCATGATGATGGAACTAAATATAAAGCAATGCTAGAGGATACACCAACGCCTGTTTGAAATGCTGAACATGCCATGTACGGTCACCGTCGGCACAATGCTCTCAATCGGAGATTACCCCAAGCATCTCCTCGGTATTCCTGCGAAATAGCCGATCCGCTAACCCCGGCGTGGTTGCACAAAGGTTCAAGCAACACTCGGTGAATGGGTTGATATCAACTCCAGAAAAACGAGTGTGTGGCCAATCTGTGGCATAGATGACCCGGTCCGGTGCAACAGACAAAAACTCTCGCGCCATACTCTGAAGATCGCGCATTTCATGATCTTGACTGAGCCTATAAGGAGCTGATACCTTGACATATGTCCTCCCGCCACGTAAGAGCGAGATCAATGACGAAAATCCCTCAAGGGCGTAGGGGTTGAATGACGAAGTATCTTGACCCCATGACAAAAGCTCCGGGCTGCCAAAATGATCGATGCAGATCCGCACACCTAGTCGAGGGAGAATCGATTCGATCATTGAGACCATCTTGAGGGGGAGATAAACTTCGATGATCCAGTTATGTGGCCGGGCAATCTCAGCATGTTGGAGCAATGTCTCTTCCAGCTCAGCCTTATCCATCACTTTTCCTACGGACTTGAGGTTGATTCTCAGTCCGCGTACCCCCAGAGAATGCCACAGTTCCACCGTATCACGTTGGACGGTGGAAGGATCGACAACCACCACGCCTCGGCCGCGAGACGGGCCTGTTTTCTGTAGGGCATCTAATAGACATGAGTTGTCCGTTCCGTAAACTGAAGGCTGCACAAAAACCACATTTTCGATGCCTAGGGAGGATTCAAAGGCCAAAGCTTCGGCCAGAGAATGCGGATTTGGCTTGTATACGGCGGTTGGGGACACAGGAAACCGGTCTGGTTCCACGACATGCATATGGCCGTCCCAGGACCTAGGAGGGAGCCGTTGTTTTGGAGATATACTGATCGCGGCATGATTCCACCGCCGTTGCTCTATACGGGTGGAGAGAGCAAGCGATATTGATGCAGGGCCTGGAAATATATTCGTTGGCTGAGCAGATGTCAGCATCTTGCCTAGATCCGAAACTAATGCACAAGGGCCCTTTAGGGATTAAAGAAATACAAGAGCAAGAAGAAGCCCATGGGTTATACTTACGGAAGTGCCTGTCCAGCAAGGAGTCGCCCTAAGGCACTTCAAAGATATCATGCCAGCTTCACCGGTCAACGTCCGAAGCCTGTACAATGCAAGCAGAGTTTTTTCTTCCAATGCAACTGGACACCTCGGCTGTGTCACAGCAGCCCAAAGGCTTTTCCCCACTGATCAGCTCGCGCTTGTGACAAGGGTAAAAGGCTCGGAAGTCGTCCGGGGGCTCTAAATTAATATAGATTGGCGGGCAAGCGGAGCCAAGTGGATATGAGTAGGTACGACATAGTAGAGGGTGCCCATGTATATGTATCTATTCACTAGAGAGGGTAAAGTGAATGTACAAATACAAGTAAATGTACTGTATAATGTCGTGAGAAGTAGTGACGTGAAAGTGCTCAAAGCCCGTGGAAATATCGAAGCTCGGACGTTGACCGAAGCTCGCTCTGTTTGGCCGGGATGCCGAGCACCCATTTTTCCCCTCTTCCACCTTTTGCCGACCCCGGATTCTCCTCCACTATGCGATGGGACTTCAATCCCTTTTATACGCTAGTCATTGTGGTCATTGCGTGTGGCGGGATTCCCAAGGGTAAGTCCAATTGGGTGGCCGCATGGACTCGGGCTCACCTTTCCAGGCTATGATGAGGGTGGCTATAGTGGCAGCGTCACTCTGCCTTCCTTTAGGGCCGATTTCAATCTCATCCCATCCGACTGGGCCGAAGACGCCGCCGGGCTAGCCAACCGGATCGCGAATATCACATCCTTTAACGTGCTGGGCGCTGCGCTTGGGGCTCTGGTGGTCTTCTATCTGAATGACAGACTAGGACGTCTGGTGGCGTGGCGCTTAGCATGCATTGTGTGGGCTTCCGGCACATTGGTACAGATCTTCTCGTCGGGTATCTATGGGCTCCTCTTATTTAGCCGCATATGGAGCGGGTTGGGCGCCGGTGGCCTTACAGTGACTTCCCCGTTATATCTGAGCGAAATTGCGCCCACCAAGACACGAGGCCGGGTGGTTGGGCTCTACATGATCCTGCTCCTGGCCTCTCTGGCCATAGGTGAGTTTGGACCCTGTGGTAATTTACATGCCGATTCTAATTGGTCTCTGGCTCAGGGTTCTTCATCAACTACGGAGCCAGTACTCACATGTCAGTCACTCGAACCCAATACCGCCTTGTTCAGGCTATTGCTCTCATCCCTGTCGGTGTCGCATTCGGTCTATCCTACATTTGTCCCGAAAGCCCTCGATACCTCGCTTCGAAACAGCTTCATCAGGCCGGATTGGAGGCTCTGGCGCGCTTGCGTGGGAAGGATACCAATGATCCAAGTATTGTTGAGGAGTTTGAGACTATTGATGCACAGGTGCGCGAGCAGGCCTCGGACCTGGCGTCTGTCTCTCATTGGGCCATCTTCAAGGAGACACAAAGGAACCCCAATTATCGGCAACGGTTCTGGCTGCTTATGACGATGCAGACAATCGCCCAGTGGACCGGTGGGAATGGCATCACGTATTATGTCACCAGCATATTCAAAGTTAGTCACTGATTTGTTTCAACATCCTGATTCCCGGCGCTGACAAAATACCAGTATGCTGGGCTCACCGGCAGTGCTCAATCCCTCATCTCCTCCGGTGCATACGGGATCACTAAACTGGTTTTCACCGTGGCATTCTCATGGGGGCTCATCGACCTCATCGGCCGAAGACGCTGCGCACTCGCTGGACTGAGCCTTCAACTAGCTGCACACGTCTACACGGGCATATACATGGGCCTCCGCCCCGAATCAGAACGCAACCAAAACGCCTCGAACGCAGCGGTCGCCTCGGTTTTCGTCTACGCCGTGGGCTGGTCAGTTGGTCTTTGCACTATACCTTACCTCTATGGTACAGAGATTTTCCCCACGCGCATCCGCAATGTCAGCTATGCCATAAGTATGGCACTGCACTGGTTCTTCCAGTTTGCCGTCGTTCGCGTGACCGGCGACATGTTTGTGTCGCTTGATGTGTGGGGAGCCTATCTCTTCTGGGCACTTATTTGCTTTCTTGGTATTATCATTCTTAGTATCTGGATGCCCGAGACCAAAGGCGTTCCAATTGAGCGCATGGGTGACTTGTTCGAGGGGCCTTGGTATTTACGCTGGCGGGCCAGGCCACGAGAGTGCGTTGTTGCTTCGTCGAGTTCCACAGCTACGGAGACTGTTGCGTCAAAGGACAACATCCCCAAGTCGCGCGATTCGGCCTTTTGATTGCTGCTCTGGCTCTAATCATTTCTTCGGCATCTGTATAATTTATTTGATACCCCTTCGTTATTTAGCCCACATTTATTCACGTTTTCGGGGCGATATTTTTACTTTTATATATCTGATTGAACTCTTTTGTGCATGATATACCATAACGCTAGACATGTACATATTCGGGAATCATAAACATCAAACCAAGCCCCTAATAGGGACTTGAGAAAGTTATTGAGGAGGTCCTCCCCATCCCTGCCCAAATCCAGGGGTCATATTCGTGGTGATGGGCTGGGCGTACGAAAACGCCTCGAAAACCTCGGGTGTGATCTCGTACGAACCGGGATCATCAATTGTCATAACGGCATTTGGCATTCCGCCCAGCAGGTGCGTGGGTGGCATTTGGGGCATTTCGCCCCCGCGCATATCGAACCTCGCCCCTGGATGTTGGAAATTATTGTAACCTTGCATCAGAGAGGGTTCAGATCCCGTCGTTTGGGTATGTGTGCTCATCGAAGGTTGGGGTTGGGGTTGGTGCTGCCCTGGAGAAACATGGCGGGAGGGATTGCTATTTAGCGACGGCGACTGGCTGTGCTGAGGCTGGTGGGGGTGAGTATAAGACGGAGGTGGATGTTGATAGTGGTGATCCTGGCCTGGTTCGGGTTGGCCAGCAGGCATTGCACCGTGGATGTTGATTTGGAGCTTTTGGAGCTCCAAGGAGATGAGATTGAGTGCAGTTACGATGACCGGATTGGCAGCTTTGACTCTCTCCAAAGCGAAGATGCAGAATTTGAGTTTATCGAGGGTTCCCGGTGCAGCGTACTTCAGAGCTTGGATCTCGAGCAGGAAAATGGATGCTGCTGTATAGATGCTGTAGGCAAGAGAGAGGACGACATGGCTGTCGCCGAATGTTCGACGATAAAGATCGAAGAGAGAGAGGATAGTCGTTGCTGATGCCATGCATTGTACTAGATGACTCGAGTCATGCGTTTCTTGTCGGACTTTGAGCAGGTCCCGAGAGCAGAGGATTGGACGGTGGAGGAGAATGTTAATGGTATGGTAGAAACAGCTAGAACGACAGTTAGCACTAATCAGTCAAAGGAATAGGCTGGGCACATACTTGAGAATCACAATATGACTTGGTGGAGAGTATGGGGGTAGATTCATCGCCGACAGTTTCAAGTATTCTGGTAGATCTTCCCACCAATCGGCTAGACTTCTGCTCTGCTCCTGAACGCAGTCATAGAACTCGGAGGCTGTGCTTGGGCGATTTGGGTCGTAGATGTGAATCAAGATCTGATTTAAGACCTCTGCCAGACCACACATCTTCATGAAACATGAAGTTGAATGCGCCTGCGTGGGTGGATAATGGGCACCATCTGGGAACGTGACGCCATGAGGAGTCCATGTTTCGATCTCAGCGGTGTCATCAAGAATCATCCGTGGCGGGCTGACGCGCAAATGCTGCATCGTTGGGGCACGGCCAAAGTATAGGGATACCACTTTGTCCCAGAAATAACAACCCCAGAAAAGTCGGTTTCGTATTTCGATGTCCTCATCACTCAACTGGGCCGACCCCGAGTATTTCCGGCTATCAATAGAGATACCCAGGTCGTCCAGCAGCCGGAAGGCCATTCCACTGTATAACCAGGCTTGTGTCCGATTTCCACGGCCACATTCTTGAGCGCTGAGGAGTAACAATGTCTGAATTGTCGGGATGCCTGCATAGCCACTTTTGAGTGAATCAAACACGCCCGTCAATGCCCGATGGGAGAATTGGGCTCCCCCATCGTAGGAGTCGAGAAGCGGGCCAATTTGAGGCTCCGCTTTGCACCATCGCACCGAGTGGGAAAGAATAGCGTTCAACAGAATATCCGAGTAGTATGGTCCATTGATTTTCATATCACCTGTTTCCATATGCATGTGTTAGTATTGTCACGGTCTGAAAGAGGGGAGGGTCGCACAGACGTGTGAACGCAGGGCGATAGACGAAATTCCACAGTGGCTGAATCCAGCACCAGTGGGAGTCGAGAAGATATTGATAAGGTTGCTGCGGGCGATATCAGCAAGTGTGTCTGAACAATCCACCAGAAACAGTACCGGCATAGCAGCCATCTGCTCGAACGCCCTCTCCCGCCACGCATTGTTAACCAGACGCTCCTTGCGGGCTTCCAACTCCTGTGCGTAATGAGAAGTCGACGATGTTTCGTTCACCGCACCACTCGGCAGTTGGAATAGACTGGTCGGGCCGTGGAACGAGATGCGACCGTCATTTTCCACATTCAGGCCATCGAATTCCCGTGCGAGGTCCTGAGTATCGGGGTCGGCCTTGATCTTAGGACCGCTCGAACTAGACTCGGCCACCGATGAAGGCGAGCTTGCCTTTCGCAATTCCGCTTCGCCCTCCCCGCGGAGCTTAGATAGTGCATCCTCTAGTTGTGCGACTCTGGATTCGAGCTGTTTCGTATAGGAAAGAGTTGGGGCTCTAAAAGAGCATCAGCATGCGGCAATGGCACAGATTAAATAGACCACCCACAAACTATACACGCACGCCTCCCCTCGCGCGGCGCATCGCGAACACGACGGACTAGCTCCGTTACATTTCACCTAACCGGTCAGCTCGGCAATCTCGGTCTTTGTCCGAGATCCATACCTTTCGTTTGCGACAGGCCTCGCACGAGAAGGCGCTCTTCCTGGGGAGAGTTGTCTTGGGAGGCTCGGCCATTCCAGATGGAAACCTTCAATTGTGACAAAGAGGGAGACCTCCATCGGAAAAAATGGCAAAATCAGGCGAAAAAAATTTGGCCCCAAATCTTCGTGGGGCAGTGATCGCGGGGAATGTGAAACGTGAGATAGTGTTGACGTCTGTTTGAGTCTTTTGGGGGCCTTTGGAGACTTTGGAGTAGAAAACTGCGACCGTTGGGGAGAATGAGAGCCAATGAAGCCGAGAATTGCTCCACCAGAGAGCGAAGGAGAGGAAATTATTGGATGAGGGCGGCGGGTCTTGGCGCTCCACTGTATAGGGACGAGACTACTGCGCGCTATATCTTCATATTTGCAAACTAACTTATACTATTACAGCCCTATTTCTTGCCTTTCTTGTTTTTTCCCGTCTTGGGTGCGTCCCGATCACTTTTGCCCTTCTTCCATCCGATCTTCCCCTCGTGACGCTCGTTGGCATCGTCCAGACGTTTTTTGTCCTTGTTGCTCAGCTTCACGTTGCTCTTCTTGACATTGGGTCCGTTCAGTTCGACAGCACCAAGCTTGCGGGCAACCTTCTTGTCCTTCTCGGTCTCGAACCATGTGCGCTTTGGTCGCGACATGATTTCGTGTCCATGCTTCATCAGGTTCTCGCCCTTGTTGACTTGCATCTCGGCCTGAGCAAACTGCTTCTCGGTCTTCTCTTCCTGCAAGACCTCTTGTACTTCATCAGCCAGATCTTCCGCCTTTTGCGCCCAGCTATCAGCAACAGCTTGCTCAATCACACGGCTGGCGATCTTGGCGCCTTGGGCCTTGCCGGCTCTCACGGCGAGCTTGACCACCTTGCGATCCGGCTCGGCGGCAATGGTGCAAGCACGACCAGAGCGACCGGCACGGGCAGTACGACCAACACGGTGAAGGTAGATCTCATGGCTCTGAGGGGCCTCGTAGTTGATAACGGTCTCGACACCCTTGATATCCAGACCACGAGAAGCGACATCGGTGGCGAGAAGGAAGGCAACCTTGCCATCTCGGAAGCTTTCCACGGATTTGATACGCTATATCAGAGATTAGTGTGTTACATAGATTAGAAAATGGTTCGAACATACCTGCTCTTGGCTCAGACTACCGTGAAGCTCTCCAGCCTTCAAACCTAGTAGTCCGAAAATGATACGGACACGGTGCGCTTCCTTCTTCTGTCGGAAGAAGATGATAACACGCTTTGTGTAAACTTCTTTACACAGATGCAACAGATATCCGAGACGCTTTTCCTCTCGACCGGGACGAAGGCGCACAAACTCTTGAACCAGGGTTGATACAGTGTTCTTCTTGGCGTCCACCATCAACCGCATGGGGCGATTCATGCCAACACGGATAAGCTTGTCGACAGAGTCTGTCATGGTGGCAGAGAACAGCATCGTTTGGCGCGACTTGGGAATTGTAGTGAGAATCTCATTTAACTCGTCGGCAAAACCGTCTTCAAGCATACGATCGGCTTCGTCAAGAACCAGAATCTCCAGAGTGTCAACTGTGAAACTCGGCGAGTTGCGCATGTGGTCAATGAAACGACCGGGAGTGGCAATGATAACATCGGGGCGCTTCTTGAGCACATTCTCCTGCTCGCGAAGACTGAAACCACCGATCAATTGACAAAATGTGACGTCTGTGAAGGTGGCCAATTTGACAGCAACATTGTAACACTGAACCGCCAACTCACGAGTGGGCATCAGGATCACAACACGACTTGTAGGAACCTTCCTGGGACGGAAGAGAAGACGCTCCAGGATGGGAACAACAAAAGCAGCGGTCTTTCCTGAACCAGTCACGGCACTACCAACAATATCCTTGCCCAGCAGAGCAACGGGGACGGCCTTGCGTTGGATGGGCGTCGGATCGGTAAATCCAACGGAGGCCAGACCTCGAAGGATAGGGCGAGAGAGGTTGAATTCTTGGAAGGTCATCTTGGCCATGGAGGCCTTGAGGTCGGTCTTTTCTTCGGGGGCAAAGAATGCTTTGCGCTTCTCTGCTTCCTCGGCGTCCACTTCGCTCTCTGCGTCAGAGCCTCCGTCGGAGCCGATATCATCTGGGTGACCGACAGGTGTGGCTACAGAGTCATTGTCAGATGCAGCATCGTCGTCATCTTCATCTGCGTCCTCGTCCTCGGACTTCTCCTCGTCGTTATCTTCCGGTCCAGAGCCAGCTTCAGATCCTTCTGGCTCACTTTCCTCCTCGCCGTCCACGCCCATACCGAATCCATCAGCGGCCATGAGCTCATCGTCGTCGAACTCCACCGGCATACCAGCTTCTGATGCGGCATCGTCCTCAGATGCGCTAGCGATTTCCTCCTCGTCCTGTGTCTTCTTCTTTTGCTTTTTAGAGGCAGCCTCCTTCTTGGCCTGTCTCCGCTCAATGATATCGTCGATGTCCACTGCCTTCTTGTCACCGGACTTCTTCTGTTCATCAGCAGCACCCCAACCATCGAAGCCTTCGGTGACACCCTGATTGGCTGCGCCGCCGACATCGAACTCGAACTCTGGGTTCAGGACTCCATCGTCTTCTGTCGCATCCTCTGCAGCATCACTGTCCTCCTCCTCAGACTCGGGCTCGGGATCGGGGGCGGCGTTTTTCTTGTTCTTCTTGGCGTTCTTCAACTGCTGCTTTTCTTGTTGCTTTTGCTTCTTGTTCTTGTGCTTAGGAGCCTCGACCTCGCGCTTGCGCTTCTTGTTGTCGGTTGGTGCATCGCCCAGCATTTCATTGTCCTCTTCATCGTCGAATCGAGGTGCGTCTTCGTTATCGGAGAGCGTGAAGACGAAATCGTCGTCTTTGGAACTCCTTGACGGAGCCATCTTGGAGACTGTGGCTTAAACCAGGGAAGCTCAACTAGCTAGAGAATCCGCAACAAGATCAAAAGCCCCAAAGAAAAAAAGAAATCCTTGAAAACACTGCAAGCAAGTCCCGCTGAGAAAATCGATCAACATGCAAAAAAAAAAAAGTTCCCCGGGCGGTGACGGCCAAATGCTGATGTAAGCAGAATACCGACACCGAGGGAGTAAGGCCAACCTCGAACTAACTTAACTAACTAACGTTTAAGTTAGCTAACTATGTTTACATGTACACAATGGCCCAATGGCTACAATTACTTCTAACCCTATCAATCTCTAACTTAGACATTGGTCACAACATAGTCAGAGATTACAATTCTCCTTTATTCTACTTTTCTTTTCGCTACGACTTGCGCCCCTCGTTTGCTTCCAAGGCTGAGCGCACCCTTGTTCCGCTCCTCGCCGACCACTTCTTAATCCAGGACTCCTGATCCTCTGCTGGGGGAGCACACACCAGTGTGGTAAGGTTGCGCCCATAGTGGGCCATATTCGACGTCGACGGCCTCACTTTGTACAAACTCATAGCGCTCGCTCCTTTTGTAGCTGAGGTAAAGGCAGGAGAGGGTCATGCCAACCAGGGCTCGGCCAATGTGATCTTCTTGTAGTCTTCCTCTACGAAGACGAGCAACTCGCCCACACATGTGTCTGCATCATTGGTGGGTCGATAGAACTTGACATACGCATACCCGACAGTCGCATCAACCCTGAGCGGGTCAAATCCTCATGATCTCGCCGAGCAGCAATCAAGAACGGAAACCTATTCTTTCGGCACAATTCGTGAATGTCGTCATAATCCCCAAATGTCCAAGGCTCAATGTCGCGACTCAAAGATGTCTTCCGTGTATACCAGTTCATGATTTCGACAACCCCTCCAATATCGAGGTCCTCTGCAGGGCGCAGGTAGACGTGGGGTGGAACGGCTCTTGAATCAGGAGGCCGGTCCCGCCAAGCTTGATATGGTGTATCGCATCGCATTTCGACTTCCTCACGCTTTTGTTTCTGATAGTCAGGTCCCGGGTTGTAAATGAACCCAGCAACAGTCTTGTGCCAGTGAAGACGTGTGGCTTCATTCGGCAGATCACTCGGGGCTGGAAGGTGCTTCCAAGTTCGGTATAATCATGGATGACTCTCCATGGGCATCGCGGTTCCGTCGAAGAAGGCAGTGTGACAGATGTCTACTTTGTGAAAGCCCAGCGGAAGCTGGTGCCACCAGTGCCGAAACTGTTCCCTGGCATCCTTGTTAGGGACCACCACGAGGAAATCTTTGTCAACTCAGGAGTTCTTCGTGGCCAAATCTGAGGTTCCCAATCATCAAAGGGGAAAAGTTAAGGGTCATAGACCGTTTCATCATATCGTGATGTGAGTGTGAGCTTGCCGTTCTCAACAATAGGGAACATACGAGGAGAGCTTTCGTATGCCTGCAATTGAGGCTGGTGCTGAGAATTGCACCAGCACGATACTCCGGCGTATCTATTGTAACCTCCGACCAGCTGAATACTGCGTCATTGCTGTCAATCTTGTCGGCAATGGATCTCGAGGCGTCGCCCGGGTTCTCGGGTGCAGGCCAGGGCTCAAGGGAGTCCGCATTCTTGTCATTCCGAGGCTCTGCAAGTGTTTGGTAGACGCCTGAGGTCTGGTCGACTCCAGGACTGTCTCTTGCTTCGGGAAGCTTCTCGGGCCACGCATGGTTCTCGTCACCCCTAGCCCAATTCGCCGGTCGGAGAATAGGCCTCTTCGGGAGACTCTTCCTGATCTTATCAAACTCGTCCCACGACAAATCTCTCATATTTTGAATAAACTTGTCCCTGGCTGCTTGGTCTATTTCCATCAAATTCTCGACTCCTGGGTTTGGGACTGGTTCCTCGGCAGTCGCCAAATTCGCCATGGAGTCGGTGTTGTCAGAGGACTCGGACTGGGCAGCAGTGTCTTCGCCCAAGGGGTGAAGATCATCGTTGTCCGTGGAATCCTGTGGTTCGCCATGACTAGATCTATGCGATCTATAATATGAGTATCACAATACCCGGCAGTCTAGTACTCGCATTTTGGATGAAACCAGTTTGCTTGGTCTGTTTGCTTTGCAAATGAGGGATGATTGCAGGCAGAACTAATCAGCTCATCAGTATATTCGTCAAGGATGATCGTCAACGATGGCCTTCTGTTCACTCACATTGACTTATTGCCTTTTGCTGTTATGGTACAGGTCTTGTTGTTTCCTATCGATCGATGTTAGCGTTGCAATCGGGGTGCGCTGGGATCATAGGGTTCCAGTACCTGAACATGCCAGGATATGAGCCCTGAAGTAGGAGAGACACGGGATGAAGGTCGAGATGAAAGGAACCGAAGGGCTGTAAAAGGGAGACTAATAAACGAGGAGGAGAGGTGAGCGAGGGGTAATTTGAAGTGGAATTTGGCGAAGTAGACGACCTCTCCGGCGCGAAGTACGCCGTTTCTGATGTTCTTTTCCTTCAACCATTACCACTTTGGCGTGCATTGTGGCTCGTCGGCATCACCTCTTAAACATTCATTAGCGATCTCTTAACTGTCTTTACCGGGTTTCTGAGGTATCTGTTTAACTGTCTCTTTAAATCACATGATATCCTCTCTCGCCATAGTACCCACGCCTAGTTATTACAAGTTTAGCTTGAAGGTACCTGATATGGTGTTCAAACTCATGTTTCTAGTGCTAGAAAACATGAGATGACAATTCAGGGAGGTTAAAAAAAATGAATATAAATATCCTGTGAACCCGAGTACATAGACGTAGATATCTGCGGCCCACCATATTTTCTCCTTCACACATCTCCGCTATGTTATCAATACTTCGCAAGGCACGCTTAAAAGACAAGGAGATGCGAATATTAATGCTGTATGGCCCCTGACCAACCATTGAGATCGAGCTAATATTTGTAGGGGTCTTGACAACGCGGGTAAGACGACCATCGTTAAACGGGTAATGAACGAGGATGTCACTACGGTCAGCCCAACCCTGGGCTTCATCATCAAAACTATTGATTTTATGGGGTAAGTTCCCGTCAATATTGCAGGGACAGATTCTAACATGTCGCAGATACAAACTCAACATTTGTAAGTCCACACTGCAGGAGACCGCAATCGGGGACTGACGCCCACTAGGGGATGTTGGAGGACAAAAAACTCTCCGATCCTATTGGAAAAACTACTTTGAAAAGACCGACACGCTCGTCTGGGTTGTGGATGCCACTGATCGCCTTCGCGTGACCGATTGTCGACAGGAGCTCGCGGGTCTGCTGCTTGAAGAGGTTCGGAAGTCCCCGCAGTCGTCGGACATTCACTGACTGGACGACAGCGACTCATGGGAGCCAGTTTGCTGGTCTTTCTGAACAAGACAGACGTGGAACATTGCATGGATGAGCTGGAGGTTCGCGAGGTAGGCTTTCTTTGCCTCCCAAAGGGACCCGACTGACTTCCACAGCGACTGGATTTGGATTCCATCAAAACTCACAAGTGGACTATCCTGCCCTGCAGTGCAATGACCGGCACAAACTTGAATGAAGGTTTAGAATGGGTTGTACAAGATGCCAAAGACCGGCTATTCCTCTACTGACTCTGGTGTCATCGTTATGTTCAAGCCGGTGGACCAGTTCGATTTGCATTTGGCCTCTCTGGATCTAATTCACTCCGTGCTTGCAGTCCAACTCTACAACATTTACATCCGATAGGCTGAAGTATACGTGTCAGATCACTGAACTTGTATTCCGAGAATGCAAGGCACAACATGATATATCATTCCGCCTCTGCACCCCTGAACCCAGGAAATAGGAGACAGCGATGAAAAAACAGAGAACTAGCAATATAAAAGAGCAGAAACATGAACAGAAAAGAACACAAAAAGAACAGAAAAATCAACGTAGAAGCCGGGAGAAGACATCACTGCGGGGCGATCCACACGTAAACAAACACTTAAAACGCGCTCTAGGAGATGCACCTATGCATGGAATAGCTAGAATTGTGGATAACAACGAGGCACCTCGTTTCTCTTCATACTGTAGCAAGTGAAAAACCCGAAACTCGACTGATGTGCGCCGATCGAGCCCGATTGATTTCCGATTTAATTTCAACAGGGCGGAGAACTCAGCCTCCCTCTCTTCCCCTCCACCACTACGCACACCATGACTGAAGGCTCGGATGTCAATGATTTCCTGGAGCGCATTCGGGAACTAGGCGAGCGGCGCGACAAGGAAGATGAAGAGCGCACCAAGAAACTGGAGGAAGAGATTCTGCAGGGCCGGAAAGAAAGGCAGGCCCGGAGAGCTGGTACACCCTTGTCCCCCGTGGTAGCGGTGGCAGTGTGCTAATGGGATGCAGAACGAGCACGATCCCTCGCCCTCACAGATGATTCCCCAACCCTCAATGTCGCGCGACTGAGCGCTTCCTCCATCAGCCCTGGCTCGATCAACCCGCCGGAACACCTCGAGCCGACTCCGCGACAAGAGACACAGGATATGGACAAGTCGGAGAATACCGCGTCCGCCGAGGGGCGTGGATCAGTTCAGGATCCCATGGATTCGCCTCGATCCCGCCCTCCGTTGTCTCGTAGCCGAGCAGGGACCTTGTCATGGCAGCAACGCCCTTTGTCGCGAGAGTTTGGGTCTCCCACAGCCTCCCCAACCCGCTCTCCGACGCGTGCAAGCCACTTGAGAAACTTGTCCACGGCATCTGATGAAAACAGGCTGTCCCGCCCCTTTGCGTTTGCGCGCCCAACAGACTCGTCTCCCCAGAGCCCGGAACGAGGCGTTGGCTCGGCATATCGTAAAAAGGAAGAACGGCCGGATAGTGTCACAGAGTCAAGCGCCCCTCAGCTGCCGACACCGAGTGTGGACCATGAACCGAGTGTCGAAGTTGAGAAGCCAGAGGCAGAGAGATCGCCGTCCATTCCAAGAACCGGGTCTCGGGATAGCAACACGAGCCATCGCTTCTCTGTGTCATCAGTCTCTGGGCTGGGGTCGCCAGTGCATCTGTCAGAGGCTCAAAAGCTCGAGCCACTGCAGGCTGAGTCTTACCTCGAGGATCCTATGCCGGAATCTCCAACCCAGCGGCGAATGTCTCCAGAGCGAACGCGGTCAACATCGCCCACAAAGGGGCTCGGGGGGTTCGTTCAAAGTGCAATGATGAGACGGTCAGACAGCGTGTCGAAAAGGTGGAGTGCTCAGATTCCGCAAGGACTGAGTCGGTCCAACTCGATCATCTCAAATCGCAGTAGCGTAGCAGGTCCAAGTTTGAGTGAGATGGCCCCTCCTTCTACTCGGGGAGTTGGCCGCGAAACTCCCACTCTTCCCCGACGACCAGGCTCCAGCCACAGCGAAGCACCCACAGAAAGAACCGAGAGACCAACAACACCTTCTGGGCCCCCACCTGCACTCTCAGATAGAAACAACGTGCGCGCCGACGGAAGCCCGAGCAGAACAAGTCGACCCCTTCACTCCAGGTCTGCCAGCTCAGTGACCGCAGACGGCAACGACTCTCCGTTTGTATCACGCACTATGGACCCTAGACGCTGGAGCCCCAGCAAGGCTACCTGGCTGGAGAGTGCTCTCAACCGGCCTGAGTCGCCGCGCTCTACCCGACCCCCCTCGCAGCCCTCCTGGGCCAGGGACCGACAGTCTCGGGGCAGTGTCGACATGGGACGGGTAAGCAATTTCAAGGAAGTCACTCCCATTGGTTTGATGCGAACACCCCCGCCAGGACTTCAGTTCAAGAGACCCAGTGTGTCCGGTCCGTCGCTGCCTGAAAGCCCGGGAAACAAAGCGAAGGAAGCTGTTCCTGAGTCTCCATCTGTTCTGGGTACCCCCGTTGCCAGCAAAGTGAAGGAAACAATTCCAGAAACTCCCTCCGCCCCCGAAGTCCCTGAGACCAAAGCGGAGGATACTCCAGGATCCCCCTCAGTTCTCGAGACTTCTGATACCAGCATGGCAAACCAGACGATTCCTCACTCTCCTTCTGCAGGTAGCTCTGGACCCGTCAAATCGAGGGAAGCAGCTCCAGAACGTCCCTCGCCTCCTGCGGAAACACCGTCCACGCCTGTCAAGGAGACGACAGAGGAACTCAAGTCTGTTTCTCTCGCTGAACAAAAAGGCGAATCACAAGAACCGGCAGCTGAGGCATCCGCAGAGCCGACTCGCAGACTACCTCCGTCCTCTTTGAGCCCCAAACCAAACTTCTCCATTTCTACGTCCTCTCGGGAGCCCATTTCACCCAAGCCGAAGCAACCACAGTCTCCAGTGGTCGATTTCAGAGCCAATCTTCGGAAACGAGAGGTTGTCAAAGACAGCGGACCCGAAAAAGAACCAGAGTTCAAAAACGTATTTGGACGGCTCAAGAAGACCGAAACCCGCAATTATGTTGCCCCAGACGAGCTGAAGGGCAATATCTTACGCGGGAAAGCTGCTCTCAATGTCACTGGAGGACCAAAGAAGACCCAGCGGGTCGATGAGTTCAAGGACAGCCTTGTGAAACGCAAAGACGAAATGAAGGCCGGTGGAGGCTCTATTAGACGAAACACTGTTGGAGAGAAAGATGCGCCGCCAAAGCCCACCGATGCCGTTCCGGAAGCTATTGCTGTGCGACAAAGCATGACAAGATCAAAGAGTAGCAAGCGAGTTTCTGTCGATGAACCAATCTCTCCCTCGCAAAGCATCGGCTCCTCACGAGCATCACAGGATCGACAATCATTCTCGCCGTTCCCTACTTCGCCATCGAAGGACATCAGTTCGTCGAGAACGTCTCAGGAACGACAGCCCTGGCCGCCATCTCCTGCAAATGACGACTCCGCATGGCCCTTGAAACAAACTGGCGCGTCGCCTGTATCCCAGGAAGCCCAGCCATTGTCGCTGTTCCCTGCCGATGATTCCGCCGAAGAGAAGGGGATGGAAAAAGTGACCCCGGCAACGGACTCCTTTCAGGACACTTCTACGCTGGAACCTTCGCTGAGTCAAGAACAAGACCGTGCGATGGTGGGCCAAAATGAGCCAAGCATCACCAAGGCACAGGATGCTCCCACCGAGCATATCTCTCCAGTCCGTAACTTGCCACCGGTCCCCATTGGGCAAGCTACTGTGAACCCAAGCCTGGCTGGAAAGGGCAAGCTAGCAGGTCGAATCAATCCCGCGCTGGCTGGACTGCTGTCTCGCGGCCCGCCCATGGCCACTGAAGGACCGAAGAAGGACCTCCCGACTCCGGTCTCTACTGAAATAGACTCTGCCTCGCCCTCTGCGCCTTTAACCCATGTTACAAAAGGGCGTGCCAGAGGCCCGAAGAGACGACTTCCCAAGGCAACTACTGCTTCGACCCCATTCCCCCGGGATGATTTTGAGGTTGGTGCTATTTCATACTTTGAAGCCATCCCATCACAGGCTCCTCCAATCCCTGTTGAGTCTTCGGACGACACGTCGGATCGCCTCTTGCAACCTGATTCAGATCTGATTCCTGACACCGAATTCCCTCGTTCAGGCAGCCCGGTATCCACCCAACTCCCTGTGAATAGTCCCTTGCAGGAACTCCTCGAAAGCGAATCCACTCCTCCAGTCCCTGCTGCGTCTTCGGACGATATGTCCAATCGCCTGTCTCTACCTGATTCGGCTTCCCTTTCCGACACCGAATTCCCCCGTTCAGGCAGCCCGATCACCACCCAACCTCCTGTAAACATCGCATTGCCGGATACGGATACTCTCGAGAACAAAGGCGCGCCCTCGATTCCTGTTGAGTCTGCCGACAATGTATCGGATCACATCTCGCAACCTGATTCGGATTTACTATCTAACACCGAAAACGCCCCTTCGGTCAGCCCAGTCACTACTCAATCCCCTGTGAATATTCCATTGCAGAGTAGCCTGGAGGGAGAGCCCGAGCAACGACCTCAACCTCGTCCTTTGACAACGGATTTTGATATATTCCCCTCCCCTGGTTCCTCTCCTAGTCTTGAGACTGCACCCCGTGCTCTTGACAGTCCCGGAGGCATGAGTGCAACAGACAGACCGCCCGTCCCGCCGAAATCCAGTCCGCCCACATCCCCATTGCCTTCAACGCCAAAGTCACTATGGGGCCAGCAAAATCGGTTTGCCTCGTCGTCTCCATCCCCTCTCCGAACAAGCTACAAAGAGAATCGCATGGATACACCCCCGACTCCTCCGCAGAAGAACATACCCGGTGTCACTGTAGCCGTCGCACGGGACTCTGTCTCACGTGCCACAAGCGAGCCCTCCCCTCCTGTGCCCCCAAAGCGAGACGATTATATGCTTCACAAGCCCATTGATCCGCGCCGACTGTCCCGTAAGATGTCAGCGCCGTCACTGGTTGCACAAGCTAGCGAGGCACGAGAGGTCATTGCGGGATTTTTCAAGGCATTCCCCAACCCTCGAGATCGCATGGACATTGACCCGCAGCTGATGTTGATGAAGAAACCAGAGGATTTCAAGATCAGAACTCTCAAGCTGCAGATATGGGAACTCACAGGCGATGGCAGACGCCAGGAACTTCCCTCTCATCAAGAGTACATTCTCTACCAAGGCAGCATGTATCTCTGCGTGCATCTCTTTGAAGCACAGGGAAGCAGCAGCTCGGAAGTCTATCTCTGGTGTGGAGACGATGTCCCGGATGCTTCGGTGGACAATGAACAGATGTTCGCTCGCAAAGTAGCCCGTGAAAATAGCTCCAAAGTGCAGGTCATCCGACAGGGCAAAGAGCCCGTTCGCTTTATTCAAGCGCTCGGTGGCATCATGATCACCCGTCGAGGATCCAGCTCTCGCCACAACTCATCGGCCCTCTACATGCTTTGTGGCCGGAAACATTTGGGACAGATGACCTTTGATGAGATCGATTACTCGCTGCGCAATCTCTGCTCTGGCTTCCCATATGTCGTTTCAGCTCCCTTTGGCAAGCTCTACCTATGGAAGGGCAAGGGCAGTGGGCCTGAGGAGACGGGTGCCGCTCGTCTCATTGGGATGGATCTGGGTCTGACTGGGGAGTTTGAAGAAGTCGCCGAGGGCGAAGAACCGGAAGAATTCTTCGATGTCTTCGCTGGTCCTAGAGAGGCTGCTCCGTACATGTGCCAGGATTATTGGCAGCTCAAGCCGAAGTATTCCCAGTTTCGCACACGACTTCTGCGTGTCGACCACGAATTAGGGCAACCGACTCGTTTCTGGAATCTACGCCGCCCCGGATCGGGCTCGCCCGTGGTAAAACCCAACGACTGCGTCCAGGAAATCGAGCCTTTCTGTTACCGCGATCTCACTGAGAAGGATATTTATGTTCTGGACACGTTTTTTGAGATTTATGTGTAAGTATATTCCCTGCCACATGCACAACCTTGTACTAATCCCTTCATAGGATCATCGGCGAGCAAGCCTCACAGAAGTCGGCTGATTTCGCGTCCGCGGTGGTCTTTGCACACGAGTATGGCATCCTGGCCACCTCTCTCCAGGATCGACCTTTTATCCCCAAGAGTTTTGTTGCGCTGGGTGGTGTCGCCGACCGCTGTCAAAGCGCATTCCGCAAATGGAACCCACGCACTCTCAACGCACCTTTTGTGTTCCCTCTGGATGTGGTCATTGAAGCCATGCGAGCTCCAGGGGAGGAGTGAGGTAAATTTTATTTTCTGTGCATATTCCGCATTTCGGGGGAGTCCTATCTTCATAGAGCATCTGGGATGTAGATATAGGGTTACGCATTTGAGGTGTAATTAGGCATCTCGGTTGAATATTGAATTGTTATTTTATTTAAGCAGGAGCATACAGTATAATAGTAACCTTATAGTAACTTATAAGTTAATGTGTATAGGTTCTCGGTAGTATACTCCGTCCAGACACGCCAAGGAGTGGGAGTGGGCTAACGGAGATAAAAAAAAACCGGGACCCTCATGTCGCCATCTCCTAGTGTCTCCGAGTTTCTCCCCCAATGTACACATGTAATATGAACATGCCGTGATCTTTCTCCTTAACATGGATCCCTTACTCCTCAAGGACCCTGCGGTGCCATTCCGCGCGTCCACCGATCACCTGCATCACACGTGGGCCAAGACGTTCTTCTCGCGCCCGGAGCTGTACATCCGCCCTCAGACTATCCCCGAGGTTCAACAGCTGGTGACCCTCGCTCGTCGTTGTCGCCGTCGAATTGTCACTGTGGGCAGTGGCCACTCGCCCTCCGATCTTACCTGCACCTCCTCATGGCTCGTCAATCTCGATGACTTCAACCGCATCCTAAACGTCGACTCCGAAACCGGCTTGGTTACCGTCGAAGCGGGCATCCGATTGAGTGAACTGGGCACACGGCTGGAGAAGCATGGCTTGACACTCGCGAATTTGGGGAGCATTGACAGCCAATCCATTGCGGGTGTCATTGCGACGGGGACACACGGCAGTTCCCTTCGCCATGGACTGCTGTCGGAATGCATTGAATCCCTCGGCCTGGTACTCGCCAATGGCCAGCTGGTTCGTTGCAGCTCGACAAACAATCCGGATCTGTTCCGCGCCGGACTGGTCTCACTCGGAGCCCTCGGAATTGTTGTCGAGGTCACCTTCAAGGCGACGCGAACATTCAACATTGCCTGGCGCCAGGAGCGGTATTCGCTGTCTCGGGTGCTGAATGACTGGACCAAGGGACTGTGGACAAATCACGAGTTTGTGCGCGTGTGGTGGCTGCCATATGAGAAGAGTGCTATTGTCTGGCGCGCTGAGAAGACTGACCTTCCCCTGCGTGCACCCCCGAGAGACTTCTACGGAGATTCACTCGGCTACCATATCTACCATAACCTGCTTGCGCTTTCTTCCTATATCCCGCGCATCTTGCCCTGGGTCGAATGGTTCGTCTTTGGCATGCAATACGGGTTCTGGCCTGGCTCAACTGTCACCGAGGCCGTTGAGCCCGCACGCTCAGGACTGCTGATGAACTGTCTGTACTCACAATTTGTTAATGAGTGGGCACTTCCTCTGGACAAAGGTCCTGAAGCCATCCTTCGCCTTTCGGCCTGGCTGCACGGCGATTTGAAGACAGCGCAAATCCCATTCTCTTCCAAGGGACTGTGGGTGCACTGTCCGGTCGAGGTACGGGTCTCGGACACATCGCTAAACACAAAACCCCGTCCCTTTTTGGACCCGACTTCTCGCGATGGGCCCACGCTATACTTGAATGCGACTCTCTACCGGCCCTACCTCCGCGACCCTCCTTGCAGAGAACGATACTACGAAGCATTCGAATGGCTCATGCGGGACATGGGCGCCAAACCACACTGGGCAAAGAACTTCCGCGCATTAGGCTCCTCCGAGTTGGGCAACGCATACGGCGAAGACATGGACTCGTGGTTGAAGGTCCGGCAAGAAGTCGACCCGGACGGCATGTTCCTGGGCGAATGGCATCACCGCAATCTACCCCTGACCAAAGAACCTGACTCAGACGAGCGGCTGCCCCTCCTGGAGCGCGAGCAGGAACGTCGCAAATTGAACATTAGTGGCGTCGGTGATGGTATCGAATGGGTAGGTGATCGCCGGTGGCAGGTCGAGTCGGACCACCCGGCGGAGATAACTTATGACTTCCCAAAGTCCTCTAGTCCCACGGTCAGTGAGGAGAGCTTTGATTTGCTTGCAAAGGGGGAGGCGAGCATCCTACTCCCCGGGCTTGAGATGAGCAATTAGGCTCCCATCGCAAGCAAACAATACCGGTGTCGGTCGGATGCAAGCGCCGACTTTCCTACCCTGGTGATCATCTCTGACATTTCTGACTGGCTCGGTTGCTGTGCTTATTGTGGCTTCTTTTTTCCTTTTTTTTTTTTTTTTTTCCAATCCTTGTTCTTTTGTTTCCGGTTCTGCGCTTAGGGTTTTAGACCAGGCAATCTGGTATGTTCGGGCTTAGCGGACGACAACAAAACGGTCTTTTGAAATCTCTTTTCACCTTCGGTTGATTCAATCTCCTCCTTGTTGTTATTATTTTCTTGCTCTTTCCCCCTGGTTTTTCTCGCCAACGCAGAGTCTGACCTCATGGTCTCCGATGCTGATCGGAATCTGTCGGTGAGAGACCTGGCGTTTTCGATGCATGGTGCTTGTCACCGTGTCCTTTCATAGGGCCGTTGATCTGGATGAAATCAATAGTCAATAATTGTACCTCGACCATCTATATTGCATGACAGGTGTCGTTTCTGGTATCGGGGAGAGGGTCTGTCAACCCTTGTTCTTTATCTCTTGTTCCCTGTTCCCTGTCACCTGTCCCATGTCCCAGCTGAGAGATCTGAGAAACCTCCAGCTTGCACAAATCTATTACAGAGAGGATCTAGCCACGGTGGCAAACCGGGCGTTCAGTATTGAAGTCCTTACCTGTAAAGCCCAATGGGACAAGAGTGATATACTGCAACTCGCACTGCCCTACATCTGGCGTATACGAGCAAGCTGAAGATCAATGCAAAGATCTAACCTAGACAAATGTTCAGATTAGGGCTGCCTCTCTGAGCCCAGGATATCTGTTTGTCTTGTGCAAGCTGTGCCAGTGCTATACATAGAAGGATTTCACAAAGAGAAACAGAGCAGCAGACCCCGCTTCAGGCTGAAGCGCTATCTCCTGAGAGAACAAAAAGTCAAAAAAGACCAATTGCTGGGTATTTGTGACACGTTTCGGTGCAGTTGACTGGGATGTTTTCTATACTTCGGTTTGTTTGGTTTGTCTTCCCATCTCTCCGTCTCTTTCCCTCATCATCTCCTCATCTCCCCATCTCCTCTCTTCCTCTCAGCATTGACCCCTCCACAGTACTTCATGCAGGTTGACAGGGGCCTTGATTGGTGCAATATGTGCTCCCAATTCCATCTCCCTCAGCCGCCAGGATCACACGTGTTGGGAGGGGGAAAACCAACGTGTGACGAGACGTTGCAAAGCCCTCAATGCATTGTATTGATGCTGCCCGAAGAGCTTGCGGCTCGGACCGTGCTCAACTGCGCCCAAATGGTCCCCGGCTGGTATCCTTGACTCTGTCGCGCTTGTCTGACAGACTCTCCACGTCACTGGTAACTATTCCTTGTGCTTATATGCGGGGCCTGTTGATATCAAGGCCTGTCTCTCATTTCACCCCCACCTGCTCCCTTTTTTTATTTTATTCTTTGCTGGCCAAAGTTGTTCCCTACTTCTTCCGATCTCTATATATCTCTCTCTTGAATACAATCCTGTTTCCTCTCTGCACCTCTGCTATTCCTGTGACACCTATCTCCCCGCGCCGCGTTGTGCGCAAGATGATACAGTCCAATATGGCATGGCAGCCAAAGCTTCGCCCCAAGGGCATTCCCCATAGTATTGACGACTTTACGGCTGTGACCTCACTATCCGAACTGGAATACCGGACCAGGACGGGCGAGGACAAGCGCGACCAGCGCGTCTTCCGGGTCAAACGCAAGCATGTTCTGAAAGCGTGCGATCGCTGTCGCGTGAAAAAGACCAAGGTACGTCGACAGTCCGGGAACTGTGGATATTTCCTAACATATCCAAGTGCGATGGTAAACAGCCTTGCAATCGCTGTTCGGTATACAACCACCCATGTTTGTTTCGCGAGCGAAAGGCTACCCAGACCAAAGTATACTCTCGGGGGTGAGTACATTCATTCAAGACTTCTATCTTCTAATCATGAGCGGAAACTAAGTACGCATCAATGTAGCTTTGTCGAAATGCTCGAATCCCACCACTCCCTGGTAGTCAAGGCTCTTCAGAAACTTTACAAGTTCTGCATCAACAACGAAGGTTTCCCTGGCGAGCCTCTTGCTGAAGCACCAGACGGCCACCCTCTCACGCACGCAATTCTCGATCGACTGGGGCTAATCAAACAAGCCGAGGAGAACGCTGACGAACCAGATGAAGATTCCGAAGACCTGCGATACCTGCGCATCCTATCAACGTCGACGGAATGCAGCGTCACAGCCGAGCCCTCACCTGAACCTACGACTCCTCCGGAGTCTTCGCAAACAACGCTATCACACTCGACATGCCCTGTCCCCACACCCATGCCGGCTCGCAGCAACACAGCCGAAGACTGGCAGTGGGATCTCCAGCCAGTTCAGCAGCCAGGCTACAGCTATCCCGACGCGGGATACCATGACCTGATGGCCCTGCAGCGGTCATCCATGACTGCACCGGATATGTGCACTGATATCTCGCCTCCCATTGAACTATCGGCTGGCCCTTTGAGTCTGCCGCATCACCAGCAGCATGACCCACCGTTTTCGTATGTTCTTGATGGCTGCTGTGATAGTGCGACTGCACAGCCTGATACCAAGCCTATTCTTACTCGACATCATAGCCTGACGAACACGCATACGCATCCGCACCCGCATTCGCATACGCATCCTCTGGCGGGCAATTTGTCTGGTGATATGAGTCGCGACTTTCATTTCCAGGCGAACGATTCTGGGTTCTACCAAGGATTTACACCTGGCTGGTCTTTTCCTCCTGGTTAGATCTAGTTTCATCTACTGCAGTAAATTTGGCCTGTCTCTCGTTCACGCTGGCTCGGGGTTGAGTAGAAGCTGCTGAGCAGCTTTTTATATTTCACTTCTTACCTATACTTTACCATTTTTTCAGCGATTTTTTCTTTGTTTCCTTTTATCTTGATCATTCTCGGTTCCATCTATCGCTCTTCTATACCCCCACATCCATATGTGAAGCCAGAATCAAGACCACGCTTTGGATTGTTATTGGTCTTTAATTTGAACGTGTCAGCACGGAACGTGGAGCACGGAACATCCAGGATACAAGACAGGTAACATGTCTGGTACATTGAGCTCTTGCCCTGATCATTCGCTTTCGTCTCTTCTTTCTCGGGCTCAGATCTTTCTTTGGATCGTCATTCTTACTATTTTCCCTGGGGCTGTTCAAATCTGGTATCTAGTTTGAGACACACCCTATCAATTCAGGTACTAGTCCTCGGCCTCCGAGTTTGTCCCAAGTATTGAGTTCCGATTGCGTTGCTCAGGGTCTAGGGACCCAACTTTATACAAAGTTGGAGAGTTTATGTATGATACAGCTGGGTCTACGTGCCATGTGTACATTGTATAGTATAATGAATTTTATGATCATTTACCTAATCTATAAAAGCATTTAGTTCACGATATCGGTATGCAATTATCACAATTATCACATCAAGGAAAGCCAACGTTGAAAAGAACAGTATATGTACCCTAGCATCAACCTGAATACGTCTACAAAGCGGATGTCGGTACTCCGGCACGACATACAGTAGATCAAATCGAGATTAATGTATACATTGAGATCTCGAGCAGTGAAATCACCACACCTCGCACAGATCGATCTGGTATCAACCTAGAAAAAGTAACCTAGCAAATTCAGCATCTCAAATCCAAGTGAAACAAGTTAGTACATTATTTTCCTTGTATAGGACTGGGATGAAGCTCGGCGTTGGGGTACGTGACACTTGACCCTGCGCGTGAGTGGCTTGATGACCTTGCGCGTGAGTGGCTTGATGACCTTGCAGTGCAATAACACTGGGTAAAGATCATAGTCATGGCGGTATACGCCGTGTCATCCAGACAATGAAGCTATTGTCACAATTCACCGAGACTAAAGGAAATCCTCCAACTATTCTTATCTGATGTAACATTTCGAATTTAAATTTAGATTTTGGGGTCAATTCCTCACGTCTATTAAACAGACAGGAATAAATGATAGATGCACATACACGAGAGGGAAAAGAAAAGAGTAATAAACCAAATAGAAACCCCGAAGCTACCCGATGAATAGTAGAATGACCACAAGAAAGAACAGACATCATGTAATTCAACCGTCCAAGAGACAAGGCATGCCAAGGTCTATGTCACACAAGTCTCAAGTATAATCGATCAATCAATGCAAGAGAAAGGGAATCAATCCTCGTCCTCCGTTTCCGTGTTGGTGTCGCTGGTATCGCCTGCGTCGCCCTCGGTGTCACTCTCGCTGGAGTCGTCGGAATCCTTAGGCGTCTTCTTCTTGGGTGGTTGTCCCGTCTTGAGAGCTTGCATTTGGCCGGCGATGGAGTCTGGAGAAGTGTTAGTAAATAATATTCAGACCAATGGATTGGTGGGAACTTACCCTCATCAGGTTCACTGATATCGTCGTCCTCTTCCAAGGCGGCGGCCTTGGCCGGGTCCTCAATGTGCAGGGTAATCTGTGTTGAGTAGTCGAGACCCAGGTAGCTGTCACAGAGCATGTTGAGGACGAAGGTGTAATCGCCAACCTGCGGAGGAGCCTGGAACTGCATCTTGAGAGTTTGGACATTGAAGGTGGGCTTGCCAGCCTCGTCGAAGATTGGCTTGTCGAATGTGGTAAAAGTAAACGGCGGGACGGCCATCTTGCCCTGCTTGGCGTCTGCAAGGAAGATGTTCCAACGGGGGAGTGGTCGCGGGCGAGGAACGGGGCGTGGGCGAGGGGTGGCTGGATAGTCTCAATCTTGTTCTCGACCTTCTTGCCATCCACAAGCTTAGTAGCGCGGTTCTTTGCGGGCTTGCGTCCCATCAGGGCCTCAAGGTCATCCTCGTCGGGGTCGATGTCTTCCAGATCGACTTCGTTCACTGGCGGCACGGATGTGCTACCGGGAGGAATGAAGCGTGCCTTAACAACCAGCTGTACCAGACTGCTGGGGGTGATGACCTTCTCGCCCATGACCTTGAAGAAGATCTTCTCGGGTTGGAGAACGGGAAGTTGCTGGGCGACGGAAATGGCATCGGCGTATTGCTTCTCAGAGAGGAGACCAGCGCCGATAGTCAGACTGCGTCGTTGAGTCTCGGGAAGGGCCATGAACTTTTGAACGGTGAAGTGCTCCTTGGCATCTTCGCCTTCGACTGACTTGACGACGGCGTCGCTGAAGTTGGGAAGTTGCAATAGCGGCGAGGAGCCCGGGGGAACGGCCTGAATGAGATTCTGAGAGGTTTTATAAGCACCGACGATAGGTCCAATGCTACCAAATGCAAGGGAAATGGCAGTGAAAGCTTCGGAGAGGGAGAGGGCGACAGGAGCGGCTTCGTATTTTTCTGCAGAAATCAGTCAGCACAAGAAAAAGAATGAGAGATGTCTGCTCGACCTACCAGCATCAAGAGAGGCGTCACCAAGATCGATTCGACCCAGGTAAGCCCACAGCAAAGCCAATGCCTTGCGACGAGAGGAGTTGTCCATCTGCTTCAGAGCCTCGCGGTCCTTGGCCGAGAGGAACGAAGAATCATCTGCCAACACTCGCTTCTCAAGCTTAGCTAAACCAGACTCAGCCTGAGCACCCTTGAGCATGTCCTTGAATTCCTCGCCAGAGGACAAGGCACTGATGATGCCACCTTCGGGCATATCTTCCTTGTACTCGCGGAAAATGTTTCCAGCACTGGCGACGAGAACACGCTCCTTGGTGTAGCGCTGTGATCCATACCACCACTTTCCAACAATATATGGAAGAAGGACACCCAAAAGAGCACCGTAGACCATCAAGACGTACTTGCCATTGCCCTCCATGACAATGAACTGGGGAAGGGCAATACCAATGCTGAAGCTCTGCTTGCCGTCGGGGTGGCCATACTGAAGGTAGTTGTTACGGACCTCCTCGTCGGTCAGAGCCTTGTATGCCTTGGTCAGTTCGACGAAGCGCTCATTGAGCATATCCATGGTCTCGTTCTTTGAGGGATCAGGACGGATTTTATCCGGGTGGTAAATCAACGACATGCGCTTATAATGTCTGGAAATAGCTTTCTCATCTGCGCTCTGTTTGTAAATGAAATGTTAGCTCAAGTGTTCCTGTATCAGCAGCCCCGCCTTGAACTGGACAACTCACCCTTGAGACACCCAAAATGTCATAAGGATCATACGCCTTCACCACGGTCCGAGCCGTGACGACAATTAAATAGACCATCCATGCCATGACCGCATAACCTAGGATCACGGTAACGATACGCTTAATTCGGCGCTCTTTGCGTAGACGCTTGCGCTTCTGCGCGTCGATGAGGTCGGCATGTTGGGGTTTGAAGTCGGATTTGATGCGGGGAGCAGTGTTCTCGAGCTCTGTAGATAGCGCACAATCATTAGACCGGGTCAAACATCACTTTCCAGTCCAGACTCACCTTTACTAGGACGTAGGAGATTATAGGTAAGAGGGAGTGTGACCAGGCCGGTCAAAGTGAGGATGAAGAAGGGGAAGAATTGACCCTAACACTCCAATCAGTAATCTTGTTTCTTCATTGCTGCATAAATTCCTTACCTGCTCATCGTATGTGTAGTCTGACGACATCGTGCGGCGCGTTCAAGGTACAGCGGTGGCCGCTGTCCGCGGAATTTAAAGATCGTGTTGCACAAGGCTGTTGACAGTAGCCACTTTGGACAGGTAGAAGGGCGCAATAGAGAGCTGCGAAGAAATATCGGGAGCTTATTGAGAGCCCAAAAGCATGGCCCACCGGAAACAAAGGAGTGATGAAGGGAGAGACAATATCGCACTTCCTGATCTGGTGATGACCGTGTCCTCAAGGGTCTCACCGCCTGCCCTAAGTGGGGGATCAATGGGCAGATACTTGGCGGTGAACAAGTATAACCCGAAGCTATTCAGCTAGTTACTTCTCTCCGTTACTGGCTACTATCTACTAGTTACTATTCAGCTGGTATTTACGTGCACTTGTTATGTGAATATGTAAAGATTTTGTGCTCAAGGCTACTATAAACAAAACTCAAGAACTACAGTCATGAGAAATATCCAAAGCTCTCAATGCTGCCATTACCACTCCCTTTCAGTTTGGTATGGACAAAAACAGATACATCACACACAGTCCTCCCCTAGTCACTCTACTCATCACACACACCTTGCCCAGACAGGGAACTCAAGTGTCAACAACTCGAGGTCGGACACGAACTCAACCAATACAGGCAAAGCGTGAAGCATGACTCAACAGTGACTCATTTTTTGGTGTGTGACCTAATCAACAGACCAGTATCACGGCCGGGTTAATAGGGACCAATCCAATGTCTGAGACATCTTCATTGCTGCAAGTCAGGGACCCGGGTATCCGTGGGATCTGTGTTCTCGTCATTGCGGTTGGGCGCGTTTGAGTGGGCAGACGCTGGGTGTTGCCTTTGGTGTTTTTTGTGTTTGTCGAACGCAGATCATAACGTCGCAAATTCATCAAATAATGGTTTTTTGTCTTTTTGGTGACCGAAAAAGTGGAAGGAAAGGAATCCGCTGGAAGTCTCCAGGCTGAATATCTGAACATTCAATCTCCAAGGGCATGGCCACTTGTTCTGGGGCGAGTCAGAATGGTGATCAGGGCAAGTGTTGAGAGTGATACTCACGAGTCGATATAGTCAAGTCCGCCAAAGTACTCGAGCATCCGATCACAGAGACTCATGTCGTCACCCGGCTCTCCGCCGAACAGACGATATTGTTCATCCTGGCCTGATTCCAGCCCCGTCGGGCGTTCACGGGTCTGCCATGCTGTATACCCAAAATGCCATATCGGGGCGGGGGCTACAGCTGGCGATCCACATGAAGTGCATGGAGATTTGTCGATAGACACAGGCTCACAGAAGGTGTTCTGGGGTGTCTGAATGGATGCCGGGGTTTCGGGTTGAAAAGTTATAGATCGGTTGCGTGAACGAGGACGGGTGCGACGTCTGTTATGTCGGCCCATCCTAAAGCGAAGTAAGAAAAGTAAAGACTTTTAGAGGAGCGACCATCACCCCTGAGGACGAGATGAGGTGAAAAAGATGAGTAGCAGGGGTCGAGCTTTATAAGTAAAAAAGTTGCGTGAGTCACTATAAAACGACCCACTCTCGGGTCCCACCGAGAAGATCTCCCTAAGGGATGCCAAGGTCCTTTGATGACTCGGACATCGCGTGATTTGCAGACTTTAGAATTTGAGCACGTTATTCCATTTGGAATGCTAGCACGCTATATATACGAGCCATATGAGCCATATGACTACTATGACTACTATTATGACGACAAATATGACAACTATTATGACCACCATTATGACGACAAATATGATACAAAAACTCAACACATGACGACAAGCCGATGCCGGTGCATTAGTGTGCCGGCCCGACTGGCGATCGTGTCAGGCAACGGATGCCAACGGAGTGGGCATCCCGATTTCTCCCTACGGAGACGATGGTCTGACTCCGGCAGAGTTTTCTCTCCTTGCATATTTCATTCTTTGTCGGGTTCTAGAATCAATTTCTGAAAGAAAATAAAAGAATCAACTAGAAATAGCATATAATCAAATAAAATCAAATAAAAGAACAAAGAATACAGTACAGTATTCTCCTAAATTAGCCCCTAACTACACACCCTTGTCCAGGTGAAACCACTAAAGAAAGGCAAACATCTTAATTTCAATGCTCTCCCTGGCTGCCCCATCTTGAAACTCAGGGTCGACAAATGCAGAGTGTGGGACGCTGACCCCTTTGTCACTGTCGAATTGTGTAAAGACCAAAGGCTCGTGAGGCTGCTGACGGCCCAGATAGTACCATTGTTGGTCTGCATTGAAGGCATACCGGCCTAGTTCATTCCAGCCATGAGCCACTATCAGCCGCGTGGGGATGTTGTCGCGTGGATTGACCGAGTTCCAGTCACAAACTGCAAGGGGATCTCGCTGGATGGTTTTCAAAGGTCGCCACACATTGATGATCAGGACTCGGCCAGCGAGGAGACGGGTCCGCTCCTGTTCATCGGGTATAATGGACTCCAGATGGTGCAATGCCCCTTCGGTGGTGAAGTCTGAATGCACGTTATGTGCGGGTGCGCGATTATCGGCATGCAAGGACGCATCTGTCGCGAGGCATCGGACTCGATGTGCAAAGGTGACCGTCCTGGTTGCCCCAGTTCTGCGATACGGTTCAGTTCAAATGAAACACAGTCAGGGGAATTAAAACTGACATTTGGCGAACTAGTTCCTCCGTCTTGGGGATGATGGTGTCTTTAACCTGGACTTCATCCGTGGCATCTCCAGGCATATCATGTGACACATATACAAAGCCATTTCTGTCCAGCGTGAAGTTGGATTCTTGGCCTCGGATGTCATGCACTCTTACTCGGTGCATCTGATCACGAACCCGCATTGCCTTGACACCCTCCTCAGGGTTCCCGTTGGTGAAGTCGATCCGGACACGATTGTCACCCCCTGATGCTCTCCAGAACATAAGTTCCGTATCGACATGCTTCACCGAATGTTCAGAATGATCCCCCATATTGGAAGAGATCGCTGATCTCGCTGCATGTATTTTGCGAGCCACCGTCTGGGGAAGCCGGGGTTATAAGTACCTGCGTCACGGGCGAAAAGGGCTATCGATGACCGGCAGTCTCGGCATCCGGTTGATGTGCATAAAAGGCAAAGATCTGAAAGATACCTTCATTTCGATGGGGGATTAGGGGGCATTAGAGCATTGATGCTCGCTTCCAGACTGATCAGCGCTGGACCAAGACAAATATACGAGTACGAACCCGAGGTAAAGTGTGAGGGGTACATTTCCTGGAAATGAGGCATTCACGTTTCACTTTGTATTATTTTACAGTAGACAGGCTTGAACTGGCTTACTTGGATGTTACTGTTAGTCGTGGGGCAGGTTCAATACATTAACACACGCATATATATATCTATATATACTGTTTGGCGAATGACATGGTAGTATGGACAAGGAAACATGTACCCGCATGAATAAACATCTGACATCTGTTGACGGTAAATTCCCAAGGTATGCAACTATCAAACCTGCTTGGCCCTCTGTGTCACTTGAAGCGTGTGGTTCGGTGGAAATGCTTAGGCTATTCCAGGCCAAGCCCAAATCCGACTATTTTCAAGTGAGGTTGTGTTTTGTTCAAGCCGAGGATGTCGTAGCAGAATAGAAACCAAAGTAACTTAATGGTAGGTCGAGTGAGAGAGGTATGTTCAGGTAGATTCATCCCATCGGTCAGCCTTGGCGGCCATGGAAATTCTCTGAGTGTGCCAGATATCACGGATACGGCGGGAGACGTGGTGTAACCAGGCCATTGTGGAGTTGGATATAGTTTGGTGGTTTGGGAGGTAATTTGGAAGATCAAGTCAGTTCGATCCAATGTAGATGATTGTGAAGCGCGAGTCAAAAGGATATAGCGGACTATATATAACTATCAGACGTCTAACAATTTGTAAGACCAGGTTTGTAAGAGGCCTGGTCGTTTGGACGATCTCCCAAGTCTCGACCTGGGGATGTTTGCCACTATACAGATATATAAGCCGAACCAAACTTTGACGTGGGTCTCGGTCTGGACAACCGAGCTGATTCATGAAAACTGGGGCTAGAGGCTAGATCCATGAGGTATTGTATATGCTCTCCCATATGCTGTATACTATCTATAATGTTCACACTATTCCCCTCGAATAATGGCAAGCATTTCTTCACCCTTGGGCGCTGTAGTGAGGTTCTCATAGCCAGTAGCCGTCACAAGGATATCATCCTCAATACGCACCCCACCAATGTGTACATATTTATCTGCAATGTCGAAATCTATGAAGCGGGCATAGGGTTGATTGCGCGCATCGGCAAGAGCCAGAGGCGAGAAGTACAGTCCTGGTTCAACGGTGACAACCATGCCTTCTTCCAATACCGGTGCAGAGGCAGTGCAAGGCGAAAGGCAGGTAGTGGCCCAGTGCGGGCGGGTCCGACCAAACGTCATGATTGATGTCTCGGAGACATCGTGGACCTCCAACCCAACGTGGTGTCCTAGTCCATGAGGGAGGAAGACCTTAGAAGCACCAGACTGGCGGATCTCAAGGGTTGTGCCGTTCTTGAGCACACCAAGCGCCAGGAGTCCGTCAATAGCGATGTCATGGGCTAGATTGTGGAGAGATAGATAGCGGACTCCTTTGCGCATTCCCCGGATGCACTCTTCCTGCATCCGCTCTACGAGCTTATAGATATCCCGAGCGTAGTCGCTGGGCCATTCGCCAGAAAGAGGGAAAGTCCGCGTCACATCACTGGCATAGCAGTTCCACTCCGCACCAGCATCAAGGCAGACAAGAGGCTTATTGTGGAGGGATTCATTATTCCGGTCGTAGTGCAGGACTGCCGCGTTGGGCCCTGATGCGGCGATGATCTGGTACGCCTGATTGCGGGCGCCGTTTGAGACGCAGGTATCTAGGAACGACCCTTCGATTTCCGACTCATTGGAAAAAGTCTGGATGCGTTCAAGAATTTCGCGGTGTGCAAGGCCCGAGACCTTGTTCGCTTGGCGAATCATTCGGATTTCATATTCATCCTTAATACCTCTGGCCGCATCCATCGCAGGCATGAGCTTCTCCAACTCGAGAGGCGCATCAGCAGGAAGGTGATCCGGCTTCTCCGACTGATGGACAAGATACAATTTGCTGCCCTCCTTGCGCTCATCCAGCCATGTCTGGAGTCCTTCTTTCAGCGCAGTTTGATAGTGTACTCGGTCCACATCATATTGATCCAATGCATCCTCCCTTGAGAGGGTCGGTCCCATCCAGATAGCCCGATGGAGATCAAAGTCAGGGACATAAAGGGTCAACAGGTCTCGTTCAATATCGTATGTTAGCGAACAGTCGGGCTCGTTGACTCCACTCAAGTAGTAGAAGTATCGTCGTTGCCGGAAGGGGCGCGACTGGTCCGAGTCGCGTAGGTTGATTGTCGGCTGCCCAGAGAGGAAAACCAAGCCACTTGAAGCCTTAAGCTTTCGGGCAACATTGCGCGCGTGATGCTTAGCTAGGGCGGGTTAGCTGAGCAGAGGGCGAAGGGGAAGGTCTAGGGGGACGGACCTGGGTACTTATCGCAGGAAGTAGGAGTTGCCAGACGGATGTCGTAGGTGTCAACTGAATTGATCATGATCTCACGAGCCAAGGGGTCATGAGTGCCCTGAGAGCCCCGAGAGCCCTGGGCTGAACTAGTCGCTCGCATAACTGGATGAGAGGGGTCACTTTAGCAGCAAGGAGGGGAGAGTAAGCCGAGGGGTATTAGTGCAAAGTTAGCAAAGAGAAGGGAGATATCAAGGCTTAGAAGCCAGGTTTGTAGGATTACAGGAATCCAAGAGGAGAGAGGAAGAGCAAGTCAGCCTTGGAGAGTTGGAGACCCGAAAGCGTCTTAGATAACTTCCCGCTCGCTCTCTTTCTCCTCTCACTCAACTTTCCAACTTTCCAACTTTCCCAACTTCTGTACTTGTTCCTCGTTCCTCGTTCTTCCTCATCGCTCTTAGCTATTCGTTCCTCTATTCCTTATTTATTACAATCAATGAACCATGCAGGGTTTTGAGGCGAGCCCCGGGCTCCTGCCATCCACCTTGAGAACGGTGATAGGCACTCCGACGTCACCGCTCCTCTCCCCAACCGACCCGTCTCTTTCACAGCAACAAATCCAGTCCAACCTCCAGAATGTTCTCTCCTCGCTGTCAGAATTTCGTCCTGAGGTCGTGGCCGCCAGTGGTGGCAACTCGACCGGCTCGACCGGCAAAGGCATCCTGATTGGGATCTTGTCCGCTTTTGGCTCGGCCGCAGTCGCATTTATCGTGCTGGCGATCTTCTTTTTCTTTAAATATACCCGCCGCGGGCGGATTATGCTGGATCGCATTGGTCGGCCTGGTGAATATGACGACGAGCAAGCGTTTGCGCGCGAGGAAGAGGCGGCGCTAGAGTCTATGGATGACCTGGCGCGGTCGGAATACTTACGAGCCAAAGGTACGGCAATGCATGCCCGAAATCTGCTTGATCGATTTGCTAATGGTGCGCAGCTTTTGTACAAGGAAACCCGCCCGAGTCCGTGCAAACCGACATTTCGTTATCACAATTCCTCGCCATTCAAGAGAAGGGTGTCTCCGCCTGGGAGTTCCAGCCGGAGTTGGAGATTGCAAACTGCTTTGTGGAAGGGCGCACAGAAATCGAGTTCTTCGACTCCGAGTGTAGTGTACAGACCAACCTGCCCATCCCGAAGCAGAATGAGGTCTACTACTGGGAAGCGAAGATCTACGATAAGCCCGAGTCGACCATGATCGGGATCGGTGTCAGTACCAAACCGTATCCTTTGTTCCGAATGCCTGGTATGTCCTACCGAAAGTATTCTTTATCAGGCAACCTGCTAACAGTTACCAGGCCTTCACAAATCCTCTGTTGCCTACGAGTCCACTGGACATCGCCGACTTAATCAACCATTCACAGCAACCCCATACGGTCCCCCTCTACTTCAAGGCGATGTCATCGGTGTAGGCTATCGCCCCCGATCAGGCACGATCTTCTTTACTCGCAACGGCAAGCGGCTCGAAGACGTGGCCCATAACTATCGTTCACAAAACCTCTTCCCCACGATTGGCGCCAACGGGCCCTGTACCGTTCACGTCAATTTTGGTCAAATGGGATTCGTCTTCATCGAAGGCAACGTCAAGAAATGGGGTTTGGCCCCTATGACCGGCAGCCTGGCCCCGCCCCCACCCTATGGCAGTGAGCAAGGCAGCATCCTCCTCGAGTCGGGCCGTGAGAGCGCGGCTCAAATCTCCCAACGCGTGTATCAAAACGCCAATTACGCCGCCTCAGGTTCAAGTGTTAGGATCCCTCCGGCGGCCAGCCCAGGCCCTGCTCGATCTCCCACTGACATTTCCCTCGCCCAGCTGGCCCACATCCCTTCCAATGAAGATGCTGGTGAGGGATCTAGTCGTTTTGCTGGCGACGAAGAGCCTGGTGCTCCAGGCGAAGAGCCTGAGGTCCCACCACCAGAATACTCCAGCCCTGGCAGCAGTCGCAGGGGCAGTGATGCTTCCCTAGAATATCCCCCCAGAGGCTCTGAGGGATTCAACTCTCCATCAAATGAATCCAGCGAATTTGATGGGCCAAATCTGCCCAGTTACCAGACTGTGGTGGCCAGAGATTGGAACGAACACTCAATAGAGGACAATGATCCCTGATACAGCGTCTTTGTCTATGAACATAGCTTCCCTTGTTATTTCTTTGTTTTATTTAGCGGGTTCACGGGATGGCGTTACAAGCAACTCGGGCTGATTTTTTTGGGATTGGGAATGTGCGAGAGTCAATGAATCATGTATAAGGACGTCCATTTCAATTACAGTCTAGTGCATGTACGTGTAGACAGTAAGGAGTGCAAGAAGACACCGTATAAATGCCCGATTGCCCCAGAGCTCAGATCGCCTTCTGCCAAGACTCGAAGCTTTGATCTTTACGTCTCTCTCTCTCTCTCTTTTCCTCTCTCTGTGTATTTCCAGCATTTCCATTCCATCAAATATCAAAGTGTGTCCAGATTGCCGTGTCCGCCCGGATCTCCACCCCCCGAAGGTCTCTCCACTGTTTCCGGTCTCCGATCCAGCTGGTCCCCACCGTCCCGCGATAAGAGATCCGCATGACAAAGGGCTGGACTTCCGCCTCAGCCTTCTCTCTAACATCACTTCTGCCTTCAGCTTATGGTATTTCCCATACTTGGTTTTAGAAACAGTCCAAGTCGCAAGATTACCTGTTTAATTTCACCTTTTTTTTGTCCTCTTTCGCGTTTTTAGCCGCAATCTGTCGGAGCTGTGAAACAGTCTGCTGAAACACTCTAGTAGAGGTCAGTCTCCCCGGTAGCCTGGCTCCGGTTCAGTCGTCAGCTCATTGTTCATGTCTTACGTCTCCACGGAGAGTGCAACAATGGCCGACAAAGCCGCATTCCAAGTCATTGTCTTGGTAAGTTTGATTGGTTTCTTGCAGATTCCACCTGCAAAGCCATGTGTCGGAGTTAATACCCAGCCCGATCATTGGACCTCGTCTCCCACTTGGCTTTGGAGGCTTTGGCAGATGGATCCTCTTACTTTTACTTCTACATCTTTTGCAGAATGCTAACTGGCTCAGGGACCAACGGGAGGGCCCCGTGAAGACAGCGTCACCGGCATTCTGGTCCGATCGACCTCCACAAAATGGTCGCCAGACTCTGTGGTAGCCGTGGATGCGGGTACCCTTCTTGCGGGAATCATCCGATTGCTGGAGCGATACATCCCCGAATGCAAGGATGATCAGGGATTGATGACAAATGGGCCCTTTCAGGGGCTTGAGCTGCCCTACCAAACTGCACAGGCCAATGCAGCTCATATCTTTCGGGAAATCATTGGCGCTGTCCTCATTACTCATCCTCATCTGGATCATATCTCAGGATTGGCCATCAACACTCCGATCTTGGAGGCGGGGGCTGGCCCAAAGCCGGTGGCTGCGTTGCCATCAGTGTTATCCGCCATCAAGAACCACATGTTCAACGATATCATCTGGCCGAACTTGTCGGATGAGGATGGCGGCGCCGGTCTACTCACATACCAACGTTTGGTAGAAGGTGGAAACCCTCGCTTCGGTCGTGGCGAAAGCAGGGGCTATGTAAGAGCCTGTAATGGCTTGTTGACGAAATGCCTCAGTATCAGCCATGGGAAGTGTAAACAACGGTATCATCCCGAAAGTGGTGTGCATCATCGCGCTGGGAGTACTGTCTTTGCAGAACATCAGTTGATGATTCCTTCAAGGGCCATTTCGGTCGACCAGACCGATGGCAGGTAAACTTATACCTGGAACCTTTTTATCAGTTGACTTGCTAACACGCGCAGTTTCTATTCCCCCGCTCGCTCACCTCGTATTTTCCCCTCTAACCCCAAAGAAACACCTGTGGCGACAGTTGAGAGCTCGGCATTCTTCCTGCGCGATCATCATACCGGCTACGAGATCATTGTGTTCGGTGATGTCGAACCCGACTCCGTGTCTCTCGAGTCTCTCAACAAACTAGTATGGGAGGCGGCAGCACCAAAGATTGCTACAGGTAAATTACGAGCCATTTTCATCGAGTGTTCATACAACGACAGCGTCGACGACGCATACCTGTATGGCCACATGTGTCCGCGACATTTGGTCGCCGAACTCAGCGTGCTAGCCGCCAAAGTTGCGGAAGTGCGCGAAACGAACACACCGGACAAAAAGCGCAAACGCGAGGCCCCAGCCATTCCTGAAGCTCGCAGTGAACAAGTGAGCCCTCGATCGAAACGAACCCGGAGTTATGCCGACGAGAAAACGCCGTCTGTTCCCCCTGTCGAACCTCGCTCACACCCGAGCGAGTCGTTTGAGCTGCCTCACGTACCCGCAGCTGCTCCTCCGGGCTTCGGCGATGGTGGTGATCATGCAGATGTGGTGGGCTTGGAACCCAAAGGCTGGGATGATACCGAGCCTCTTCCGCTGGAAGGATTGAAGGTTTACATCATTCATATCAAAGAACACCTCACTGATGGGCCGCCTCCCGGTGAACAGATTCTAAGTGAGCTGAAAGCTCGTGGTACGGCGGCGCATCTGGGATGTGAGTTCTTTATTCCTAATCCCCTGGAAGGGATATGGATATAAAAGACACCGGTCAGGTAATTAGAAAGGCGTTCGGATTTATTTTTCCATTTCTAAGCGTTGGATTAATTATGTCTGTGTACAATAGCTAAACTTCAATTATCGATGATCAACTGCATCTTCATTCACGGCGAATGTCTTCACTAGCCCTGTACCGTTGGGGGTCCGTTTGGATGTGTTGGACGATGGAATATCTTGTTCTTGTCGAACGACAAAGTAGCTCATTTCCTAGTGTTTCCAAAAGAACGAGACGCGAAGAGGAAAGACAGCATTTACAGAAAAGAAGGAATCCCCTCGTTCTAAGGGCAAGACCCCATTTCGAAAGTTCGCAAATATGCAACTTAGGACTATCGTCTTCGACGTGCTTCTACTCGAAGCAACCGCCATTCCATTTGGCGGCTCTTCATCCGAATCACTTCCAGCGCCTTGCCGTGTCTCTCATTCGTCTAGGATCGAGTAGCTTTAGTGTGCAAGCGACCAGCACATCCTATACTAGCTCGATTGAAACGACTACGCTTTAGAGCAAGCACAGCATCGTCGAGTTCAAGTTCCGCAATCGAAAGCAGCTCATCAACCATCTCCCACTCAACAAGAACATCGTCATCAGTCACTATCTCAGTGTCAGCAACAGCAACCAAGTCTTGCACGGGAGGAAATGGGCAAACCTACCCTGTGTCCTTTCTGAATACAGACGGCTCCACATCTGGAGACCTAGACAAGTTCTGCATCAAAATCGCCGGTCAGACAGACTGGCCTTCCAAGCAGACACTTGATGGTGAATTGCCGGAAACACCAAAGCAGTTATGGAAGTTTCAACACAAAAGATATGCAAGGCCCCATATGATGGAGAGATTTCAGCCGACTACTGCAAGGAGTATATGAACCTGTTAGCCAACGACTGTGACACGGACAGTAGCAAGCACGGCGGTACCGTCTCCACAGATGAGTGTTACATGTTTAGTTTGTGACGTCCGAGTCAAAACTAAGCTGTAAATGTGGCGACGCGTGGACATTACCAGTTGACATGTTGAATGAGAGTGACAAGATGGGCAGCAGAATGATTGATAACTTCTGCACTAATATCGTGCTGAATACCAAGGACGGATTCCATGAAGGCGATACAGGCTGGGGAGAGAGTGACATTGAGTGCACCGTAACTCTCAAGTTGGATGGTGGCGATGGCGAGCAGTCAATGTCGAAGGAAGAATGTGTTCATTATGTTGGCCAGATTGCCAACGATTGTGATACCAACAGTGGGGATAAGCATGGGGGTGTATTCCATGTTGGAAACTGCATATCCTTCAACATGACGATGTATGATCCGTCTGTCGTGTTCGGGGGCTAGTACATGTCTAGTCTTGCTATGGAACATTTTACTATCTTCCATAGTCGCGTTACATTGAATGTTTTCATGGAATAAAGCTACTAGGGTAAATCATCGGTCACTTGGTTGAGACTTTGTATGCCTCTATCGACAGTGTGTGGCTTATTTAACAAAATATTATTCACAATGGTGACGGGCATGTCTGACAAAGTAAAAAAGCTGGAGCTTTCTTCGTTGGAGGATTCATTTATTTCGACTTAGCTTGGCCGATAACATCCTCCCAAACCGAGGCATCATTAGAAGGAATCCTCAGGCCCTTCATCGTGGAAGCAACGTCCTCGTCCTCACGCTGGGGCCGGCTACCAGGTAGATCCAAGATAGCTTCACCATCCCGAGCAAACGCAATAAGCTCCTCCTCAGTACCCCACTCACTCATGGCCATCACCCCGATAGGCACACCGCCATCGGGGCTGTAACCAGCAGGACAGCTAATTGAAGGGCAACCAGTAAAGTTGGCCAACCAAACATATTCCATATTGCGGACAGAAGACTTGCCATCCGACAAGCCCCGAGACAAGTCTGCCTCGCCGCCATCAATATGCCAACCGGGAATGGGAGTCGTAGGGGAAACGATGAGCAATCCGGGGTTAGTCTTGAAAAGATGAGCCAAATGCGTCATAAGCAAATTGCGCAACCGCTGGGAGGCAAGCAAGTCCTGGGCAGTGACCTGGTACATTCCCATGGAGACGAGCATTTTGTTCGGGGCCGTGAGCTGTCGGATCTGACTCGCATCGACACCTGATGCAATTTCCGCCATGATAGTCAGAGCGTGGGCTCGCTGACCTTCCGGAAGGTATGGGATTGAAATGTCCACAATGGTGTACCCTTCCTGGCGGTAGTATTCGAGCACTCTATCCAGGGTAGCGCGCACCGGGCCCTCGGCGCGATCGATCCAGTCGCGAACGATACCAATTGTCTTGGTCCTCTTGGTGTCAGAAGAAGCCGGTACCGGATTGGGGAATTGTGATGAAATCGGGTCTTCTGAGGCAGGTGCTGGAGTGGCCATGGTACGGTAGGCGAGGGCGAGGTCATCGATGCTGGCTGCCATGGGCCCGAGGACGCCGACAGTGGGCGCAAGACTCAGAGACGGCGCACCAGACACCCGGCCATGTGAAGGCTTCAGTCCCCAGATGCCACAGAATGATGATGGGATTCTAATTGAGCCTCCACCATCTGCGCCGAGTGCGATCGGTACAAGTCCAGCCCCGACAGCATACCCGGAGCCACCAGATGAACCGCCACAGTAATAGTCTTTGTTGTGGGGGTTTTTCGGCGTCCCATAATTTGGGTTATTGTTGGTAGTATCTGAAAATAGTCAACCACCATTTCATTTTCCGAACGTCGGAAATGAAGTACTCACCAAGTCCCAGTTCGTGCATGGTGGTCTTTCCAATCACTATAGCTCCAGCATCTAGCCACTGCTTCACACACCATGACGTCGCATCAGTGCCATGCTTGAAATCCAGCTTGGTTCCTAGTGTGCGCTTATATCCGGTGATGTGCACCTCGTCCTTCACTGCGACCGGTACTCCATCCAGCGGACCCAGCGGCTGGCCCTTCTTGTATCGCTCGGCGGATGCTTCCGCCGCCGCACGGATTGCATCAGATTGCGACTCAAGGAAAGCAGTTGCGTGTTTCCCAGCCGGCTGAACGTCACGTCGGATCAGAGGGAGTAGCGTCTCAATGACGGCGATCGGGGTCAGCTCCCCGGACGAGTAGAGCGCATGGTAGTCGGCAGAGGTGTAATATCCATGATCTCCTTTTCTTCGTTCCACAGGAGCCGTCGTTTTTGAATCGTCTTGGCTAGCGTTGTCGATGGGAATCACAGTTGGATCGTAGCGACCGGCGTACTGACTGAGGTGAGGGATCTCACGAATGATGCCAAATCCGGCATTGCGCCAGATATGGCTCTGGATAAAGCCGATATTATGAATTCTGGGACGAAAAACTCCGAATTAGTGTGTCGCGACAACTCAATGGAGCTCTGTGCAACTTACAATGTTGCGCCGATGGCCAAGGGTGTGCCGCGGAAGACCGGAATGGTCTGCGTCTCATTCTTATATGGCACCGAGGGGCCTTCACGTGGCGGAGGATAATTGAGGAATGCCTGTGAATTCATGATGAATGGGTGTTGAGGTCAACATGAGAACATGGAAGCTCAAGTGGAGGTGCCGATAGCTTATCACATGCCGCGGTTCAACTCAGGTCACATGTTCTACCTGTTAAAGTGCAAATACGTACATGTATTCCATATATTTGTTGTAAATCTACAGACTCAGCTTAATGTTGTACTTGTCCATGCCCAAGGCAGCCCCAGTGAGCACTGCTGCATAGACAATCAGAATCCCCATGGCTTGTGGGGTATTGAGATCCAGAGTAGGAACGCTCAGGTTCACTGCTCCAGTAAGCAAGTTCGCAATCAAGAAAAGCCCAAGGCCCCCTCGGTTGAAGGCGTGTAGAATACGACTGGTCGCGAAGGAAGTCTGCTCTACTTCGCCATCCTTGCTGGTGGCCCGGTGGACCGCCGGGAAGAACACAGTCTCGGTCAAACAGAACAGGAATAGCTGTGCGCTGTTGAATGCTGACACCCAGAGGACATACGGCATATTAGCCAGTCGACGCGACACAGGAATATTGGCGCCGTAGCCAAAGGCGTAGGTGGAGTTGAAGAAGAACAAGGTCGACCAGAATAGAGCTTGCAGAACCAAGCTTGCCAGGATAGATCTCCGTGCCTGCTGAGGCGATTTGGTTGCCGATGTTCCACGCGGAATGATGCGGATTCCAACACCACGTCCCGCGAGGAAGATTGCAAAGTACCCAATAAAGGAGAAGACACCCTCACGGTTCTTAGACAACAGATCTGGTCCTCGAGGAGACACGAGAATGTATCCCTTAAGATCGGTCGACTCCAAAGCAACTTGGTAAAGGACCGCAGTGCCAAGTGCAAGTGCCTCGTAGGAGGGAACCAATGTAGTCAAAGAATCGAAAAGCTCCACAAAAGGAGGCAAGAAGCCAAGTGTAAAGAAGAAGTTCCAGTGCACGCCATATTCCGTCACATGTTCCGCATAGTCCAAGCCCTTTACACTCCATAGACGGATGAGACCCAGTACAAGTAAGGGGATGGAGTGACGAGCCGAGCCAATCAGTCTTTTATGCAAGGCTACTTTGGGAGATTTCGAGTTGCGGCCTTTGAGAACCGCTCGTGCAGAAACAACTCCAGCGGAGAAAACGAAAGATCCAACCCCCAAGTCCATCAGAGAAGTTCCCCAGTTCTCAACCTTGGCGAAACGGCGAGGAAAAGCACGAAAATCGACAGCCAAAATAGCAACACAGGTGACGATCATCATGGCTGCGCGATATGTCGTCAAGAATGGGTGGACGGGTAGCAGGGATTCTTCCTGGGGGTTTCATGTTTGGTCTTGGATTTGCGGGGTGGTTTCGCTTTTTGGGGGGTGCGTAGGCCTGGCCTGGTAAGGAAAAGAAGTACGGCGGGGGAGACGAGGAAGACGTTGAGGAGGAGCGGCGCCGAGGAGTATGCTGTTGTCGCGAACAAGATGGCCAGAACATTGAGAAGGAAATCCGTGACGAGTGCCGCAGGCCCGTAGGGTGTAAAAAAGGACAATCGGGATTGAAGAGCTGACCAGAGAAGGACAGATGTCTGGGGTGATCGCGCAGATTAGCAAAATAGCAAGATCAATTGGAATTGGAGTCTCTCACTGAGGCAACGAGAGTGACTGCATTGATTTCAAGAATTGTGCTTCCAGCAAGGTTTGACACGAATGCCTCCTTGCGAGCTTTGTAGCTCGGATCCATACTGGGCAGTTCGAATGGCCAACAAATTGGAGAATGACGTGGGAAGAAAAGGAAGTTGGAGAAGCTCCAAGTGTTTACCCACCACGATCACCTGACCCCTAGCCACGATATCATTTCTTGGAACATCTGACAATTTCACTGATGACAGAGTGTCAATAATGCAATGCATTTCACTTTCAAGTCTGTGGTACTGGGTGAATACATAGCCAACATCATGACACGTACTCACATTTGACCCTAACCCCCCCCAGGCCTGACGGACTAACAATGAAATTCGAGCCACTGTCAGGGCATCCAGGAGTAGAGGCACAACCCTCTCCCGTAGGATTCAAGGTATTGATAACTGTAGATGCCTGTTTGAGTTGTATCAGCTTCCCCACTGTGGAACACAGGCTACCGTTATTGATTCACATCCAATCTACCAAAGATCAAGTATTGAAACTTCTGTCCAATGCGCATTGTCTCCGGTTATCTTCCACTAAACGCGGGCACTCTGATACATCACAAGTCCTATGTCCACACGGATTTAAATTAACTTTAGCCATACACTAAGTCCGGAATTCGATCCGTAATGATCGGCCATGGCCCCGAACTGCGTATCAATAAAGAGTCTGTGCAGTCCGTAGGGCAAAGCATTTTGAACGGCCGTGCCCCCTTGGCTGATTCCCACTTGGATACAGGCTTATCTTCTATACTGCATGTTCATATTTGACACTGAATGCAAAAGAGGTACTGTACCCTGTTACGAGGTAGAAGGAAGTAACAGGATGCAGCTTAGGGTTGGGAGCCACTTAGACGTTGTGTTGGGCCCTTTCCACGTGAACAGAATCATTGGAGCGACTAGAGTACCTTCATACACCCGCATAGAGCGGAAATTATGTTGACTTTACTTGCATAAGATGTTTGTAGGTACAAAATTTGAGGTCTCCGTGACCCGTCTTGGTTCTTAAACGAACAAAAGCAAAGTCTACGTAGTTACTGGTCAGTTTTCGTCGAACATCAAGCAGAGTAACTTTTTTATGGCCATAAATTTCAGTGCCATTATTTAGCCAATGGAGATTCATTCGGATCTGGCGGTATTGAAGGACTAAAGAGTCATATCGGCCGCGGGCAAAGCGATCGTGGACGGAGACGAGGCAGATCCATATTGAGTAGATCATTCAAATCACGCCGTTTTGCGAGCCGCAAGGCTCATAAACTAAAACGTTTTAGTCGTCCGCACTTGAGGTGAGGATGTTCGCTTTCTTGATCTATGGGAAACTAGGAAGAGGTAGGGCTGATATTAAAACTGTTCCATCACGCACGATATATGAAAAGGCAGTTAAAAAGACCAAATTTTGAGGATTTCAAATGACACGAACAAATCCAGACCAGCACTAGTTTCCAGACGCAAGTCGAAAAAAAAAGCGGACCTCGACATGGGGCCGACTCACCGTAGTGGCCGGAACGCCAGACGCTATAATATCCATAGCTTAGAAGCTACGGAGTTCGTTTATTCCTCCGAGCTCATTGGGTTATTCGGTTTCGGGTCAACTTGATTGCAGATTTGATTCGCCTTGCTTCGTTGCGGATCTTAAGGGACATGAGTACCGTATTTAGCGTATTTAAGGCATTTTAGTTCCCCAAATACGTACCCCAGTCACTATAATCCCTTCCCATGCTTTTTTTCCCCTTCAGCCTCGGATCTGTTACCACTTGCTTGAATCCCTGCTCGGGTCGGAGATAGTCTTGCCCATCTTTGCGCAATCCACCACTTCCCCTCATGTTAAGCCCCTCCAGGTATCTTATGCTCGGTCCATGATTATCAACGGGTGATATTTTGTGAACGAAAATTGGGAAATTGAGGGCACCATTTTCAGCCATCGCCTGGTGTCCACTTTCAAGACCCAAAGGCTGAGAGTCATGAGCCCAAAAGAGGACCCGTCGCTCAAGAGACGCGAGTCTCGTTCGGGATCAAGGAAGGTCTCTTCATTGTCGGCTGAGCAGCTGGAAAGAAAGCGTGCCAACGATCGAGAGGCGCAACGGTCCATCCGCCAACGAACCAAAAATAATATAGAACAGCTTGAGGCTCAAGTCTCCAGCCTCCAATCCCAGATAGAAGATATGCGGTTCCGGACTGAGAGATATGACGAAGTCATACAACTAAATGCCACTCTGGAAGATGAAGTGAGCCGATTGAAGCGTCAAATTGCTTCTTTCACTGGACGACCTGAATTTGCAGGCAGCATTGAACAAGTGGCTCGGCTTCGAAGCGGATGGCCTCTAGAGGAAGTCCCGAATAATGCCTCGCCCATCATCCCCACGACGGGGTTGCTCTTGTCGCCGCATTTCTCAGAGGCATCTCAGCCTCGAACATCATCTGTTCTCTCATCGTCGAGCCGGGCATCTCATCCACATGACTGGCAACGGCCATATCCATCAACCAGGTCACCATCGCTTGGGGAATCTTCCGAGGACTTTCCCAATCACCTCGATCCATACGTTATAGATGGTCAAGTTCATCAGGGGCCAAGAATCTTGCCTCCTTCGATTCCGAATTCAGCACCTCAGATGGGCTTTAGCGCAACCTCCGCGCCACCTCAAGTTGAATCTTCATTTGCCCAGTTTCCCTACAGCAACCGGTCACTTTCCATGTCTAATGCCACACCTGTTAGTCAGCCAGCTCCTTCTCAAGACTACCAGATTGAGGCGCCGCCATATTCGCAATCTATACAGCCCCAACGAGACTTGACATTTCCCTATCCATGGGGCCCCCAGTCATAAACTCAATGGGAAGAAACGAAGGCACCAAAAACGAGAACAAATCTTCTTCGGAGAAGGCACTTAAGCATTATCCATACAAACAACGTAAACCTTAATCAGAGGTACAATTGAAGGTACAATAGCCTTGTGAGGCCTTTGTGAGTTGGACAAAGAAGCCCTTGCTGTGATCGACGAAACTAACTTGGGATCGGAAGCAAGAATAGGCTTAAGCTGCAACTAGGAACCGGAAACCCACAACCGAGGTTACATTTAAGCACATTTGATCGGAAATAATAACCGGGGCTAATACTCTATCTATGCGGAGACTTTTCCGGTCTCCACCATACCTAGGGCTGACAGATCTACGGTGTCGGCACTCTTTTTCACTTTTATGGACCTACGTCAAAGGCCATGTGCCTCCAAAGGTCAGAATAGTATCGATTTGGTCCACGACCGTGATGTCGCATTGGTTGAGCACTGATTATCCGAAATCCTGATGTGAACCCAAGACCTTCCTCCCATACGACTCATATACATGCATGTTTAAAACAGCTAAAAATCAATAGATCTATTCATGATCCGTGTTGGTTCTGATATTCTGTATATCCCACGGGGGAGATAGGTGTACATCCCAAAAATGAAAAACACGCCCAATGTGCTGTTTCAAAAAAATAGAACAATTTATAAACATAAAATCAAAACCTGTGAGATAGTAACTATTGCGTGTATTGCTTCTGGAGCAACTTAGCAATCGTCTGCAGCTGAATGTTGCTGGTACCCTCGTAGATGGCGCCAATTTTGCTGTCACGGAACATCTTCTCGGCAATGCCCTCGCGCACAAAGCCCATGCCACCCATCCACTCAACAGCAGAACCAGATACGCGACCGGCGACTTGGGAAGCATAAAGCTTGGCCATAGCGGCATCATGGACGAAGTCCTGGCCAGCCTCCTTCTTACGGGCCGCGTTGTAGACGAGAGCCCGAGCAGCGGAAATCTCAGTGTAGGCCTGTGCAATCTGGTGCTGCATGCCCTGGAAGTTACCGATCAGCTCACCAAACTGGCGACGATCGTTCCAGACGTATCTTTTACCGTCAGCTAATGGGTTCACAGCTTGTGAGGGCGTAGGAAGTCTTACCGTGCAGCATTCTCCCAGGCACCAAGGGCCAGACCAGTCATCTGGGCAGCAATACCAATACGTCCTTCGTTCAGCACGCTGATAGCGTACTTGTAACCCTGGCCCTCCTCGCCGAGCAGGTTGCTCTTGGGAATGACACAATCGTCAAAGTTGAGCACACAGGTGCTGCTAGCGCGAATGCCGAGCTTCTTCTCCTTCTTGGCAATCGAGAAGCCGGGGGTGTCCTTCTCAACAATGAAAGCAGTAATGCCCTTGTAGCCCTTGCTGGGGTCGAGGTTGGCGAAAACAATAAAGATGCCAGACTCCATAGCGTTGGTGATCCACATCTTCGATCCATTGATCTTGTATCCGTCAGCGGTCTTCTCCGCCTTGGTCTGCAGCGCAAAAGCGTCAGAGCCGGAAGCCGGCTCAGAGAGACAGAACGAGCCCACAGTACCGGTAGCCAGCTTAGGCAACCAGGTGCGCTGGGACTGTGCATCACCGTACTTCATGATCGCAGTATTCACCAGAGTGTTGTGGACATCGACCAGCACACTGACACTAGGGTCGACGCGAGCCAACTCCTCGATTGCGACGATCGCCGCAGTAAAATTCATGCCTGCACCGCCGAACTCCTCAGGCACCTCGATGCTCATCAAGCCCTGCTCAAAGAGCTGCTCCACAATTTTGGGGTCCATAGTCTCGGCTTCATCCATATCCCGAACCTTAGGGCCGATCTGCTCCTGCGCGAACTTTGAGACCGTGTCGGCCATGAGAGATTCGGTCTCGGACAAATGGGTGATGGGCGTCGGGGTCAGGGTGGAAAGGTCGGCTTCCCGCCGGCGAGAGGTAGTAGAGAATGCATATGCACTGCAAAACGAAAGAATGGGTTAGTGGAGGTGTTCTTGTAGGGATAGTGCTTGTAGCTGGTACCTCTGTACGGGCCGGCCGGTAGCCAGGCGTCTGCCGGCCAACCGGGCCGAGGGGAGGGAGCGCGACAAAGGCCGCATCGCACGAATAATAGAGGCCATTGCGAAGTGAGGGGAGAGGTAAATATGGAGAGGAAATGAAAGAGAGAAGCTGGGGAGAAAGTCATAATCACGAGCGCGGTGAACCTCGGCTACCGGCGGCGTTGGAGGATTCGCGGGGAGCGCAACTTGTGGGGCTCTTTCGGCCCTAGGTTGTCCTGTAGGCCTTGTATTATTTGATGTGTTGATGTTAAATGTGTTCAATTAGTATTCTAGTAATAGCGCTGGAGCCTATATACGAGTATCCGTCAATCGCCCCTCGCTGTCGCTGTCGATATAGAGCTTAATTTAGGCATAAATGCAATCTTGGATGCCGTCTGGCATGTGATCTGTACCGGACGATTCGTAGATCGGACTACAGATCTATTCAAGACTTCGCATATTCCCCAATTGTGTCTACATCTCTTAGAATTTGACGGAGCAACCTGGAGTAGTTGTACAAGTGACGCAGGGAGTACATGTACCTCGGTGGGTGATGCTTTAGCTCTCGCTAGTTATATTATAGTAATTTTGATCTTATACAACCCTCCGGGCATCCTGGGTATGTTCACGAATTAACTCCTCCCCAGATACAGTGCTATCGGTAGACGATGGACCCCCATGAGTGTCCACATCCTCAAAGTGAGTCATGATATCCGTGGTAATAACCACATCTTTAGAGCCAACAATTTGCTCTTTGCTTTCATTCGGGCCCGCGGGCCGTGTGAGCTCCATCCACCCCAGGTCTTCTTCCTCCTCTTGTAATCTATTGCGCCCTCCGTATGCGTTCGATCTGAAGTTGGAATGGTTCGTGGGGTTCGACTTGTTGGTACCATATGCTACATGCCCACTTGATCCGCGGATATTGTATGGAGTCGACGTCTTCTTAGAAGTGAGACCAAGGCGTTGAAGAACTCTCTCCATGAGTGGTCGGATGGGTGGCACGCAGCCGACGACGATGACGATCCAGGCTTCCGTGGAGGCCCAAATGAGAAGGGAGGATTGAGCCCCTGTTGAGATGAGAATTGGTAAGTACGTATCTGCCACGTGGAATGCTCGAAGAAAAAGCATACAGGTAATATCTGTCGTCTCGGTCAACGCTTTCAGTTCGTATGTTTTGATCGCTGAGCAAATTGCAGCCCTAATTACCGATACTTGTCAGTTTAGCATAACGGTTTTGGGACATCAGATGAACTCACAGCCATCCTAATCCCATCAATATCGACAGCGCAACCTTGATTCGCAACTTCATCTGAAGCTTCCAAAAGAGATGGATAGGGTACGATGCTAAAAAGGCGTCGGAGAATGAGTTGAAGCCTGAACAGTCAGCCAGAGAGCCACAAGTCCGCTATTAATGAAACTCACTGGCTTGGAAAAACGAATAGTTCTGGTTCAATTTGCGCCCCGGGTCGCATGTTCCCTCAATGTCGTCATCCCATAGCTTGGGCATTGGCCTACACTGCCCCAAGATCGTTCCAAGTACTGCAATGTTGATCGCGGCGATGAGAACCCCGAGCACAATTAGCAACCACGGCTTCTTCTCGTGACGGCCCCGAATTTGCACTAGAAAAGCAAGAATTGCAAGTTTTCCCATCATGCTCGCTGCGATTGCGAGCAATTGAAACACCCATGACCATTTCAGCGCGGTGACTCTCTGCGGCTTGGAGAGATCATTCATGTGGTGGCCCATGCCAGCATTGACCGACAGCTGGAGGAAGACCTGAGCGGTGGTCTCGGTCGCCTATAAAAGAATAGCCATCAGTCATAAAATCCAACTATTCTGCGTCCAGAGCCAGGACATCGGCTGTAAGACACAACACTTACCACAGTCAGGCCAGCGATAGCAAAATCCCATCGGAAGCGTCTTACAAATTTCCAATTACTCAGAAATCGCAGTCCAAAAAAGATCAAACCAATACATGTCTCCACCCAGGACACTGCAAGGATGACCGCGGAGTTGTCTCCAGCCATCTCTGGCATTCACTGAGGAACTGCCTTGACGCGGTCTTGCAGATGATGCAGTACAGCGACAAGAGGAGTGAAATGACTGAGTCGAAAAAATCTGGTTTATCATCACTGATATTACCTGCATATTGTATGTACATACCAGCCTCCACCGCTAGCTCCGGTAATAATGCGTGGCTTTAGGGGCCATACCGTAAACAGGGGGTGAGCATCCCACCTCCGGAGAACATAGTTCATAGGAACCAGGAATGTATCACACACGGAGGCAATGTGCCAATGAGGGTGTCCAGCGAGAATTTGTCTAGCCATACTCAGAGTCAATTCCAAGGCCGCATGTTTGCCGAAGGAAGCGGCACAAGAAAATCTCGCACTTGATCCTAGATCCCTGTCAAAGCACAGGCGTCGACATACGTATATAGGGCTATTGATTGGCTCTCAGGAAGCAGAAACTACGTCCGCAGATCCTAGGGCTCGCGCCGTGTTAATTTAACCAGGATATGGTTGAACAAAAGGGCCTTTGCCTCGAAAGAATAGAAGTGGCTTTATTTTCCTCCAAAGCGAGATGAAGGATTTCAAACGGCCAGTTCTGAGTCCATATTGAGAAAGAGGCTACAAACGCAGGGCCAAGCAACAGGGGCATATAAAATTAATTAAACCGAAGAGACCCATCTAGAACAGCTAGAACACGACGATCGATTGACAAATCGCAAACTTATCGAGATGGCAAACCATGATCGGCCATCAGCCAGCGCATAGACGTTAACGCCTGAAATGCCCTACTGTAGACTCCCATGTAGATTTATGGCCAATGTTAACGAGCAGAAATAAAGTATATGATCAAGTAAATGAATGGTTTTGAAAAAAAAAGAAGCAAAAAGGACGACTAGGCGACAACCCCTGCACAACTATGCCGTTGTAGCCACGGCCGAGGGTGCACGGCTCACTTGGCCCCCAACTATGGAAGGGCCCGAGACAGCCCCCAGGCCTTGGCGAAAAGATCCGGGATCGGCGCGGCCCCAGCGGGGAATTGGAAGCCACAATCAAAGCTAATACCGGCTAAAGCACGAGATATTAAGTGCACCGGACTCGCTATGCATTATGGAGCAATATCTCCGATCTTCGATCCTGGGCAATTGCGTGGCATATACGTACATTCCTTTAGAACTTATTCGAAACTACGAATGTCACCGGAACAAATACAGTAACCTTCGAATAATTTTCAAACTCAGGTAGGTATACGCTAAAATCCCCACCGGAACTAGGTCTACATCAGCCCAGCAGCCTGGAGGAAGTCCTTCCGGTGGAGCCAGATACGGATCTCCTTGCCCTTTAGGTAGAAGGGAATATAGGCCAGGTAGATGGCGACATTGATGGCAGCCACCGTCATGAACACACTCAGAATGCCACTGGCTGTAATGAAATCATTGATCACCCAAGTCCAAATCCAAGCGATACAGCTCTTCAAAGCAGCAATGGTGACCATAATCTCAACAGAAAGCTAAAAACACTGGTTAGTCGCCGGATCAAAAGAACTACGGAAAGGAAAGTCTCAAAGCTAATACAAACTCACCTCTTTGTGGCAGTCCAGGGCATAGTTCATTCCTAGCGTGGTACCCATTTGACTTCCTACCGATAGAATGCCGGCCCCCACAACAGGCATCGCCCAATGCATTTGATGCTCATACGACAGCCCGAACCAGAGTGCTCCAAAGAATGTGAAGAATGCCGCCAATAAGCATGTCGGCAGTCTCATCTCTGGCTCGCGAACTCCATGATTCTTCTTAGTAAAGAAAGTGGCAATCCAATCACCCCCTGGTCCTGAGAAAAAGACACCGAAAAGGGATCCAATGAATGGCGACAGGAAGAAGAGACCCTGTGCGTTGGAATTGAATCCATAAGGTGGAGGAGAGAAAAGCTGGGCCACGGAGGCACCCAGGATAACATTCCAACTCAGAGCCATTCCGTAAATGAAGCACGACCAAACCACGGTGGGATAGGCCAGGAGCACAAATGGGCGGAGGAAGACGTGGATGAGATTCACATTTGGGTCTCCACTACTCCAGAACTTGAGTTCTTCCGCGAAGGTTTTCTTGGGAATAGCGCTTGATTCCTCGATCAGAACCTGTTCTTTCTGATCGGTGTCTTCAGCTGCTCGGTTTGCGGTGAAAGGATCGGGTCGGGGTCCAGTGAACTTGGTCTCGGGCATGAAGAAGAACATGCAGACCAAATTGGCAGCAATGAAAATAGCCACGATCCAAAAGGCCCAGTTCATTCCCAAGGCCTGCACAATGAAACCGGAAAACATGGGGCCCAGTTCGTTACCACCGAGTACAGCCAGACCATAGATAGCGACGAGCTCGCCGCGGTTATGTAGGAAGAACATGTCTGTGACGGTTGAGGGGACAATTGACTCAATAGGTGCCTGAAAAGCACCTAAGAAAGCGCGCCCGACCAGGAACACAGTGTATGTTTTGTTGGATGCAATGGCAAGCCAAATACAGGCGATGCCCATGAGGAGGTTTGAGAAGATGTAGATTGGACGACGGCCATACTTGACAGCAAACGGCATCCAAACCACGTTCCATACACCTTGATTGATCAGACAAGCCCCGTTTGCGTATGTCAATGTTTGAAGGGACTTTCCGAAGGTCACGGACAGCTGGTTCATACCTGTACAGCAATTAGTATGTCTTCTTCGCAGGCCAGTGAATAGGTCAGTACTTACCAGCTGCCATAATAGGACCTGTTATGGCACCCATAAAGGCGAACCAACAGCCATTGAAGAAGGTCAAGCTTTTCTTCGTGGTCGACCAGCTCAGAGGATCGTTCGGGTCGTTCATCGAAGGCTGCGGGACTAACAACATACGCCCGTCGCCAGATGTTCGATGCCTCAACTGGTGAAGCTGACCAGAGATACTGCCATCAACATTGTCAAACAAAATCTCAGTGCCAGGCACATGAACCCGGCCTTTGACTTTATTGTCGGAGTCGCGCTGGGAATTCTGCGACATAGCGAGTATGCCCACGACGGTCCCTCGAATATAGAATAAAGGAAATAAATATGAGTCCCAGGAGCAAAAAGAACGACTAGAGTACCGCGTAACTTTGCTTGGGTGGAGGCCTCCTTTTTAATACAGAGGTATAAGTCTAGCCATTCCTCTTTCAGTGGCCAGACAATTTCAAAGTCGGGAAATCCGGCATGGCGCCCTTTAATCTTTTTGGCTCATCGTACAGCACAATCCTGGCTGCTTTTTGGCCAATAATAAGTCCTGACAAGTCACCAATCCAGGGATATACAAGTGGCTGTCGTAATAACAGGAGAAGTGCGTGTGGGAAGTTTATCCCCCTTCAAAACACAGAGTTTCTCCACAGTATCTCGGCTCCGGTCTGTCTCCTTGGCCTCATGGCCTATTTGGTCGATTTAGTAGGTTATTGGGCCCGCATATACCCATAACTCCGTAGAGATCACGCCATGGCTGCGGTCTGTTTTCTTAGTCTCATTAGCCAGTTTAGTCTGTTTAGTCAATTTAGGTTATTGGCGCCCGCATATATCCGTAACTCCGTAGACAACGCCGCCATGCCTCTGGTCTGACTGAACTCATAGAACTATTTAAGAGACGCTTCCCCAAGCCTTCCCCATTACCCCGCGTGATAAAGACAGAGCAACTTGAGCATCTCGCATTTTGGCCAATCTCGGGACTGTCTCTCCACTCGGGATCTCCGACACGTAAGAGAACTTAAAAACGACCATCGAACCTTCACTTGAAAATATTCGATCTCAGCTCAATTGACAAAATGGCACCATCTCTTGACTTTGCATCTGGCCTGTCCGAGGGCTCTCACAGCCTGCCGACTGATGTCCCCGTATTAATTGTTGGCGGAGGGCCGACTGGACTGTTGCAATCGCTCCTCTTGTCTCGACTCGGAGGTATGGCCTTCAGGAACATTGATATAAACTATTCGTTGACACATTCTTGACAGTGCAATCATTGGTCATTGAACGTTATCCTGAGAGACTGGCTGCTCCGAAAGCTCACGCCATCAATCCGCGTTCCCTGGAGATCTTACGTCAATATGGGCTGGGCGAGAAGCGAGTCCGCCAGATAGGCACATCGCGAGATGACAGCCATTGGGTCAATTTCCTCACGAACCTCAGCGGTGACACGGTTGGGAGATTACCATATGAGCGTATGGATCCCGCGGTCTTGGATGACACGCCAGAGGTATGTTTCATTTTTAGTCAGATTTAGAAGTTGGTTGACCAATGTTGATAGATGATTCACAACATACCTCAGCCAGCCCTGGAGCAGGAATTGACAAACTTCATTGAGCAAGATCCCAATATCACTCTGATGAAGGGATTCAGTATTCATGAAGTAGAACAGGTAAAATCACTGATGGGCTGCAAATGATACAAGCACAGTCATTAACCAAACGCCGGCAGACCGAAAATGAAGTCGTGGCAACCATCGAGGAACGAGCAACAGGACACCTGCACAAAACAAGATCACGACACCTCATCGCTTGCGATGGTCGCAGAAGCAAGGTCCGCGAGCTGCTCAACATTTCATCTGAAAGCGAAGACTCAGATCAGACTATGATGACCATCCATTTCAAGGCAAAGCTTCGTCCGGTGGTCGGCGATCGTGTTGGTATGCTTTTCTGGATCATGGACCCAATAGCAGCTGGGTTCATCATCGGCTATGACCTGGATGGGAACCAGGTTCACATCAGCCAGGTAGATGTAAAGAAGCATCCGGTTGAGACGTGGACTGAGGACATGTGCAATGCCAAGATCCGTGGAGCTATTGGAAGGGACGATGTTCCGTTTGACATCTTGAGCTTCCGGCCTTGGGTCTTCAAGCGGCAGGTTGCTGACACATTCCAAAAGGGGAATGTCTTTCTGTGAGTCGTCCGTCATTCGTTCCGATGTTGCATGCTAATACCTAATTCTCTCAGTGCCGGTGATGCTGCCCATTCATTCCCGCCAACTGGTGGTTTAGGACTGAACTGTGGGATTGCGGATGTGCACAACCTGGCTTACAAAATTGCTCTCGTTCATCAAGAAGTAGCAAGCCCGAGTATACTTTTGAAGTATACAGCCGAGCGACGAAGTGTTGCAGATGCCTACTCCAGGCAGAGCGTCAAGAACGGCAAAGAAATATTTTCTTTACTACAAAGCCTCAAAACCGCTGGCGTCGAGGACGTTACTCAAGCTCGCAAGAATATGATGGAAGTATTGGCAGATCCAGTGCAGCGTGCCAAGGTTAACAAAGGAATTGAAGCACAGCAAGAACATTTTGACAATGTAAGTGCCGTATTATCAATAACGATGTGCTCAATATCCTGACCACTCTTCGATAGCTGGAACTGCATATTGGCTATGTCTATGGAGCCAGTAAGCCTCCCGCTCACGCTTCATTCTACTCCCCGAAGTTCGTGCCCGGGGCAAGATTGCCTCATGTTTGGATCAAATTTCCAGATGCATCCTCTGAAACACAAGCAATCATCGGGAAGCTTCCGCAAGATCCAATTGACGTCTCCTATGTGAAGGAACTCGACGAGGACCAAGTTCAGAGTTGCCAGTGGAGCACTTTGGATTTATGTGCACCTGACTCCTGGACTCTCATTCTTGGACAAGATAAGCCAAGCTTGCAAACTTCCCAGTTCCAAGAGCACTGCGATGCTATCAAGATAAAACTCAGTATTTGGCGCGCCGGTCTGGACTTTGATATAATAAAACAGAGCTGGTTTGCTGATGAGTTGAACAACAACGGTGGAATTTTAGTTCGCCCGGATCAGCACATCTTCATGAGGGTTAGTGACTGCACCACCGGGGAAGATCTAATCGAAGGGCTGAACAAGCATATTGGGCTGTAAACCAATCGGAAGAGGTCTAGTTGGAATATAGACAGCAAGCAGACTAGGATATTGAATTGATTAAACGTGTTACACTAGCCCTCCAAAGAGTAATTTCGGGATCTTTGACCCATAGCAAGTTATTGTTTATAGTGCATGTGCAACTCACGACTCGCTTAATGCTCGCATAGATATCTAGACAGTGTGGCGTTGGAACACGCGGCAGGTTACTGGAATTGTCTAGACTTAAATTGACTACGCTTCATTGGTTGGACTACTAACCCATAGAGGAGTATTTCATATCTTTTATTTCATTAATATCATCCCTGTCAGACTTCTGTTCCAGTTTGAGTGCACAGGCTTAGCCCCTCTAGTGCGTTTGTTTTAAGGATTTCTTGGTCCGTTGTTAGAAGCGGCAATGAAAGCGATGTGGGTCGGCATTCTATTTCCAGTACATGTGTCTAGGCTGAGGTGGCATTGAAAACCCCCACATGAGCGAGTCAAAGTCCGGTGCACCGGTAAAGTCCAGAAAGCCCCCGGGAACAGAGTCATGCAACCAGCTTGTGGAATCAACATTGATGTCGTAATCGTCCATGAATGGGTTTACCGGCAAATCCTCACTAGCCGTGTCAGGGCAAGGCGCTGGCGGCAGGAGACCTGCTTCATTTGCATTTTGTAATCGTTGCCCTCTCCCGGAAAGACGATTGCTCCTGTTTTGTGTGAGCGAGTTAGGGGGGCTTCCAAGCTTCGCATTTTGATCAGCCTCTGGAATGTTGCTCCAGATAGCTCGTGGATACAATCTCTTGCTCGCTTAGCTTCATTCCAGTATTCTCCGATGCTGCTGAGGATATTCAAGCTGATACTCGTATCGGCTACTACCTCATCAATCTGCACTTCAGAGGCAACAGTAGGGAGTCTCCACAAGCAGTGCAGCATAATGAGTGTACTCAAGAAGATTGAGTGAACAATTAGCCTGCTATACAACAGTGTCTCCTGTCGGTATAGCTCGCCAAATCCACGAAGTAGATCCACGGTATGTTGGAAACATTGCATGAGCATATCGTCTGCTGGTTCTGGGATACCGGGACTAGGTCTCAGGATCAAGATCATCATTTCATGATACTTGGTTTCGCAAATCTTTGCAATTGCCCCCGGTCCAGATGCACTGGGGATTTCTGTACGCCATGACTGGAGACGGACAATCATCTCCTTTTGCCATAGGTGGATATCGGTGACCGGTGGGTAGGCATATTGAGGAGCATCTCTGCAGATGCTATGCATAACATATTTGATCTCGGAATTTATGCGTGCGAGTTTGAATAGATGAATGGAAAAAGTCATATGAGATGGCGCTTCCGGTTGTGACCTTTCTTGAGTGATTTTCTCGCCGAGCTGCGAATCGGAAATATCTAAAGGAAGCTTGCAATATTATTAGCAGAATTCAGAAGGCGAGAAACAAGCGATGATTACGAACCCGAAGTTCGCAAGCTTCGTCTCGCACTCCGATCGGTCGACCCATCATTGTTCCCAGCGTGCGATCAAAGCTATACACCACCCAGAATATTCGAGTCCTCATCTCCTGTTCCAGAAATGAGATAGAAAATGTGGATGATGCGCGGACGTCACGTTGAAGGCCCAAATCAATAAGTGCACCCAAGCACTGATAGTTCAAGCTCCAAACATTGATATCACAGGATGGATTGTGTAGTCCATATACCATCAGCAACAGCAGGCTCTGCAGTCCTTCTAGGGTGCCTTCAGCACATGCACGTTCGAAATGTTGTGTGGCTGCCGTGTAGTATCCTTCAGCAGGTAGGGGCAGTCTGAACCGCCTGGAAAGATCCGAGGCGGATATGGCGAGAACCATGAATACTTGAAATGCATCCACTGGATCGCATTCTGTTGTCCCATTGTTGTACAGCTTCTCGAGGCGTGCCATGTGTGAGGGTTCATGAAGGAATGGGTACATCAGGTGCACGGAAGCAAAGTACTTCGAAGAAAGTTCAATGGCATCTTCCTTGCGGTGTGGTAAGGGAGCTGGACTGTTAAAAATCTCGCTCGACAACGACATTGGCTGGGTCAAACTGCCATTGTTTCCTGAAGGTGCGGTTCGTCGACCAGCACTCGAGAACACGAGATTCGCCAGAAAGTAGCCGCTAGAAGGGCCGATGTATCTCGGTTCACCTCCCGAAGAAAGGGATACAAGGCCAATTTCATGGGCCGGTCTTGATTGTGTGCCAGATGGTTGGTGATCGTTTGGCCTCGGAGGCTGCCCCTGGTGCGAAAGAGTTATTGATCGTTGGCTGTTGCCAGCCTCGGAAACAGCATGCTCAGGTTGTGTCGGCCCGTCTGTAGAGTCAAGTAGTGAGATATCTGTCTCATCTACCCGTGGACCATCTTCAAGGCGGATGCTAGAATCCTGTTCCTTGACCAAGGATTCCAGCCACTGTATTCGCTTTTGTAGATTCGCGATGTAGCTAGCCAGTTGTTAGTACCATTTATATCGACATTTGGGATACATTTCTCACGTGCGGTTGACCTCCTGCTTCCCATCATTGATACAGGCGACGCCGATTTTTCGACATGACGAACATTGTGGAAGTCCCCCGTCGCATCGGATTTTCCGTCTCTGGCAGCGGCGACACGCGGCGCGGTTCCGGGACCTCCGTGGAGAGTCCATCCGGGGTAAGATTTTTGGCCAGTAATTAGTGGGTTGTGGATTGTGTTAGAGAATTCGAAGTGATACGAAGTGGTTCAAGTTCAAGACACAATTCTGTAGAGACGTGGAGAGTGTGTGAGGCAAAGTCGAGAGGCTCGGGTCGCTTCCGCCAAGGACGGAAGGAATCCGCCGCGTCATTTAAAGCGAACATTCCATTTCGACGAACTTCACTTGATTTTTAATTTTGAAGAACATAATGACGCTCGTTCACATAGGTATGTCTCATTCGTCTGAGTCTGCATCTAATTAATACTTCTATAGTCCTGTTCAAGTTTCGCGTGGATGTTGGAGAGAAAGTCCGACAGGAATTCCTCTCACAAATCAAAACCCTCAAGACTTTGCCTTGCGTCAAGAGACAAAGACTCGTTGTCGGGGGACCCTCTATTACTACCCCGATCGAAAAGAGCAAGGGCTTTCAGTATGCTCTGGTGAGCTATCACGAGGACCGGGCAGCTTTGGCCGAGTACCAGGCGAGCAGTGAGCATGAGAGGTGAGAATCTATGACTTTTGTATATTGATCCATCCTCACAGTATTATACAACACAGAGTGACAAGTACCTACTTCATCCCTTACAAGGAGGATCTGGTTCGGTTTGACTTCGAGACTGATCAAGAGGACGAGGCGCTGCTTGGATTTTGATCTACTTATTCGATGCTTGTACATATTGGTTATCTGTGAAGTAATTAAGTTCACCATTTTTATTTATTAAGATTCCAATCTTGTAGAATTTCCTTTTTTGTAGTAATACATCGTTCCAACGACCTAGGTAACGGTATGTACATGGACGGATGCTCAAAGATCCGACACGGCTTCGAACATCACATTCACAGACCCAGTAACCTCAATTTCTTGAGGGGTCAGATCCAGTGAATCAACTTGATCGTCGTCAGGCCCACTGGCGTAGAGCTTCGCCTTTTTTCTCTTTGGAGTCGAGGCCATTGCCACATTTCTGTATCCACCCTGTGCATAGTCTGTGATTTCCACCGCAACGACTTTCCGCTGTACCACTTCAGCATAGTCATCAGCCTTCCGGATTGCGTCGCGCAATGCCATCTTCCGAGCTTTGGAAGCCAACTCGCTTCCGGTCTCATCAGTGAGGCGCCAATCAATAGAGTCGACCTCGACCTTGGGATAACTGAAAAGCTTGCCGATCACTTCACTCATTTTGGAAAAGTCTCGAAACACGGCCTTGAACGAAATACTGGCGTAGTGTGGGTTGGGCGCTGGCTTTCCATCTCTATCATTGGGTTGGGACCAGGTCTTGATATTTGTGGATGAGAAAGTTGTCACTGGGTGCTCGGCAGCAGTATGTTCCTCCTTTGTTTGAGGGCAGAGTAGTTTGAAGAATTGCTGTACATCGTTGGAAGTCGAAGTGACTTCCTTGGAGATTTCTTCTTGGCGCGAACCGTTCGCCCTCACTGAAAAGGCGAGCGCGCCTCGTTCGGGATAGTGAGTGACGGCCGATTCGCCTGTGACCGTAACTTTGAGGGAGGGCATGGTGAGTAATGGAGGATAAAACAAGGCAGGGAATGCACTTAAATAGTAACAGCACCGTAGGCAGCAGCCGAGTCAGTATCACAGCCCCACTACGGCAGCGTAAATGTATCATTTGCGACAAACTTGTATGATTTCCATGATTGTACTAGAGATCCGCGTAGTCAAGCTGGTATAGGCCATTTGTTTCTCGCCAAGAAGGTTCTCTTCTTGGATATATCGATAATCACCCCTTTTATATGTCTCATTCCCGTGGCTTTTGGTATACACCTAACATCCCAAATTATATAGATATTGAACAGCAAGTTGGAGATTTCCTACGTTAAAGATCTAGAGTTTCTAGATATATATGATACATCGATTGTAGTATTTGGGGAGAAATCCCCACTGGTCCTGCACAAAAAGAGTAGGGTGTTTGCAGTCTGGTGGTCAAGAACCCGGCCCGGTACATTCAATATAATGCAAGACTGATTATAAGAAATGGAAGACTTGACTGCTCTTTATTCATGCCCTCCCATGGCAGATACGGCGAAGACAATCGGCTCGGCGAAGAGAATCTCACTTGGCGGAGAAGGACCCCCTGCACAAATGTTTTCCAGTCTGTCATACTGGCTGGATTGACGGCCTCGAGAGATTTCCGCCTGTTTTCTTGCGCAGAGCATCGACCTCACGCGCCAGGAGCAGTGACGGTCGAGATACTCTGATTGACAGCAGATGCAAAGAAATCACTGCTGTGATAATAGCATATATGTAGAAAGTCCATCTCCTGAAGTCTAAATTAGCGAAAGATCTAGCATGATGGGGGAGTATCTGATGTACCAGCCCAGTGCCAAAATAATGTAGGCGCTCATAACTGGACCCAAGGCCACGCCAATATTGGCGGCTCCAATATACGATAACATCATCCGTTTCCGAGATTTAGAGTTGAATAAATCTTCTATACTGCCGGAGAAGGTGGTATAGCAGAAAGAATCCCCGTCACGATTCGCCCAACTACAGCAGCAGACGGAGATTCAACTGGTCCAATCATTGCACAGAAACGACGGTATAGTACTGTGCTGACAATGTAAATATTTTTGCGGCCAAAGGTTTCCGAGTAAGGCGGGAAGACAACACCCCCTATCCCCTGGCCCAAGAGATATCTGGCCTAGGATTAGCTGCGGCCATTTTCCGGTACAGATTAAACAATGCTCAAGTCGACACAAAAAGCAATTGTGCCAATGTTATCCCGATGCCGAGTTTATATTGGTCATTTCGTGCAGCTGCTGACTGATGTAGAGTTTAATTATTATATAGTGCAACCTGGTGAACATTGGAGGCACATACGCCAGAGGTACTGATCGCAGTTTTAGCAAAATCGGCAGCAAGAAACAAGATACACGCCATTTTGTTCGCGACGGCACACATGTGTAAGCTTCCAAGAGAGTAATCAGCCCCATATGCCATATCTTTCTTGCCATTGTCCAGTTCTAGGGTGTTGCGGTTTTGTCGGAGCCTAGCAAATGTGTGCACTTCCTGGTTCAAGCTCCAGCTGAAAGTCTTCAAGGGCGACTTCAAGTTTCGTCATTTAATTCGTGTTTCACTGCGGTCAGGCTTTCGCAATCTGAGCTCTTATTGTAGATGTATTGTGTGATTGATTGGATAGTCACTGCATATAGTGTGGATTTAAGGTGAGACATCCCTTGGGCTACAAACGGACAGACCATAAGTGCCAACGCAAGTAGATTCGATAGAATATGGCCACATATATTCGTTGCATAATCATCATTGCACATCCCTAAATTCGAGATCTCTTCGCCGCCTGAATAGCGCCCATAGCACCCATGATAAGCGCGCCAGTATTGTATCGGTCCGGATACAACTTCGTCATGGCTTCCACAATATCTCTAGTAGATTTTGGGTTCCTTTCCATTACCTTTGCAAAATCTCTTATGTATTGCTTCGTATTCGTCAGATGCCAGCGGCCCATGATCTCCCCTTCCTGGCAATGACCCGGGACCACATACAAAGGATCCAGAGCCTCAATAATATTGACCGCTCGGATCCAGTCTTCACGTTTGGCGGCCGTATTGGCTTCAAACAGCATCTGGTGTACCTGTCCGTACACGATGTCTCCGCAAACTGCCAGCCGGAGGTCGGGAACCCACAACGCGGTAGAATCATAGGTATCGGAGTGGCCCACCTCGATTGCCTGGAACAACCACTTATTTTGGAGTGTGAATTCATTGCTTGATGGTAGGGCCTGAGCCAAAACAAATGGTAGCTGGATCTCCCCCGGGAACCGAGACCCCCATTGCGCCTCAAAATTCTTCTCTTCGATCTGCTGCTCCATATGCCGCAGAGTGGCCGCTGTAGCAACGGGTTTGGCTTCAGGGAATCGCTGCACCAACAGTGGCAGCCCGAAAAAGTGGTCTCCGTGTCCGTGTGTGATGTAAATGTAGGATAGCTTTCGCTTTGGAGCGATGCGTTCGATCCATGCGATGAGTCCTTGGGTTTGCTGGATGGTGATGGGTGTGTCGACTAAAACTGCTTCGGTAGCGGAGTAGATGAGCGTACAGGAGATGGGTGACCAAAGGCCTCCGCGGCTTCCTTTGTCTGGGCTCTTAAAAGGGACTGGAGGTGCGATGTAAACAGCAGAGCGGAGTTCAGACATCGCCAAATAGTGCTAAGGTAGGTAGCTTCAAGTAATATGAGCAACGGACTGTGGCGTTGAATGTTTCTTCCAATATACCAAGATCAACCCTTTTATTTATCTAGATGCGTTGATAGGGAGGGGAAGCTCACTCACTCTCAATCATCTACTTCCGGTAGAAAAACACCCGAGGTTAAGTTGATCGATAATCATAAAAATGTAGGAAGCAACAAATCCAACCACCGAGCTACAAAATCTACCGAACAGCCATTCCATGTCGCCTTTGAGTTTAAATCATAACTAGGAAGTAAGACTGAAAGTCTCAAGACTATCCCATCTTTCTAGGGTCTCGCGTCGCTTATCATCGAACACAAGCAGCTAGGATCGCAAGCACTATTCCTTGCTCTGTCTTCTTATAGGAGATAGTGCTTCCTCCTGTTCATATTTACCCCGGTCGGGGTGATATGAAAAATGGCTGGATCAACAATTAAATGTTTGCCCAGAAGGTAAATTTGGACGTAGGTTTATCAACAGCCTGACATTTGTGACGGAAGATAGTCGTCCCCATGGTAGCGCCAGACATGCTTCTTGCTTCCCCCTGGCATATTTGCCTTTTATGGCTGCCAAATCAGAGAAACAAATTGAGAATCTTCTCGACACAGAGAAATGGCAATCTCCTCTCATTGATTTCTATCTTATCGGGCACTCTTGGGGTGAAATATTAGCATCAGCGTATGCTCCAAAGCGACCGCTGGGCTTAAACCGCTTTGTTCTAGCTAATAAATCAGGGGTAACATCCCCTTTTTTACAGCTCAAATGTTCCAAGACCTTGGTATTCACTGGGCAGGGAGTGTCTTCCCCTGTCTGTCTATCGTTAGGTTGCTGTACCAAGGCTTTGAATTCTATAGATTGGTAGGTGTATAGGTAGGCTTTTAGAGTCAATAGTGCTCGTATGCCATATTAAACTGAGATATAACAATCGGCTCTGTCACATACAAGACGCCTGAAGCTCCTAGACGTCCTGCTCGACGAGCCAACAACATGCCAATACGATTCTTGGACTTAGAGAAGGACCGAAGATATCTTTTGAGTAATTCGACTGGCTGCTGGTCAAGGCAACGTAGCTATGCTCCAGCGATATAACTCTGCAGACTATTTTCTCGCTCCTCTGATATTCCAAGGCCTTATACATTATTGGGCTTTGTCGGGGCTGAGAGCCCAGAAAAGATGGTCATATATCCTGTGTCACAGCTTGATCAATCCTGACGTTGTCAGCATGCATGAAGGAGGCTTTGCCTATGCAGTCATAGCGGCGATGTCTCTTAACCGGAACTATGGCATTTCGGGTATTGTTTAGCCGAATGCTAGTTTAAGTATTTCTCTTCTTTCTCTATTCATTTCGCTGACTCGAACCTCCGTCTTGGATTGAGCCTATACTATGTCAGGCTCGATAATCATCACAGGGGCGACTGGCTCACTCGCTATCGAGGCTGTGCAACAGTTCCTAACGCATCCCTCCCTAACGGTCGTCGGCACTGTACGAAATGCGACCAAATCCACCAAAAGCGCACATCTACTTCGACTGGAACAGATTGCAGGTCATTATCCTATAGGTAAGCTTCTGATCAAAAGCGTTGACTTGAATTCCCTTCCGGAAGTACGGGCTTTTGCGGATGAAATTGCTGGCCTGGTGGAATCAAAGCAACTTCCCCCAATTTCTGCGATCATATGCAACGCATTCACATGGTCTTTGGATGGTCAGAGGTTCTCAAATGATTGCTATGAGTCTACATTCCAAGTCAACCACCTTGCACACTTTGCCCTCGTCCTCAAGCTTCTACGGAACATGGATCCCCACTCGGGTCGAGTTGTCATGCTCAGCTCTGAAGTCCACGATCCTGAAGTTCGCACCCCGCTATCCAAGCTAGGTGCAGAGCTCCCTCCAGATGAAAACCTTGACCTGTTGGTCAAGCCTGGTCCGGATGAGGCTGGGACAGAACATGACATGGGCTGGCGCCGATACGCAAACAGCAAGCTGGCCAACGTCATGTTCATGCAGAGTTTGAATCATCGACTCCAACAGGTACGAGTGGAACTCCATGACATGGGCATGCCACTAATATTAGCTTTATCCAGAATCCGAAACTCAGCAAAGTCACAGTGACGGCCCTGAACCCAGGTGGTCTTGTTGACTCCCGTGCCCATACCTCCCAACGTGCACTTGTTCGAATTGCATTCAAGCTGCTCGCAATCTCGCTTCCGGTTATAAACATCTTCACCTACAGCCTTCGCTCTAATGCAGGCTCGGCGCGTGACCTCATAGCGCTGGCTATAGACCCGAAGTACATCTCGGTGAGAGGCCACTTCAATGGACAAACGCCCAGTGCCGCCGCTCATATCAGTGAAGATGAGAAGAAACGCGAAGCTATATGGGATGCATGTTGGGAATGGACTGGAATGAATGAAGACGAGACCTGTGTTCCCAGGCGGTGCGCTTGAGCAAGTATCGATGTCCTTGTGCCTTACATACGAGCTCTACTATATTGGCTTTTTCCAGTAGATGCTGGACTATTTCTCTCATTCTATCTCTGTCATTGCAATGCTCTAAAATGCAGTATCCGTCATATTTTCGTCTACCTTCCTCCGATATTGGCTTGAGATGAGAAACATAATATTATTGTTATATACCGCAAACAGATATTCTGGGGGTAGCTACACACAAAATACAACCTAGTATAAAGTTACAACATCACTTTGGGTCACTGGGTAGGTAGACGACTCGCTCGGCAAGTAAGCGAGGTGTGTCGTTATCATGACTGGGCAAGACGACCAAATCAGTCTCTCTGGCAAACTCTTTGATGGTCTTCAAAGTCTGTTGTGCGCGCATGGGATCATCGTTAATACCATCCGGCGCCTCTTTATCCAAGGAGTCCAAGCCATATGTTGCGTCGCCAGGGAGGAAATATGTGACTTTGGTTTGATTGGGGCCGTCGCCATACACTACCAGACCAACATGCCCAGGGACATGACCTGAAGTATCCACCATCGCAATTCTTCCATCCTCTGTCAGAGGGTATGACTGTTTCCAGGGCCCAAGCGGTTTGTTCTGAAGATCAACAATTCTCGGGGAGAATTCTTTCGGCCAGTGATTCGGGGTAGCGCCCTCCATACTGGCAAAGACCGGGTGTTCTCCAAATGCCTTCCAATGTTCCTGGCTGATGTAGATAGGCAAATCCGGTGCTTCCGCAACCAAGTCCTCTAGTCCACCCGCATGGTCATTGTGGAGGTGACTCATAATAACACCTTTGAGATCAGTCGCTTTTATTCCACGCCTGTGAAGCTGTTCCAGAATACCATCTTGATGCGTTATCGTGAATCGACTGAGAAGGCCGTTGAAGATAGCAAGTCGTGGGAAGTATCCCGCGTCGTTGCAACAAGGAGATTGCCCGGTATCGAAGAGGAAGATACCTTCAGGGTGGCGAATGAGAAAGACTCCAACTGGTAGCGACTCGGTCCATTCTCTGTCGAAGATTGATTTGAGGCGTCGAAGAATCACAAAATTGCCGACAGGTTGTGAGCGCATTGATGGTCTGATGCGGACTGTTCCTGTGGTCAGGAACTCCAACTGTACAAGTCCATTCTGATTGTTGGTCATTGTAAAAATACTGATGGTAAGATGTAGAGAGAATGATCGAGATTGAAAGGACTGAAGTGGTAAAGTACTCAAGTTTATAAAGGACCGAAACCTTCGGCGGCTCATAGATAACCGAAGGACCGGGGAACTCAGCGTGAAGCCATGTTTGCCGAGAACTAAACTCGACGCTTATTCGGAGACTTGAGAAAATGATCAACCGTAACATAAGGCTACATACTCAATGAGGCTACGTTGAAAGGAGATTTGTAGAACTAGGGCTGGCGGTTGAAGCCAGAGCGATGCCTGTTGTTTGCCCAAAAACAACACAAAGACACCGAAACGATCAATTTATGTACAGAGTTAAGGGATTTATACCTAAGGTTGCTCCAATTAACGTCTGTTAGGTGCAAGGCAGTGAATTATTTCAGTGTTTACGTTCGCCGACTCGTCGCGACTTTCTTTTGACGACCGAACGGTGTCGGCAAACTTAACCGAAACACCTCTCCTCTTTGCCGAACCCAAACCACCTCCGCAGATATGCGGCGTCGAGCCCGTACAGTATGCATCCGCTGTCACGGCAGCAAAGTAAGTACTGGTTGAAGACTACGATATACCTTGCTAATTCGAAGTCTGAAGGTCCGTTGTGACATCGAAGATCGGACAAGCGGAATTTGCAGCGGGTGCGAGCAAAAGGGTCATCAATGCCAGTGCGTTGTGGCACCATCTTTACAAATATTACAAATACCACAAGCTGACTTTCCAGACCTCACATTGGACCTCGCAAGCAAAGGAAGGCTCTGCGCTCTTCACTAGCTGCCAATGTGACTCCTCCGACCCCAAGCCAAACATTGCCAACTCCAGCACAAACACAAGCATCGGATACCACGCTATCATCGTCTTACAGTACCCTGGAACAACGCACAGTACATTGCACAGATCTCGGAAATTCCAGTTCAAGGCAGCCAAACTACATCGACGGGAGCGAGCTTATTCTCGACATAAGTCAGGCATGTCGCCTTCCACCTCCAGTCATCGCTCAAGCATTGTCTGATTTCTATTTCCGTGAGCTATTTCCATTTGCACCAGTGATTGATCGGGGAAAAGTCTTAGCCTCATCGTCGGTATTGGTCCAGCAGTGTCTGTCTTTTGCAGGTAGCACCATGCGTCAACCAGCAGGAGCAAGCGACTGGTCTCCTTTTTCCATCTACGGACGGATCAAGACACTACTTTTTGTGCGCCAAGATCCATGCCCATTCAACATGCTCAGCGCTCTTTCGATCCTGAGTACCTGGCTTCCATATTCGCCCGAGGCAGTCGTACTGGACAGCCCATGGCAATGGACTGGCATGGCAATCCGAATGGGAATACAAATGCATCTGCACAAAGCTGACTCTTATAATCAACTGCAAAATCCTGGGTTGATCCGACGAACGTGGTGGTATCTTTTCGTCGCTGATACGTTACAAATGGCTTGCTGTGGGCGTCCTGGGATGTTCCCTTTGAAAGACAATTCTGTGCCGTTACCTCGGATCACCGATTTCGAGAAACCTGAGATGGGAGCACACGTATTTTGTCAGATGACACGTCTCTGTCTCGATCTGAAGAAGGTCCTTGACTTGGGTAGAGACAATGAAGGCACACGAGAGCAGGCATATCAAACCATGGACAATCTCAAACAATGGCGAGATATCTTACCTATCGAACTGCAACTGTTTGGCCTAGCTCAAGAAAGGCAGGTGTACAGCCGCCCTGTGGTTGAGCTTCACATCTTTTATTTTGCAGCAGTTGTTCTGACCTGCTTCCTGGGACGTCGTGATAACACCCCGTTACTCAAATACCTCTCGATCGCTGCATCCTCTTGCATATCTCGACTCTATGAGGAGATCCTTTGTCATGAAGAGGTTCAATATCTTCTGCCAATCCATTCCTGGACTATTCTCGTTGCCGCAATCCCACGCGTATTCTGCGACATGGACGCTGTGAATTCACATCGGGCGGATGATGGCAGAACCAGCCAGCAAGTACTGGAGAAGATGAGCGAAAAGCATAGATCAGCCGGCATGGTGCAAAGCAAGATTCAAGGCATCAGCAACCTTGGTACCAGCATGTTTCCTGTACCATTCGATGCTATGTGGAATAGTCTTCCGGCACCGACATTAGATGAGAAGACACACATCAATGCGATGTTACCTTTTCCCGGGAGCTTTTGTCCAATGCTTGATTCGGTTATGTCGATGGAGAGCAGTGGAAATGAAACTCTTGATTCCCTACCCTCAGTACCCACAGACAGCGATGTGCAGGATTGGCCGTTGGATTGGTCTTTCTGTATGACGGTCCTATGAGCTTTTAGTCAGAAAGATGCTTCTGTGTGAAACTAGTCAGGTTAAAAAACGTCAATGAAAAAAAGAATATTCATTATATTCCCATAGTAAGCTGAGAAACCCAGTAGATAAAAGCCATACCTCCACACGAACTCTGGAGTATACCCCACACACTCGGCAACATCCCGTTTCTCGGAGCACATCCGCCCACCCCATATAAGAACCTCAAGATCACCTAGTTATCCCTCAACCAACAATTCTCTCGGTGCAACTACATTCACACTCGCCAAAATGTCAGATCCAGCCGACCAACCACAACAAATGCACCACATCCAACCTGCGCACCTCAAAAGCTTCGTGCAACAAATCCTCATCGCAAACGGCACATCACCCAGCGACGCAGAAATAGTCGCAAAATGCCTCGTAGCAGCCGACCTCCGAGGCGTGGACACACACGGAAGCAATCGCATTCCATCATACATGGAACGAATCCGCCAAAAGGCACTGGACCCGGCAGCGACACCCACAGTACTCCAGGTGACACCAGCGGTAGCACAAGTGGACGCCCACAACGGCTTCGGCTTCGTAGCCGCACACGAAGGCATGAAACGTGCGATTGAAATGGCCAAAATCTTCGGCATAGGCATGGTCTCCGTCAAACATTCAAACCACTTCGGCATGTCAGCATGGCTAGTGCAGCAAGCACTAGAATCAGACATGATGTCACTCGTGTTCACGAACAGTTCCCCAGCACTACCGGTCTGGGGCGGGAAAGAGAAGTTAATGGGCGTTTCGCCTATTGCGTGTGGAGCGCCGTCCGGGAATGAGCGCCGGCCATTTATCCTTGATATGGCGCCTTCTATTGCGGCACGGGGCAAGATTTACAAGGCTCTTCGGCGGGGCGAGAAGATTCCTACGGATTGGGCGCTTGATAGGGAGGGCAGGCAGACTGATGATCCGGCGAGTGCGCTGGAGGGTGTTATGTTGCCTATGGGCGGACCGAAGGGGTCGGCACTATCTGTAATGATGGACGTATTCTCTGGTGTGTTGTCTGGATCGGCTTTTGCAGGGGGAGTCACTAATCCGTATGATCCATCCAAACCGGCGGATGTGGGACATTTCCTGGTTGCTATTAAGCCCGATTTGTTCATGACAATTGAAGAGTTTAAGGGGAGGATGGATTATCTGTATCAGCGGGTTGTTGAGTCGGACAAGATGGCTGGTGTGGATCAGATTTACTTCCCTGGGGAGATTGAGATGATTACTGAAGAGCGGAGGTTGGTCGATGGGATTCCTTTTGCTGAGGCTGAGATTGCCAGTTTGAATAAGGAGGCGGATTTGGCAGGTATTGAGCATTTGAAAATCTGATCTCCTATTCTTTAGATAAATATCAATTACATCTACAATGGGACAATATGCATAATATGGCATGAAGCTGATAGCTGGTAAAGTCTATGTGTTACATTCTATGGATAGGCATAGACTGTCAGATGTACAAGACAAAGCGCAAGGCTTGATGGACTGACCGCACTACTGGTCTTTAAATGCCAACTAAAAACACACAAGGCAATCTTAAACAACTTGCCACAAAATGCCAGCCATGAAGCAGGAAGCCACACAAAATAATGCACAGGTAGAAATAGTGTCACAGTTCAATTATCGTCGACAGGACCTCCCATAGAAGGAAAGAAAAGCCAGAGAGAACCAGAATAAACATATTCAATGGGGAAATAATATGCTCGGAGAAAAGAACACGGGTAAGGTCTCACTTTACAGCCAGAGATAATAGTAACAGGAGAAGGGAAGGCAAGTCACAGGGGATCTGGTAAGAACAGGAGAACAAAAGCAAAAGACATTAGGAAAGGAAAATGTATTCAGACAAAGGAAATAATGAACATGCTAGATAATTAATCAAACATCCAAAAGGATGATGAGGAATCGCTCCATGCATAAGAAGAGAACAAAAGCAGGGTATCACGTAGTATCCAAACAACCTCGCTGCTCTTCCGAGCAACTCAAAGAGCATCAGAAAGATGGGGTTTGAATCTGCCTTGTGAGATCAAAGCACGAATTCGAGGTGCTTGATCTATCCGGTCTCACGTGCCGGGCCGAATTGAGATGAGGCTCTCGTCTTTGATTGACTAGCCAGGGCGAGATCAACGTTCATCACCGGCTCTAGACTTGGCACGTCTGCGGAAGAAATCCATGACTTTGCGTGCTGCACCAGAACTGCCAGAATGATGAGATCCGTCCCGCTCATATTCGTAGGCATCGGCGAATTTGCGGTGGTTCTTTTGCAAGACGTTCGGTCCACGTCCTGGGCGGCCAGCCTGCATTGACTGGCGAGGCAAGCTGTCATAAGTGCCATTGTAGTCGTCGTAGTAGTTGGGCTTAGATTGGTAGCCATAATGATTGCCAGAGTATTGATCTCGAGAGTTTTGGTAAACCTGTTCAGCCGACGGCATACCGAAGGAATCCTGCTGCTGGTCGAATTGAGTGCCCAGGTCTGCGAATTGCCGATCGATTTGGGCTTCATAGCTGAGAGGCTCGTTTTCAACCTGGGCATCCTCTCCAGGTCCCTCTCTAACCATGCCCATGGCATCTTGAGCGCCATAGCTTGTCGAGCGAGCCCGACCTTCTCCAGGGCCTGCAGGGCCTGCAGGGCCTGTAGCTGGCCGTTGTTGACCACGAGACTCGACAGGGCGAGAATTGTCTGATTGTTCATCGGGTGTCTGAGCTCGGCCGGTGGAGAAGCCTCGGAAGGAGAACGATTGGGGAAGAAGGGAGAACCGACGAGGCCGGTTCTCAAGACCCGATTCGCTTGCCTTGCGGTTATGGGGGTATTGCATGGAACGCCGAGAATCCATGGACATTCTGGAATTCTCTCTCGGTAGCGGTTCCTTCATGCTGACTGGAGGATAACGCTTGTCCTGCTTTGTACGAGGGGCGGTGGCCTGAGAGCCACGGCCACCTAAGATTGACCCAGAGCGTCCAAAAGTTTCTCGCCAAGGCTAGAAACAGTGTTTGACCTTTTGTGGCCCTTTGGTGGCTCTTGCCGAGGCGTCGTGTTGAATGTTGAAGGCAATACCTGGGTGCTTGGACGGCCGATCGATGTAGTAGATGCCTCTGGTTCTTGGGGAAGGGTGAATTGTCTGCTCTTGGGCTGTGCCAGGCGGCCTTCGGTATTAGTTGCGGTAACAGTAGGAGCCACCGGCTGTCCGTAGGAACCGCGAGAAGGTAAACGACCAGCGTTGTTGAAGGAAGCCATGGAGCCACCAGTGGCGGGCCGTGCACCTGAAGGCAACGCAACAGTGTGCGATCCAGTGAGTGCTGCGTTGTCCGAGGTCGAGCGCGGGAAGTATCCTGGAAGGGGCTTGTTGAGGTTGAGCGCCGGCGCGTCTCCGCCCTTCTTTTGGACTGGCTCTGCTGGCTGCTGCACCGGCGCCATTGGTGGTTCTGATGGAGCTGGGGCTCGGCGTGAGGTGGACGGCTCTGCTGGAGGTTCTCCTCTCGTCGTTTGTGACTGAGGGGCGACATACTCGACTTGGACCGTTCTTCGCTTGGCATCGCGAGTGGTTTTGGACTTTTCGGATGGCGAGTCTTGCGAAATGTCTCCAGCATGGTGGTTCAGACCACCAACAGCTGGAACATTGCTTTGGGATGTCTTAGGTGGTTCGCGTACAGAGGCACTTCGGGTGAGAGGGGGGCTTCTTTTTGTGTTTCTATGAGTGTCAGTTTGAAATTAAGCATTTGAAAGCAATCGGTCTCACCGGAAGTAATTGTTGTGTTGGCAATGTCCGCAACATTTGTTGTGCTGCTTGTGATATGAGACACAACGTGCGAGTATTCACTTAGCCAGCTGTGCCGGGCAACCTCAAACAGATCTGCACGCTTCCGCGGGTCGGGAACCAGTATCCTCCTCAAAAGATCGCGCGCATGTGGTGTTACATATTCTGGGAATGTGAGAGGTGTGGTGATGATGTATTTGTACAGAAGATTAATGTTGTCGCCGTCGGGGTTTGCTGGGTCGTCATCGAAGGGAAGGTATCCAGCCAACATGGCATACTAGAGATGTCAGTTGAGTCAAAGACTGAATGCAGCTAGATTCTTACCAAGATAACTCCGCAACTCCACACATCCACCTTCCGACCTGTATACAAGGAGTCGCTCACAACAAGCTCAGGAGCGGCGTAACAGGGACTGCCACAGCTGGTCTGCATCAAATCCCCTCGGCGCAACCCATTGCTGTTAACCTTGTCTAGGCGCTTTCGCTTGACATATTCCTTGTTGGTCAGGTTGTACTCGATCTCCTCGTCCAGCGGGTCCATTGGGTCGAATGTATTGGCGAATCCGAAATCCGTAATTATTATGTTGCGGTTCCGGTCGAGAAGCAAGTTCTCCAGTTTCAAATCACGGTGAACGATTCCCTTTTTGTGCAGATAGCCAACTCCCGAAACCAGCTGAGCAAACAGTCGGCGCGCGGAATTGTCCTTCAAGTACCGGTTGTTCAAGATATAGTCGAACAGTTCACCTCCTGACGCGTACTCCATGATGATACCAATGTGGCGGTCGGTTTCCACCATCTCATGGAGGCGCACAATGTTGGGGTGTGCAAGATCGCGTAGAATGGAAATCTCACGGTAGATCTTGGGTAGTCTGCTGGGGTTGGTTCCCAGTGAGTCCCTCCGAATGAGCTTGATAGCTACTTGGATGCTACCATCTCGCTTCCAACCCAGCTTGACCTTTCCGAACTCACCCTCACCGAGGGTTTGCCCAAGAATGTAAGAGCCGAAAGTAGTCTCCTTGCGCTTCACGACATTTCCGTTGTTATAATCATGTCGACTGCGAGGCCCGCGAGCCTCTTCTGCGCCATCGGACCCAGCTGTCAAGCCCGATGAGGGGGCATGCTCTGCGGATGCACCAACTTGTCGGACCTGCTCTCTTTCGTGATCCACGACAGGGTCGCTGACTTTAACAGAGTTGAGCACTGCACTGGACTCCTTCACTAGATTCCCCTCAGGCATCTCCATTGACTCGGCTTGGACCGGTGGCGCTGTTCTTGACTCAACTTCGCGAGATGTCTCCTCTCCCTGGTGTCTCCGTGATTTGCCGTTTCGGTCTTCACGTGGGCGCTCACGGTGTTCCTTTCGCTCAGACCTGCTCTTTCCTCGGGAAGATTGTTTTTCTCCCGACGCTCCGTTCGGACTCCGACGGCTGTGGTTTGTTGACGAGGTTCGCGGCGGAGGAACCGGTGGCGTACCTAACATGTCGGGGTAGGCCGTGCGAGCATTCTTTTGGGAGGGAGACGCGGCGCTGGTCGATCCTGGTGAAGCATGGGTGGGGAGCACAGCCGGCTGACGGGAAGTGCTCATAGCCGAAGAAGCTGTTCGGGACCGGCCTCAGAAGTGGCTGAAGATAGATTAGCAAGCCAGTCGCTGATGCGCGCACGGTCCTGCATCACGGCAACATACCTTCTGATGGATGCGCAAAGCCTGAGCTTGTGTGACTCCCGAGGCAGCTTCAGGCAGAAATTGGTAACTGCGATTCGTAGAATTGGCGCGAGAGGGCACGGTGAAAATCGAGGGGTTGGCGACCGGTCGCACTCAATTCAACGCGCAATCTGCATCGGTCAGTCCCCAAGTTCTTATCAATCGCCAAAAATGTTGTCGAGGAATGGGGGTAGCTGCCAGATCGGAAGAATGGAGGGGACGCCACCAATCGCGCAGCCGTTGAATGGAGCTCGAATCACCCACCGATGTTGCCCAGGGGTAAAGACGCGTCGAACACCCAAAGCTCAAGATAGCTGCACTGCAGTTCTCAAGTCCCCAGATCCACGATATTCGGCACGTCAAAGATCGGAGAAACAAAACAAATGTCTCAGACGCGAAATCCCGACTCGAAGCGATTTCAATTGAACATGGTCGAATCCAGGAGGGGAGGGGGCGCGAGGGGACGGGATACACCGGTCGGAGATCCCTTGGAAAAAGGGGAACACCCTCAAAGAACGAAAACTGAAAGGACAAAAAAGAAGAAGAAAAAGGAAGGGAGAAGGGAAGCCCAGATAGTTGTGAAGGGAAAAGAGGAGGTGAGATACGAGATTGGTTCTGGGGGGGGGCGGGAGAGGCCTGGGAGCTCAACTATACTCACTACGGTAATTGCGCTACACTTGATACTTGATACTTCCATGATTAACTTATATCTGCTATGTCGTTATAGAGCATATTCGCTATATCTTGTTATATTCTCTACCTGCCCTGTCTCCATACTCTGTATAATGTATACTGCGTAGGAATCAGTTCAGTTTCCTGATATTCAAGTCAATCTGACCAAATACGGAGTAGTCCAGCATACAAATGATAATGATTGTAATTATTGCTCCCTTGCTCTACAAAGGGCCTCCTCGCAGGCCTAAACATCAAGTTTTAAGAAATAGGGGGTTAGAGTGGACACCGCCGATCGTCATTATTAGCCTCCGAGGATTGATCTCACATTTCCTTTGTGTTTTAACGTTATTTATAGATGCATTTCTTAGCTTTATGTTTTACCAAGCGCTCAACGACTATACTCGATTAACATATGTGCGTATATGTGTATATCTTGTGTATATCTTGTGTATATCTTGTGTATGTCTTGTGTATGTCTTGTGTATATCTGCGTATTGTAAAAGAATCTATCCGGAATGCAACCATGGTTGATATCACTCGAACCACGGAAGCAGTAAGATCTTAGCAGATCTCTGTTCGACTTCAAAGAGTCATGTATTCTGCACTGTCGTCTCTCTATACTGCAACTTGGCTCCACATATTAGTACTCTACACGTCATTTCAATCTCTGCAATTATTGCGCCTACCCCAATTCCCTTCTCCCCTTTGTCTCAATCATTATTGATAGCCCTTATTGGAGGTGGATGATTGACAACTGTCAATTGATGCGTTGGCAATTTCGCCATCTATACTCTCGTCCAATCGATAGCGCATAGATCGACCGTTAGCCAGAACAATTCTCAGCCAATGGCTATCACCGCCGTTGCGTACTTCAAACATCACTTCTATCGAATGATCCTGCTATATTTACAGTAATTATATGAAAAAGACGGTCTGAGTCGGATTTGGGCTCGGTGCTCGCGGCCGTGTCACCTAGTCAAACCCCAAATTTCATCCAATCGTACCTGAAGTATAGTATCACATTAATATAAGCATGTTGGAATGTAGTCGGAACTTAATTCTGGTTGTAACTATCTACATATCAAATCTTCAAGCTTGAAAATCGCCTGCCTAACCCAAATTAAGGAAAGAGATAGATCTCAGGGACCCTTACCCCGGAGTTTTACCGCTTACCCCCTGGCATGGGCGCTCCATCTAGCGAAAGCGTCCCTGATGCACCATAGGCTGGAGGCGGTGTGGGGCCAGGCGACGGGCGGCGGACAACTGGGTCCTGAGCACCCAAGTGAGAAGGACCCGTGTCCACTCCAGCAGGAATCTGACCACCGTCACCTCCACCAACGACAACCTGTTGGCCGTCGCGCATTTTACCCACAACCATACCCTTGGCAACGGATTTCAGAAGCGCGCGGCGACTGACACCGGTGGCGTCAATATACACCAACCCCACATTCTTGATTCCGCCTGTCAGGTTGGTTGCGACAGTACCAGCCTCGGACCCATAACGGTGATCGATCATGGAGCTGGCTGCTGAAGCACCGGAGAAGAGCATGTTTCGGGCGCTTTGCTCGATGCCATCGGCGATGGTGGAGAATGCGATCATTGATTTGTTCAAGACACCAGGCTTGTAGTCTTGTGGTGGGTTGCTCTTGTCAAAGCCTTTGCGCCGGCCTGATTCTTGCTTACGCGCCAAAGACGCGCCTAGGTTTTGCGCAACTTTGCCAACCTGTCCAACGGTGCGAGCTGAAAAATCGGCAGCTCCGTGGGAGAAAGTGCCGACCTTGCGGATGCGAGCGTGGGTAGAGTCGGAGAAGGTCAGAGGCTTAGGGTTAGGCTTGGTCTTCTGTTGGAAGCTCTGCGCACCACTGGCGATGGCACCTGCCAGATATGATGACCCAGTGACGATCAAGCGTGATGCTGTCGCAGATGTTTGGACGATGGTCGAGTTCTTGTATGCGGGGTGCCGAGCCATTGCCAGGTATTCTTCAGAGACATTGCTGACACTGACTTGATTACCTTCACCTTCTGCAGGGAGTTCAATTCCCACGGGTCCTATAAAACCGTTTAGCTTCTGGGGAAAGTCAAAAACACCGAATAACTTACGCTTGGAACCAGGCTTCACATCCGAATCCTCGACTACGTTATAACCATCTCCCAGCTCTCCGACAACGCTGCCATCTTCCTCGTCAATCAGCACGATCCTTCCATGCGCATCTGCATTCTTCGAGTCCGACCCAACATATCCCTGGCCGGGTGCGTAGTCCGCGGGGTTATAAGCAGCGAAGTCTTGCGACTTGGGAGGAGGGGCTCGTTCGAGGAATGCGGTGCACTGTGCAAGAATGGTTTCAAATGTATCGATATCATCCTGGGTCACGTTGCTAGGTCCAGAGCCGATACTGGGGAATTGGATGCGAATAAAGGCACCGGCATCGGGCCCCATGTCCCATCGGGGAATAAGATAACTCTCGGGGGGCTGGTGGAAGATCTGGGTAGTCGCCGGTAGTGCGAGGTCCAGCTCAGGTGGGAGATATAGGTGGAGGTAGAAGTCTTCTTCTGGCGACTCCGTGCCAGGTCCCGAACCTGCGGTGCTGGTTGGGACCATTAGCAAAGAGAGGGTCTGAGGGCCCGACGGCGTGAGATCCTGCTCCTCGCCATCTTGTAGGTGGAAAGCGCGAATATTGTTGACGCTGTAGAGCAACCGGGGGTCGTGTGCTGCGGACATGCTGATAGTAAATAGGAGCCTGCGGTTTCAGGGTTGCCCGCAATCGAGCTGATAACGGGGGTATGACGTCGTGTTACAATCGGCTCAGTGGCGAGTTACCGGGTCACTTTCGAGTGTCAAGTAGGTCAAGCAGATCAGGCAAGCGAGGATGTAGAAGACAAGAGTTCAACTCAAGACGAAGGGGCTTCTTATGAGCACTTGGGCATGTCTGGGCGCTTAGATAAATGGAGGGCTGTGCTGCGCCGCGTTTGCGCCACATCTGCGCCACATTTACGCCACGCCATATTGTGGGGGTTCACACATTCACTATCCATCTCTCTATACCCAATACTTGTACGTGGAATCGATGTCTATTCGATGGCCAAGTTTCAGATCTTGTCGGATCTGCATCTAGAGAATCCATATGCCTACGATGTGTTCAAGATCTCCCCAACAGCACCCTATCTTGCTCTGTTGGGTGACATAGGAGTGGTCAAAGACGATGGTTTCTTTCCATTTGTTGAAACACAATTACGCCAGTTCAAGATCGTCTTCTTTTTGTTGGGGAATCATGAGCCGTACTATTTGACTTGGAATAAAGCACGACAGGAACTACAACAATTCTCCAACTCGGTCAGGCAACGCTCGAGGGCAGAAGCGATAGGAGAATTTGTGTTTCTGAACCAGACTCGATATGACATCTCATCAGATGTAACTGTCCTGGGCTGCACACTTTTCTCGCGAATCGATGAAACCCAGAAGGAGCGGGTCAGCTTCGGTCTCAATGATTTCTACCACATAAACGACTGGACGGTGGAAGAACACACAGCTGCTCATGAAGCAGACCTAAGATGGCTTAATGAACAGATTTCCCAAATTGCTGCCAATGAGCCTCGGCGCAGGATTGTCGTCTTTACACACCATAGCCCAGTCACCCAGAATCCGCGAGCAGTTGACCCAAGGCATAAGAATAGTCCGTTGTCCTCGGGGTTTGCCACGGATTTATCCACACAGGAATGTTGGACAAGTCCGCTGGTGCGATTATGGGCGTTTGGACATACACATTACAATGTTCACTTTGAAGATGGCACTGGAAAAATGGTCGTGAGCAACCAGAGGGGGTATTATTTTTCTCAAGCACAAGCCTTTGATGATAGACTGGTAATTGCTATCTGATTCATTTCGTACGAAGACTTTGTCTGACTCTATATCAAGTTGGCAAACATGGTATAGAAACTTTATGTCCGAAATATATAATTGTGGGGATGGGGGCGGTGCGAGGGCAATGGGAGGAGTTTCCTCTAACAGCAAGAAAAAAAAAAAAAAAAAAAAAAAAAAATCAAACAGTCAAAAGAAACTACTAAGTGAAAACACCACGGAGAGAATGCTTATATATCCTAAATTAATATCAGACAGAATGCGCAAAGGTTGGTATGAGATATGGGTGATTTAACATATGCTTGTTAATGTTCGTTCTTAAATTAACAGTGCTAGCAACTAAAATTTGATTGTATGATTACAGTTAAACTAGATAGAAAACTTCCGGTATCATAATAGTAGCCTACAGAGTGAAAAATTAGACACATACAGTCATATGTAAAGGTGGATGTAAAAATTTAGTTAGTAGGTTAGCAAAAAAGAAAGCAAAAAGAATGGACGGACGGTGGATCGAACACCGGACCTTCCGCATGCAAAGCGGATGTTATACCACTAAACTATGCGCCCAATTGTATGATCATTCAACATGATCATGGATTATAAAGTGGGCACACATTTCCTAAGTTCCGAAGGCCGAAAATTTCATGTACGTCAGATATCCTAGCACTGCACCTCTGTTTCATACTTCAGGCTAAGATATAATAATATACATTATCTTACTCATTTATAATACAGAACATATAGACTGGAATACATACCTTCATCACAAGAGAGAGTGTAACATCGAGTTTGCGCCTAACCACTCTGGGACACGAATCCACTTGCCAGTCTCTACAGTTCCATGGTTGACATTTAACCATGCTGAGTCATAACAAACAGTGCAAACAAGCGGTGGGATGCAAAGTTTTGGTGGAGTACTTGCCTTGCTCTTGGTTTCAAGAATTTCTGATTGCCTGCTGGACCAAATGGAAGCCGAACCAGCCAGGATTAATTCTGTGCCTGACGTCGAGGCCCAGAAGCGTGACGCGAATGACAATTCCGCCGCTATGGAAGAGCCTCCGGCCAAGAAAGCACGATTGGAGGAAACCCCCAGCTCGGACAGGCAAGACATGCGCGATAGAGGAGTTGCGCCTATTAAAGCAGAGTATGTTTGTTTCACGTTTTACACAACGGGATATTGACATTGCTATTCCAGGTATCGCATCGAAGTCGTGAGGCCCCAGCCGAAAGAACAGTCGAAAGACGAGATCGGTCCTGACGATGCCGCCGAAGCCGCCCCTCGCGACGACCGTGATACCGATAAGATGTCCAAGAAGGAGAAGAAGAAGAAGTTCTCGGGTCAAAACACCAACCGAAGTTATGGAAAATCCCAAGACGAAAAGGGCCTTTGCGCTACGAGAATGACAGCCAATGAATTCTCGGCTGCCGAATGCAAGTTTGGCGACACTTGTCGATTTGAGCATGACTTGCGCCGTTACCTGAAGGAGCACAAGCGCGAGGATCTCACTACGTTCAAAGTCTGCCCTATCTACGAAGCGCAGGGAAGATGCTCCGCCGGCTGGAGATGTCGACTGGTTGGCTCTCACTCGACCGAGAGAGAAACCGAAGACGGGAGAAAGGAATTGATCTTACTGGAAGATGCAGAGCTCGTGGAGAAAGCTCGCCCTCGCGTGCCTGGTGCGACACCCGACGGGGTCGTCAACATCATTCCCGCGGATGCCAGGGTCACCCTTACGAGAAAGAAGGAGAAAACCCCTCGCGCTGATGCTTACAACACATGGGTCAACAAGGTCTCTGCAGAGCTAGAGAAGACGCTCCACAAGCGAAACACTGTCCGAGAGAACGGAGAGCTTGTTGATCCAGCAAAGGAGAATGAGAAGAAAGGAGATGACGTCAAGGAAAAGACCATAGATGGGGGCGCGAACGAGGAAGTGAAGGACAAAGTGGAGGAGAAAGCGGAGAAAAAGGAGGCACTTGAGGAGAACCGCGCTCAATTTACTGAACCTCCTTTCTTGCCCTCCGAGAAGAGACGCATTTACTTCGGCCCAGAGACACCAACGCTCGCACCTTTGACAACACAGGGCAACATGCCATTCCGAAGACTTTGTGAAGACCTAGGTGCGCAATTCACCTATTCGGAGATGGCCATGAGTATGCCTCTGATTCAGGGCGCAAAGTCTGAATGGACCCTTTTGAAGGCACACGAGTCAGAATTGGCACCACCAACAGTCATCCCGGGAGACAACATTGTCCAGGGCTATGATAACTCCAAGGATTCCAAGTTTGGTGCACAGATTGCGGCCAACAAGCCATGGCAAGCATGCAAGGCCACAGAGGTGCTGTCAAAGTTCACTCCCAACCTGCGCGTTATCGATTTGAACTGTGGATGTCCCATTGAGCTTGTATTCCGTGACGGCGCTGGGTCTGCTCTGCTTGACCACGGCTCCAAGCTGGAGAAGATGATTCGCGGTATGAACACTGTCTCGCAGGAGATTCCAATTACCGTCAAGATCCGCACAGGAACTAAGGACAACCAGCCCAACGCTTTGAAGCTGGTTGAGCGTCTTGTTCTGGGTGGCTACGAGTCCAGTCTTTTGGACGTTGGCCCTCCAGGCGCCGCTGCTATCACTCTGCACGGACGGAGTAGACAGCAGCGCTACACCCGACAGGCAGATTGGGGATACATCTCTGAGACAGCAGCCCTTATCAAGCGCTTGAATGAAAAGAAGGACAGTCTCACTGACACCATCCGTGAACCGGATGCCCGTTTCATGCCTAACGGCGGAAAGACTTACTTCCTCGGCAACGGTGACTGCTACTCCCATGTCGACTACGACGATCACGTCAACAATGCCGGCGTGGATAGTGTGATGGTGGCTCGTGGAGCTTTGATCAAACCTTGGGTTTTCGAGGAGATTCAGACAGGCCAGTATCTTGACAAGTCTGCGACTGAGCGTCTGGCTTATATTGAGCGCTTTGCCAAGTATGGTCTCCAGGCTTGGGGATCTGATGAGCATGGTGTTGGAACAACTCGTCGTTTCCTGCTTGAATGGTTGAGCTTTGCTTACCGCTATGTTCCAATCGGACTGCTGGAATACCTCCCTCCTAATATCCAAGACAGACCACCCGCTTGGCGCGGCCGTAATGAACTAGAAACGCTTATGGGCAGTGGGAACTACAAAGACTGGATTAAGATCACGTAAGGTCTTCTCGAAATACTCTCGGATTATTGGCTAACTCATATCACAGTGAAATGTTCCTGGGTCCTGCTCACAAGGACTTCAAGTTCGAACCCAAGCACAAATCTAACTCTTACGAGGCAGAGGGTTAAAGAGACCTATCCCTCACAATTGTCGACAATTGTACATATCACAAAATCATCACAGCTTTACCTGCATGTTTACAAGGCGTTGGATTAAATGTCGAAGAAAGTCTCTGTTAAAAATGCAGTTATGAAAAGTTACAATCAGTTGACAGCTCTATGAATTTCGCTTCTTTATTAGCCAGAAGCCTAATCAACTGTCAAGAGTTGCTCATAGAAACCCCCAAACCCGCGCTCTTTATCATGAAGATGGATTTCCAGAATCCAATGGCGCTTGAACCCATCACGACCAGACAACCCCATTGATTCCTTATTACGCTTGGTGATATAGAGCGACGTCCGATCCCGCGGAATCCGCTCATGAGGGAACGATCCAACCAGATGGCCGGCAATATCAGCACCGAAATCCCAGCCTTCCTGCTGAGCAATCTCACAAGAAATGTCATACAACTCTTCTCCTGACATATCCGGGTTCTCGCGATACCGAGCCTTGACCGTGTTCCAGATCGGTTCCAGCGCATCGCGAAGTTTCTTCTTATGAGGATCATCTCCGAGGACAAAGGTACGCCCAAAGTCCGCCTCCCAAGCTTCAAAGACAGGCCCCAAGTCCACCACTAGTATGTCATCCGGCTGGATAACACGATCCGGTGGGTTCTCGGAGAACGGGCTGAGAGTGTTTGGTCCGCTGCGGATGACTCGCTTGTGCCAATGCGTCTTGATGCCATAGCGGTCGAGACCCAATTGGTAGATTTCCTCGTTCAATTTCTTTTCGGTAACGCCATGTCGGACTAGATCACGCTCGATCTCTTCGAAGAGTAGAACGGCTTTGTCTTGTGCACTTAGAAGCTGGGATGCTCGTTCGATTTCTTCGGTGGTAAGATTATTGCTTGCCATTGTTTGAATGAACGTAGATAGCGAAGTATGACAGAATTGGAACTGGTAATACAGTCAAGTGTAAAGCACTTCGGGGGATTAGAACAGTATACGGAGTACCCCTCGCGGATGTCAGAGCCGAAATTTCCCCACTCAAGAGCAATCCCGGTGACTAACCGAATAAGACATTGATTAGTGTAAGTCAAATTGGAGAAGTTGGAGAAGAGAACTATATGTGTATGTTATGGAGTAAGTCTATCTATGGATGTTGATATTCACCCATGATATTCACCCGTTATCAGTCGGGTATCTAGATCTGGTAACGTTATAACGCAAAGTGTCAATGAATAGGACTAGGCCTTATACAGTGAAAAATGCTCCATATAAATACTACTTGAACTAAGCTACATGAAATAAATATATCAATCGCAACTGACCAAACATGCAACTATCTCCCAAGTCCCTCAAAGCTTCGCCAGAATCCCTGATTGATGACAGCGTCACGTGCCCCATGACGTCTTCCTTTGAACCTGAAAAACTTCCCCCATAAGACCACCTCACTTCTCCAACACAGGCTCAACTCCCTCCGCAATTACTTCAGATCTCTCCAGGCAAAGGTTCTGTCTTGCTCAAGTTCCGTGTCTGTGCCTGTTCACCACCAGAACCACCACTCCTCGCTTTGTTTACTTTCACAAGCTATCTCCCAGCTCCCAACACCCCGCCCCTTTTGATTAGACCAGAACCTCAACTTCAAGTGTTGCTGTACTCCCAACACTCGACACAATGACTCTCTATTACAGCCTTGTATGTCCGACCAATTCGTTTCCAGCATTTCCCTTACTGTGCTGTCCAGCTTCTCAACCGAGGATCGCGGCAGCCTAGTTCCTGAGACTGCCCGCACAGTCCAAGATGTCAACAACACGTTGTCAGATACATTTTCGATGCGATTACATGCTAATATCTTGCCTTACAGGTTTTCCTCCTTCTGGTGTTCGAGATGGCGGTCTTCCTCGCCCTCGTAATCCCTCTGCCGCACACCATCAAGCGGAAGCTCTTTGCCTTCGTCTCGGAGAGCCCGATTATCGCTAAGCTACAATACGGATTGAAGGTACAAAGTTGCACCGAACCATTCCATCCAATATCGGACTGCTAACCGCGTCTTAGATTACATTCATCTTCATCCTTATCTTGTTCATTGACAGTGTCAACCGCGTGTACCGCGTGCAGCAGGAGCTGTCGGCTTTCACCAAGGATGGTCCCGCTGTCGGGTATGTAACCAAGTTCTCCGATTTTATGCCGCAGTCTAATCAAAAAGTGCTTACAGAGCTGCCCATCTCGGTACCGACCGCATGGAGGTCCAGGCCCGTAAATTCTACTCGCAACGCAACATGTACCTTTGCGGTTTCACCCTCTTCCTCTCCTTGATCCTCAACCGCACCTACACCATGATTCTCGAGGTCCTCCGCCTTGAGGACCGTGTCAGACTCCTCGAGGGCGACAAGAAAGCTGGCGGTAAGGACTCCGCCCGTATCGCCGAGGCTGGGTCACTCGGCGAGATCGGCCGCCTGAAGGAGATCATCGAGGCCAAGGACCGCGACATCGCCACCCTCAAGAAGCAGTGCGAGGGTCTGACCCGCGAATACCACAGCCTGGGCGACAAGGTCTCCACCTCGAAGGGCGATGAGAACGAGAAGAAGGACCTGTAAAGTGCTCCAAGTTGTGGGCCTACTCGGGTTATCTGCATGGTTTTGAACCCTGGCAGGCCCAGAATATCGTCCCTCAGCTTTGAAACGCTGCGGTCTGTGCCCGCCTCACGTTTGCTTTGATTGAGGGCCTCGTCCCTTACAATTGGAACCTCCTGGCAACAAATAACTCACGTTCTGGATTGAAAACTGTTCATTACTACCCTTTCGGTGTATGGTCTGTGCTGCCAATGCAGTAGAAAGGGCGTTTCTAAGATTTCGAGGTCCATAGTGTTAACTCTGCAGGACTTATCATATTCAATTAAATCTATTAACTATTTGCTTTTACCCTGTGCAACTTAATGACCCCCGCTATCAATTGCATGGCATGGAGACCAACACGATCCAATTCAATGGAAAAATAAGCGTCATTTCTAAAAATCATAAGGTATTCATGAATATACATATATGGCTCGGCTCGGCTTCAACAGCATATGCCATTTAAACCAGGAACGTCCAGAAACTAGGATAAACCAGCTCCTCCTCGAAAATCCGGCGAACCTGCGCAAGCACAAATCGCTCCACCTTGCCAACATTCTTCAAGACCTGCTTACCATCCTCCTTGCGACCGATTTCACTTTCTACCCGAATCTCTTGCAGCAAGCCACCCTGCCTCTTCTGATCCTTCTCTTTTTGGTCAACCCCAGACCGAGGTCGCCCGTCGTCACTGGGATTCTGGCTTCCCTGCGACTGTTCTGAGCCGAGAAGAGCATCAGCATCCTCCGCAGACAGGAAGCAGAAATGAACACGCTTGCGGATATATGCCACGACGGCAACACCGTCAAACGTGATGCCCGTGACGTTCAACTTCAACGGTAGTCCTACGAAGCTAGGCATCGGGTAGTCGAGCAGAATCTCTGCGGTAAGGGACATGCGCACGTCGCCAGCATACTTGGCATGGCAAAGAATTTGGAAGTCCTCTGGGCGGCGCTCGCGCATGCGCGGAGGTATGGGAAAAGAACGGTCCCCGGAGGCTGGATCATCGGGATTCTCTATAGACAGCTGCGGTGCATCGGCGGGATCGCTGCTGTTAGGATTTGACCCGCCACTGCCTGCAGGACCGTGTGAAGGATGCGAAGGGAGGGTATTTGCGGTTGAGGGTCGGGATGCGGAATTGTTGGTGTCAAGATCTGCTTCTGCAAGACGTGACGCTGTGATAGGACGGGGTGCATGTGGCCGGTGTCCAGGGCCCATCCCTGAGTCTGACCAGCCACTTGCAAATGAGGTACCACCCGCCACCGCTGCAAGGGGGGTCTGGGTACCTGACAGTCCACCCAGGGACCTCATATGGTACCCGAGTGTTGAAGTACCGCCCGGGATTCCAGGCGTACCAGCGCGGGGTAAGAAATGCGGATTGAGGTGGTCACCAAGAGGAGAACGAAGTGCAGACGGCTGGAACCCTTCACCAGGATAAGGATGGTGACTGAAATTGTGAGGGCTATGCGCAGCATTCATAGCCAATTCGTCCTCGTACGGAGATTCGTGAAGCTCGGGCCATTGCTCGGACATGAGCTCTTCGGAGGTAACAGAGGTATCGGCATCGTCATCGTCTTCTTCGTAGAAATCGGAGAATGGTTCACAGAAGTCTTTGATCTCGAGGTCTGGGCCAATGGTTCCGAAGTCAAAGGAGTGGACCTGGACCGAGCGAATAAAGCGTGGTAGGGTTACCTGCTGGAACTTGTCGTGCACGAATGACCGAATCCGCTCTGCCAGGGCTTCCCCATCCGGGCCAGAGGTGGCGGCTGCCCAGTCGACTTCGATTGACATCACATGTGCACTGCACTAGCTGATGTTTGTAGAGGGGAGAAGTTGGAGGCGAGGATGCCTGCGATAAGACCACGTGATGGGAATGATGACATCCTTATCGGTCGATGCGAACCATGGATGATCGCAACTCTAAAGGCAAGTAAGTTATCACTCGCAGTTCTACATCGTCAAGTCAACAAGACGCTCCTGCTTTAGTTTTTCAGTATGGCGTTTAGGCTGCACTCCGCGGCCGGATTTCCCATTTTTGGATCCCGCCGAAGCTATTGTTTAGTCTCAACTCTAGCGTCCAATGCAATGCCACAACGAATATTTGGGATCGTTTATTGAGATACCAGTGTTTTGTGTTTATAGAGTTTCACAATCTCTTGTTTATGAATTTGTCGGTCAGATACAACACCATGAGATTGAACCGCCCTCGCTTAAGGAAAGAGCTGTTTATTTGAAATCGCCAAGAAACAGGCTTCGATAGGATCTGCGCGCCGTGTGGAGTGAACTCCTGCCTAGCGGCCTGACCAAAAGATCTTGAAATCCTTCCACAAGTCTCAGTATATTGTGGCTGACCAGGCAAAGTGCTGGTATAAACACGGTCATTCGTCTTTCTGAGGCATGGACCACTCAACAGACGGATGGCGTGAACCATAGATCCAGGAATCGTCAGAACGACTCACTACCTTGGGTACCCCTTGATCCAAAGTCCAGATCAGCTGATACAGCCCATATGCGGGTCTAATGCAGCCGATGAGGTGCCTGCGCGCGGCTGGTAGCCTATCATCGACCCTAGGGACCACAATCGCGTCTATCTAGCTGGCCATTATGTTTCACTGGGCTTAACTGGCTGTCAACGCCCCGAACCCCGAGCACGTTCACCAATGACTAGTCTTCTCCTTTGCCGGCCTTTCCTTTTGTGATTTGTGACTCAACAGGGATTTGGGTGCATCACCATCGTGGTATAAGGGAAGACAGAGAGCCTCGTGCTCTTTCCCCTTTGATGGTGACTAATCTGTGCGAGGTCTCAATTCAGTCATATTGTACGCTATTCACACCACAGGTGTATGCAAATATACCAAACGTAGCCAACACAGTTCTCGCCATTGCATGTACTGGTACGTACGTCCGACTTCGATCGACAGTCACATCAACACCCCACTGGACTTCCAGAATGCCTTATAACCGAACTCGACTTCGGGAAAGCCACCAAGTGAAACCTGCCTTGTAGCCGCCGGCTCCAGGTAAGATTTCCCGTTCTCCGGATTAGCTCATGTTCTTGCAGAGATTTTCTCCCTCCTTACGATAAACTTTCTTTGCTCGAGTGTCGGTCCCATGAACATGTGGTTTGCAGAAGACCTCCTTCTAGATTAAACCTCTTGAAGTAGGGTGGTTTCTATCGTGTTAGCCGAAGAACCGAATCCCATTTGTTGGATTGAACAAGCCCAGTAAACCTTCCGACAAAGGAATGTCTGCACATTATGTAGGAACCATGTACATATGAGAGTGGCAATATTAGACAAGTGTGGCATGATAGCAATAGCAAAGTGGGTTATCTCCCACATAACGATGTGTTAATTGTTAAAAACATAATATCGCGCCTTGTTCGCACGGGAAGTTACTAAACAAAGATGGGCTCAAATTCGAAAATCAAAGCCAAATACAAGACCGCCCAGAACCCGGAATGCCCGATGATGCAAGGTAATGAGAAAATGTGACTCAGAATAGAAGAGTGTAACAATGCAGCAGGAAGACCCTTAACAGAGCGGGGCAGTCAAGAACGAGAACATACGCGAGCGCATGGCAATCAAACTCGTGGTGAATAGCCACCTAACGTTGGGGTAATCTGTTCGGTGCCTGTGGTCTCCCATTAGCTAAACCCTATACAAGCGAGGTGATCTAGACCAAGTGAAGGCCGCTAACATTCGAGGTTAACTTATGTATGCTGGGAGCACTTAAAGCCAGGTCGGTGACGGTCCTGCTCTTTCACACCAGGACAAGTGGGTGTGCCTTTCTTAGCACAAGGAACGACGCCACCTTCCTGCTTTTTACAACCGCAGTCGTAGTGGAAGATGTAGATGGAGCACATTTTGAAATTTGAGAGGACGAAGGACACCGAGGACAAAGATTGTAGACTGAGTTTAGATAGATCGTGATCTCGGATTGATCAATGTGATAGAAAACAAGAAAGGACCAGCGACCACCTTTATAACAGTCTGTGACTCCATCAAGAGAAGCACGATAGCTGCGCCGCTCACTATATGGTAGGCACCACCACTAGAAGATCAGGTCCTCCCACCTGTTGCCTAAGCGCTGTAACTCATTAGGATTTACTCACCCAGATACGCTATATGCACGAAACACCTCTGTGATCACCTTTCGCGCAGTCAAATAAAGGGCAACTGAGGGCACGACCAAAGGTAGACATGCGCCATTGTGAGTACATTAGCATTTACCAACAGAAGACAGTGTTGGCCGCAGGGGGATCATTAGAGGGTAGCGACATCTCCGGGGAGACATGCCGATGAACTGGGTTCGACGCCATGAGCAGGGGTTGGCCAGGGTGAGCACTTGATCGATCCCGAAATTCAGTAGCTGCAACAGGTCTTTGACATCATAATCAGGCACCCCAGGCAATCAAGGGGCTCATCCTATGCACCATATGAGCACCAACAATAGCCCCGCTTCGAATGGGTCCTCTTAGGGCCTGCGCCGCGGCATTTAGAGACAGGGCGTGACTCTTGCAATTCACAGTAATTCCGTAGTAGAATGCGTCATCTCGCAGGCGGCGTAGGAGGTTGAGATATAGCTGAGTCCTGGAGGACTGTTTTGACATTCTAAAAACTGAATATGTCAGTACTGAATAGAATTAGGAACACCCCGTTCGGCCTCAGAGTCAAACAAAAATTGGCTTCCATCTAAAAGTCAGAACCAATAAGTGGCGTTCGCATCACCACAGGATGAGACTGTGTTTGATTGAATAACTCGGGAACCAACACCGCTTCAACAGGCCCAATCCTCGCATCGAGGCTCTACAGCCTAATATGGAAAGACACGTTTTTGTCGACATACGTCTCGATTCGAGTTTGTAGACGAATAAGGCTCACAATCATGGCGCAGTTGGTGATAGTCGCAAGTAGTAAACCAGAAAATGCGTTGTGATGAGGCTTTCCCTTTTTTCTAGCCAAAAGGTTAAGCGATCAGGAAAGCAGGTTGAGACATAAGCCAAGAAAAAACCCCTTGAACTGGTATAGTGTCAGCGATATTAGCTGTATGTGATAGCCGGCGGTTTTGTCCGATTTAGCGCGATCATGCGTCTGCGGGGCCCAGGGCGAGGGAATTCAACGAGGGCCTATCAAATTGTTCTAGGGCGGAAATGACTGGTGAAAAGGAAGCTCTTCAATTGCACAGTAGCGCTCTAGGGTAAGGCTTCTTGCTTTGCTCAGCCCAGGAGATCAACTCCGTGCGAGTAGACGCCCGAGGCTACGGGCGGCAAGGCGTAAAACACTGGTCGAGACCGGTCGCTGAGCACTGAGCAGAGTAGTTTGGCGCTGTTGGAATGTACAAATGACAAATGACAAATGGAAATGGAATCGAAGAATTGAAGAAGTATACACGGCCGCATATGTGGTGCGACACGTGATGGTTCCAGAGAATGCGATTCTTTAAATTCAACATCAAAGCTCTCCATGTCCGATCCTCGACTACTATTCGGGTAATTTCACGTTCTCGCGATTCCGGGGTACCTCCTCATGATGTCATCCCCGTGTCTTTTCCTCCAAACAGCAGTCTATTCCGCCGGTTGCTGGAAAGCCGGAGTGATTGTATACCCCATAAGTTATAACCGATGTCCCTAGCGTCCACACACCTGCTGGAACGATTGGCCCCGAAACACAGACGAAACAAACCGGAAGTCGTCTACCGGTGTGTACCCGAAACGATTATTCACGCCTGTGAAAGCCCTTTCTTGGCCCCTCATCCTGGCCGCTGATCTTCCGAGGTTGGCTCTCGGCTGGCAACGGGCAGAGCATTATTGCGCATTTACCAATTACGCTTATCTTGCCAAGTCCAAAAACATTCTGAGGAATGACTGTCAGCTGCCCAGACCGACTTGTGCAACCAAAATACCAGAGCCAAGAAAGCCGAATGGGTCGAAGCATTTCGAGAGAAAGGGTGATATTCCAATAGCGGTGTCTTGGCTGCACCCCCTTTTTCGGCCAAGACATGTGAAGTTCATGTTTGGGCTTCTCCTTTATGCCTTTATGGGCGATAATCGCGGGGAGTGGCTTGTCTGCATGACCGGTCCACTTCACCCCAGTCCTAGATATGATGCACTAGATCGGCATGATTCGGGCACATCATCGATATCATGCCCCTCATTCCCAAGGTCCCTCTTGGCTTATTTTGAGGATAACTATATAAGTGAGGTCCAATCTCCCTCTTTCTGACCCGTTCCAACACACTCTGCCTTAAGTTTACCTTCTACAAAAGATCCCGTCTTCAACCGCTCTACTCCACATACAGCTTTCACATACAAAAACCTCAAAAATGTACACCTACACTCCCACCCACCGTTTCCTGGTCCTCTCTGCTACTGAGTCTGGCCCATACGACCCCAGCAACAAGTTCCTGGTACTGTCCCCCACCGAGTCTGGCCCTGACCCTCGCGTCTGGGAGGACCAGCCTCGGGTTGAGACCAGTTCAACCGAGCAGAGCCCTAATGTGACTCCCAACCGTGCTCGTACCAACAGCTCTCTTTCAACTTCCTCCTCATCCTCTCTCAATGACCTTGTTGCCACCCTTCCCAACGGGTTCCTCTACCTCGGTCATGGCAAGAAGCACTAGGCGATATCTCAACGACTCGCCTACTCGCTTCGGTCTTCCTTCCTCATCCATAATTTACGATATACCATTATCACAGCGACCGATGCATCATTGAGCCCATTTGTTTTTCGTTTTTCATTTTGTTTGTGCTTCAGTCAAAGCAGTGACTTGCACTCGGGATTTGCGGGACCACCTAAATTGGGAAACAGGTCCGGAAAAGCAGGGGTGTTTTATGGCGCTTATTATTCCCAATCTGTTTTATTCGTTCTACAGATCGTCGCCCTTTCACTGCAAGCTTACATAGGCCCATGGGCAAGCTAGCGGTCAATGAACGAGATTTTTGATATAAATAATTTCCAATCCACTCAATCCACTAAATCCACTCGATCCATTCCTGCCACATACTGTACATTGCATAGCCCACCTGATCAACGGCGGACATCCGGACGCAAGGGATGTCCCTGAATGCTTGGCGGAGCTTGCCAAGCTGATGATTGCCCGCCAAGCCTTGTGCAATCTGATACTCCCGCCTTGGCCGGAGGGGGGCAGGGATTGACCGCGGATCATGTTCCACGCAGGCAGCAGTGCCCTTGTGCGCATAATCAGCACTACTTTTGGGGTGCCCACCCTGCCAAGGCCCCCCTGTTACGAATCTTGCTTATCAGTCAAGTTTGTTTTCTTTTTCGCAATGCACGTTGATTTCTCCATGAATCAGATTGGTTCAGGTTTGGGGTTACATGTCATCTTCTTGGCCTGGTAATGGTGCCAGGCCACTTGTTCGCTGTTCGGTGAAGCCGTTTCCTACCCCTCTATGGGTCTCGCCCATCCCTCTCCGCACGTTTCTTCGGTGAAGATCTGGGGCGATGATGTGCGCTGTCTCTCCTTACTCTATCTATCGTTTCGGTGTCTTCTAAACCAATAGGATTTGCCAGTCACGACACGCCAGATAACAAACAATGTCTCGGGTAAAAGGAGGAATTTGCCAAGTCGGTCATTGAATTTCCGAGTTGGCTTCGACGATGGCTTGGACTAGCACTAAGGTTCTCACCGGTCGATTGGAAACTTGACGAGTTAGATCTGCAATAGATCCGTGCTATGTTGCGTGTCGAAAGCCTCGTGGCACCACAGTACAACTGTGCAGTGCTATTTTAAGCCCGGACACGAAGTATTTCTTGTTCCACATCTCTGTTAGCACAATATTACCCGATCATAATACTGTACACAGTCCAAGACTGCTGCTTCAAGAAAAGGGATAGGTATTGAGTTTGAAGCCTTGGCAGTTTTAAGATATAGCCCGACATTCCATCCCTTTGGCAAGCCATCAGCCTCATCTTTTGCCTTTTAGATTCGTCTAGAACTATTCAGCTTATCACAGCCTTGTCCACGTAAGCAAGGATGCTAGACAGGTATGGAGTATACACCGAGTCAAACCGCGCCTTACTGCTCGATTTTTGCCGGTCACAAAAATCCAGCAGATCCAGCGCGCCTTTAGGTTTCTGAGCTGCCTGTTTACTGAAAGTAAATGCTATTTCAAACAACTAAGTTCCATCGTTCAATAATATGCTTCAAATCTTGTCTTTGCTGGCTTTGACTGTCTTTTTCCCTCATGTTTCGTGACTTAGGAGACACGGTATACTATCCCAAAGCCGGAGACTTTATCGAAGTCACCGACATGCAGCAGATGATAACCCACAACCCCGAAGGCGCTCGGATCCCTAGAGATAAGCCCCATTATCGATGTGCATTCGCTGTCTGGTCTGAATACCGTCCTTGGATAGTGGTGCATGTTTACTTTGACGGAACTCATACTGACATGCTCAAGTATGATGACTCCGAAGTCCGAAGCGCTGTTCTCTCACTAAAGCCGAAATAATGTTAATCTCCCTGTTCGGTTTATGTCTTCAACGACCAGGTGTTCCTCCGCTGTTCCATAGCTAGCCAATGGCTATTGATAATGCTGAGCATGACAATAAAGCAATGTAAAAGGGAATGAAGGACAAATAAATACATAGCTACGATCATAAATCAGTTTCTCCTAACTGTTATCAAGTTGAAGAAGGTAGAAGCTGGTTAGTAACATCAAGAACTGCGTTAAAAGGAGCAATTGACACATCGCGAATTCTTATTGAGCCAATACATAGCTTATTGGACCACAGACACAAAAATTCCAATGAAATCTTTCGAAAAAGGAAGTCACTACGAATTGATGTCGTAAAAAAAATCTACTCAAGTGTTTCCGTCAGGGAAGAATGTGTCTCCATGCGACCTTCAACATCGTCTACCATTCGGAATTCCAGATGGGTTGTAGCTCGGCGAAAAGGCCTTTCACCTTCCCTCGCTTCCCCCTGCTCACAGTTCATTCTAGTGTGCATATTATCTTTTTGTTCTCAGTTGACATCGCATGGGAACTTTGACCACGTACCAACGTATTGGCCAAGTAAACACCACTGTACACAGGTCGTGATCAAAAGAGCAACTGCGGCATAACAAAAGCCAATGACGGTAGGGTCCGGGATCCCATTCAAGCTAAACGAACTGGCTGCACCTGCAGGCAGGAAGAAAGCAATTACGTATGTGAAAGGAGTGATACTCTCTGCTTTCTTGAGGGACTTCTTGGACCTGCACTCGTGCTGGTTGCTTTTGACGTTGCACCCCGCGCCCCCCAATTAATCATCCCAATGTTTCTCTGTAGATAAGAGTGAGAAATGACATAACTTTACAGTATTGTCAATTACAGGCCCTGTGTCGGGTTCCGAGTAAGCACCTTGACTGTCACTTCGGTGCTGGGGTGGAAGGATGGAAAGTGACAGAGCCTATCGTGAAACACACTAGTCTATATTAGATTTAGTCATAAATCTCCCGTTTGCCAAGAATAGACGCCTGTTTTCATATAAAGTAAAATAATGTTACCATCTTTTATAGGAAACTGTCAGAAATGGGGATTGACTGTTTGCACTGTTTGCACTGTTTGCACTGTTGGCCAGATTAGTTTGAAACCCATAAATTCCAGAACTCAGGGGTAACCTTTAGCAACTGAGAAAGCTTCATATTTATCTGAGGGTCCCATAAGGTCACCTGACCAGGTTTCTGTCAGTTATGAGCCCGAGATCGCTTCTTCAACCCATGTTAAGAACGTATAAAACAGTGCAAACATTCAATCCTCGTTTCTTGACATCCCCCAGGTTTCGAGGCTTAGTGAAATCATCTGCTGGCATCTCGGCATTTGCATGAGAACGTTTACCCTGCCTGCGCCGACTCCTTACTTCATCCAGCGTCGAAGTTGCTACTAAGGTATAGATTATCGTCATCGTGATGGAGCGACAGAGTCTGCTGATCCGCTGTTATGGTGAGGCATTGGGTACCGGATATCACTGCCAAATCAGAGTTCACTTGATTGTCTAGATCACTTACAACATGAGTCGATCTGACCGTATTCATCTACTGTCTGTTGTCTTTATCTACATTTCCATGGTTTTGCAATAATGCCAGACCTTCGGTGACAGCAGTCGGTTGTAGCGCATGACATCATCTTGGAGCTTGGAGTCGTCACGGACCCCACCGATGGAGATGAACGGCGGGGATTCCATGATGCAGGGTCATAATCGTGACCTCGTTTAGCATTGCATAAAGGACAGGAGGCCTCGCAGGTCGATCAAGAGATTATCAGCGATTAGTCTGCATAGTGCATGACCATCACCAGAGCTCTCCATCGTATTTCTACCAGCCTCGCAGGACACGGAGGTGGTCCTAACAAAAATGTATTTATCCTTATCACCATCCTGAAATACAGCCATTGCCTATAGCCTGTCGTAGCAAATTCTTACTATTCCATGGTGTCTAACTATCTCTTAGTACTCCAAAAATGCCATTTGGTTCGCTCTCAGTATCCAACGCGGCCATTCCACAGTATGCTCCTCCGTATCCCGTGGATGGCAGCGACTATACAAGTGAAACTTTTCTCACTGTTACCTATCAAACATCGGTGCTATGTGTGCGCCATCTTGTGCCGGACATGTTAGAGCTCGAGGATGAGCCACAGGTATCAGTAATGATTCTGCAGCACAAAATGACCTCGTTCGGGCCATACAATGAGTACGTCCACTCGGTCAAGGTCAAATACCACGGAGACACGTTTGACTACTTTCTTTCCCTCATCGTAGACGACGATGCACCATTATCACATGGCCGCGAGCAATACGGCTTCCCCAAGAAGTTGGGGAACGTGGTGTTAGAGTTGAAAACTGGATCGACGGTCGTTCATGGCTACGTGGAGAGACCTGCAGGTCAAAAGATTGTTGAAGTTGGTTTCCAGCCTGAACAGAAAATCAAGGGCACGGTCGAGAGAACGATCCATGGGTTAAATTTGCGAGTCATCCCCTCGGTGGTTTCGGGTCAGAGTCCGTCCGTCAAGGAACTGGTGCCAGTCGACATCAGTATGGAGGCAACCGAGATCTGGCAAGGATCTGGTTCTGTCAGCTTCCCAGAGCCATCAAGGTTCGATCCGATGCATGAAATCAAAGTCCTTCGATACCAAACAGCGACTCTGTTGCGGAATGCATCCCTTGCAATGCCTCTGCCGACAAAAGTGTTCCAGCTATAATCATACTGTAGTTCATGCTCAAAAGGATGTGTGTCAACATTAAACTCTAAAGTTGTATAATTTACTCCCATTAATATAGGGACAAGAAAGGGCTTTAAACATTGCCCTAAGTTATCTTCTAGACTCCCCTAGCAGCTAGGGGTGCGCATAACGAGATAAGAGTGGATCCACGGATATGGTGGAACTAGATGAAGAGAATATGAGGGGCTCTTGACTTCACTGCCGTATTACTATGCCAATATCGCATCCCTGATACATAACCGCACTTCCGCTCACTGAGCGACAAAACTTCATTGCGTTTTCCAGTGGAAACCAAACACCAAACTGCTGCTGGCTTGTTGTCCCTGTCAACATTTAGAGAAAACCATTGATATTAGAGTTGGATGTGCAAACTGTATGCAATGTCGTCTCTCTTTTGCACCAGGCTCCTTGAATTCGTGGCGCTAATTGGTTCTATATTGGGTAGGGACCAAACCCTATGTTGCGAAACTGAAAATGTTAGTCATGAAAAATGGATCGGTAAAATGAAGCTAATATAATTAGTTTTAAATCAATATTCTTAATGTTTGCACCAAGCCTAGTGGAGGAAGTGAGCCACGAGTACTTATTCTTATTGAAAAAAGGACTACTGCATTAAACCGATTGAATATAAAATGGGCTTAATGTGGCATGCTCATGGAAAAACACCAACTGAGAACCCACACGGAGCTGGCGTCAAACTAGAAGATACTGTCTCACTTTCTAGATTCTTATTAACGGGGTCAAAAGACATCGACCGGCGGGCACATTGAAGTCTCCTTCGGAGATTAACTTAATGGCTAGTGATTACTACTTTTTGGCGCTTAACATTTTTGCAAGATAGAAATTCGCTACTTTCCGTGTTGAAAATTTACGATTCGTTTGCGAGGGTGATATTTGTCATGCATTTTGTTCTCGGTGGTTTAAAAGATGGCTATAAATGTTCTGAATAATTATAAAATACATTGTTTTAATGTTGGTCAAAATCAGGGCTCTCATAGATCGAACACTGTGCATCAGACCTTTGTTATTCTAGTGGTCAAATATGTTTCCGGGTATGATGAAGGGTTCTTTAGAACAGCCGATCAAAATTTATAAAACCGGTTGTACTTCGACACAACCGTCTATACTATTTCCGCAAGAGCTAGCGAATAGAAAGTGTCAGACCTGTAAGCCGCAAACTTTACGCTAACCAGCCCGTTCGTATCGCTGAAATTGTGGTAGAAAGATGTGAGAGAACAATCAATTTGACCTCCATATAGTAAATTACGCTTGCGGAATAAAAGAAGCCATAACTGCTAGTGAACAAAGAAGGGCATACGACCCAATTATGGAATCACATAATATCAATTTGATTATATTCACTGGTCGATCTGGTGCCAGGGGATATTTCCCGACGTAAAAAAAATTGCGGACTTGTCATAGGAAGAAACAAAGTTACAACTGTATTCCTTTAGCAAGATCTGCAGGTTAGCTCCGCGTAACAAGAGTTGTATAACTCAATCTTGGGTACTATCTGCGCCGTTGCCAACTTGCCGTCCGCTTCTTTAGTTGCAGCTGTATCAGGGGGACCTGGGCCTTGATGGTGTAGCGCACCACTGGCGAAAAAATGACATGTATTCCTGTTGCTGGTTCGATGATTTTCGTGCAGACCAACCAGAAAAGATATCTGGGATATGGCATATGACAGCATGGTGGTAGTATAATCCTCTAGGATTCTGCGACAATAGACTGAGCAGGTTGTGTCCATATGGTTTCTGAATTTTGGAGTTGCTAGTACTAGTAGTGGATTGCAACGGTTGCGTCGTTGCACTATCTTTCGTCAAACCTTCAATACTGCAAGGCCCCGATTCCTGACACATGCGACTTTGATGAAGATCATGGAAGTGCTTTACATTTCGCCATGAGCCAGACTATGGCTAAACATCTTCTCGACAACGGAGCCGATGTAAACGGACTATCTCAACACGGGACCTCAGATTTGCATATGGCTGTGAAAAATGGTCTGCTGGGTATGACGAAGCAACTATATAATTAATATCAGGATGTATTGGAACGGAGTGGTCCCCATTTCTACTCCATGTGACTCGTCGACTTTTCGAACCCGGCGATCCGGCCGCTTTCCGTGGGCTCAACCTGCCAATCAGAAGAGCGCCACATGCATAATCGGGATACTTGCTGCTGTTAATCACTATAAGGACAAGGCCCCTATAGTGATTGGTTTTTTGAAGACACAACTGCTGAGCAGCGTAGAGCCATCTTCTACGTATTGGGAGATGCGCCAGGAAGTCTCTTGGGACTACATAATAGGTGACTCAAAAAAGTGAGGTAAACTGCCCCTATTTAATGCACATCCTCTATACCAACATCGAATCAAAAAAGCGGAGGATGCAGCCTTGGTGTAAGCATTCAGCTTACCTCCCCCTCAAAGAAGACCCGCCGTTTATCGACCACATCTGCCTTAATATCATTAAAGCCGATGCAGGACTTACGAGCTGCGCCATCACCAATTTAACATAACTCGTTGCCTTGTTCTTTCGATTGGCTCAGAATTAATGATGATCTTGGGCGGTTGAGCTGAAAATTTGAGAACTGGGTTTTGCCGGCTACAAAACATCATTGAGACAGTTTGGATTGTTCTCCATCGGATTCCATCATGGCCCGGAAAAGGCCGGCGGGTCGTTGCATGAGCTCTTGGGGACTGCCGAACTCTGCAGCACGTCCATCACTCAAAACAAGGATACGGTCAAAGTCAATGACGGTGCTCAGTCGATGAGCCACCACCAAAAGGCTCATGGAGTTGAACTGAGAGATACGACGGATAGACGCTTGAATCTTGCTATCGGTGGGCTGATCAATTCCAGATGTGGCCTCATCAAGGACCAGAAGTTTTGGTCGCTGCGTAATGGCGCGAGCCAGACACAGCAGTTGCCGTCGACCTTGGGAAAGATTTTGGCCATCCACTGCAATAGGATAGTCGAGTACGCAGTAAGGAGTAGTTGGGTGCTGTGCGGAGGTTACATGCTGCATTGGGATCAAAAGGCCAGATGACTCGTCTGTATCATCAGAAGTCTGACATTCACTGTCTGGTCCTAACCTGCCATCCTTGCCTGGGCTGCTGGAGTGGATAGATAGGTCCTCATTCCACTGCACATCCCGTAACGCTGCCAGAAGCTCTTCGTCTGACCGCCGTCCAAGAGGGTCGAGATTGGTGCGCACCGTTCCTGAGAAAATGGCTGGATGCTGTGGAACGATCGCTAGTCGTGCACGAAGCTGTTGTAACTTGAGCATTGATATATCAAGACCATCGATAACAATGCTGCCCTCGTTGGCTTCGAGAAAGCGAAACAGAGCTAGAATAAGCGACGATTTCCCAGACCCCGTACGTCCCACCACACCTATTCGTTCCGCCGGGTTTATGGTGAAACTAATGTCGTGGAGAGCCGGAGGAAGATCAGGAGCATAGCGCACTGAGAGATTCGAGACTTGGATGCACCCATGGCTGGGCCAGATAGGAGGTACGCTGTCTCCACTGTGAGTGGGCTCGGTGGGTACATCTGAGTACTCCAGGATGCGCTCCACGCTGTTCATGCTGAGTTCAAGAGTTGCATAGCGGCGGACAGTCAGCGACATGGATTGGGCCATTTTCAGTGCAAAGCTTATGGCAAAGCCAGCCAGCGAAGCGTTCACCGAAGGGGTTGAAACGACTAATATACTCGCAACCATGGCAAATATAGCGCCCAAGACGTCCATGCGGAAAGCAAGCCAGCAGTTGAATAGCCAGAGCTGCCAGTGTGCCCGAGCGTATTTATCGATCTCCTCTGTAACTTTGTTGACATATAATGGTGTCTTTCCTTCAGCGCGAATTGTCAAGAGCCCAGAGAGGGCAGATCTGACTTGCTCAAATATGGAGCTTTTTGAAACGCTTTCGAGCCTTCGAATCTCTCGCGCGGTATTGAGATAGATCCGACCATAGCTTACACAGATGATGCAGAGAATGACAGCTGGTATTATGAGCCAAGGGCTTACAATACTGCCGGCTAGAATAGCCAAAGCCATGTCAAAAGCGTTCGCAAGGATAGATTGAATATCATCTCCTAGTAGAGAGTCCACTATCAGGTTGTCCACAATGAAACGATTCATGATACGACCCGGCGGGACAACATCTAGCCAGCGGAGAGGTGTATGAAGAATGGTATGCAGCAAACCAGCGAATAATTTCTTTGCCACAAGCAGAGAGGCCTTTAGAGCAAGATAACTCCGAGCCGTACCGATTAGACAGGCAAAAGTCCCCAAGCCAACATACACTCCTAGGTAGAAGAGCAGATGGCTGTCTAGGCACCTCGTTGACTCTTTTGCATTGCAAGAGGTACCTGTCTCATGCTCACTCCATACGTGTAGCCACCATGCCTATAAATTCCAAAGAAAGTTAGTGATCATTTTTGCCCCGTTATAGAGAGATGGTCAGGAATTACCCTCGCCGTCAACAGCACGCTGTATCCACCAAAAGTGACCATCACCCACATCCAGGGGCAAATACTGCCGCTTATTGTGAGGTAGGATTTCCAAACTACCCAGCTCACTGAGCCCTCTGGTCGTTCTTCATCTTCCACGAATCTTGAGGGTGAGCTGTCGGGTGTCTGAGCCTTGGCGTGCAGATCGCCTGACGTCTTTTCTATCTCAGGTTCACCATCTTCCGCTGAAAGAGTAAATTTGCTTGTCTCATTGTCTTCTTTCATGCTTGTAGCCAAACCAAGTATTGGACCTGCGTACTTTACTAAGCCATCTTTCAAAGACACCATGTAGTCAGTTCGCGGAAGACAAAGAGAAATATGATGTGTGACGAGAATACGGGTCCGGTCCTGAGCGAGGGGCCCTGTGAGTGCATGAGTATATAAATGACTTGCGGTGTGTACGTCAACGGCACTGAATATGTCGTCCATGATTAGTATATTGGCTGGGGAGTAAAGGGCACGAGCAAGAGAGAGCCGCAGCTTTTGCCCTCCGCTCAGGTTGACCCCATTTGGACCGACTTCTGTTGCATCTCTGTCTGGGAGCAAAGAGAAATCTTGGTGAAGAGCACATGCAAAAAGAACCTCGTTATACCTTCCGATGTCCAGCGAGTTGCCAAATAAAATATTGTTCCGTATTGAGGCATTTTCTAACCAGGGGACTTGCGCAACATAAGCATACTTCCCGTCCCTAGGGCCACGTACAATACCCTCAAGTAACGTGGACTCTCCCAGGATGGATGCAAGAAGGAGGCTCTTGCCACATCCAGTAGGTCCAGTCACCAGGCTGAGTTTTGATGGAGGGAAACTCAAAGTGACTCCGTGGAGAATAGGATTAACTGCTTGTCCGGAGTAGGCACTAGTCCAGCCCAGAGTGGCGTTGGAGAATTCAACCGTTGTGGCTGAATCTGCGCGGGGATTATTCTCACGGGACTCCAAATGTTTCTCGATGCGTTTCATGCTGTTCCGGCCTGTAGCCATCCGTGCCACACAATCTGGCAAGGCGTACATGACAATCTCGATGGAGTTGAGAACTGCAATGGCGGAAAACGCAGTAGGAGCAGACAAGGTCCCGTTGACCAGCACGTGAGTCCCCAGACAGACGACTGATAAGACCACAGGGGTGGTCAAATAGACGGCTAACTGCAAAATGAACCTGAGAAACACTGACCACTGCGCAAGAAGTTCCTCTTCCCTTCTCTGTGAAATGATGCCTTCCCATCGAGTCTCTTCAGCTAAAAATTTGATCTGGCGAATTAAATGCAATACTTCGCTTAGCACTTCCATTTTGCGGTCTCGGGCCAACATCAGGCTTTGTTGAGATGAGGTGTACTTCCGAGCTGCATGTACATTGACAGGGGTCATCAACGCCAGAACCAAGCCACCGGCTACGAGACTTTGCCATCCCAGCAATTGCGTCAGATAGATACCAGAGATGACCAGCTGCAGCGGTGTTTTATACAGCACATAACTGAAACAAAAGCAATCGGCAACATACTTGGCGTCCACCGCGAGTAGATTCAGGCAGTTTCCTGCGCCTTGCTCAGCAACACCAGGGTCGGAAAAAGTACACGTAGTGGGAAGATGCATCGACTTCTCAAACACGGCTAAAGATAGCTGCTCAAACGTTCGCAGGAACAGACAATTGAATGAGAACCAATTTTTCCAAGTGTCAAGAGTAGAAGACAACAGAACTCCAAGTGCTAGAAGGGCCACATTCATCCACAATCTAGTATTAGGGGAGTCATCTGTTCTCCTTTCCAAATTCTGCAGAATCTCGAAGAGAGCAAGTGAAGGCACAATGCTGAGGAAGCAAACAACGACCGTCAGGCTCATTTGTCGTACGAGGACGCCACGGTGGAGGTAAATAAGTATTCTCCAGAGTGAAACGCCGGTGGATCGAGATTGTTTGAAATGGTATTGCAGGGTCTCTGCGCGCGCTTGGTTGGACATTGCTGGTAGGGCATCAATGGCAAACTTATTTCCCTCGCTCTTCACAATATACGTCACATCCCTGGCCCAGGAAAATGTCATTCGACCCAAAAAACTGGTTGTAAATTGTCCGTCGACTGATTTCGAATCTCGAAATATTTGAGGCCGTCGCGGGAAAGAGAAGTTCGCCCCAAGTCCTGAAATTATCACCAGAGTCGAACAGACCCAATACACCCAATCTTTTATAGAGATTTCATCATGATCATACCCCTCAACTATGCTCGCAAGGCAGAAGAGTCCTGTCATCAGCCAGCTCCAGGCTCCTCTAAGTCCAAGACGATATCGATAAGTTATCTTAGGCTCCGCGTACACTGACAGGGCTTGGATTAACAGAGCTAAACCATTGAGGAGGGCTAGTCCATCCCGAACAAGTGAAGGCTGGACTTGTGCCAAGAAGGTCCATGGTTTCAGTGTTGCCAGTATAATATGAGCGGTCGCCGAGAATATCACAAATCTTCTAGTGATCAAGGATGTTTTTTCCTGTTGCTGAAAGTCGTTCCTCCCCTCTCCGTCCTCATCTTGGTAACGTGTGCTCGGGAGTTGATCGTAGTCCCTTGGCCGAGCGGAAAAACTCCATCCAAGCTTTTTCTGAATGACCGGTACACTGAGGGCGAGAATAATGGCAGTTGTTGCAAAATAGAGAATGGGGAGCAATTTGGACATTTTTCGATTTGCCGTGCTTTGTTCGGGGTGGGGGGTGCAGGAAGCGATGCCAAAAATGACATTTGAGATATTGTGAGATGAGATAGCAATCAACAGAAAGCCCCTTATGCTGAGCCTCATTTTGCGTGCCCCTGTAGCAATTTCTGGAGCAAAACGGGGATAAGAATGCAGATCAGTCATATTCACACAAGCAAGATTTTATACGGTTGTCGATCACTTTCCGAGATCCCTTGTACCTAGGTCACAGTTCCGTCCTTTTAAATTTTTTTCTTTTTTCCCTAAAAGTAGAGAAGTAATAAAAGAACGGAGCGAACGGTATTATCCGGTATTATCACCACGACAAGAGATTCACAAAGCTGGAATGTGAATATGAACTGTTCAGCGTCTTCTGCTCTGATGAAGAATCCTAAAATAAGAGATCAGTCGGCCACCTTAAAGTGCGAAGATTTTCATGCCAATTACGCTCAATATGTCGCCATTATGAGTACCTTCTCATTAAGGGCTATGTATATCTACCGTCCTACCCAAAGATCCAAACTTTTGCGGCCCGAATTTTGAACAATGAGGCTCGGCTCCCAGCTATTGAAGGTATATTAGAGCTTCGCATGTGTAAACAATGTGTTCCAAGCTATACGAGGCTAGTTCTTAAACAACTAATTGCTCTTTAGGATAGCCCACCCATAACGTAAAATTATACATTTATCAAACGGCGGGGAGGACCACCGGAGGAGGCCGATGGAGCTTTCCAAGATAAAAAGTATAAGAAAAAGAATAAGCGTCCCTACCCTTTCAATGTTGGGTATCCTAGAGGCTTTCCATGAGCACTTGCTTTTCAGCCTTTTGTCATTTCCACCAGCTTGTCGGATGTCTGAACTCGAGAGAAAGGGATTGCATTCCATCGAACACGGCGCAAGTGTCTTAAGGGATCTTTGACATCATTACGTGCATGGAGCCAACGCCGGTTATCCAAAAGATTAATAGATCTTTCGGGCAAGGCCGCTGCCTTCAAATGCAGTGTTGTCTGCGAGGATAACTCCAAATCTTTCAATGCGCTCTTCAGCTCCTCTAGGGCGAACGTCGCCCGAGTGGTCATCGGTGTCACGATATCCTCCCGGAATCGCATGATTGTTGATAGGTCATCCTCATTGATACCAAGGATGCTGCCAGTAATATGCAACTCGTTGTTCTGTTTGATAAATTCAGGAGGGACTTTGATTCGGAACTCGGGTTCAAAAAGTGCCGCGCGCGCTTGTAAAGACAGGAAGCGAGTAAGCTGGTCGATCTTCATGACCGAAAGCGTGCCCCCACCGCAGCGATCTGGCTGGAGGACTTGGAGCGCAAAGTATCTTGGGGGCGCATGCTCGTAACTACAATCCGTGTGCCATGGGAATTCTCGCATGGTCTCTGACCGTGCACGAACATTGTTCTGTGGCAGACGTGGAGTTTTATCAGGGCGAACATCCCAAAACCATCCCCGACAGGCGCTGTGAGTGATGGGAGGCCCGTGGCTATGATAAGTACCAAGACCCATGATGAGATTTTCTAAGTATTGGCTTTTGTCGTCGGAAAAGCCTAAACTAATTTTGAGAATTCCTTCTGTTTGAAGGTGGTGATTGACTTTGCAGATATGCTGCTGTTGGTGACAGTCCGATAACTCGCGAGCTATGAGATGAGGTATAGCTGAAGCCACAGACGTGATAAACGGATTAGATGAATAATGGGCTCTGATCAGGCGCTGCGAACTAATAGACTTGGGAGCACAACGAGCCCCCAAAAGGCGAGGCGTGTGAAACATGGCAAACGTTTTCGAGTGCGTTCCGTGTCCACAGCAAAATGTAAAATGGTCTGTTTCAACAATTTGGATTCACTTGATAAGTTCAACCTTCCAAGGATGGTATGAGTTTTGCGCGAGCGTCGAAGTGGTGCACACAAGGAAATACATATCGATTCATTTTAGCAGTCACCAGATTTGCCAAGATTAAATGTAATGCTATATGACGGCATAATGGGGGTCAGAATCACTTCAAGGATATGTAAAATACAACAATCTGTAGAAGATACGCCGTAAGGGATCCTACAGCGCTTCAGTTGGAACAGCCAATGCAAATCAATCCATAGATAATATGCACAAATATATAAATGTGGCAACTAGGTAACACCCGTAGCTTAGTACCATGTGCAAGGCTCTGTGATCAACATTTTTAACTATATACGTGTACAGGTTAGCTTCCAAGGGTTCCTTCCTATATAAGGTTATATCATATCATGAGCAATTTAATATTGGATAATAAGACATATGAGAAGTTTTGCTATGTCTTTGTAGAATAACTAAAATAATGATTGAGGGAGCTGATATCTAGGTACTAAGGTAGAAATACTGGAATGTTGGATCAAAATGCAGACAGATATTCCGTTGAACCTACGAAGTCAACTAGCGGTAAAACATGAGTTGTTGCATATACCATGCTTGCTGAATTTATACGACGGGAATTACGTACAGCCGATCCACATTATGTTGTCATTTCATACCATTATTTGGCGTCTTTGAAGTCCTTGCATAAAGGAGGGTTGGCATCATCGCTGAGAAGCGAGTGATCGACAAACATTCAATCTGTGGCGCTCGAGTGTAACGCCGCGAGAATTTCAGAAGCCTTCATGGCTCGATTGCAGATCCTCTACCAATTGATGTCATAAATGATTTACAAATGGAATAGTACAGCCTCTAGTCAGCAAGGATAAGCCTGCAAGAAATGAAACAGAATATTTCGTAAGCTAAGAAAACTTCACCGCTTTCGAGTAAATGTCTTGCTGGTGTGGGATTGACATCCGGGAATCATTTATTCTTGTTTCTAAGTTTATTTACCGCGACTTTCCTTTATTAAATTGCCATTTATTGCCAGTAGAGCATACCTCGTTCCGATGTTCATCCCGGGACTGATGTTGTAATAGTGTTGTTGGCGTCCGGGTGGGGCTGGCACATGACTCTGTTGGAATGCATATGGAGGCTTACCTCAATCTTCGATGCATGATACGTTCCATTGCAACCTTGTAGAATGTGCAGTGTAGATCGCGGCCCGAATTGTCGCGCCGAACCTTCGTGCGGAAAGCTAGGGAGAGTGGGGCGGAAAATCAGGGACGGCACACGTACTGCTACAATGGCGAACGTGGATGGGAAGGAATTATCAATATGATACACTCGGTAATACATGCACCTGGGCATGAATGGCCGTAAGATTTCCGAATTACCGCTCGGTAATAAATGTACGCTATTTTGCTAACGGCATTACCCCAAATACAACGTCCGGGTTGGCAGTTACATCTCTTCAAAACCAAAATCAAGAGCCCGTCTGTATCATAGAGCACATCCATGCACCACCATGGCTAATTGCACATATCGGACCTGGGCTGCTGCGCCAAACTCCAATACCTAGGAACTCCCCGTGGACACTATGGTAAGTCCCGACGAGGGGGAGACTCTGTATCCCCACATGTTCTCTAAGAAGAACATCATACTTGGCTTGTCTGATGTTACGTTGAACGACGTTTGTAGATCCGTTGGGAGACAGGTATGGGGATGTCAACTCTTCGAGACGGGACATCCATGACTCATATGTCACATTGTCCCCAAAGATAATTCCTTCTCCTTTCCCTCCTCTTACCGGCTTAAGAATGTAGTCATCTTTGAAGCTTGGCTGGAGGCGACACATTTCGATGAACCTAGCCATCTTGGTGGATCCAGGAAGTATTGTGTGGCATATTCCTTTTTTGAGCAAACTTGCTTCAGTAGGTAGAAGAACCTTTCGTGCCATGAGAGAATCAAGCTCTTCCAACACAATGCCCAACATACGCTTATCATGGACCAGAAGCAAAGTGCGCATATCGTTGAAGCACCGCAGACTGAGTTGTTGGAGCATCTCGTAACTGAGGCCAAGAATCTCTCTTTGATGCAGCTCTAGTCCCACCTGGTGAATCTCTTCAACGATTTCACCAGCTTCATTGCGCAATAAAGTAACTCCCGCCCCGTCGACTAGGAACTGAGGATCAGCCACACAGCATAGCTTGTATCCATGTGAAGACTGATTACAGGGAATCAATATCAAGTCATCAGGCGTGATGAATCGTATGTGTTGTCCAAGAACGTTCCTCGCGTAATGAGTATATAGATGAATATCATATCCGTGTTCGTCACCCTTCAGAAGGTAAAGAGGAATCTCGGGATTGTACAACTGTTGGAGCCCGTCAATAATCTAAAATAATAATTAGCTTTGCGCCAAAAACATAAAGCAAGGCTATATTCTAGCTTTAGATAGGTCAAATACCTTTCGTGGATCTGTTCCACCGACGATTCCGTTGCGACAAATGCCCATATCTAGGAGAGCTTTCTGGCCTAATGCGCTCATCATATAGCCATTCCAGCAGAAACGGGCATTGATCTCGCAGATGCGAAAGGCTTCAGCTTCTTTATTGGCCAGGCCAGTTTGCTTCTCGATTAGAAAGTCCGGTCTCCAAGATCCACAAAACTTTGTAAAGGGCCGCATGGAATCTATATTCTGTGCCTCCAGCCACTGTATATAATGAGCACCTTCTTTGGCCAATTTGGGGTGCACGTACACGAAGTAGCTTTTCCTCCATGGGTTGCAGAGGCATACGTTCCGGGAACTTCGCCGTTGCATCTATCCACCATCTTGAGACAATGTCGGTTATCGCCTTCACAAGCACTTTGTTAAGATCTTCTAGCTGGATCTGGTGCTTATTGTTGATCAGAATAGGATAGGGGCAGTTAGATAGATGGCAGTTGCCGGTCCAAGTGTCCGCTGGGCAAACTTTCACAAGATTCTTATGCAGAGCTTCCCTTAGGCATTTGCGAGTAATTGCATCAACATTTCCAGGAGAACTGATGATTGTTTGTCCCTCGTCGGAATGTATGGCACAAATACAACGTAATTCATGGCTGATTTGCCTCATGGTTGCGTAGAAGAAAACGAAAGGAAAATCCGTCCGGGAAGAAATAATATTTCCTAGATTCTCAACGGATTCCTCTTATTTATGGCTTGAGCATAGACCCATTCTAAAACCTCACCACCACCAGCGTTACAAGTAACGATCTTTTCAATGCAAGGGGCGTAATAAATCTCTCATTAAAACACGCGTAAAATATGCATTGTTTGGATTTAAAGAGACAGAAGCCCACCTTGTTCTGGGCACTCCTTGTTCTGGGCACTCCAATATTAACCGAATTGAAATTTTCGCTTCATAATGCCGCCCGACTTTTATCCTCTCTCAGATATCCTCAGAGTTGCCAGTGTACACCCTTTCTACTCCGACACCGAATACCCCCCAACACGAGAGCAGATACCCGAAATCTTAGAAACTGCTCAGGCGAACGGTGAAGATGGCGTCCAACTCAAGTCATTCCCTTTGATAACAAAGGATTCTCTGTATGTCTTCCTTGTAATATGCACGGTTGACCCCCGCTGAACTTTAAATAGTTATCATCACATATCTCGACTTACAGTAGACAAGAATCCACTGAATGGTTACCGCCGAGGTACCTATATAAGCACCACAGGAGGAGGATCAGGGGGACCACCTATGGTGTTTGCTACAGACAGCCTCGAAAATCGGCAGCAGCGGGCGACGATAGGAAATTTAATCCGGGAATGCGGTCTGATAGAACCGGGTGATTGGGTGCTGACATTACACGTATCGGGCCATTTGTACCGGTAATTCCAAACGTTGATACTTAGAAACCCTTGTATTGAGCTTGAATACTAATACAGAGCGACTTGATAGGGCAATAGACCTGATGACTGAACTCTTCGAGAATGCAGGTGCCGCAGTCTTGTGCGCAGGCCCTGAAATGCCTCATCAAGCTGTGGTGGAGTCGCTCATTCAGTTTCGAGCAAACGCAGTTGCTGGGGATGTCAGTCAGCTCCTCCAGCTAGCAAATTATCTGACAATTCTTGGCAGCGAGCAGAAGAAAGAAATTTCAATCAATAAGCTTATTTACACATCCGAGTCCATGACTGTATCGCAAAGGGAATTTCTCATTTCAGTTTTTGGAGAAATCAGCATTTGCTCAGTTATTGGCAGCGCAGAGGCAGGGCCATGGGGTATCTCAAGCACAGCATTGATGGGCATTTCTGAAGGGAACTATACCGACTTCATTATCGATAAACGTACTATTTGCTTGGAGGTTATTCCCTTTTCGGGTACGAGCAGGGAAGCACCAAAGCCTTCCTGTTCACTCACCTCGTGTGCAGAGCACGTCCCTTTAGGCCAGCCAGGTCTCCTGGTACAGACTTCCTTGCAGCGCCTACGCAATCCTCTAATTCGATATCTGTGTGGTGACGTGGGGTCTCTTCATCCCATGACCCCGGAAATTCTCGCAAAGCTTCCCAGTCAGCACACCGAACATTATCAACTAGTTCGGATTTATGGTCGTGATCAGCGCTCCAGCTTTACCTGGTATGGCGAATATTTCAATTTCAAGGCCGTTCAGTCCTTCATGCGTAATGAGCAATGGAATATTGTTCAGTGGCAGATCATCCTACAGCATGCAGATCCCAAGGAGACGGGCATAATACTCGAAGTGCGAGTCCTACGCGGGCTGCATGAAGCAGAGAGGCATGCCAGTGAGGAGGTCCTTGCAGCAAAGATGAGGAAATTCTTTTGGGTTTTTGATTTCAATCGGGAATTGTTTAGTTTGAGATTTGTCTTAGAGTCAGGGGAATTCTTACGGAGCAAGACTGGACGTAAGGTTATGCAGTTTGTTGACTTGACAAAATAGCTGCAAGGACGGAGAATGTTAGGGGTCTCGTGTTACGCAGACTTCTGTGATTGACTTGCCAATTCGTTGGAACTTTGCAGATCATACGTTTGACTCCTACATTGTTCGTGTATCCCGGTCATATTCATCCCAACAGCAATGCAGCACGATTTTTCTTTACCAGATAATTTTAGACGCATCTCAGTGACTACAATCAAGGTGTAGATTGGTTGTGCAAGCTGTCGGTGTAGTTTAGCCAATCCTTTCCAGTTTAAGACTAGGTCAATGCCCTTAGTTTGTACTAAGCAGTCTTTATTAAATAACACTTTGGGTTACTGCCACTTCCGATAAGTACTTGACTATCTTGTTCATTTCTTCAACCAAACCTGAAATGGCCAAACAGTTTTATACACTAGGTGAAATTCTCGCCGTCGCCCGCCATCACCCTTTATATAACACAAATGCTAGATATCCGCTTTCCCCCACCGAGGTTTTGTCAGTCATCACAGCCGCGCAGTCCAATGACAATGCTTTACAAGAATACCGGATCAATGAGAAGAAGGACATGTACGTTAATATGGTTCGCGAAATCTGGTATATGATTCAGGCAGCTAATCACATTGAATTAAGCTTCTCTGTAATTGAAAGACTGGCAGCAGATGATTCGCCAGAGAACACCTTCCGTCAGAGCTCTTATACTAGCGTTACGGGTGGAGGTTGGAGCCGTGGCATTCCTATGCTATTTCTTACTGATAGCGCAGAGAATCGACGCCAACGTGAGAGTATCGGTGCTCTGATTGAGGCAGTAGGAATCGTGCAGCCCACAGATTGGATATTGAATATCCACGTATCTGGATACTTATATCGGTTCGTGTACCCAATATGAGTGAGAACTCGATTTTACTGGAGTTTCTGACATGAGAAATCTTTAGTTCCCTCGATTTATTGACGGATGCTCTAGAGTATGCTGGAGGAACAATACTTTGTGCTGGAGGGGATATGTCCGCTGAATTAGTTACCAAGACTCTGATACAGTACCGGTGTAACTTTCTCACAGGTCCTGTAACGGAGCTCATCAAGTTATCTCGGCACATATCAGGTCTCCCATCAGATGTTCGGAGCCAAATCCGGGTAGCAAAAATCCTTTACACCTCCGAACCTTTATTCCAGTCCCAACGTGACCTTTTGATGGGAACTTTCAATTATCCCCTGATTTACTCTGGCCTTGGCAGTGCTGAGGCTGGATTCTGGGCTGTTTCAAATCCGCAGCTCACCGAGGTTGAAGATGCCGCCACTGCCCACGATGCAGCAGACTTCATATATGATACGCGGACCATGAAAGTTGAGATTCTCACCCAATCATCATCTGATATCAATTCGCCCTTGGATCAGCCCGTTGCTGAGGGTTCCCCCGGTGCTATTGTCCTCACCTCCCTGCAGCGTCTTCGGAACCCATTAGTGAGATATAACTCCGGTGACATCGGGTCTTTGCATCCGCTCCCTGCCAAGGGCAAAATACAAATTACACCGGATGTTTCGCTACATCTGCGGTTGCTGCGCATCTACGGCCGCGATAAACAGTTCAGCTTCAATTGGGGATCCAACTATTTCCTCTATGACACCGTTCATAATGTGATGCTGACCAAGGAATTTGGAATCCTTCAGTGGCAGATTGTGCTTGGTTGGGAAGAAGGTCTTCAGGGTGTTGAATTCATGGAGGTCCGTATTTTACGGGAGTGCCCGAGCACTGCCAAAGAGTCGATCCTCCCAGAAGATGAACTGGTGGCGCGAATCAAGTTCAGCTTCCTAGTCATTACAAATCCTTATTTCAGAGTTGTTATTGTGAATGATGTGAATGACTTTGAAAGAAGTGGGACTGGTAGGAAAGTTACACGGATGGTTGACCGCAGGTGAGGGAGCGTGGAACGGATCGATATTTTGTTTTAAAAATTTCTTTGTTAGCTTCATGCCTTAAAGTATTACAAATGTGATGATGCCTTTCTCCCTCCATTTATTAGATCGCTGACCGAGCTATTAGATACTAGGTCTTTTTTGGATACCTTACAAGGAAACTATGTACGAAGAGGTAAAGCGAAATGATATACCTGGCCTTGGCCTTTTTAGGGTTATTGGTTTGTAAGTTTCCTAACCTACCTCTGCCCTCCTTTTAGAGGCAGAGTACTTTAATATGGTTGTAAGACTAGAACGAACAGCGCGGTCGCCGTTTAGAGGTGTGCGTGCTTCGACGCCCGGCAATATCAACAGTCCGCTTATAGTCGTTTATAATTGCGAATTTCACGGGCTAGGCGAGAATATGCTACTAGATTTTCTTACTACCCTTGCTGTTCTTCTGAATGATTGCTTAACTAGCTTCTTCCGCGATATGCATCCCCAGAAGAAGGTTAAGCTCTTTGTACAAGTCAATGTATCCGGCGACGGCATAGGCACGAGTAGCATGATAGATCATATCAGGTATTGCTGAACAAGGGCCCGCAGAGCATTCTCGCTCGGAACATCGGCATGCTAAATATAGTAAGGCGCCTCGTAGGGTTCGGAGATGGTTAGAATGATACCGCTCATGATAACACGCGCATTCAAGGCTCGAGCGAACTCTAGGGTCGCACCACAAAGCTCCTAGGCAAAGCCATGGTGGGATCTGATGCCGCTAAGTGGGGCGCAGTCTTAGGACCCGAAGGTTCGCGGTGGGGAAGCCCGCCCAGTGAATGTTACTTAAGTCAAGCCCCCAATAATCCTGTCACACTCGATCGATCATTGCCATTTCTGTAAGAAGCCTCGATATAGAGTGATATATATATATTTTGATATCCATCTTTCTATGTAAAATTCGATAATATATTTTTTCCCTCAATATCATCCTTATATCTTATAGGTACTATATGTAGATTAGCTTATTCTTTATATAATGAAAATAAATAGAATTAAGATCTCCTATATATAAGAGGTAAAAACAAGCTTAGGGCATGTTGTATTTAAAAGCTTAGCGTTTTTGGCCTGTTTACACCTAAATTTGGCTCATATTGGGTACCCAAAAACACAACCCAAAGCTAGATTGGGTGGGGTTGGGTCTGGGTCCACTAGGGTTTTGGAGGAGCCCAAATTTCCTATTCTAGATAGTTATGAAGCTTTACGCAGGGAGAAGGGTTTTAAAATCAAAAAATAACCCATCTATTGGTTATAACTGGGTTCTAGGTGGGTTATGGGACAGTCCACTCAAACATAAGGGGAAAAGTCTCGAGTGCCAGGTAGTATCCGGTACATATGAAGATCCGATATTGACTGATGAAAACAGATGCATTGCGGCCTATTTATCCATACTTGGGACGATCTATATGGACATCACAAAAGAAGTAGGGAAAGAGATTCCGAGCGACCACTTCCTCGGTTACAGTAGTTCATTACTGCTCCTTTTATAGGAGCAACCAATAACTGCGGAACTGGCATGTTATACCTTTAGGAGGTAGAGTAGCCGTGCTTGTTTAGCGCTTCAGCTACCTGGATCCATTCGTCCTTGGTCAGATCGCTGTACTGAATAGCGTCAGATCCCATCGGGGTGGGAACAGGGCCGCCCTCCTGGGTAGGGTCACCGGTAAGCACGGTAGCGAGGTCCATGCAAGCAGGGGGAAGGCCATCCAGGCGCACTGTAATAGTCAGTCGTGTTTCGCCCAGTGCAGTTTGTGACTTACAGTTGTTGGTTCCGGAGAAATGGACATGCGCACCGTCGAGCTGACCCTGGCATAAGTCCCAGGAGTTCTGCGAGACTCCGGCTGGCAGATTCATGGGAGAGCGGCGGGTGCTTGATGAGATTCCGTGGCCGACACTAGCAGCACCCGCACCGCCGAGGGCAGCACCTCCAAGTGCGCCATCGGCGGATGCGACGGTGGCTGCAGTCTCGACGCTGGCTTCGGCGATGAGAAGGAATGGGGCTGGGGCGTACTGCACCATCGAGAGGATGGCGGTAGCGGAGACGGCAGCTAAGCTGAGAAAGTGCATTGTAGCGTGTATGTGGTGGAAAAGGACTTTTAAAATAATAATTGAGATATTGAGACTTTGGATTCAAGCCTTTTGTTGTTTGGGGCAGTGGGTTGATGGATTTGAATTGAACGAATGAAGGGAGCTTGCCTTATATGTGTTTGGCGACTCAGCGGTGACTCGAGGTTGACTGCCGACTCGATCGAGACAATCTTGGTCTTGGGGGCGGTTTTTCGTGCCCGGTTGCCATTGAAACACTCAATGAATCTTTTGAATCCCTTCGTATCCTATCATGGGTGGCCTGCGAGGCTCAATCATAGACTATGGCATCATTGCAATATCGCCCCCATCTCCAGGGGCCTGGTGGATAGACCTGATCAGATGAGCCACTGGTGGAGCTTGAGTCGACTCCAAGATAGAAACGTCTCACCAAAAATGGAAGCTTTGGTGTCGGGTTCTCTATGTAACCCTTTTTGGCCCCATGGTGTAGCACGTAAAAATGAAGTCTGGTGGATGAAGAATGGCCCCTGAAGGATTCAAAGCAAGATTTGATCATCAAAATCAAGCCCCATTTTAACATGTTGCATTGCATCCAATATGCGTCACCAATATAGTTGGACGAATTGCTGGTTGCTGTACAATATTGAAGTATACAAGGGCACATAATCATTTTTCAAGACTACAATGTGTAATTGCTTTTCAAGCTAAATGAGCTACAAAAAAACTCTCCCAAAATCAAGCCGAAGCCAGTAGGAATTCCTGCGATTATTGCGTGAATTACTCAGCTTGTTGAAGCCGCAAAGACACCAGGACACGCTCCACACACCCATCTTCTCAACACCTAACAGGCGGCATTGCTCCATCCTTTGGCCCGTTTAGTTATTTTGGGACACTGTTTTCTAATTCGAGTTTGATGCTATGAGCTCAAGGGTGAGTACGCCGTGGGGCAGCATTAAAATGCCTCATTTGGGGGCAGATTGGATAATCCACTGCCAATCTCATGTTTCTAAGTGATTGTATGATAATGGTGGGTAAAGGATTTCCCATTGAAGATACAGATTCGTTGACCTACCATGAGGTATAGTGGGTATGGCCCCTTGAACTATGACATTCCGGCCCGAAGAGTACAAAGCGTCGTGACAAGGCTTCGTCAATCAACCTTCTATGGTATTGGGGGCGGGAATATCATGAAGATGAAAAATTTGGGGGCTCCTACTAAATAGGAAATTACAGCAGCACCCTCAGGGATAAATAGATGCATCTTCCTCCCTAATACACTTCTTTTCTCATCATCAACTACTCAATTATCTTTTGCCTCAATCCAGAAAAACTTGTCTCCAAATCACATCCTTTCGACTACTTTTTGCCAGAATGCACTTCTCCAAGGCTGTCTTCATGGGCTCTGCTGGCCTCCTTGCCTTCACCCAAGTCTGCCCCGCAGCAATCACCGAGGTTCTGATCGGTGTTCTTGGCGGTGTTGTGGCCGGCGGAGTCTCCGGTGGCGTCGGTGCTGCAGAGAGCAGCAAGCGCGATATCGAGCAGGTCCACGCTCGCGACTTCCTCGCTCCCTACTTGAACAACAATGTGAAGAAGATCCGCAGCTTGCCTCCCGGCGTCTCCCAGGAGTCGTTGGACCAGTGCACCCAGCAGATCAACGACCAGGGTACCCCCGTGAATGTCTACAGCATCAGTGACACTGGTAAGTCTTTCTTTCTTCACCTTCATGTAAAAACCGTTAACATGTGTCTGTCTAGCTGCTCGGGCCGATAACGTGCCGGCTGCTTGCATGGACCTGGCTACCGTCATCCTCAGCGACCCTGCCCAGGCAGGTGGACCTGTCCCAACCCCGATGGGCAGTTCTAGTCTTCAATACAACGGTCTTAGTTCCAAGGATAAGACCGACCTGCAGAACGCCCTCTCCAGGACTGGTTCTCGCACTTAAGGGGGAGGTGTAACCGATCGAACTTCTTCGAAGTTCCCATCTGAAATTTGTTGAGTACAGTAGAGAAGCCGCATACAATTACAATGCATTCGAGTATTTATCCACATTTGCGTGTAAGCCCTAAAGAGATAAGAATCCACATGGAATGAAATTAGGACATCTGGAGTTTGCAGGTGACACTAAGTGACCCACAATGCTGGGGGGCGGTCTCCACTTTCAGGGGAAAAGCTTAACTAGCTCATACTTATGTCGTCATTGTCATATCTATAGTTGATACGCTTTCCTGTTATGGATAGGGCCAAATGCTGCACAGCCTCGTACTTCCCTACACATGATCTTTCAAGGTCTCTTGGAAATGAAATGCACCCATTGATTTTCTATTTTGGTTTTCCTGGTGAGTGGGTGCGTAAATTGGGGCAGCGTATCTTGTTGTCTGAGTAGCAATCGCCCTATGCTCTTGCTGCACAATATATCTTGCCATATTCCCACTTAGGCACGCTCCAAAACATGAATGTGAATACCCATAGAAAACCAATTGCTTTGTACACACCCCGTCTCTCGGCCATGCGACTCCACTCCATTAACATTTTATTTCTCCCAAGGTATGCTGTCCAACAATTGGTAGCCACCATCTCAATCATGGTAGCACCGCCATTCATAGAAAACCACAATGTATCCCTCCAAACTTCGCAACGCCCCGTTTGCCAGCTAACCAGGGAGTGCACAGCTCCAGATAAGAAAAATACTAAGCTCAGTACTACGATCTTTTCCCAGATACCACCCGGCGGGAAACGAAACACTCTTCGAGACACCCATAGCCCGTAGTTCTTGTATGGTCTATACACGAGACGATGCCAAAACCGGGACCAGAAATAGCGCAGTGTATACGCCTCCGCGGGATTACCGAAGAGCGGCGGCCACTCCCAAGGCTCATCCCAGCGGAGGACGCAGGAGAATAAGATGGCAGCAAATGTCTGTGTGAGATGAAGAACTGCAGAGTTGGACCAGATCCAGTGTACGGCGAAGACACAGCGCAAAAGGGTCTCTCGGGCTGTGATTGCTGAACCCATTAGTAGGCGCCGAACATATGACTGCTTCATTGCCGAGAAGTCGGCGACTGTCAGCGGCGCAAATGCACCCGGTAACAAAGGCACCATCATGTACCGAGCTACCAGGAATAAAATGAGCAGCTCGGCTAGACGGCGAACAAGGAATGCTGTTCGAGATGGCCGGGTTCGCATCATAGGTGCGCCAGGGATTGCGCGAGGGGTATGCAGTAGCTGTGGGTTACTCCAAATTTTGTAAGCTGCGTGGAGATCCCATGGTTTTGGATGTGTTGTGGGATGCAACACCCATTGCTCAATGTAAAGGACGGAGATCATGTTTGCGACGTGGATGAATCCCGCGTGGCCCCAAACAGAGCCCAGCCCAAGCCCGGGGAGAGCAACATTGATGTCATTGATTGTGAAAAATGAAAGTGCCGCTGGGACCAGGATTGGGAGAAGAAAGTAGATTCGATATGGCTGGGAGACATTTAGGGCCACGCAAGAGATGAGAGATGAGAGTAAGCAGGCAAGGACAGACGCTATACCACGGAGGAACGACATGGCCATCTAGTCCACAGAAGCTTGAGGGTTGTGCTTTTGCTGTGCCTCATCATCTCATTTTATTTTCTTGCAATGTGTATGCTATTTTAAGTGACCGCATGGCTCACTTTGATGCCTCTACCACTATTCTGGAAACTTTGGCCCCATTCATTCAGAGGTTTCCGCATTGAGGAATATTTAGGGAAACGGAAGGATTGGAGTAGACCCAAGGCGAGTTGGCTAACTGGACAGAAAAACGCCTCGTGTTGGGGGCTATTTTGGTTAAAGGCTTAATTCAACGTGCTGTGGAGTCCGATCATCAAAGGATCGGCGTGCAAAGTCATCAAAGTCAGACATGGCCCGGGGCCGTTTGGGGGCCAATTGCACTTCCGCGCCCTTTCTCTTCGTTTCTGTTCCTTTTTTTACCCTTTTTCTTTTTTGGCTGATTTTGGGGGCTAGAAAGCTTCTTGGGACGACAGACGTGTACGTACTAACTTTACTCTTCCAATACATTAGAACCAACAGGGCTGTGGGGCTGAGTTTCAAGAAACCCCTCCTTTTCCTCACCCGCGTCATTTTCTGATCTTTTCGACTGTTGCAATATCCTAAGGAAACGAGCCTTGAAGTTATCGAACACATTGGCTGCAGTCAAGGACACTACCAGCCTTCGCATCCCAGAGACATGGCACCGAGTGTTTCCAATCTCAAACAGCCCATCGCTATTCGGACCGAGTATACAGTTTCCGATCCTACGTCTATCAGAGTCAAACAGCACAGTCTGAGTCTGTCCGGGGAGAGTTCACAGTGTCCAAATGGGAATCCGACCAGTCTTCAGGCCTTGAAGATTCTCCCGATCTTCTGTCTGTTACTGGGAAGGTCACGTCTTTCCATCAGAGACGCCATTTTCGAGACCCTTCAGGGCTTCCGTTATTTGAGCTTTCAAATAAATCCTTGGGCTCGACACGCTTCGTCAACTTGCCAGGTGGTGGCTCTGGATCAGAGCCCATTGCTATATTTGCGCCACGATTTGACTGGCACAAAGACAAATTTGATCTTTATGTCAAAAATGCCGTAGCAAATGGAGAAGAAACACTTCTAGAAGTGCGCGGTCAAGACGTTTACAAATTGAGGACAAATGTCTGGGCTAATGGGGCCTTGGTGATGACTATCAAGAGGACAGACAAATATGCTCCGTACATTCCGTTGAAGAGGCCTGAATGGCAAGTGGATGTTGGGGCGGGAATGGATTTGTCGCTGGTGAGTCTACTTTCCTCATTGGATCCGTATTGGAAATTAACCTCGCATCTTAGGCGGCTTGCATTGTGGTCTATATGGCGGAGACGATGTACCATCCTAGCATGCCATCATCGCATGCGTCCGCGGGTCAGAGCGACCAGGGCCCATTACAGGAAGCAGCATTATCAGAAAAAGGGAAGACGGAGTAGGGTTTTAGAGTACGGGTGGAAGACCTTTGCTGTTCGAATTTGACCATTCCATTGATAGCATTTTTCAAGGCTACTTCATATTTCTAAAGCAAGATAATACACGGATGCCAAGCGAGAAACAAAGATAAATTATAAGCTACACTCTTCTTGGAGGGTCTTGGCCCCCATTCCTTCTGCGTTACATTCAGCTCACAAATATAAAGAGACCCAGGCGCGCCAGACCCTCCCTCAATCTACGCTGAACGCAAAGGATTTTGATTCTCAGATAAAGATACACCATGAGAATACATTGCCTTTTTGGAAACGCCCTAACTTTTTTCTATTTCTTTCTGTTCCATTGATGATATGGAAAGCCCTTTGTTTGACCACTGCGAGCCCCTACCCTATCGTGGTAGTCATCTCCGAATCTATGGCACCCGCATTTCACCGAGGGGATATTCTCTTTCTCTCAAATCGGCAATATGAGGTTTCTGTTGGCGATATACCAGTTGTATGGTTTCCGGGAAATCCATTACCCATGGTGCACCGTGCCATCCAAGTTCTAGTGAATAGCGACAGGTATTTACTTCTATAGATGCCATTCAGCGCAATCCAGCACGCTAACGTTAGAAGGCAATATATTCTCACGAAAGGAGATAACAATCCAACTCATGACATGTCATTATATCCGCTCGGTCAGGCATACGTGGCTCGAGAGGAAATTGTTGGGTTGGTAAGAGGGTATCTGCCTTGTGTGGGATGGGCAACAATAGCGCTCAGTGAATATCCATGGCTGAAAGGGGTAGGGATTGGTGTTTTCGGAGCCATGGGAATGCTTACTTGATAGTTTGAAGTATTTGGCTGTATCTCACTGGAGCTTTGCATCTAAGCAGCCTTGAAATTTGACCTGGCCCCATCCCCTCTCAATTGTGATGCGGCCGGATTTTGAAGGTTTTTTTTTCTATTTATAGTGTATCCAGAGATCATGATAAAGACTACCCAACTATACGTGACGTATTGGTATCCCGGGCGGAGACCCATTCTGGTCCCCCTGGCCCCCCTGCGCACCCCTGCCCTGGCCCCCAAAAGTTACCCCACAAGGCCCGCACTGTCCTGAAATTATAATTGAACGTGCCTACTTGAAACGACAGTTTGTTATGAAGATCAATGGTACGAGGCAATGAAGCACCTCTCAAGCCCAAGGGGCCGAAGCTTAGCATGGGTCATGCTGTCTTGCCGTGGGGCGAAAATAGCTCACTACGTATAAGTATCCAATGACGATGTACACAAGTTCTGCTGTTGGATATTATGACGATTAACTTATATAGGCCCAACTTTCGACTGCTTAACTGAGTCATTAATCCTCTTCACTAGCCTCTAGCAATTCTTGCCCCAAACTCAGCAAGAGAGAGAAGCATTCGCTGTGTAGGTGAATTGCCGAGCGCCTGCTCTATTATTTGGCATGTGGCATCGCTAATGGACAAAAATTAAGCTCAAAAAGAACCCCCTTCCTCCTACATCGCAACAGGGAAAAGCACGTCCAGATGCCTCAACCCAAGAATGCTTTTGCGGACGACGAGTCCTTGGAGATGGGCAAGCTACCCCAGAAGCCAAAACATAACGTCTTCCTTCGCGTCTGTGGTGCTCCGTGGAAGGAGCTTTCTACACTGGAAATGTCTATGAGAGTTGTTGGCTGGTTGGTTTTTTGGGTCGTGATAGGTGTCATTATTGGTCTGATCATCCGGTTTACATGAAATGAATAGAAGGGTTAGAAGACTAGGCGAGGGGATAATTTCACAGCCATCTTTATTGTCAATTATCAAGGACCTGTTTCAATTTCCAAGTATGATGATGTTTGAAACTAAACAAGCAGCCTCATTCAGGCCAATAGTTCGAGAGAAGATCTCAGGAATTTCATGGCGTGGAAGTAGTGTGAGCTGGATGAAGCGCGAAGGCATCTGATTTGGATGACGGTCAGGCCGCTAAGTATGCTGGAAAGAAGGGTGTCATGTTCAGCTATGATGCTGCTGCTTCTTGTATGCATCTAGGGGTTCAATTGATATCACAGTGGATGGAAACATTCTCGCTTCTCGGCGTTGAATGGATTCATACTGGGACAACAGTCTCCCATAGCCTCCTATATTATCTGTTAGAGTTTCCATTATAAGTACTTTCAAGCGGCATTTTCTCCACCAATAACATGGTTCTAAGCCTTCTTCGAGGAATCAGTATGTGAAGGTCTTCCAAAATCATTCTCAAAAACCTTTAAAAAATGGTGCAAAAGAAATCTTTCAAAGTCGGAGTTGGAAATTGACTTCATCATTGATAGTGGTGATATATGAAAACATGCTTATAGTAGAGACCCCAAAGTGAACAAATCGCAAACCACTGTTTCCAAATTGGATTCATGGAGGAGATCTTGGAGCTTCTGAAATTTACAATCTCAGTTGTGGTGTCTCTATCAGGAACCCCGCCCACGGGGCTGCTGACTGAGAGCCCAATGCCAGGGTTTTGGCGGATGGTTTGAGCTTTGAGCGGATTGCGGCGAGGTCTTGTCAAAAAATGTGCAATGCATACGGCATTGGCGTTACCCGATGTACACAAAGCGCGGAGATAGGAGATAGGAGATAGGAGCGACGTCCCCAACTCCGCTAGAGCAACATAATAAATGATAAAGATTTCGTTAAAACCCGAGTTTGCATCCAAATTCACCGACTTGCGAGTGTCCTACAGTTATCACTTTGGTGATAAGCATATTTATTTTTCTATCCGTTGTTCTGACGTTTCACTATGGCTATGAATCCGTTTCGAAAAAAATTCTCTGTTGAAGACATCCCTGATCTAGCGGGAAAGGTCATCATAGTCACTGGGTGAGGATTATTACCATTATAACTGATTTAATACAGGCTGAAAAAAGATTCCTTCCCTAGTGGTGCCACAGGAATTGGGAAGCAAGCGGTAGAGCAGCTACTGAGACACAATGCCAAAGTATATGTTGCTTCTCGATCGAAGCGAAAATTTGAGCAACTTTTCAACCACCTTAAGTCAGTCGACCCGCATATAGCTGCAGGCTTGAACTTCCTTGAGCTTGACCTATCAGATACTACGAGTTGCATTTCTGCGGCAAAGCACTTCGCTAAGCTTGAGGGAAGACTTGATGTCCTAATTGCGAATGCTGCATTGGCTGTTGTAGTAAGTCACCTCTTGTGGGCAGTAGACCGAGCGCTTAACAGGACTGGATCGATGTTAATCAGTCATAGCCAGAGACATTGTCAAGCGACGGAATTGAGGTACAATTTGGTGTAGGTTCTATATATCCCCTTGGTCCGGCTTATGTTTGCTAACACATACGCAGACAAACGTGAGAATTTATATATATATATATATATATTGCAGACCAAAAGCTTAACAAGTCCTCGTTATTATAGTACTTCGGACATTTTGTGTTCACACATAACCTTTTGGTATAGCTTCGAGGTAATTGCTTGCTCTTGTTTACTTGTATACTAATCTGTTTTTAGGACCTGATTCAATATACTTCCGAAGCATTTGGCGAGGCGAGGATTGTCATTGTTTCATCGCACGCTCATGCCATGTATAAGCCGGTTGTACCGGACAAAATCGATTTTGAAGGCCTATGGAAGGAGGGACCAAAGACTATAAACAGCCTTGCCGATGTACAAGCTAGCTTGCAGAGGTCAGCTTAATCTTCCGTATTGTGGTGCTTTGGGCTGTTATTTCCTTGTACAGAAATTTCGGCAACCAAAGAACTAGAGACAAGAATGAAACAAACTAACATTCAAGTAGATATGCCCTTTCAAAGCTGGCGAATATATTATTTGCCCAACGTCTCCACACGCACTTTCAGGCAACAGGTTACTCTAACATTCTTGTCAATTGCCTCAATCCGGGTATGTGGTTTGAAACCAAAATTCGATCAGGTGCTAATAAGGCTTTTGCATAGGCACAGTGGGCACTGCTCCAGGAACCGAGTCAGCTGCGCTGCCGCTAAGGTTCAAATTCATCAACTCTTCAATCGTCCGATTGATGAGCATACCACCAGAAGACGGTGCTTTGACAATGCTGTTGGTAGCTACAGACCCTGAGGTTAAGTCAAAGTCATTAAGTGGACGGTACTTCGACGTCGGACCGCTTGCTGGAAAGTTCTACTATGGCTATAGTTGGGATGCCACGGACTCGAAATTGTCTGATGTTGCAAAGGATGAGCATCTCTCTGAGATGCTATGGAATTGGAGCATAGAAACGGCGGCCTCTGTTAATATTACTAGCTAGATTATGGGCCAAGAACCTATCCTATGGGGTTTGGCGGAATGCAATGTATCCCAGTTGGGGCTTTTGCTTAACTACGCGGGAAAAAGTAGTGCCAATTGAGTGCATTGCAGTTTGATCGGGTCATGCCTTTTCTCCGTTGTAGCTCGCCATCGCCCATCATTTTCTGTTTCATTCTGATGTACAATTCTATTCAGTAAGCCTAGGTGTGGAGGACTCGACCCATCATTAGCGATGGTTATTTGGAGCAGACACAATTACCCAGGGGTACCTGATTGGAACGCAGCGGAGTATAAAACACTAACTCTAAAAACTATGGCAGAGCGCCCCATTTTCTCGGCGAGTCCAGGCTTCACTACCAACACAATTATGACACCAAAGAAGTCCGTCGGGGTCGTACTTTCGCTTAATAGCGTGAAGTCCATGCGATAATCCGTACTCGACGGCTCACAGATATTTATGTTGCGATCGACGTTATCAGTTTCGTCTGTCAAATCATGGGATCTGCCTCCCACACAAGCGAAGATTCCGATAGCATGCCAAAGGGGATTCATTTAGTCCTCGGTGGTCTTGCATTTCAACTGGTTGCATTTCTATGTTTCATTGCTATGAGTGTAATTTTCCAGGTTCGACTCAACAATTCTCCCAGTGAGATCTCGGCAAGGTTCTCGGTGAATTGGAAGAAGTACATGTGGGCCCTCTACTGTGTTAGTGTGCTTGTTTTCATTCGCAGCTTGTACCGATTTGTCAAGTTTGCGGCAGGAGCTGATACAATAATGGTGACTGGAGAGGAGTGTCTTTATGTTTTCGACGCATATCTGTTGTTTTTGGTTGCTGTCTGTCTAGCACTCGTTCACCCCGGAAGTCTCATTAATCCGTCGGTGTAAAGCAAGTTGAAAGACTGACCGGAGATGCGGAATCTTACATCCCATTGAATGGACGCGAATCATGAAACTGCTCTGGTTATTTAGGCACTGGGTTCACAGGTGGGGCGGCTCACTACTGAGTAATATGTACATATTACGAAAGAATTTGGGGAAGAGAGTCGTGTCAAGAATATTTGGGCCCAGGACTGACAGGTGAGCCTGGTGTCTTTTATCTCGGTATAGTTTAGTGAATGACTGCATCGGGATGGTTAGGTTGTACAGCAAAAAAACATGCGATGTTCAAGCGAGGAATCATAAGAAGAAAGATTTCTTTCGCGCTTAGCTAGGAGAATTGACTAGCAATTGTCTTTATACGGAAGAGTAATGTGTCCTCTCGGATCGAAGACTCATTCTATAGAGGATGGATTTTCGCTCTTTGGACATTAGAACTAGCGGGAGCTTCTTCATTCAGTTGAAGTATAGAGAGTTTCCTTTTCCGGGAAAGATCCGCAAACTAACTGCAGAAAATTCGCGCTAGTTAGATAGCCACCATTGTCGATTACGAATTGCCGCGTTTTCCTTTTCTCTCTCCCACCCCCTCTTGTAGTGTTTGTCCCATCAAACAAGATGCCGGATGGGACCATGCTCCGACGAACTCTTGTACTGTGGTTTGATGGAACTGGTAATACCATTTCGATGGAGGTGAGACGAACATCCTGAAGATTTTTCGGATGCTCGATCGACATCACGACGAGCAACACAACGGAGATCGACAGACTGAAGTCATTAAGGTATTGACTCCGAAGCCGTGCTCTTGATACTCTATTACATGACGTTGTTCTTGCCCTCTGCTAATCGCACCTCCGCACCCCGCACGAGTCAAGTAATGCGGAGACGGTTGATCAGACGGAACCGGTTATCTAGGTATCAGGCTGGGCTAATTATGCTGTCGATCTATCCTCATAGGTGACTTCACTGTGATGCAAAACATTGATTCTAGCAAGATCTGACTCGGCTGTGCTTCCGGCCTATGATATTTTGTTAGTGAGAACCGAAGGACAATATAGGAAGTCTCTAAACTATACGATCTGTGAGGCTGAATTAACCGAGATTACAGAATTCCTGATCGCGGAAAAGTTTGATGCATCACATCAAGGCAACAAACATACACATGTAACGTTAACTGATAATATGAGACATGTAAAAATAGAAACTGAAATGCAAAAATAAAAGACACGTGTAAACCTCGGGAACCAAGCTTGGTAGTATATGATTGAACGGAGATGCACCATTGCTCCTAGAGTAGGATCTGCCCGAGGTGCATGCCGTACAATACAATTAAGTTTAACTTAACGTTGTTAATGTAAAGGTAACTAACTATATATCCATAGGCCTCTTACACTCCAAGGCCGAGTTAATCCCGCGCATATGAAATGTACCCACAAATGCAAGCCAATACTTCCAAAGTCACTTCGAACTTACCGAGGGACCTAGCGAAGGGCGGTGTGCTAGTTGGACGCTAAGTTGCCTAATTGCTTCCTAATGGCTTCTGCCGCGTTTCTAGCGCCAAAGCCAAGACTTTTCGCCTCCAACTGAAACTTGGGCACTTCGTTCCAGAGTACATTGGTTTCATGGTCTGCTTGCACGGTTTGCCGTTAAATTCCGATATTTTACAGGGTATCACCATATCCCCCGTTATAGGGGCGATATATCCAACATTATGGGAATCTTCTACACTCTATAGGCAGCTGACTATAGAGAGAATGCTGCCACCGGGATCTCTTAACGCCCCTCCCCCTTGCAGATGACCCCGGATTTTACAGGGGATCTGAGTTCTTCACGATCTCGATATATCTACAGTGTACTTACTCTGTATAGCTGCTACAGTTTAGCCGTAGCCAGGTGAGAATGGGAGCAAGAGCCGATATTAGGAGAGATTCTCCACTGAGGCGACAGAGGAGAATAGCACTCCGTAATAGTAATGAATATCCTCCCCCAATTTGGATGTCACACCATCCACCTCCTCGGATATATGCTATGCCTCTCTGACTCGTCTATCGTTCAGGAAATGATATCCCCATCATCATCGACTGTCTTAGTCACATACTAGTCGTTTCCGGTAATTTATGACGTTGCCATCCGACTGCAAGCGGTGTAGCCATGTCTATAGTTATGTGCCATTGTCATTCCTCAGTAGATCCGATCTTAAGTTCGCGCTATTTGCTTCAAGATCAGCTAACTCTGCACTTATAAAACTAACCCCTGGGGTCAAGATCTGTAGTGTAGGTCACGTGCGTATTACCGTAACGGCGCCTGTCCCAAACCGGAAGGGTTGCCATCTCATAACCCCATCTTCCATTGCCCGGGATCTGCTGTTTCTCATCTTCTCCTTGGTCTCTCGTTCTATAACTCTCTCTTCTTCTGTTCTTTTCTGTGTTGAAGACTCGATTACTTTCTGCCAGAGCGGGTCTTCATCCGAGTGGACTCCTGTGAACCCGCCCAAATACCGCCGCCCATCCACTCAGTCCACTCATCGAGGGGCACCTGTCTCAAAGTCGCATTCATAACTTCTTTTCCTCTGGGAATCGCGCTTCAAGCGAAAGAAACCCTGTCACTCTTAGAAACCCCCTTGGTTTAGCGTGACACCGCGCAGGCCGGACAGGGAACCAGGATATCCATTCGTCAGACGTCGGAAATCTCATCGGATTGAATTTCTCTGGCACTTTTTCTTTAACCCATAACAGCTTTTATCATGACGGGCGCCGCTCCTATTGATATTTCCACCCGCCAGTCGACCTCGGTGTCGCCCCCGGCCAACAAGCGTCCAACCTGACCTCGGCCCTACAGAGGGCGGGTACGGGTGATCGCACTGGGAGCTTCTCGCATCATGCCGGCGGAGGACTCGGAGTATTCAAGGCGCCACCGCCGCGCAAAGACTCGATCGGCGCCGCCACGGCACAATGGGGGAACGGGACGAAACCTATCTCCATGTCGGGATCTGCCCGCGATAAAGGTCGTCGGGAGTCCCTCGCAGGAAGCTTGGTGGGTGGCATGAGCTGGGGGGTGTGTCCGTCGGGAGCTGGATACGTGATGAGTGAGTGCGCCCTAGCCGGAGCCGAAGCCGCGGAGAATACCCCTCGTGTGCTGCTGCTTGTTGCACTGCAGAACTGACCAAGGAAATTTTACCATGCAGCATCATTATGACTGGCACCTCGCCATTTACTTTCCAGTCGCCCTCTTTCCACTCCTCGTCGTATCTCCCGAAGCTGGAAGCGAACTTTATGAAAGACTTTTCTTGCTGCGGTGTGACGTTACCGACGCTCCATGACCTATTACAACATTACGAAGAAGCCCATGCGACCAAGTCGCCCAACCAAGGCCACCGACCGAGCCAGGGTGAGAATCGAGCTGCCTTGGCCGCTGCGGCAATTGCACAGCAACAGAGCCAACAGCATGGCAATCAAGGACGTGGTCTACAGCCCGATCGGACCCTGGACATGCAGCGCAAGTTGGGCCAGAACCCATCGCCATTACAGCATGCCGATCTAGACACAATCGATGATATGGAGATGGACGACGCCTTGGGTGACGGGGATGCCTCTACATCCCAGCTCTTCTCCCCTCAACTACATGACGGTGGCCAGGGCGGATTCGGCAACTCAAATCAGGGCTCGCAATTAAATCTGAGTATGCTTCCAAGCCACCAAGGATTCAGCACCCCTTCGCAACCCGGCACTCCGATCGGATCTGGACGACCTCTTTCTCTGCAGAACAACCCAACGGTCTCTTCCGTCAACACCCCAACGTTGATGGCCAACCCGCTCCACAATTCGCAATTCCGCAATACTCCAGATTCTTCTGGGCCAGGGACCCCGGCCGAGATTGACGAGAGCATGATGGGTGGATTCGGTGATCTCAGCATGCAAAATAACACCATGGGCCAGAATCAGAACCAGTTTGCACGGTTCAATGGGAACAATAATGATATGGTCGATCTCTGTATCGATGAACCGGCCAAGCGGCTCTTCAGCCCCAGCGGTGGCTTAGGTTCGCCCAATGCGCACTTTAAGCTCAGCGGAGCTCAATACGGTCCCAATAGCGATATTGCACGACGGATCCGTGAACAGCAACTGCTGGCTGGGGTCCCCGACACTACCACGATCCTCCCCAACGAAGAACCTAAGCCATTCCGGTGTCCCGTCATCGGTTGCGAGAAAGCTTACAAGAACCAAAACGGTCTCAAGTATCACAAAGCTGTAAGTGCGACTTGAACTTTATCAGATTTTGACTCCTCTCTGACCTTCTATCTCTTCTAGCACGGTCATAACAACCAGCAACTTCACGATAACGCTGATGGCACCTTCTCAATTGTCAACCCAGAAACATCCGCACCATACCCAGGTACCCTGGGCATGGAGAAAGAAAAGCCATATCGCTGCGAGGTGTGTGGCAAGCGGTATAAGAACTTGAACGGACTCAAATACCACAAGTCACACTCACCACCCTGCAACCCCGATTTCCAGCTTGGAGGTCGCAACATGGCCCTAGGTGGCGGGGTCATGCAGGGGCAGAACATCAACGTTGCTGGAGCTGGCCTCCCCGGGATTGGCGAAGAAGGCCTTCTGTGAACAAATGAACACATGAACAAATATGTCTACATAATTCCCAGATAATTGACGCGAACGATTTCGACCGCTTTCTCTCGGGGGTCAGAGCACTCCTGCACACACACGATGTCATGATTTTGAATTGGTTCCGGTGACTTTGGAGTTCTCTTTGCGATTCTCTCTTCTCTTTTTGAAATTGCTCCCATGGTATTCCACGGGATCGTTTTGCTTTTCGTCCCACCTGTCCGGGTATATTCTACTGGCATGATCTTTTTGCTTCGATATTCCTCATGCCATTTCCAGGTCGTATCTATATGGCCTGGTAATAGAGCTACCCTGAGCGATCAAACCACACCCAGCAAAAGGCTCTCTAGAAGAAAACAGAACTGCTGGCTTGGCTGATATTTTCTTCTGCTCTCGTTCTTCATATGGAATTCGCGCTTTCACGGAAGCCGAATCAAGGAATGGGATGTCATATCCATTTCCGATCTACCATTGTTATGCGTTTATGCAAGGGTTGGCTTTCTGCTTTGTTTATGCGATTCACGCGTTCATGCTTCTGTTCACTCACCGTTTCCGTTCATGGTCCTGTACCTCTCACAAGAGCATTGACAACCGAGTCCGACTCACGTCCTACCTCAAGCACCTCGAAACAAACAAAAAAAATTTCTATTTGGCTTGGTTGGCTGGGTTATGATGGAAACAATCACTCAAGAGGTTCTAAGGATAGGTCCTAAGGGGAGGTCCTAAGGGGAATCCATGATCATGATCACATGGCTCTGTCTTTCCTTAATGGACTCCACTTTCTCCTTTACACAGTCGGTGTTCGCTTTTCTTCCCTGCCTGGGTTCGGGATTGGAACTGGAAATCTTCAAAAAAGTGTGGTTTCTCTGGCGTCGGATATTTGTAGATATGGATTTTTGATACACTTTGGCTTCTCTGTCTACTGTGATTTATCTTTCTTGCGATGTGTTTCGCTATTCATGCTTTATCATTTTTATTCTCTATTCGTTTATCTATATGTGGTTTTGGGTGCAGATCTAGTAGATTGATGTCGTAGGGCTGGCTAATGTGGAGATATATATCAGGGCCTCAACCCTATTTATTCTACAACAACCCAGTACTCTTTATCCACGTATGCTTGATTTGTTCTTCAAATATTTTATTGAACCCAGCAAGGTTGCCTTTCAATCTAGTACACAAGGTATGGGCAAAAAAAAAGAGATAAAAAAAGCAAAATCCCATCCTTAAGTGTAAGCGCTATAAGCCGTTGAAAGTTGAATAGAAACCCGCAAATTCAAAGCCCGGTATGTGATGTCGGGAGCTGGGTCAGAACAGAGGTGGTAGAATCATGAGAAAATTCGCTTGCACAACCCATTTCGAGGCGTGACTGAGAGGACATGGAGATTTGTTTTCGTGTCATGAGAGCACATAATAAGAAATAAGAAAAGGCATGGTACAGAATGGGAAAAGAGGTCGTCAATAGTATCGAAAATGTGATGAAAGATGATCGCGTGGTCTTGTCAAATTACCATTCGAACTCGCCTTGGCCCTTGTGGAAGACATACCTACTACAGTCAGTATATATATATATATAAAGGGATGAGATAACTTACTCCTTGCCACCAGTGGTCAGGATACCGTCCTTCAAGGTGCACTTCCACTTGTTCTTCACGCGCTGGACCTTGTCGTATGTGCAAAGCATGACTTGGCCTTCTGACTCATCTTGGTCGTGGTCATCGGCAACAAGGTCATCGGGATCATCCAGGTCTGAGTTGATCGCGTCCTCATCTTCTTCCTTAACTTCCCCGTCAGCACCATCATATTGACCGTGCAGCTGAGTAACAGATGAGGATGACCCCCAAGCTTCGTTGAGAGGCGCAGTAAGAGCCTCTCGGTAAGCTACCTTGGCCGAAGACTCGTGCTCGTCCAGGGGCCGTAGGAGACCACCTCCTTCGAACTGGCTCATGCGCTGCTTGAGGTGCTCGCGCAGGAGGCGGTCACCCTCTCCATCCGCGGCAGCTGCCCGGCGACGAGCTACCTCTGCCTTCCAGTCGGTAAGGGAATCATCACCAGCACCATCGGTCTGCCCGGGACCCATAGGTGGGTAGCCGTGTTCCGTCTTAATTGGTGGCATCTGTCCATGGGCAGTGGGGTGCATCTGAGGGTACCCTTGTCCAGCCTGAGCTTGAGCCTGCATTTGGCTAACGGAGTTCGCAGCAGCAGTGCCGTACTTCTGCTGAAGATGGCTTGCAGCACGGTCGCGAGCCGACTGAGGGTTGCTCATATGCGGGGGCATTTGGGGGGTCATGTGCGGCATGGACTGGCCATTTGAGCCTGGCTCAGTCTTGATGCGAGGAGCAGTCATATGGGTTGGCATTTGGACGGGCATTGGAGCCGATTGGGGCATTGAAACAGGCGCAGGGACATATTGAGGCTGAGGTGGTCGAGGAGCATTGGAGGGAACAGTGGCCGATGGAGGAAGGACGTTCTGAGTAGGCTGTGGCGGGGCCGGATCCCAGGGGAAATGAGCGACATTCACAGAGGAGAGCTTCTTTTGCCAGGCCTATACAATGAATATTAGTATAGACACCAGTTAATGTCGCGATGGACGAATGAGATCAATGGGTAAGTCTTGGCGGTCTAAAAGCGCCTAAGCGGGTAACAGCGGCACATATAAAGGGGGGGAACTCATAAGTCGGTGATCCCCCATAAGCACCGCCTCCCGCACCTCTTCGGCCTCCCCCGCTTTTGGCCGACCCCAAAGACTGTCCACTTCAGAACAGGAAGGGCATAGAGATATATGAAATGGAATAGTACTAACGTCACGCAGGTCGTGCAGGGTCTGTTGGTCGACACCGCTTTCTTCAAAATCGACCTGGGAGGCATCACAGACCTCCTGGATCACCTTCTCGAACACCACACCCTATGAGGCACATGTCAGCTCTTATTCAACTCAAAAGCTCTCTCCATAACATCAAAGTTGACAAGGATTGTATTTCAACAAAGGTTGTGAATGTGACCGAGGATACACTGGGTGTTCGCCAGGCTGGAAACTCACCACTTGCTGGTTGGACATGTTGCGGAGCAAGGGCAGGACGGGAAGCTGGCGAATAACTGATCGGAGAGGACTGAAGGTGGCAGGAGCTCGAGAGGATCTCTGGCGAGGCGTAGTGGGTATCAATAGCTCGACCGGACCGTAAAGCTTGCCGTCGCAACAGTGAAGTTGCCGAAGTGCTGGTCGATCACTCCTAGAAATGACGCAATCTCAAGTGATCTCGAAGTTTGCAGTTCTCACGAGAAAGAAAGAAAGAAACAATGACTTTAGAGATGCGTAATGAGAGTGCAAATGTCACAAAAGCGATATGGTGAGTTTGCCGATGGGTTGGCAGAGGTGAAAGTCACGGCTCTGCGGTCGAAATCCCACTGTATCCCGCAAGATTAGTCATCAGATGTCCACCCGCTCTATCAAGAAAGAAATAATATTGATAGATCAGATTCAATTTGTTCATAGAAGAGTGAAAAGCACAATAAAGAATTGAAAGAAGCTGTAAGAATGGTATTTGTGCAACCAGCTTACGGCAAATAGATACAAGAACACCAAACACCAAATCCTAGCCAGATATGAACCATTACACCAAATTAATGTCCCAGCCCATCAATGCTTTAGGTTATGAACCGGGGGTATCGAGCAGTAAAAGAAAAGAAAAGCAGCAGACGCTTAGCGGATGGTCATAGACTTTGTCATCTGGGCCTTGCTGCCCACACCGCCCTCACGAGCACTGGAGGCAGTGGTGCCAGCCTTACGCTCGAAGATCTTCCAGAACTTGAGGCTCTCGTCAGCGGCGGTGGTGGCCAGCATCTGACCGTCAGGGCTGATAGCGCTGTGGAGTACACGAGTCTCGTGAGCGGGGATCTCAACGTTGCGGACCAGAGTAGGATAGCTCCAGATGCTGAGAGAGTTGTCGGGGAAGCCACTGGAGCTGACGATCTCGCGGTAGTGGTTGCTCCAGCGCAGGGACGTGACCTGGGAGCCAGTGTCGATGCTGTTGGTACGAGCACCAGTGGTGGTGTTCCAGAAATGAATGTGACGATCGTAAGAACCACCGCCAGTGGCGAGAAGGTTTGATTGCCAGGGACACCAGCTGAGAGCCTTGACGGCAGCACGGTGGTTGGTCTTGGTGAACTTGGGAGCGCTCAGGGAACGGGCATCCCAGATGTTGACGAGGTTATCGTTTCCACCAGTGGCGAGCTGAGCGCCGTCGGCGCGCCACTCAAGACCACAGACCTCAGAGGTGTGAGAGACAAGCTCAGCGACCTTGTGGTCAGCGATGCGGACATCGTGATTGTAGACGAGGCCACTACGAGCTCCAGTGGACAAGGTGTGCTTGTTCCAGCCCATAACACCGACACGGGAGTCGTGGCCGAACATGCTGCGAAGCTTGGTACCCTCCTCAACATCCCAGATCTGAACTTCACCAGTGCCCAAACCAACACCGACGTAAGCACCATCACCGCTCCACTTCACGCTGCTGATGTAAGTGTCGGGGGAGCTTTCCAAAAGACAGTTCACGGAGCCAGACTCAGCAGACCAAACATAGACATTGCGCTCGAGACCAATGGCGACCTGGTTGCCAGAGCTCCAGTCGAGCAAGTTGAGGTAATAGTCATCTAAAAGGCCAGGGGCATCGAGAACCCGCTCGGGGGCAGTTTGGACACGGCGGCGGAACTGGGCAGCGTTCGACTTGGCAGGACGAAGAGGACGGTTGTATTGAGCACGAAGATCAATAGGCTTCGACGACTCGGGGGGAGGAGGCTTGAAGGCCAGGATGCGAGTGTTCTGGCTCACACCGCAGGCATCAGCAAGCGATGACTTGTAGGCAACGGCATCGGGAGCCGGGCGAGTGTACGTGGAGGGCTCATTGTCTTCAAGACCCAAGTTCTCAAGAGCAGCTGTCAGGTCATCATCGGATCCACGGGCACCCATATCAAAAGCACTAGCAGCCGTAGCCAGGACTGATGATCCACCGCTACCACCGCTCTTGGGGCGCTGGCCCTCTTCGGGCTTTGCAGCACCACTTGTAGTCAGACCTTCACTGGCGGTCCGGTTTGGGATGAAACGGTCAGCAGCGTTGTGAGAAATGCGCACAGTTGACTTGCTGGCCCGAGAACGGGTCGGGATCTCCCGACGAGGGCGTTCCTTTGATGAAGGAGATGAAGTTGATGCGACACTACCGCCGGTCAACGTCCAGTCGGACACACCGAGCTCGAGGTGCTTGGGCGACTTGCGAATGCGAGCAATGTTTGACTTGGGAGATTCACGGTATGTGGTACGGCTTGACTTCTGGACGGAGGACTTGGTGAAGTGCGCAGAGAGGTTGCCGCCATAGACGGACTTGGTTTGGCCGCGGCCAGCGTCGGCCTTCTGGGGAGGAGTGAAGGGTGACGAGGTACCGCTGGCCAGGTGGTTAGGCGAAGGGGTCAGAGGGATACGACCGCCAGCAGTCTTGGAGGAAAACAGTCCATGGTGGCTCTTCACCGGAGTGGACACTGTGACAGAAGCCATAGTGATAAAGGAAGAAAATGCAATGGGGACCAGTCCCAATAGAAGATGCAAATACGAAATGCAGTAGAGGAGTAGTAAATAGGGAAGAGGAATGAGGAATTTCGATGGTGGAGAGAGAAAAGAAGGGGAGAAGTACAAGTAGCTCATACTTCCTTTTGTTTTCCTCGTAGGGTTGGCTCAGCAACGGTCGAGTCCACCTGACATTCCGCTTTGGCAGTATCGGCTGACTAAAGATCGCCCAGGTGACGCCTTCCCCTTTTGGGACATGACATCGGCGTTTTGTTCTTTTCCAGACAAAGACGAGATTCATGTCAGGTCCGTCTGTTCATTGTTTGCTTATGAGGCGATTGCCACTCGAGGTCTGTGAGCTTCATTTCGCACCTTGACGGCAGACACCTCCCCACACTCTACAGTCCCACCAAGACCCACTCGCACGACCTCCTCTGGGATCTTCGAGCATCTCTAATCCGATCTCCTGCACTCTGGCACACATGCAGGACGCTTATTTGATGCCTGCCAGTCCGGCACCCCGCCAGACTGATTATCGTCCCAGCATCAAGAAGTCTCGCGGTCATGTCCCCGCCTGTCTGGTAAATGCCTCGGTGACGTATTGCAGCAATGACCGAATCTATGCCTTCGGCGGGTTTGATCAATACACAGATGAAGGTCGGCATTTTTCTTTGCAACACTGAATTGATGCTAATATTTCCCAGTCTACAACCACGTGCTCAAGCTAGACTTGGAGACCCTCGAATGGGAGCTTGTGGACAATTATGGCGATATCCCCGGAGTGCGGATGGGTATGCATATTTCCTCATTCGCCCATACTGCTTTTTAGCATTCTAATACGGTTTCTCGTGGATAGGCCACACTGCATCTTTGTACCAGGGTGATAAGTTGATCGTATTTGGGGGAGAAAACGAACACCGCGAGTATCTAGCTGACGTCGTGATCCTCGATTTGAATACCTTCACCTGGTCAATACCTGAAATCCGTGGCCCCATTCCGCGCGGCAGGGCACGACATGCTGCAGTGATTCACGAGGACAAGCTGTTCATTGCAGGTGGACTGACAGGCGAGAAGAACCTCATACTGGACGACTTGACTTATTTGGATCTCCAAACCTGGACCTGGTCTCGAACCTGGAGCTTTACCGCCCGATTTGATCATATCGCTTGGGTTTGGGGAACACGACTCTGGATTTTCGGTGGATTGGGGCCCAACATGGAGCGAACAACCGACATTTGGTGGCTCGACCTCAAAGGATCCCCATCGCTGGCAGGAAACACCAATCTCCAAGGTAGTGTCAATTCCCTGGACTTTCATCTTCCGACTGCTCATTATCCAGACTCCATCCCGAACAGTCCTTCACATCAGATGTCTCCACGTTCCTATGCTGCGAACTCAGGAAGTGTGCAGGTTCGCAACCTAGGCCGACGTAAGCCTCTTGCTCCGGGTGCTATCTCATGTCTTCGGTTTAACTCAGGCCCTCATGTCCCCTCCCTCTTCTCTGGAACCCATTTCCAATCGTTTGTATCTGGCGTTCTGCTTGACCTGATCACACCGTCAGAGACCGTCCGGTCTCATGACTGTAACCTGTCCGCCCTGGAGCTCAACTCACTGCGTTGGCAACGACTGGCTGATGGGCAAGAGATTTTTCGGCCCGGCTACCGATGGCACTACTGCACGGTCAACGAGGCGGGAACAAAGGCATGGCTGCTAGGATGTAGTATTGAGGGCGTGCCAGGGAGTAGTGATGAAAACCAGATGAGTGAAGTCCTCACCATTGACCTGGAGAAGTATGGCTTGTTAGGCAACGGGTTGTCGGCGGATGCTCCCGAGCAAGATGGACCGTGGCCCTCTGATCCAATGGGCTCCCAAGTTTCCGGACTTGGGGCCGATCTTGCCGCTGTCTTCGATCTTCCCCCCGAGTCAGGGAGTGGTACTGATTTCGTCGTCACTGCAATCCGCGATGATTGGGACTGTTCAAACTCGGACTACATGGGCGACGAGCCGATCGTCTCACCAACTCAAGCCGTACCAACCTTTGTGGAAGTTGACCCATCGACTTCGGACCCCATCCATGTGCATCGAATCTTTCTACAACTACGGTGGCCACATTTCAAGCGGCTGTACTCTGCGCAGATGGCGGAGTACCACACCAAGCGAATGCATATTCCAGAGCCCTACTCAGTTGTACGCGCATTTCTTTACTATTTGTACACAGACAGCATTGCAGGCCATCCAGACTACTGCTCAACCCCTATCGATGTGGCGGGCATGCTTGTTATGGCAAACCTCTACGACATGCCCAAGCTTCGCCTGCTCTGTGTGAACCGGTTGAGCCGCGAGCTTGATGTTCACAATGCAGCCATTGTCTGGGAGCGTGCAGGGCGGACCAATGAACACTGGCTGAAACGCCGAGCTGAGCAGTTCTGCCAGATCTACTGGGGTCGTGTGGTGCGGACGGATGGTTTCAAGTCGCTGAGCCACCGCAGTCTGATTGAGCTGTGCGAGGTAGTGGACGCCGATGCTAGTATCATCGCAGGGCCTGAGCTGGAAATCGTGAGCGCGTTTGGGGCGCATGGGGATGATTCCAAGAACTCACAGTTGCGACTTGGCTCGACTGCCGACGAATCTGAGATGGATGGAGATGACGAAGGGATGGAGATATTATGAAACACGAATGGGGCACGCACGCTTGTCCGGAGTATGAAATATAGTCAACAGTCAATATCAAAAGTTTTACGGTGAACGGGCCGGCCAAACCGGGTGGAGCCTCCCGACGCTCTCGGCGCGGCGTCTCCTCCGGATCGCGGAGATCATTCCTGTCACGATAAGGAAGCTCTTAACTTGTCTTTCTTTTGTTTCAAATATGAGGCTACATAAATCTTGATGTGCGCTCTACCTTCATTGGCATTCGGCCTACCTTTACACTATGGGATCCGTTGAGCAATCCACTCTGCCCCCGGGTTTTGTCTGGGGCTTTGCGACAGCCGCCTACCAAATTGAAGGAGCCGTGAACGAAGATGGTCGCGCTCCTTCGATTTGGGATACGTTCTGCAAGATACCCGGCAAGATCGCTGGTGGTGGATCTGGGGAGGTAGCATGCGACTCGTACCACCGAACACACGAGGACATTGCCTTGTTGAAGGAATGTGGTGCTTCGGCATACCGATTCTCCCTATCATGGTGAGCCCTATCTAAGCCTCTGTCTTTAAACCCTGTCAGCTAATATCGGCTGGACGCCACCATAGGTCCCGCATCATACCCCTCGGCGGTCGGAATGATCCCATCAACAAGAAAGGCTTGGAGTTCTACGTCAAGTTCGTGGATGACCTCCATGCTGCGGGAATCACGCCCATGATCACTCTGTTTCACTGGGATCTTCCGGATGCGTTGGACAAACGCTACGGTGGACTTCTGAACAAGGAGGAATTTGTTGCCGACTTCGCAAACTATGCTCGCGTAGTGTTCGAAGCATTCGGATCCAAGGTCAAACAGTGGATTACCTTCAACGAGCCTTGGTGCAGCAGTGTCCTTGGATACAACAATGGTTCCTTCGCCCCGGGCCACACAAGCGATCGCACCAAAAGCCCGGTCGGAGATAGTTCAACCGAGCCCTGGATTGTTGGTCACAGTTTGTTGGTCGCTCATGGAGCTGCGGTGAAGATATACCGAGATGAGTTCAAGGAGCGGGACGGCGGCGAGATTGGCATTACACTCAACGGTACACCTCTTCCCACCACAGCCCCTCTCATTGCTAACAATATAAATCAAAGGTGACTGGGCCGAGCCCTGGGACCCCGAGAACCCTGCCGACGTCGAAGCCTGTGATCGCAAGATCGAATTCGCCATCTCATGGTTCGCGGACCCAATCTACCATGGCAAGTACCCCGACAGCATGATCAAGCAGCTCGGAGACCGCCTGCCAAGCTGGACGACCGAAGACCTTGCTCTAGTACACGGTAGCAACGATTTCTATGGTATGAACCACTACTGCGCGAATTATATCCGCGCCAAGACAGGCGAGCCAGAGTTGGACGACGTCGCTGGTAACCTAGAGCTGCTTCTTGAAGACAAGAACGGACAAAGCATCGGGCCCATCACTCAGTCCCCTTGGCTGCGACCGTGTGCGCTGGGATTCCGCAAGCTGCTAAAGTGGCTTAGTGAGCGGTATGGATACCCTAAGATCTACGTTACCGAGAACGGGACCAGTGTCCTCGGAGAGAACGACATGCCGCTGGAAGAGCTTCTCAACGATGAGTTCCGTGTGCAATATTTCAAGGATTACATCGGTGCCATGGCCGATGCTTATACCCACGACGGTGTCAATGTGCGAGCCTACATGGCTTGGAGTCTTATGGAGTATGCCAATCTCCTAATATAATATCGATTATAGTGTAATGTGATGCTAATATCGATTTTACTTACAGCAACTTTGAGTGGGCCGAAGGCTACGAAACTCGCTTTGGTGTGACTTTTGTCGACTATGAGAATGATCAGAAGAGAATGCCGAAGAAGAGTGCTAAGGCTATTAGCCAGATCTTTGAGCGGTTGATTGAGAAAGCTTGAGATTAACAGGCGAATTCATTTAGGGGCTGTCTGGAATAGCTATGAAACTAGAATGGCAACGAAGGGTTGAATCTATTTGACGTTTGATTTCTGTTCATTAAGTTTCGTAGAGTGCGTGTCTGTCTTCGCACGGTGCAAGTATTCTGGTCTTATGGGACCAATTGTAGCGACATTCACTGTCGTCTTGGATTTTTTGTATAATTTTATATACACGTGGATTCTTGTTGGCGTCCCATCTTTTTGTTCCACAGTGACATGGAAGCAAGTGGTTCGGCCCCAGTCCTCAAATCAAAAGTTCATAGGTATACAATCACAATATACCTCCCATGAGGTGGTAACAGGATCACGCCGAAGCCTTCTGAGTGTCATGAACAGTTGCTCTGGGCCAGGATTCCACTTCATAACATCGTCCTCGCAGACATCATACGGAAGGCCATCCCGGAGCCGAAAAACACCAGTGTCACAGATACGGGCTTCCTCGGGAATAATAAGAGAGAGGGGTATCGTTTCGTTGACGTGATTCCCAGATAATGGTCCTTGTTGAGACGCAACAATGGCAGCAATTTCAGCAGCAGCATCCTGACCAACTGCCTTGTTCAACACAATACTGTGGCCCTCCTCTACCTGCATGAGGTGCTCGGCCAAAGCAGTAACAGGCGGGCATTTATAGAAGCCTTGCACTGGTGGAGCCCGTCTCAACAATTGCAAGGCTCTTCGACGCAACCCCGGATGGCGACATTTGGCAGCAGCCACAAACAATGGGAGTCCGACACCCATCTCGAAAGTGAATGGTGGTTGCGCGCCGTTTGGCTTCTTCGAGGCATCCAGGGTAAGACTGGATTGTTCGACGATTACCCGGAAGTCGTCTAGATAATCATCATAGACGGTTTCATGTTTTGTCAGGCTTCCCGCAACATATACCGATGCAGCTGCGTGGTATGCGAGTAGGGTTGGCTCGGTATAAATAGAATACTCGAGCGGAATCGGTGATTTGTGACGAAGGCTTTGGCAGAGGTCTGTATATGCCTTCTTCCAACGTGCTAGCCGATCTTGCAATTCCTGTTGCTTGATGAACAGGTCCTGGCTCACACAGACATCACCGCCAAAGGCTTGGAGATGAACTCCCGCATCTCGCTGGAAGAGGATGCACTCTGCTCCCAAGGTGGTTATAGACTGCCGAGCAGATCCAAGTGATGAAAATCCATCATACTTATTATTTTCAAAAGAGAAGAGCTCACTAGGCTGAGTCCCGGATATCGTGAGAGCAATGGTATTCAGCCGTAAAAACAGTGGGATGATGGTGTTCTCCAGGAGCGCAGCTTTGCTAGCAGAGACCGTCCCATGAAGAGCCTTCACCCGAAGGTCCAATATCAGACTCATGCCCTGTCTGAGGAGTTGTAAAGCCTCCTCCATACGCCCTTGAATGGTCTCCACACAGATGAATAGCACACAGCTGATAAGTGCAATGTAGGGATCGGCGCTACCACGCTCGATCTGGGAATGGATGCTTGAAATCGAACGCGAGTACCACACCAAAGCTTCTTTCTGAGATTGCTTCAGCAGATGAGCATCCTTCTGCTTGTGTCTCAAAAAGGTGAAATCCAAGCATTGTTCCGGGTATTCAAACAAAGCACTGATGGCAATGATGGCATCCCACACAGCTGGCTCAGTGCGGCAAATCTGTGGGGCAACGCCAGTCCAAAAATCAATGTCCATACCACCGGACAAATACTGCGCAGCATGTTGAAAGTAATACCCGAAAGCACGACGTTCCCGCCGTCCCGAATTCGGCGACGAGGAGAGCGTGTGACTCGGGCTGGGGATGAGAGAAGTTGGCATCGACGGCGTTGGAGGCGAGGTGCCAATGGCATTATTCTCAAAGTCACATTTCCGGCCTGTACTTGTACACCGGAGACAGCTTGGTTTTTCTTCCCCGCATTTCACTCTTCGGATCCTGTCAAAGTGGTTAATTTGTGTCAGATACAGTTGTAGCAGAACTTACTTGCAGGTTTTACAGCCGGATCGGGACTTGGATGAGCCTATGCGGCCACTGGGTGGTGTTGTCCGATTGATTGCCATTGTCTGGCTCCATCTCAGCTTGAGTGTTGGGTCATGCTGTGTTTGATATCTGACAAGGCTGTGGATTCTTGAGATCCCCACCTTTTCCCTTTTGGCGCCTTGTAAGTAAGGCACTCATCTAATGTCGCAATTACCTTACGAATACTGCATGAAACCGGGTCTATAGATGATCCGTCGGCATAGCTTATGTAGCTAGAATGGACCCATAAATAGTGAGAAATAGGGGTAATGAAATACAGAGTCATTGACATCTCCAATTGGCCGGATCCAGGACAAATCACGACATCTAAAAATAACTAGTTAACCATAACTAACTACAATCAAACTACATGTACATACAAGCTAACTTACAACGTCCAAATCAATTGAGCTTTGTGATTATCTTGAGAGACTGTGTTGATCTTTCTGTTTTCTGTTGTTGCAACAAGCCGCTTTTTGCTTGGTCGTTTCCTTTTCTTCTCCTTTTGCACATTTTTATTCCTTCGAAATGTCAAAAGCAAACGGTCCAGAATTTCTGTAGAACAGCACTGACCATGTGAGCATCTAGCTTATCCCGATATCTAAGAGCACAATAGCAAGCCTCATCTCGCTCTTCACTCCGGTCCATACTCCGGTGTTTAGTAAACCCGCTCCGAATATAAGTTCTTCTCCAAATTCAAGTTTCTTCAGTCACTCAACATGGATTTGTCTCATATATTAAACCAGCTTGGGCCAACACCAAAAAGATTCCCAGATTGCTGCCTGGGAATATCCAGCACATTGATCACCCACCTGGCTTCAATCCTCCCCAAGAACCCCGATTTCACCATCTCAATCGGCAGCGGATCAGGTCTCCTCGAAGGCGTCATCGCATACTCCAATAAACATGTTCCAGTGCAGGGAGTGGAAGTAGATTCCTCAATCAACCGATATATTGCCGAAGAAGACATGAACGTCGTTAGTGGAGGGTGGGGCCTCTATCCCAGCGCTCAACAGGCCAAGGCGTGGATGTTTATCTACCCACGCGACCCTAAGCTAATCACCAAATATATTGATTCATATGGTGATCAAGCCGTTGAAATGATTGTGTGGCTTGGGCCGCGGGTAGACTGGCCTGATTATGAACCTTGCTTTTGCAAATCTACATTCTCTGAGTTGAGTGTTTTGGATAACATCGGATTGACGCCCTATGAAACTGCGGTCGTTGCTCGAAGAGCGTCTTGATATTAAATATCTTGGTTTTCCTGGTTCTGGAAGAAAGGGATATGTCTGCATGTAGGATGATACTATGACACTGGGATGAAAATGTATATAAACGCCTGCTACATTATGTATGAAAGACATCCGTACCTATTTAAAGGAAGTGATCTGTTACATTCAAAGGGACCAATAACAATCCCCAACCCCGGGGCTTCAATTTTAGGCAGCACCTGTCCATACGATCCAACCACTCTTCTTGAGGGCGGCGCAGACGGGAGAAAAGAGAATACAAAGGGAAAAATAAAAAAAATAAAAGGGATGAGCCGGATTCGGTCCTGGCTCCTCCAGCGCGTGACCTGAGGTTTCCTGAAAGCCTCTAGCAGAACCCCCAGCGCTGGGTTAGGCTTACAGTTTCTTTGCTCTTTCCATTGACCTACCATCCCGTTATGGGGGACTTCTTACCTTTTCGGGTTAAGGACCCACTATTTGCCATTTACCGTTAGCATCGGTGGATACTCATCTGATTTGATCCATTCATATTGATTACTGTATATCTATAGCCTTCTAATTACCATTCAAAGCGCATACCGGAAATGCCTCGACTCCATATCCGTCATATCTTTGAATCCATCCAAGATAGCCTGTGACGTAACATCACCCTCACATGTAGCCGTATCGACCGTATCTCTTCGCGCATTCTCCCATCTCATGAACGCATACGCCACAACCGATAGCACAATAATACCTGCATAGCAGATGAGTAGCCCCGCAAGAGCTGAATAATAGCGTGGAGCCTCGCGAGCGAAGAAGATGTTAGCACCAGCGACATTTCCGGCGGCATAGACCGTGAACCAGAGACCATTAGCCACTGCACGCTTCGTGTGGCCAGCAACATTGGTGGCAAGGATGTTCCAGCACACAATAACCGGAGCACCAACGATGTACTGTAGCCAGGTGCAGCCGACCAGAGTCCAGCGGTGGTCGAGGTCGGTAAACCGGATACCCAGCAGACCAGCGAAGGGAATAAGAGACACGACTGCGAGGACAATACACCGTGAGTCCTTGACGTATGTAGCGACAATACCGCAGATCGGGACTATCAAAGCTTCAAAAGCACCAGTTGGCAGCTGGAGCAATGTAGCATAAATCCCATTAAACCCGAAGCCTTTAATAAGAGCAGAAGCAAAGTTCGAAACTCCTCCGTTGATAACACCACACGCAATACCAATTCCGGCACAGCAGAGGACTTTTACATCATACAGATTCTCCAAAGCCTGTCGAGGCTTGATCTCTCTAGTCTTCACGCCAATCATATTCTCCGCGACACGCTGCACGGCTATCACGCGCTGACGGTGCGAAAGGAAGCGCGCCGAACTGGGCGAATCAGGCATGAGCCAGAGGAAGACACAACCAGTGACAAAATTCATCAGTCCAATAGTAAGGAAAATAAGTTGCCAGCTGTGCAGAGTCGTATTATGGGAATGACCCAGGCCAAATCCTAAAAGGGCACCGACCATCGTGGCCATTCCATTGGCACTGAGCCAGATAGCCATGCGCAATGGTTGTTCCGAGCGCTTGTAGAACATAGAAGTCAGATTCATCACTATGACAGTAGATTAGCATTGCCAGACTGTTAGTTTGTAAGTGGCATGGGGCCACTTACTACAAGGGCTGACACCGGCTTCTGCCATGCCCAGTAGGAATCTCAATACTAGGATTCCGGCATAGTTTTTCGCGCCGATATGCGCGACGACGAGGATGCTCCAGATTAGAAGCATGCCGCCCATATACTTTGCGATCGGCAGTCGCTGGATCAATAGGTTGGCCGGTAGAGCCCAGAATAGATAGCCGAAGTTGAAGATTGCAGCGACCCACGAATATCTCTGGCCTTCGAGTCCGAGATCTGGGATGAGGGAATAGGCAGAGGCATAGTTGAGTGATAGTTTGTCTAAATGAGTGTGTCAGAAGAGCAAGGCGAGGTCCTGATTTAGTTGTACTTACCAAGAAATTGAATAACGTAGGTAACATAGAGCTAGAACATGAATCCACGTTAGAAGGGATCAATATAGGCTCGGGGTATTACGGACAATTGGCATAATCCTCCAGTCCAGGATGCGAAGAACTTTGGCACCTTCGGTCTCCAGCTCTTCGGCGGAGAGCTGTTCGGCCTCGAGGAATAAATTGGCGCCAATATCGTGAGTCTCGCCGAGGGCAATATCTTTCCCCACAGTGGGATAATCCACTTTGGGGTCTTTCTCCATCGTGAAGGATCAATTAGGGTTAATTGGGTTCTGGGGTCTGTTTGGGTCAAGGTGTGAAGTCGTGAGAATCACGTTCCGCATTCCTATGCCGGGCTTTTAAGCCCTAGCAGATGGCCTGGACTTGTGTTATCGCTGCCAAGTAGATAAGCATGAAGCTGCGGAACTATGATAAACATATGATAGGGGATGCTGATCGTGGGGGAATAGTTGAAGTTGTATGATTGGTTCACATGCAAGCGGACAATACTCCGCGATAAGTATAGAACCCGTCGATGCGGGAATTCATAGACATACAAACTGAGATAACATTAACCTTCACTCTAACATTTACACTTCTTCGGGAAACACTTGAATAGAGCCCCCAAACATAATATCCTCAACCATCCCCAAGACCGCTCTGTGCAAGTATCCCTTCTTCAACTGCTCCAAATGCAACTCGGCCTCCTCCAACAAGACCATATTATCTGTTTCAACTTCACCTATACCGGCCTTCCACATAACCTTCTGTCTTAGGAACTCATAAACCCTCATATACGGCATGGCGTCCGTCCAACGGTCCACAAAGCCAGCCAAATTCATCGCACAGGCGTCAATGGCTTTGCGGGTATCAGTCATGGATTTTGTTGCCCAGGAAATATACAAAAGCATGGTTCCTGCGCGAAACTGGAATACAAGCTATAAATGTAAATGTTAGCCAAGTCTTCCTATGAATAAGTATGAGTTGCCGGTTACATACCGCAGACCAGGTGTAACACATTACGTGGCCCTCTTCCTGAAATAGACGGAAATTGAGACAGACATCCACAACCGCGGCGAGGAACTCTTCCACTCCGTCCTCGACAAAGTTCCGCTTCTCTTCCATCAGAATCAAGAGACTGTAATCATACAGCTTTCGCATCCATATAGGGTGCAAATAGCCGTATTGAACATTATTGGATCCATATCGTGGGATATCCTGCCGCCAGATATCAAGCGCCGATTTGAAGGAGGATGAAGAGTTGTGGCTTGTATCGTGTTTGATCAGTGGGCTTTGAGGCCAGTTCTCTTTCGATCTTCTGATGCTTGCTTGAATTTTGCGTAGGCGGAATAGATGAGTTAAGGCGGGGTTTATGTCTTGAGGTGGTTGGAGTGTGTCGCCTAATATGCACATCTATATTAAAGGTCAGTGATGTCAATCATTCGGGACGGGGATGTAAAATAGATGCAAAGGTGACTCACATCATCGTCGACAACTCTATATGCAGCTGAAACAGGTCGATCCCACCCAGACACAATAATTTCATTCAGCATGTAACAAGTGATGAACATTTTCTCCGACAAAACCTCATCAGTCTCAGTCATCGACCCATTATCTCGGCAGATCGACGCATGCTTTCGGATCTCCGCCATCGCAGCCGTACAGAAGGGTACGATGGAAGAAACACTAGTCGTAATCTCCTCCGAAGAAGGTGAATGCAAAGCGTAAAGAATCATAAGCAATGAAGCCTGGACCTGCAGAACCATAGACGAATGCCCCACGACGTGCGGGTAATATCGCATTGCCGAGGCATAGAACTCTTTCGAACGTGTTGAGTGTGAAGGATCTCGCTGTATTGTACTGCAAAGGGATGCCCCAATTGCATATACAATATTTAAAAAGAATTGTCGCCATTCATCTTGTCCGTCTATGATGACTTCGTTGTGCCAAGACTTCCAGGCTGTTTCGTTCAGGAAGGGCCATTCGCGGTGTGTGACAGAGAAATAGACATTGGTGTATTGCTCTTTCAACCAGGTTAAGCTGTCGGTCAATGAATATGATGGTGTTGTATCCATCCATGGAAAGTCAAAAGTTGCGCTGGTCAAGAAAGACAATGTGTCCGGCGAGAAAGACGGAGGTGATCGTGCAAATCGTTGGTTTGGAGACTGCAATCCAGACAATAGCATGAGAGACGCATCGTTGTCCTTATTTAAATCTTGGCCAGCCAAGAAATGGCTCGAATCATTGCACGCTTCAAGATCTCCGTAATCGGTCTGCACAGCAGCATCGCACATCTCCACGTGAGCTTCGATAGTGCTAGATCGACGATCCATCTCAGCCACCCGCTCTTCAAGTTGTCTCAAGTAATCCAGCGGGATGGTGATGTTATCTCCCGACTTCCGGGATCTGGCCGGCAAGCACTCCGCGCCTTTGCGGCGACATTCGCCACAGGATGGCTTTGCATGGTCACATTTCCGCTTGAGGCGGAAACAGCGAGCGCAGGCGATATCTCTATGCTTCAGCGGGCGCGACATGCAGTAATCAGATGCATTGACATGTAAATTAGTGATTTGCAGCTTGAAGGGAAGGCAATGCGGGGATTGGGTGGAGTCGATATCATCCCAAATAGGAAAGTGTAAGCGGCACCTAGTCAAGTTCAACGATATACAAGCATAACAGTATAACATTGGGTATAGATGTCTCTTAATCATATCAAGTTCATTCAAGGTCCATGGATTCATTCCTCGTCTTGTCGCATCAACCCTTGATCCATGTCTGAGCTACCACATCATACCCGATCAACTTAGGATCAATATGCAGAGTCTTAAGCATATATCCCATAGAAAACTCCTAGAGAACATCAGCAATATTCCAGCCAGCCTCAAAGCAAAGCAATAACCAAATACACACCTCATCAGAACTCTCCTCCCGCCCCTGCTCATGGACAATCTTCCTACTCTGCAACATCTCCGACAACCCCCCAAGATCCCGATACTCCTCCTCTTCCTCATCAACATGCTCAATCTCACGTTTCTCCTCCTCATACTCTTCCCACCGCGTAGCATCACGTTTAGAACGCTCCTTCCAAGCCTTCATGCCTCCCATCTTATTAACACGCTCTTGAGCACCGACGAACGCTTCGTCCGCCGCGTCCTGGCTAATATGGCGCCATTTGACGATCAGAGCTTCGAGCTCGGTATCTTTGGTTGAGGATTCGAGTTGGTGGGCTTGGGTTGCTGCATCGAGGTCTGTGCGGAGTGAGGCTATGCGCGATTGAATGGCGCGTTGTTGTTTTTGGAGGGCGAGGATGTCGGGGTCGGAGGAGTGGAAGCGGGTTGGGGTTGAGAGCGGGCGGGAGGTTGCTTTCTGTTCGGCGGGGAGGGAGTGTGTAGGTATATTTGAGACTGGTGTAGAAGCTTGTGCTGGGGCGTCATTGAGGGCCCTGGTCGCGACGGGTGTAGCTGGTGATGCGGCTGTGGTTGTCGGGACGGGCCTGCGCATTGGCGACTTGAACGGCTTGGATAGTGTGGCGGCTGCATCAACGCGACGACGTTTGCTTGGAGGCTGAGCCATAGTCCATGAAACGGTTACAGATCTCCGATGACAGGGGTGTTGGAGAAGAGAAGTTGGGAGATGCGGAGAAAGAAGCTTATCGATAACATGGAATTCTATCTACAAGAATAGACTAGACTCAATGCCCAACTCCTCCTGCCACCCACTGCCCAAATTCAGGGTCTCCGGGCTGTGGGAAAAAGCCGCGGTCCCCATTTCCTTGGGCATTGGCGTTGGCGTTGGCGTTGGCATTAGCATTGGCATTGGCATTCTCATTCTGCCGGTTACGCCGTTGCTGCTGTTGACGAACATAGACCAGCACCAAGAGCGTAGCGGCCAACCCGACAATCAGAAGACCCTCTAGCATTCCTTCGTCAATCTCGAGATCCAGGTCATCATAGTAGCCGTCCTCGTGACTATCAGCATCAAGGCCACGGTATTCATCATCCTCCCCGCGTTGTTCGTAAAGCTCATCGTAATAGCTTTCCTCGTCATTGTGGATAAAGGTCGTAATCCATTCCTTGAAAGTGCGAGGGGGTTTCGAGTCTAAGAAATCTTAAGTAAGGCGCCAAAAGTAAATGATCAAACGGGCCATGGTTCACTTACCTTCCTCGTCGCGGATGGGGTTGATATTTCCATTGGTGATGTGGTTCCAATACCCTCGGACCCGGAGCTTGAGCAAGCTGAGTTTGACTGGCAGATATGATTCAGGGCTGACGTCGAGGGCCAGATCATAGTATCGCTTGGCCATGTGGAAATCTTGGTCCACCGCTACGCCGTTCTCGTGCATCCAGCCCAGATTCCAGTAGCCCTGTGCACTGTGGTGTGCTTCAGCGGCATTGTGATAACAAGCAGAGGCTTTCTCTGCATCCATAACGGTACCTGTACCGGACAGGTAGTAGTCACCCATCTTGATCAACGAGTCGATGTTAGCCTGCTTCGAGGATCGTGTCCAGTAGATCAAAGCCAGAGCCGCATTGCGCAGCAACGAAGACCGGCTCTTTTCAGCCCATGGGAAAATGGAACTTAGTGAAAGCAAGGACTGCTGCTCGTCGAGAAGGTAAGCCACATTTGCCTGGGCATTCTCGTAGCCCTGTTCAGCGGCCATCATCGCTGGAATGAGAGCTCCCTCCTTGTCACCGGCCTCGTAAGCAGAATTCGACTCCGCAAAGGCCGAGTGGATGATTTCCGCCTTTTCAGCAACAACCTTGTAATAGGCAGCAGCGACGCCGCAGTGCCGTTGTCTGCCGACGCCGAAGTTGGCCATCTCCGCCAGGTAGTAATACGCTTCCATCCACCCCCAGCGGGCAGCAAGCTCGAAGTAACGTGTGGCAGCGGCCACATCGCCTTGGTCTAGGAACAATGCGCCCAATCGCGATTCCGATGCCGGGAGATCCTGGTCTGCCGCAGCCTTGAAGTAGTTGGCGGCTTTGAAGCCATCTTGAGGCACCCCGTATCCGTTCAGATACACCAGGCCCATCCAATGCTGGCACAGAGAGTCGCCGTTCACAACACCACGTCGGAACCAAGTGAGAGCAGTGCCGTAGTTTTGCTCCACTCCCTCTCCACGGAGGTACATCAAACCAATATGTCCAGCCGCTTTAGAAGCCAGCTTGTCTAGCCCAGCCGGAGCATTCTGATTGACAGTACCATCCTTATTCCAATATTTCTTGGTAACAACCTTGAAATGCCTCATAGAGCGACGGAAATTGCGCGACAAACCCCGAGCACCCTCATAATTCATCTTGCCAAGGGTATAAGTAGCCTTCAGCTCGCCCTTCCTCGACATAAGATCCAAATACTCCAGAATATCCTCAACACTAGCCTCAGGACTAGCCTGAGCAGCGTCACGCGCGTTCTGCCCAGAACTCGACACACTAGCACCAGCACCATAAACACCACCCTCCTCCTCAGCCCAACGATAAGAGTCACGAATGAGAGCATTACCACCAGGCGGACCAGAGCGGTAAAACTCAACAGCCTTATCTGCAACGCGTTTATAGTAAACAAGTGCATGGTCACAATCCTTCGGCGTTCCAATGCCATTATGATACCGATACGCAAGGGTCATCTCGGAGCGCGTATTCCCCGTCTCGGCAGCAAACTCATGGTACATAAGCGCCTTAGCCTGGTTGCGTTCAACGGCACCTCCAATGCCTGTGGCATACATGAAGCCAACCATATTCTGGGCGGTATTATTCCCATCCAGCCAGGCGAGCTCATGATACCAGTGGAATGCTTCTTTGAAGTCGCGGGGGTGGGAGAAGTTGCCGTAGAAGTTCATCTCTGCTAGTAGGAACATCGCATCTGGGTCTTGTTCTTCGTCTGCTGCTGCGCGCAGCTCTGCCACGGCGTTTGCGACATTTGCGTCGAGTTTCCGCTGTGGTTTGTCGGTTGTGGGGCCGTTTAGGAAGAGGATTCGGAATGTTTGGCGGCCATAGTATATGGCAGTTCCGAGGATGCCTGTTGACTTGTCTGTTTGGGGGCTTGCGGGTTTTGCGGTACGGAGGGTATTCCATGCCGTCTCAACCCTTTCTGTTCACAGGATAGATTGTCAGTCTCGGGCAGCCATTGATAGGATGCGGAGATAGTAGCTCCGAGGTAGGTACAGTACTCACGGGTCATAGGTCGGGGTTCTGGTTCCCCAGCAAAGAGCGGGGGTTCATGATTATCAGCATCGCCGCCGACAGCAGTTTGGACCGTCTCAGCGGAATGTTGACTTGGCCCAGCTGCGCAGGTCTGTAATAGCACTGGAAGGGGTCAGTCTTCGGTGTCGTCTGCGCGTGGGGGTAGCTTACGCAGGGCCGAAAGAAGAGATAGTGACCTCATCATGACTTTGAGATACTGGTGTAATTACAGAGTGAGAGGCACATCGCGGCTCGAAAGCAAAGCAATGTGGAGGAGTCGAGTGCGGAACTGTTGCGATATGATGTAGTTCGGGCCACGTTTGGGTTGACGGCGCTTCATTTTTCCGTACTTTCTCATACTTATATTCTCTAGGCTACTCCCAACATCATATTTACATGTACTACAGTTATTTACGATGCACAGAATAGACAAAAATGTCATTACCATTCTTTGGATCTACTCGTCCCCTCACGAGGTGCTGTGTACAAAGCAGGAAAAAGCAGAAAATACATCCCCGGGGCGCTCTCAATGCAATAGAAATTGGGCAGTCATAAACTCCCAGGGCAAACGGTATCTGCCATTCCTCAACGTCTCCAGACCAAGCCTCGGGCGTTAAAAACAGCAACTCCGCGTTGTCGTGAGATATCATGACCACCTGCGAAACGGGGGAACAAAAGCGTGTGCAATTGCGAAAACAAACGAAGACGGCTGAAACGGAGGGCACGTCTCTGGGTAAAGAAAAAGTAAAGAACAGATACAATTGAAAGGGTGACACGCCCCGATATCGTGGAAAAATTATCAATCAGTTCTGAGATTTTAAACGCGTGAAAATCCTTTTGGGTTATTTGAATGTTGTAATGGTGATAGTACAGACGTAAGCACGAGCCTTAGACAGGCAAGCCATGTCCGTCCGAACTTTACTGGCGTGGCGATGAAGGGCTGAAAGCCGGGGAAGTCGGGCTGTAAGCCCCAGCACCGGGCGACGTTGGGGAGCCAGAGAAGTTAGGAGAGCTAGGCGAGTATGACTGCGGGCTCGTGGGAGAGAACTTCGGGGAGGTTGGTGAAGTAGGGGACAGGTGCCGACCAGCGCCTGCGATGGCAGGACTGGTGGGACTGTAGGTAGGAGAAGTTGGACTGAAGGCCGGCGACGCCGGGCTGAAGCTGGGCGATGTTGGACTGTAGCTTGGCGACGTAGGCGAGAACCCAGGCGATGTTGGAGAGTACGAAGGCGAAGTCGGGGACACTTGACCATAGGCAGGCGAGGTAGGCGAGTAGGCCGGTGACGTCGGGTTGATCGACGGGCTAGTAGGCGAGAAACCAGGCGAGAAGTTCATGCGCGGGCTGGTCATACCCATACTAGGCGATGTCGGGGAGTAACTCGAGCTGGGAGAGTAGCCAGGAGACGTTGGACTGGTGTTGAATGGACTGGTGGGGGAGTAGCCACCGGGGCTGCGAGGACCAGGACTGAATCCACCATAGCCACCAGACGGCTGGTAGTCTGTGAAGCCTCCTGGAGCATCCTGACCCAGCTGGTGCATGGGCGAGAAGGATGCATCGGGATCACTATCGGTCATGTATGGGGAGCTTGCCATGGGAGATCCAGTGTCGTACTGAGTAGCAGCACCGTCCGGAATGATGGCATCCTTGGCGCCAACAGCGCCCATAAGGCCGAAGCGTGCATTGTTCGACACAACCGTGTTGAGCAAGGTCTGATCCAGGTAGACGTCAAACTCTCCCGTTCCAGCGGGTGCCATCTGTCCGAGGATCAAGTTCTCCGAGACACCACGGCAGTCGTCAAGCTCTCCGAAGGCAGCAGCCTCCAACAGAATCTCAACGGTCTCTTCGAAGGAACAACGCATGAGCGCACCGTTATCGGCACGGTTGATACCATGACGAGTGACAGGAGTCAGGTAACCACGCACAGTCATCACATCAACCAGGAGAGCCAAGTGACGGTGATTAACGTAGGAACCGTCAAAGGCAAGCACCTGGGTCAATTCACGAAGGACAGCGGTACGGGCAGCCTCGATACCGAATACCTCGAAAATCTCAATAAACTGGTTGGAGTATGTACGAGAAGCATCGACACCAGGAATTGAGAGAACTGCAGCCAGAGAAGAACCACTGGTCTCGAGAACCCATTCCTTGCAGAGGGGATCGGACTTGCTTGTGTAGAGCGAGCCATCTTCGATAACACGGACCTTGCTCTTCTCGTTAATAAACGCACGCTCAACACCAGGAACACCACGCAGGGTCAGAGTGTCGAGCAAGTGCTGCTCAAGCTTCTTCAAAGTCACATCATATTCAACATCCTCATCATCGTCATCCTTGTAGTCTTGAACTTGACGGATACGGATAACTTGCTCATCAGCGTTGTTATCACTGAAGATGACTGCAATATCACGGGGGTAAGCCTGCTTGATCCTGGTGGCGACGTCCTGGACTGTGAGACCCTTATCGAGAAGCGAGGGACGGCTGAGCACGATACGGAGCAACCACTTGGACTGCGAGGCAGCGTCATCGCCAACATCTTCGGGAATGATGAAGTAGGATTCGACCATATCCCGATCGTTCTCAATGACCGTGGATTGAATGTCAGGGTCGTAGTAGATCTCAGTGGACTCAGTAACGGAACGCAGACTAGTGTGCTCGACAAGACTGCGCAGGGTCTTGGCACCTTCCTTGTCGTGAGTTTTCATGCCCTGCTGGTACACGGTCATAGAGGGAGTCTTAATGTTGGTAGCAACATTCAGAATTTCCTTCAGACGGGGTACACCAAGGGTGACGTTCTTAGATGACACACCAGCAAAGTGGAAGGTGTTCAGGGTCATCTGAGTAGCAGGCTCACCAATAGACTGGGCTGCAAGGACACCAACCATTTCACCAGGGTTGGCTGCCGCACGGGCAAAGCGACTTTCAATAGCACCAAGCACATGCTGGAATGCAAGCTTGTTAAGAGAATAGTCGGTAACGAGGCGACGGAAAGCAAGACGACTGCGGAGCTGAGCCTTAAATAGCAATGTTGCATTATCTTGAGCCTCGCGCGAGATAACATCGTTACCACGAACGATCATCAGGCGATCCAGAAGGGCCTGGACCTGAGGAATGACCTCAGCGGGGTGCAGGTCACTGATGGTACCCTCGCGAATGCGGAAAGTGGTGCGAGCCATTTCAAGAATACGCTGAATGTTGATGGGAAGCTGCATCATTTCCTCGTCTTCCTTGGCCACGGTGCGCAGGAATTCCCGGTCCTTCAGGATTGCCTCCCACTCCTCATCGAAGTATCTTTGCACCTCCATATCACCGGCAATCTCATTAGCCTGCTCTAAGACCTCGGGGCCGAGAGTGCGCTCCGGATCCATGACATCGACACGGAAGCGTTCGCGGAGTTTCTCATCAGAGCACTTGATGATATCAACACGCTGATTTTCAATGTGTGCACCATCAAGACCATCCTCTCCGTAAATGAACTGAATAATATCGCCAAGAGAGTTACGGACAGTACCATCGTACTTGACCATGACTTCTTCCAGAGCCTTGACCAGCTTACGCTGGATATAACCAGTCTCGGCAGTCTTGACAGCGGTATCAATAAGACCCTCACGACCAGCCATAGCGTGGAAGAAGAATTCAGTGGGAGTCAAGCCTCGGAGGTACGAGTTCTCAACGAATCCACGCGACTCGGGAGAGTAATCGTCCTTGGTGAAGTGGGGCAAAGTACGGTACTTGAAGCCGAAGGGAATACGCTTTCCTTCCACGGATTGCTGTCCGACGAGGGCAGTCATCTGGGAAATGTTGATAGCGGAACCCTTGGAACCAGAGCGAGCCATTTGAATAGCGTTGTTCAGATCCTTCAAACTCTTCTCGGTGGCATCACCAGCTTCATCACGGGCGTTGTTCAGAGCACGAGAAACCTTGCTCTCGAATGTCTCACGGACGTTCATACCAGGCAGAGCTTCCAGAGTGTTTTCAGTGGCGCTAGCAGTGATAGTCTCGACCTCTTGCTTTCGGTTGCGGACAGCCTCCTCGATCTTCTGGATAGTCAGTTGGTCGGGAATAGTGTCACCGATACCGATACTAAAACCGTTGTGAAGTAGCCAGTAGCCGACAATGGTTTGAGCACCGTTGAAGAAGTTGACAGCAGTGTCGGGACCGTACTCGTTGAAAATGGTGTGAATGACACCACCACCGCTGGCACCGACAGTCTTCTTAGAAAGCATACCATACATCAACTGTCCACCGTGGATCAGAAGACCGCCATCATTGAGAGGGCTGAACTTCTCCGTCATAGCAGCACCATCCTTGTCAACACGCAGCAGGTTCAGGCCAGAGGGGAAAGCCATGCTGATCATCTGCTTTCCTGTCCAACGGGGTCGGGGCTTCAGGATAGCAGGGGGAGGAATCACACCATCCCAGTCGGGAACCCACATCATAAGGTTCATAACCTGAGCCTTCGTAAGGAAGGTATCACGACGACAGATCTTGTAAATTCCACAAAGAGTGTCCTGCACAATACCCATCAGGGGACCGTTACGCTGGGGAGAAACAATGTTCTTGGGAACCAGAGTCAATTCAGCGAGCTCAGCGCGTGCTTCTTCGCCCTGGGGGACGTGCAAGTTCATTTCGTCACCATCGAAATCGGCGTTGTAAGGACTGGTCACCGACAAGTTCATTCGGAATGTAGAGAAGGGCATGACACGGACACGGTGACCCATCATGGATTCCTTGTGAAGCGAAGGCTGACGGTTGAACAGAATGTAGTCACCGTTGTCAAGATGACGCTCGACCTTCCAGCCATAAAGCAGCTGCTGAGTACCAGCGCGCTTGGCGTGACGTAAGTCAATGCGCTCGCCGTTGTCGCGGACAATGTATCTGGCACCAGGGTGAATGTTGGGTCCGTTGGAGACTAGCTTCTGAAGCTTCTCAATGTTGTAAGGGGTGACAACTTCTGGGTAGGTCAGGATTCGGGCCGTCGAGTATGGTACACCCACTTCATCAAGCGACAAGTTGGGATCACCAGTAATGACAGTACGAGCAGAGAAGTCGACACGCTTTCCCATCAAGTTCTGACGCAGACGACCTTCCTTGCCCTTCAGACGACTGCGCAGAGCCTTCACAGGACGGTTGCCCTTTTGCATGGCCTTGGGTTGACCGGCAATATCATTATCCATGTATGTAGCAATGTGGTACTGAAGCAGAGATTCGAACTCCCGAATAACGTGCTCGGGGGCACCTTCTTGCTCACAGCGTTGAACGTTCTGGTTGGCACGAACGATTTCAGCAAGCTTGTATGTCAAGTCATCCTCACCACGGGCGCCGCTGGTGGCTCCCATGACAACACTGGGACGGACGGTAGGAGGTGGGACGGGAAGGACAGTAAGAATCATCCATTCGGGACGAGCGTAGTCATTGCTAAGACCCATGATGCGAACCTCTTCCTGGGAGATGTTCCGGAAGATGTTCAGCGCCATGGCAGGCGTAATGACCTTCTTCTCAGGCTGTGCCATCTCGTCTTCCATCATAGCCTTGCTCGGCTTCCATGTTCCAACAAGTGTGATTCCTTCCTTTCGGACAGTAGGCTGGGCGTTACCGCAGCCACCGTGGGAGCGCTGCTGGGGGTCCTTCGAGAATTCTTCGTCATCAGCAGGAGGGTCAGCTTGACAGACCAGCACATCCTTGGAGAGTCGCCAAATGTGATCGAATCGACGCTTGGGGTCACGGAATCGGAGAGCTTCGGCGAACTTAGAATCGGCCTGGTAATCATGTCAGCAAAGTCTGCCATCAAGATTTGCCATCCCATAAGGGATGACTAACCTGGTTGGCCTTGATTTTTCCGCAGTTGTGGCACACGGTCTCCAAAAGCTTCTTAATCTTGGTCACGAAACCTAGAGGAAGTCAGCGGGCGGAAAGAGAAGAAATCGATCAGGTGCAACAAACCGATGTGAAATACTGGAGATGCAAGCTCGATATGACCGAAATGTCCTGGGCATTCCTTGGGACCTTCTTCACAAGTCTCGCAGTTGTACTGACGGTCGATTGTGCCGAGACGCGGGTCGTTGATACCCTTGGTCCGAGGCCGTTGACGTTGTTCATCCTATCGCGTCATTAGCAATCATAAACACAAGCGCAAGTAGAGCCGATCACAAAGTATGCGACGAAAACTCAGAATTAAGCACTCACCAATGTCTCTGGGTACTCGATGTGGACCACACTCATGCGCTTGATCTCCTCCGGGGCGAAGAGACCAAACTGAATCTCCTTAATGGTGCGCAGAGGCGCCTTGGAGTATGGAAAGAAAACGTTCGACATGATGGCGATGTTTTCGTGGAAAAGCCGATGAAAAACGCGGAGTTAACCGGTCAGGCGGATGGATCGTGGACCGGCGAAAACGAAGGAACTCTTATCGCAGCGTCGCAAAATTTGAAGAGACAGAATTGTCCGAGGGGTGGAAGTCTAATTTACACGTAGCGACGATGAAACGAAAGTCGTGTGGAAGCAGCTGGCCGGCTGAGGCCTTTGGCAGCCCTTGCCACGAGGGCGCCGGCGACCTGGGGGTCCCGGATGTCACGAAGCCGAAAAGGAGGGAAAAAAGGTGCGCGCGGCGTGGAAGAGCGTGATGGGGGATTCCAGAAGAAGGATCGCGATGCTAGACGCGATCTCCTGCGTGGTTGAAGGATGGGGGATGGCGTGTCGGGAAGTTGAAAGGGAGACGGTTGGAGGTTGCCTCACTGTGATGGGGCTCGAGTTTTCCCTGCACTGTGGCCGCTGTCTAAAGAGGGCTCACCGCTTTGGCAGAACAGTGGGTACCTCACCTATCAAATTGAGACAGGCGAGTTGGAAGTACCGTTACTTGCGGCAGGTGAGAGCGGTGAGTCTAGTCCGTGAGTGAGGCATCAGTTTCAGGCAGTCGCATAATTCACTTTTAGAGGGGCTGGCTCACCGCCTTGTGTTCCTCCAGATTCTAAGGATATCGACGGCAGAAGGAAGATTGTCCATGACAGGAACTGAGTTGCTTAAGCTGCATATGATCTGACACTGCCTGGCCTGACCTGCAGGCCTGGGTTTATTAAGAACAATTCAGCTATTCATGCCCTCGCAACAATGAATCTTTCACTCGTGGACCCATTTGTCCTGGCCCAGGAATACCCAGATACATTGACCGAGAAGCTGAGTATGTGCTATTGGCATTTATTCAATAACAATACTAATACATTCACTGTCAGGTAGCGGCCATGCGACATGTCTCAGCTTCAATCACAAGGGCGACTACCTTGCCTCCGGACGAGTTCGTGGAGACAAATTGAGACATACAAGGAGGAAGGCTAAGACTTGATACAGGTGGACGGCACAGTAGTGATCTTCGACATTGAAACCAATGGCGTGGCGCGCAAACTGCAAGGCCACACGCGACAGATCCAGTCGCTCAGGCAAGTCCAGAGAAAACTACAGTGAACCAGGACTAACTCAGATCCAGCTGGTCCCGCGATGGCCGATACCTCCTCACCTCCTCACAAGACTGGAAATGCATCCTTTGGGATCTCCAAGATGGCTCACGAGTCCGCACAGTACGGTTCGAAGCACCAGTATACATCGCCCAGCTGCACCCATTCAACCAGTACGCCCTGCACAATCCCACCATTCCACCACCACAAACTAACACCCTACAGCCTCCTCTTTGTCGCCTCTCTTTTCGAAGACCAACCCGTCCTAGTAGACGTCTCCTCCCCAAAGCCAATCAAGCGCATCCTCCCCAGCGCCCCGCTCCGACCCCAACCAACAAACGGCGAAGAAGTCGACCCAGCAGTAGCAGCGAAGCAAGCAGCCCAAGACGCAAAGCACTCAACCTGCGTAACAATCTTCACAGCCTTCGGCAACCACATAATCGCAGGAACATCTAAAGGCTGGATAAACATAATTGAAACGCAAACCTGCACAACAATCCACTCAATGCGCCTCTGCAACGGCGTAGTAATCCTCCTCCGACTCGCCAGCAACGGGCGCGATCTGCTAGTCAACAGCTCAGACCGTGTAATCCGCACAGTACTCATGCCCGACCTATCACAACTAGGAATCGACCTTGAAGCATCCGCGATAAAACTCCACGTGGAACACAAGTTCCAAGACGTGGTCAACCGCCTAAGCTGGAACCACGTAACCTTCTCCTCAACCGGCGAATTCGTCACCGCAACCACATTCATGAATCCAGACATCTACGTCTGGGAACGGAGCCACGGCTCGCTAGTCAAGATCCTGGAAGGGCCACGGGAAGAACTAGGCGTTGTGGAATGGCACCCGTCGCGACCAATGGTTGTAGCCTGCGGGCTAGAAACGGGCTGCATATACACGTGGTCGATCGTCTCACCGCAGAAATGGTCAGCGCTGGCACCGGATTTCGGCGAGGTAGAGGAGAACGTGGAATACATGGAAGCGGAGGATGAATTCGACGTTCATCCTGCTGAGCAGGTGCATCAGCGGCGATTGGATCAGGAGGATGAAGAGCCGGATGTTGTTACTATTGATGCGGTCAAGGGGGTCGTCGAGGCTGATGGTATCGAACCGTTCAATGTGCCTATCTTGCTTGATGTTGAGGATAGTGATAGTGGGGAGGATGTTATTGCCGTCGGGCCTGGGACAATGAGGAGGCGGACGCCTGGCGCTGGGCGGGAGGCTGTGAATGGGACTGGTAATGGGGATGTAGAGAAGGAGGGTGCGAGTGGGAGGGCAGCTAGGAGTCGGCGGCGATGAGTCTTCTCTCTTTTGTTTCTGTATCGTGCTCTTTTCTTTCTATTTTCTTTTGCCTTTGCATCTCCGAGGTTCTGGCTGGTGCTGTTCAAAACTATTTTGCATAGGCGGCGTTATTTAACCTCAGGTTGGATTCTGATTGCAGTCTGGCGTTGGAGGAAAAGATTGTTCTGCTTTATTTGATTCGAAATCTGAATGAAACGCTCAGTTTATGGCGTATATCTCTACCTGGGTCGTGATATATACCCTCAAGTGTTGAAATGTTTGTGATCTTCAGATATCCGGACGCAACTGAGGGGGCAGCGCATGGTATATATATCTTTGGTAAGACGTCACAGTTGACCTTCGATGATGGACTCACTCATCATTTCAGCACATGTAAATGCTCAAGGAGTGTGTATTGAGGTCTTTGCTGACGTCTTTTCTTGACATACCCTACTCTGGAGACAGGATATATAGACTCTGATGACCCCGTAAGGATACTCAAGCTTACCCTACACAAAACTCAGCTGACCCTGGAAGTATTGCATAGCTGGATACTACGAGGAACATAAGTCGCAAACTGCTGAAAGATTCGCCCTTAGGATATATAGCAAGCAAACCGAAAGAATAATACAAAGAAAGTTCGATTCCAAAAAGTGATGACGACCCATCTGGCTAGCAAACAGAGACATCAGGAACTAAAAGGGTAATCTGGGTATATATCATAAGCCGAAAAAGCCTACCCAAGAGGTAGGGTATTCGGCATACAAGCACCAAACGCCAAGAGATGCAAAGTCCAGCATGCAGAGAAGTAAAGAAGAACAAAGCAAGTAGAGTGGAAGTTTATGCCCGAGTCGACTGGAACCGCCGGGCGGTGGGCGTGGAAAGCAATCCCATACATCGTGTCGTCAATAAATCACCAATCCGAATATCAAATCGTCGTAGCCAGTTCTGTCGGCTCTGGGATCCATAACGCCAACAATTTTGACAGAATGTGTCTCTGTAACAGACCAGGATCATACATCGAGTTGGCCTTCGTACAATGAACATGAGTTTGCACACTCTGGGCCAGCCAAAGTCTGAGTAGCCGGTCTAATTGAGGCCACCAAGCGGGATTCAACGTAGTCGTCTGCCCGACAGTCGACTGTCATATGCAAAAGCAGATATATCTGCAAGTGAAACACAGCTTAGGTTGCAACCGGTTTCCGAGCTTGGTAAATGTGCAAAATGTTATAACTGTGGATATTCTTGTCAAATGCATCCCGCTTGACATTGGCAGCAAGATGATCAATCTTTTCTTTTGAGTAACCCAAAACCCGACTGAAAGGAGCCAAGCTGAGAGGCTGGACACTTTCAGAGATGGCAAGGTTATACCAACGAGCAACCTTCTTCTCATGTTCATCGTGATGCCATGGGTTCAACGGCAGGCCCACCTGCTGGTGGTCGATCTCGGTGAAACCAGCTTCCTGCAGATTGCGGATGGTCTCTTGCGAGCTATGTGCCAGAGGCCGCTGCGTGGCTTCGGTGGCCTCCTTCAACTTGTTGTACCAATGCGCCAGATGGGTGTCACTGATGGAAGGGCCGTCACAGCGTGGCTTGAAATCGATCTCCACTTGTTCAAACCAGGCCCCCGGTCGAAGGTGGTCGAATACTCTTCGGTAGAGACTGGGCCAGCTCACGACACTCCCACATCCCATCTGCATGTGGATAATGTCCCATGAATCTTCTCCCATAGTCCAGGGTGCCTCGAAGTCGAACGGGGCGTAGAAATCGCAATTCTTGGGGAAATTGGTGGGTTGAATTGGAGCTATGTCGACTCCAACAACAAAGGAATCCGGGTACTTGTTGGCGACATCGATGCTCCAGATGCCTGTACCACAACCCAGGTCAAGAACTTTGGACTTTTTCGGGTGTGGTGCATAGATCAAGCCATCCGAAGCTCGGGCCACGGTCACCACTTTGTGGACGATATCGAGACGGTCTTGTTCCTCCTCGTCGCATGGGAGCGGGTAGATTCCTTTGCGGTATCCATGGTAACTCCGGCCGTTCTCTTTATGGCAGGGGTACTTTTCGGGGATCCTGTAACAAGGTCAGTCACCGGGCATCACCATTGACAAGGATAACCTACGGGCGATTCGAAATTACCACAGGAGACGATCGGGATTGCTGCGATGCGTTGGACGCTACAGACGCTTGCGTCGCAACCGAGCCGTTGCTGGTAAAACGGAAGTTCCTCCGCGGGTCATTGTCGACCGGGTCTCGATCCACCAACGTGTACAGGTCCATGGCTGTGGATGCTTGCCGTGACCGGGCTCGCTCACTGGCTCGCTCACTCGGGACGGAGTGCGAGTAATACCTGGAGTGACCCGTGTCGCTCGGGGTATCTGACTTGTATCTCTTAGGCGGAGGCGGCGAGGTCATCATGGGCGGCAGGTGTCGCATGTGGGCGTCCCCATTCATATACATGGTTTTGGGGTCGCGGTCGGGAGTGGGGAGCAATCGGGGGTCTCTTCTGTAGGCCATGGCTGATATCCGCGATCAACGATCGCGCACGATATCCGGGGACGCTGCAAAGAAACGAGCGATCATCTCATGAAGTGAGATTGGAGAGTAGTCGAGACCAGAAGTCGCAGGACGAGGATCAGCTCAGGTCTCCAATACGGTCGAAGCTCGAGATGTAATGGTCGCAAGGCAGGGATCGAAGGGAAGTTCCCGGGGTAATTGAGACACAAAATCCAGGGAGGGGTCGAGAGAGGCTGGGGGAGGTCGAGATGAAGCTGTTCCCCGGGGGTGGGGGGCGGAGGGGGAAGCCAACAACAAGAGAACAAAAGGAAGAAGAAAAGAGAGGAAGAGTAAAGAGGGAAAGAGGAGAAAGAGTAGGGGTCAGAAGAGCAAAAAGTACTTTCAGAAAGTACCCAGTACAGTTGTATTTTCAGTTACCTTACCAGAGTGCCGGGCCCCAGGGATGCCAATTCCCAGTTATGAGGTTAGGTTAGCCCAGATTAACCATAGGCTCAAATCTTTCGGTTTTGGGCCAATTCCGGGTTTTGGGTCGGGCGCGGACCGTCTGGGCCTGTCAGCTCCACGTCTTTAGCGTCCCCCTCGTAACCCAAGCCCCCGGACCCTTTCACGTATTCACAGCATAGTACATTATAACTATACTATGACTAGAGTATCAGTGAATAAAATTATTAGTTGAACTTGCTAATTTCAATAATTAGTATAACTTATATATATCGCTGAAACTATACGATTTCCCCTGCTGACACAAGCTAAAGCAAATCGGGACTGTACTGTGCATGTACTGTGCATGTAGCGCCCCAAGACACTGGTTCCACCCGAAGCCATCGGAAAATCATTGGTGTTTAGGTGCCTGAGTACTCGTTACTGGCGTACTATCATTCGTCCCAATATGATGGGCTCACCCTCGGACTCCGGCGCTCCCTTACTTTACGGCTTGTCTCCACTGAGGCCCGGGCTTCGCTGATCGTTTACTCGTCACTTAGCCATTTCTGCACACTAGTATTGCACACGGTAATATTTGACTTTTTTTCCCTAAACCCTACCACGCCTAAGAGCGCCAAAAGCTAAAACACGGCCAAATAAACCTAAATACAAATCACACACATAGACCGAGCATACATATGCATAGTCTGTCTGAAAAAGGAAGTAGTCTCCAGCCCCATAATTTCTTGGCGCCCACAACTCCCCCAAAACCTGCGCCTCGCATCAGCCACAGCCAAACCTGCCATAATGCATAACCTCCAAGCTGTCGCCTCATCGTCGCTATCCCTGCCGGCGGATAGCTACATCTACGGGATCACTGCTGCCGCACCAGGCACATTTGCAGCCATCTCCTCGGATGATTCGCTGCGCGTGTTTGACGCCGCCGATCTCAACCGCGGGGCTGTCGTCTCCTCGCATACCCACGATGGGGGTGTGACGTCGCTGCGGAGCTATGCGGGCGAGTCGCAGCTGCTCACAGGTGGCCGAGATGGCAAGGTGAGGATTTGGGATGTCCGGGCTGGTGGGCCAGTCGTGGAGATGGAGACGGGTGAGTCTATGTTTCCAGTTCTTTTGTCCTATTGTACATGTCTTCTATTTCTGTTCGGGTATCTGCTCGGAGAATTCTGTCGCAAGGATATTCCCGTCTCGATTAAGTTTTGGCGTTCTATCAGATGCATCGTGACTAATGCATGTTTAGCGAGACATTCGCCTGTGTTGTCCGTGGCCTGCAATCCCGAGACCAATACCGTTGTTGCAGGGACCGAGCTCGTCTCTTCACAGGCTGTGGTTGCATTCTGGTATGTTTCCATACTCGTCCTATCCAAGTAGACATTGTCCACTAACTCCAACAGGGACATCCGATCTCCCAAGGAGTTCAGCTTGCAATACGTAGAAAGTCACAACGATGATATCACCGAGGTAAGTTCCGCCCATATTACTATTCTTACCACTACAACTACTATATCACAAAATATTCAACTGGGACTAACGTTCCACAGCTCCAATACCACCCGACACGTAGCAACATCTTACTCTCCGGCAGTACAGACGGGCTAGTAAACATCTACAACACAACAATAACCGACGAAGACGAAGCCCTCGTGCAAGTCATCAACCACGGCTCCGTACATCATGCAGGCTTCCTTTCGGAACGCGAGATCTTCGCCCTGAGCCACGACGAGCTCTTCTCTGTGCACCCGGCTACAGACCCAGACGATACCGCGCAGGTGCCCGACCCCGTGCATTTCGGTGACGTGCGCGAGAAGCTGGCTTGCGAGTATGTTGCGCAGCTATGCATCGGGGGTCAGGGGGCTTTTATTGCTGCTGGTAATAAGATGTATGTGTTGCATGATTCTGATTCTGAGTTCTGTCTGAGACCTAGACTCGCACTCGCACTTGCACAGCGGGTCGTGTTTGTGTTCCTTTGTCTCATTATTTCTTTTCTAATATTTTCTTCCTACAGGGACAACCGCCTCGATCTCGTCCCACTCGTTTCCGGTCCCGAGTGGAAACTCGACCAGGAGAATCTGTGGCGCTTACCCGGTGCTCATGGCGAGGAGGTCGTGCGCTCGGTGTGTCTGGATGAACAGGTATGTCTCACTCTCCATCGCAATTCCGATTCCCAGGCCTCAGTCCAAATCCAATCTACATCCACATTCCATGTACTCCATTCGAGATAGTCACTAACCAACCCCGCCCTTTCCAGAGCCAATCCGTCTTCACATGCGGCGAAGACGGGTTCGTGCGAGCATGGAAGCTCGCTGAAGAGGGTGCTCCAGTCCAGGCTGGGTCTGCGAGGGCTCGGCCGAAGAAGGAGAAGAAGGATCGCTTTAAGCCGTACTAGCTACTTACCAGCTGAGCGGGTGAATGCATCTGATTCTGTTGTATATCTTGGTGTTTGGTGGGTAAAAATAGTGGTTTGAATAGAATTTTTTTTTTTTTTTTTTTCATACGTTGAAATACGCAGGATATCTTGTAGTGAGTCCTCAGTAGGTAGAAATATATTCTTAGGTGAGACTGAACAGTTTCCGCGACCAGCTTTAGAAATTTACCCAATCTAGTAAAAGGCCTAGCTACAAGGTATGCGTTCAATTGTGACTAAAAAAAGAAAAGAAACTGAAAAGAAAAGAAAAACCGTTAAACTAGCCCTGATAGAAATAAAAACCAAAGTCGGCAATGTTGGCCTTGATGCCTGAACTCTTATCGAACTTTTCTTATCCAACCTTTTTTTTCTCCCAGGCATGTCCAACTTCTTCCACCACCTCCCTCTCTACACTATATACCCAAGTCTATCAAACAAAGACTCAAGACTCAACCTCGATCTCGACACAACAAAAAGAGTAAGCGCAAGCTCTCCGCGCAAACTCTGACTCCAACCTCCCAACCACCTCACCTCACCTCACCACACTCACACCCTCACCACCCCCAAATCCAAATGGACGCCCAAGCCTACCTAATCCGCCACGGCTGGTCCGGTCCAGGAAACCCCCTCCAACCAAACACACGACCAGGCCCCCACGGCGGGCTCGGCCTAACACGACCAATCCTAGTAGCGCGCAAAGCGAACAACCACGGCGTGGGCAAGAAAACAACCAAAGATCCAACGAACCAATGGTGGCTACGTGGCTTCGAAGACGCGCTCAAGGGCGTCGGGGATGAGAGTCACGAGGGCGTTTCTGCGCGCGCGGGCAATGCGCTTACTAGTGAACTTTATCGGAATTTTGTTAGGGGGGATGGGTTAGCTGGGACGCTTGATTCTAAGGACCAGCAGAAGGGAGCTGGGGAGAAGAGGAAGAGGGAGAATGATGAGCCCAAGGCCAAAGAGACGAAGGAGGAGAGGAAGGAGAAGAGGAGTGTTGAACGGGCTGCTAGGAAAGCGAGGAAGGAGAAGAGGGCCGTTGAGCGGGCTGCTAGGAGGAGTGAGAAGGAGAAGAAGAAGGCTGCTAAGAAGGCTAAGAAGGATGGGGCTGGGGAGGATTATCCTACGCCTATGTCTATTGATTCGGGAGCTGGATCTGGATCTGGATCTGAGAACGCCGAGGCAGAGATGGCGATAAAGGAGAAGAAGGAAAAGAAGTCGAAGAGTGACGACGACTCGAAAAAGTCCAAAAAGGACAAAAAGGAGAAAAACGAGTCGGAGTCCAAGGCATGATTTGATCATGGCTGTATATCTCCGGCTATCATTTGATCTCAAGCGCGTCCTATCATGCATTCAAAGGCCATGTACAAAACATTCGCATGCTGTTTTTCCACGCCATATAGAAACTAAGATACCCTTTTTGTTTGGCGAGTAGCGAGTCATGACCAGAAACAAGCAACCTCTCTACATTCAACGTTCGCATTAGAGCTACATAGTTTTAACCTAAGCTGGCAATCTCCCAGGGTTACCAGAAATAATCCAAGGCCTCCTCTCCCAGAACTCATCCTTGATGATATCAACATGGTCAACAACAACCTGAGCCTTCCGACGCAATTTCTTGATCTTATCCTGCTGGGACCTCGACTGCTTTTGTTCTGTGAGAGGGGATACCTCATCCACGGATGTTTGAATAGACGTAGGCTCTTCAAGTTCGAACTGTGGAGTGACATTTTAGTAGGAAACATAGTGTATTGAATGTAGGGGCTTCTACCTTGCGATAAACAACACTGCCCTTTTTATAGATCTCTTCTTCGTTATTGTAGTTGATTCCGAAGCGCTTGAAGAGGATTTCGTTCTTGTCTCCTGATACAGTGCCCTGAAGCAAGTAAGTAAATGGTTGCACAGGAACCGTGAGAGTGATAATAATGACGAGGAAGGTACCTTTAACTCTTGCTCCGCATCTGTGTTGCTCATTCCACCCTGTTGAACCATCGTCCAGAAGGTAGTATTGTAGAGGTTATTGATATGACCTAGATACGACTATTAGCAAAGATGCACACCGAAAATGGAATCGAAGCCAAGCCACTCTCGATGGAGGCAGATATTCACTCACAGTCAACCTGTCTCCAACTCATATAATCGCGCAAAATCCGGCTATTCGGATAGATAACAGCACGACCATCAAAAGAAGGCAAATACGGAGGCTGCAGAGGCGTAGAAGGGAAAAACTCGCTCCATTTGAAGATGTAGTGTGCAGTGAAAGTAGAAACGATGGTCGTTACCAGTTTCCTGAGGAGATATCATTAATAGCTGTCCTGCCACCACTAGCCGGTCATTTAAAGTAAAGATGAACTACTTACCCGTTTCGTCGTTCGAATAGTTGGCAACTGGGATGAAAGACGAAGCTAAAACGATTTAGTGAGCAAATTGAATACTTTGATGTCAGGTTAACAAGGGTATAGCATACCTGAACTCGTCGCTGACTCCATAGCCAATACACAGATCCGGGAGTTCTTTCATAACCTCGACGGCTGCGGCATTCATCAAATTGAGTGCGCGGCGGTCATTTGGTTTCACGAAGGCATAGTGATCGGAAAGTCTGGTAAGATTAGATTCTGCTCAAAGTAGACATATTGTTCGAGACGAGTAAACAGGACAAGACAGGTATAGAAATAGTTATATATATGTATATATATATCCCACTTCTGTATATATAACATGGGATGCATAGCATACGAATACCAGTGCGGGAGGGACTCACTTGTGAAATCCTCGTCCATCAATGCGGACCACAATCCACGTATTGGGAAGTAGCACGTCCGGTTGCTCGAAGGACTTGACATATTCAAATCTGCGTGATATTAGCATTTTATTTATCTGAAAGCTCTTTTTATTACTTACCTTGAGTTCGCCATGGTTGGTTGAGTGACGTCTGGGATAAAAGTTGAGTCATTTTGTGCGATTTCTGCCCGCCCGCACTGCCCAATTCAACCAGCGGCTTGAGATAACCCTACTTGACAATGGGATTGATATAAAAACACTATATTTTGAGACTGTAACTCACTACAGAATTGTCTACAGGTTTTACGAACTGGAGAAATATTGTAGACATGGCTATGAACCAAGGAAAACCGTTTGGGTGTATGATACTCAGAATCTAGGAAATAAACAGTGGACAGGACGCTTAGTCCATAGAACTTGAATCACGATGCTTCATCCTCCTCCGGAATCTCTTCGTCACCAGTCTCACTAGCGCGCTCGCTAGTCTCACTGGCCTTGTCGGATCTGCGGGACTTGCGAGAAAAGAAGCCCAGACTGCTGCGAGTCGAGCGGTCGGCGGAGGGCACACTTGAGGCATTGCTATCAATGCTCTTGCCGAGCTGTGCCTCGCTAGCCGCGTCTCCGTCGATATCACCCTGCGCGGAGTCGACCTTCTTGGAGAAGAGTCCTGAGCGATCTTTCCATGAGCTGAACTTGCTGGAGCTGCCCTTGCGTGTGATCTTGCGGATAAATGACTCCTTGGACCCGTTGTCGACGGAAGTTCCCGAATGCATGCGCTCCAAGGACTCGTATGATTCTCCCGTGAAGTGAGAGAGGGAGCGAGATGTGCGAGGTTCGGAAGGAGAACGATCAAACGTGTGCAAGCTGAATGGACTATCAGGGGCCGTGGGCTTGTCTTGGTCATTGGGGTTCTCGCCCGTGAACACTGCAGTGAACGCCGGTGCAGCGGGATTCAGCTTCGGTGTGAGTGGCCGATGGGAGGACGAAGGACGAGTGCCAATAGGTGCCTGAAGTGGTCGGTGATGACGTTCGAATGTGTCTTCCACGAAGTCAGGTTCACCGCTCAGGCCCAGTGGGAGATGACCTGATGATCCATATTGGATTGAAGGCCGCGGAGAAGGAGCACGAGACCACGTTGATGGTGAGGCCCAGTCAAATCCGAGGGGACTGTTGCGGTGTCCAGCATTCTCGGTTGACGGCCATCCGAAATGGCGGTTGTCCGTAGACGGATGAGGGGAGCTGATTCTGGTTGTCGAACGAGACAGATGAAGGCCGTGGGGACAAAGATCCCCTTCGAACACTGCCAAGAAGCGAAGATGGATCGATAGGGTCATGACGAGGACTGAATTGGTTATAGCCAGTGCTGAGATCGGAGTTCCCACGGGTGCCAGCACCGCCGAAGCCAAACTTGCTGGATGAGAAGATACTTGAGAAAGCAGCTCGTCGGGAAGGCGCATGATCAGACGAACTGTCCATAGTAACGCCAGTGGTGTTGCTTCGAGGGAACAATGACATCGGGTTTGCCCAGTTTCCAGTATAGCTCGATCTGCGTCGCCGTGAACCGATTGGGTCCAGCTCGTCGACGTTGCGCGGGAAGGATTGACTCTGACCAGGTTTCAATGTGCCGAGCATGGGTGACTCGTCTGCCAAAGTCTTTCCACGAGGCCGGTGAAAGCCGAAGAGCCCGGAGAGTCTCCGGGACGCGCTTTTCGGAGCATCCCCAGCAGCAGACAAATGAACACCTTGGGATTCGGGTTCCTGTCGTATTTGAGTTTCCATTGGACTGGCAAAGATACTACCCGCTCGACTGTCGGAAGAAACGGGCGATACTGGACCATGACCGAAGCCGTCCAAGTGAGGACCGGGAGTCTCCAGAGTTGAGAATCTTGGACGGTTAATAGATCGTGGGAATTCTGGTGATTCCTCATCGCCAAGGAGATCAGATGGCAACAGCGCGTCTGCGCGGGGACTCATTTGCGGGTTATTGAAAGCAACCTCCGCATCTGAACGCATGATCTCTGGGGGATCCGACAGACCGGGGAGAGCCATGCCATTGTTGATGTTGAAGAATGCAGAGCTGGGAGCAAACGTAGGCGAATGACTTGCGGGTGGGTTGTAGCCTAGGCCACCTGGGAACGACGTCTCAATACCTGGGAAGTTCACAGGGGAAGACACGTTGCTGACAAGTGAGCTGCGATGGCGACGGGGCCGAATAGTGGCAGTATTCGACATATCGAGATCGAGGCTCGGCAAGGAAAAGGGTCCCGAGCTACCAGGTCGTTGGGCTGTGAGCCATTTCAAGCGCTCTTGGGCTTCCTGGTATTGTTGCTGGGCTTGCGCGTGAAGATTCACTAGAGTCGTATAGCGTGCGTGTAGGTTGCCCAACTTGTGCTCCCATTGCCGAGCCCGCTCATTGTCGATGCGATCCAACTCCTTGCCATCCTCACTGTCGCCTTCTTGTAATCCCATTCTCTCTTCTTCAAGTTTTTTGACCCGTCCTCCTTTGTCTTGGATCTCATCATCGATCGTCTTCATCTCTCCTTGCTCTTTGGCGATCTTCTTTCGGACCTCCTCTGCGCGCGCAGCCGTTTCCTCCTCAATCCGGGCTTTATCCTCCTTCGCCTGTGTAGCATCATTTTCCATGCGCGCTATCTTCTCCTGCCAGCGGAGGATGTCGTTCTTACGCTTCTTGCGCTCTGCCTCTTTCTGCTGAAGAAGTCTCAAGCGCTTTGACTTTTCGCCTTGCACTGTCCGATTGACGCTTTCCAGCTTGTAGACGTGTTTCTTCAAATCGCCACTTGCCTCGTCCTTTTCTCGAACACGCTTTCTTAGCTCACTGCGCTGCTTTTCCAGGTCTTTCAGCAATGCGATATGTTCATCCTCTTCCTCTGTCGCTTGCTTCTCCACATTCTCATTTTCCTGTTGTAGTGACTTCAAGCGGTCTGCTAGTTGTTCCAGAGTCTCGTCTTTGGCGCTCTTTGCTCTGCTCTTTTGTGTCTCATCGAGATGGCCGTGGGAGACGTCAATTCCAGCAGCGGGGGAGATTTTCCGCCCAGCAGAGGGCCGCTTACCAGGCAGTTGGCCTGAACTATGTTCGCGCGACATGACAGGGGCAGACGGCGCAGGCAGACCAACTGTTGACCTGGGAATGAAGGCGCGAATGATTGGAGCACCGATATTGCCATTTTGTTGGGCCTGGGACAGCGGAAGAGATTTCGTTCGGACATGGAGGATCGCACTGGGAGTTTGGAAGTTCGCGGCGCTGAGAGAAAGAACGCAAATGTGGTAAATGTTTCCAGGTATGAGATTCGAGATTTCCACCGCAGTTTCAGCACGCTTGGATTCTCCGACTAGGTGATGTTAGTACCTGGCTGATTGACAGGGATTAGTCTGCCCATACCTTTAACATTGTTCACCTGAATGATATGCTTGTGTATTGAGTTGTGGAAGTCTGGTTGTTTCCAGGCAAGGCGGATTTCACGGGCTGTGATCTCCTCGAGGGTCACCTCTGG